GATCGAGGGGGACCGAATATTGAATATTAATAGTGTATGTCGATCTTCTTCCCGATTGTCTTAAGGGTCAATGGCCAATAACGCGGCTGAGGGTAGTATTATGGCTAGCGGAGTAGTAGGGAGGAGTCGGTGGTCATCTTCCTGGGAGGGGCCATTATTGATTCCTCCGCTCAGTAGTCAGTACCACTGCGACGGTGCGATCGAGAGGTCAGGCATCCAGGTGTCCAGGATAGACGCGACGAAAATATCAACACCAAACAAGTAAACATTGCACGTGTCATCGTCATGAAAGAGAAGGCAAAAGCAAGGCACAAGGAACGGGAAATCGATGATCTCATACAGCCGGACGGGAGGGGAGGGTCACGGGAGAAGGCATGACGGTCGCGTTTGTTCTCTGTCCGCAACACACGGCACGCTACCACGGTTCACCCTCTGCTTTATTTACTTTCTACGACGCGAGCCATGGGACATGACTAGCCATCGAACAAGAAGAAAAGAAGACAGCAAGAGGAAGAAAACAACAAGAAAAACGTAAGCAAACACCCAAATGGGGAAATCAACAACAACAAGCACGGCCAGCGCATCTACGCAGCACATCATACCTTAAGGTGAGGTGCGGGAGAGGGGAAGAGGAAACCGGATCCCCTCGTTGGGTGACATCACCCTCGCTCTCTCTCTAACATGTTTCGACTTTCGAGACCCTCAGGTTTTCAGGTTTGGGAGAATAAAGTTGCAGCCAGACTCTGCCGGGCACGAGCAGTGTGAGCAGTGGTCCCCAATCAGGGGCCAAAACCGGACCAGAACCCCGCACTGGCAGCCAAGAGGCGACGGGTCTGGAACCTCAGCGTGTACCCCGTAGTCTCCGTCGGCGGCCGAAGAGTCTCGCTGTAATTTCAAGTCCATCGGGGAGGACCTTACCTATACGTCCATACCTTCTCGGTTCATACACAGGATGTAACTATGGACATACTGCGTGAACCTTACACCTTACACCTAAGCCTACATCTCTAACCTCCGGTTAACAAAGCAATCTGCCAGGCGGGCACATGCTCATGTCACCACAGGTGATGGATCAGAATCCTGGCTCCATCCACTAACTAAGAGATCGGAGGGTCCGAGATACAACCGTAGTCTCGAGCCCGGCGCCTACGCCGTCAAATAGCGCCTCGCGCCCGTCAGATCACGGCCGATCACACTGCCTTAGGCCTGCAGATGCAGGTCGAGGACCTCCATTCACCATTGTCACGCCGCATTCCAAATTCAATGGGATTGGTGATTGTCGATTGTACTCCGTAGCAATCGATTGTTTTGTTTAGGTCGCTCCTCTTACTTCGAGATCAAGAGCCGACGAGCCGCAGCCGGCCGGTCAGCATCATCCCACTCGGCCCTCGTAAGAAATAATACCGTACGGAGGGGGAAGGATCCTCCTCAGCTCTGGGGCCCTTTTCTTGGGCTTTGTTTTGCCTCCCTAAGACTTGAGCCGGTGTCTCACAAGTGAGGGGCTCTGGGCGAGGCGTCAGAACCCCGATAATGCAGGCCCGGCGATCGTCCAGCAGTAAGTCGACCTCATCCCATATCAGCGTCATATTACTAGTGGCGGTGTGCGGGACGAAGTGTTGGTTATTTTTAATTTTTTTAATCTATGCACTGTGCATCGATTGAATCAGGGATGCAACGAGCTATTTTGGATCTCGGACCATCAGGACACACGTGCGGGCGCGACGCTAATCCCGACTGCGTAGGTCTCGACGAGACGATGATGGTATCGCTTTCTTCTCAGTTTTCAATGACGGCGACGAGAGACGAGCAACGACCCAACTGAGAGCTGAGCTCGCGCGCCAGAGCCTCGGACCTAGCAAGTTTTAGCCCCTCGTCGTGACGTCGTCAGCTCTTCGGGTGCGATTGGGAGCTATGAGATCTCCACAATAATCATACCGAAGACATCAGCTCGACCAGGCGCCGTCGGAGGCACTATTACCGCGTAATTATCATCGGTCGCCGATGATAAGGATTCAGTCTCAATTCCTTAATATAGATTGATTTGTAAGGTGACCATTTGCGGTATCAGGGGGGCAAGTGATAGTGCCTAGCTCGATAGCGCCCTTTAAAAGGATACTGGCAGGGATAGAATACACCCGGTCAAGATCGGCGGGAATGCGGGAACAATAATAATTATGCGCAAGTAATGTCCGGGCGGCATGTATACCGTACAGTCCCCATCGCTTACTGGGCGAGTCTGGGGAAGGGGGCGGCGATGATCATAGTTGAAGGCTTGAAGCGATCTCATCGAAAATGCTTGGTCGTGAGGAACAGGGATGCAGAAGAGAGGGGGAATGAACCCCCAGATTTGCACTCGATAATTGCATTGCAGTTTTGCACAGGCCGATCGAATTATCGATCAATGATGATTGCCCTGGTAATTGGTATGTGCTGCAAATCAATCTATCCTAGGGTTACTGGCCGTCGCACGCATTACCGCATTGGGCTAAGCCGTAGTTCTCCGACCGGCCAGGGTCGAATAAGATGAGATAATCGGTATGCGCAGCTTGCCGTCTCGCCCGGCGAGGTAGGATTGGCGAAGGCAGGGCTTCAATATCTTAGATTCGGAAGTTTTATACCGGTCCCCAGGGATGCAGTTTCCCCAGGCCAGGGACCTGTCGACGTACCCAATGCGGCAGCTTCACGACTGACAGCTTGCTCTTTCGAGCCTTCACCATTGGCCGGCGCGACTCGTTGCTGAGAGATTCCGGACAAGCTCTTTTTTCCGACCGAGTGGAGCTCTGGTGGAGTTTTTATTAGATTCGATCTCTCATTTGGGCTCTTTGGAATGATGTATAATAAAACGGGACCCAAAGAAAAAAAAAAAAAAAAAAAAAAAAAAAACGGCACACACGGATAAGGTGAAATTTTCGTTACTGCGTCGATTATTGGCCGAGGTCCTCTTTTTTCGCTGTTCTAGTAGTCAAATGGAACCGTCCTGTCGGACCATTTCGTAGTCCTCTGTTTCCTCTAGAAAGAAAAAAAGTCCCATCTAGGTTAAGTCGGGAAGAAAACCCCCCTCAAAAATTTTTAAAGTGAGACTAAGAGAGGATCTCTCACCTAGCATATGCCAGGAGCTCTGAGGAAGGGCATAGGAATGCACCCAATTCCAGAGTAGATACCCTAGGGCAAGCTGCAAGCTGCCAGCAGGAAGTGTCAAAGTTAGTGCACACAGCACAGTGCAGGAGCGTCTGGGGCGTAATCAAGATCAAACGGGATTTCAGCGGTAAAGACCGGTGAAACCTGCCAAAAAGGAATGCGTACTTACGGGGTATGTAGAAACGAAACGGCGAGAGGAGCGAGGTAAGTAATGAAAAAGGATGATCCTTGGGTAGGCCGTGAGACAGGCACGATCCATGCCTCAGCCAGCCAGCGCAGATTGGCAGAGAGCGAACGGAGACGACCGCAAGGACGCTGATAGGCGGGGGGTTGCTGAGCAGCGGCTAGCGTTGGCGATGGCGGCAAGGGAGTCCGGGCAACGAAGCCCTAGAAGTGACTTGTCTGTACTCTGTACGTACTCGGAGTACATACATTTACCTACAGATAGGTACAGTAGGTACCTGAATTGTTAATTCAGTATGGTATGGTATCCATCGATGATGTCGTCGGCCAAGTACGGTACCTCCCCGAAGACAGGACAGAGTACCTGCATGGTACCCCCCCCGACGTACCTGCCGTTCGGAGATCACGGCGGTACCTCGCAAGTACATCATACATACGTCGATTCCACCCGATACCGTACATACTGTACGACCTCCATTCCGTCACGCCGTCTGGACCGTACATACATACAGTAACACCTACCTACGGAGTAGCTTCTTCTTCTTCTGCTGCTGCTTCTACTTCGACTTCTACTGCTTCCTAGACTATGAACAGACGCTCCTCCCGTAGACATTCAATTCTTAGATCTAGATACCCAGTCCAGAAGATCAATTAATCCACCCAATTCCCCCTACCCATCCCGGGCGGTTCGAGAACCAATAGCAAATCCCCCCAAACCGGTTCGACGCTGGGATTCTGACACGGCCTAAACCCGTCGTCGCTTAAGCTCGTCTTTTCCTGAGCATCTGGAGATCGCATCCCCACTTTTTCGTTGCCATTGCAACAAGGTCATCCCTTCAGCTTCACCTTTTCTCCAGGTCTTTTTTTAAATTCTTTTTTTCTTTTTTTCTTTCCTCGCTTTCTTTCTTTTCGTTCTTTCAGCCTTGTTTAAACTTCTTCTTCTCTTCTATCCCCTCTTAAGACCTGCGTCGCTCCTCGAACTCCCATGCTTTATCTACCAGACGCTCCTCCACTCCAATCCCGTGTCCAGACTTCTTCACACCCTCTTCTTCGGTAACTTTCCCCCAATGCATTAGCGTACCACGTCTATGCCTCCTCCCCTGATGCCGTCTGACTGTCCTGCTGCTGCTGCTGCTGCTGCTCCCTGCTTATTGCCGATGCTTATAGAAGTAATCTGCTGACTCCAAGGCTCTCTGTTCCTCTTAGCCCCTCCTCTTCCTGGTCTTCCTCCCACCTCGGACCCTCCCTCCTTCTGCCGTCTCCCACTCAGCCCTGATCGACACTTTTCTCATCTGGCAGTCATGTCGCTTTGAGTTCGGCTTCGACACCAGGAAGTGCCGCTACCTGCTGGTTAGCTGCGTGCGGGTTTTTGGAAAGCCGTTCTTCAACACTACGAATTGGATTCAATACTCGACAACTGTGGCGGAAGGATCTTTGAATAGACACCGTGACGACGGAGAACTCTGCTCTGTCGTTGTAGTACATGCCAGGTAGATAGCGTGCAGTTTGACTGTCTGGCTTTACTGTTTTGCTGCGAGTTTTCTACCCCGACGGTGTCTAGGTCAATTAGGACAAGGACAAAGAAAAACAGAAAGCAGGAAAGAGAAAAGGAAGCCAGAAAAATTTTCGAATACCAAAAAAAGAAGAGGAAGGGGAAAAGATAGGCCTCCCGAAGAAGAATGGAACATTCATCACCGTTGGCTGCGATGCAGCCTCCGTCAGTGATGTTCGGACACTGCTTTCGCTCGGATGTACCAACATCCTATGGCTCTTTTGGTCCCAGGTCTGGGCTGAAACCTCCTAGTTTCAATTTCAAAGACCTGTCCATGAAGAAGTCCCAGCGTGACTATTTTAACGTGAAACCGGTCCGTGGTTCGTCGCCCACGGCGAGTCTAGCTGCAGATCTCTCTCAAAATTTTCATATTGACCAAAGGTTTGTCCCGGATGCTCTTTGTCCTTCCAGTTGGACAACGGTTCGCGACAGAAGAACTTTCCGGCTGACCACAGACAGTCCGCAATTAGCAACTCCCCGGCGGTCTTTGTTCTCCTCGAACCTGTTTGGCCATGGCAACGGTATGTGGTCATGCTTCACTGTCCCCTCAGCCTCTCTCAACCATGGAAAGCTCCTGTATACTTACTTACCATACCTTAAATAGAAGACAGCATGACAACCCCTCCCCTTCCGTCCTCCTCGCCTGCCCCCGCTCTGGATTTTATGGAAATGTCACCTTTGCCCCATAAACCGCCATTCTGCGTGACAAGCGAGATCGAGATTATTACACCAACCATGGAGGACTCGCCTATGGCCAGCCCGTTGGAGGATTCACCCTCGGTGCCCCCGAAGGATGCTCAGCCAGAGTAAGAGAACTGCCTGCAGAGTTGGAAATATATTTGCTTGTGCATGGGATCTAATCCGAGTGTGATCTATAGGAGACGGCGTCCGACGTTCCTGCGGCCCAGCCTCGCCAAAAGCAAAGCCCAGTCCTTTCAGTTAGGCCTGACGAAGCCCGCCCCAGAGAGTCAGGCACCCCCGTTTCGATTCCAGAGCAAAGGCAACAAGACATCCTTGAGCACCTCGGCGTCGTTGGAGGATATGTTTGGCGAATCCCCGCAGCGTGAACGGCCTCTGTTGAGAAACCATTCGTCGAGCGGGCTGATGAACCCCCGGTTGCGGCCGCCCTTGCTGTCCAGTAATAGCGGCAGCCATGTTCGTGGAAATGGATCGCCCTCCGCCGCGTCCATTCGGAAAAGTTCCCACCCCCTGATGCGCCCTCGTAAACAGTGCAGGCGTTCGTTGAGTATGTATGAGCATCCAGAGGATGTAGTTGTCGAAAAAGAGGCCAATTTTACATCAAATGCACCACTTCAGTCCGTTTGCGACATTGAAGCTACCCCGAGCCTCCACCTGCCTCATGTGATCCATGAGGATCAAGGAGACTCTCTGCCCCGTATCGACAAAACCGTTCTCTTGGAGCTCATGGATGGAAAATTCAACGATCAGTTCGACAACATCCTGGTTATCGACTGCCGTTTTGAGTACGAGTATGAGGGAGGACATATCAACGGCGCTGTGAACTATAACGACAAGGAAAACCTGGCGGCGGAACTCTTTGCCAGCCCCAAACCGAGGACTGCCCTGGTTCTGCACTGCGAATATTCCGCCCACCGAGCTCCCATCATGGCCAAGTACATCCGCCATCGGGATCGCGCGTTCAACATTGACCAATATCCCAACCTGAGTTATCCGGATATGTACATCCTGGAAGGAGGCTACAGTTCATTCTTCGCCGAGCACCGAACCTTCTGTTATCCCCAGAATTACGTCGAAATGTCCGCCAAGGAGCACGAATTTGCATGCGAGCGTGGCCTTGGAAAGGTCAAGCAACGGTCCAAGCTCAACCGAGCTCAAACCTTTGCCTTCGGACAGAATTCGCCCGGAATGGAAGACAGTCCTACTGGGAGATGCCGTAACACCCCCGGCGATCGTGGTCGATTCCTTGGGTCTCCCTTCGGAGAGAGCCCCGGGTCTGCTCGATTCCCCGGACGCCGTATGCTGTCGTACTGAAACCCGGACCTTGACCTTCCGACTTTCTAACATTGCCTTACGACAGTTTGATGACATGACTTTTTATTTGAAGCGTTGCGCCTTAGCCACCGCCGACTCGTCCGGCTCTTTTCCTTTTTACATCAGCTTTCCTCATTTTACACGCCTTCAGGATATCGATCTGCACAGATCGTTTACCGATCAATTGGACACCGGGTCGGCAAAAACCCATGAAGCTCTTGGTGTAGCATGCTTCTTCTACTTTGGACCTTGAAACCACTAGGTAGGCCCCTGGATCTGCGATGATAATAGACCAGGGCCAAACCCGCCACTTCAAGGTCCTGTCCATTCGCTTGATTTTTATTTCCTTATCTTTCTTCTCGGATTCTTCCACTTTTTCGGCCGGCGCCAGTGATAGAACATTTTTGATTTTTGACGACACGACAATCTTCTCGATTTTGATTACCTGTGAATTCCTTCTCGAACCAGGAACCGATTGTCCACCACCCGATCCACCGGGTTTTCTTCGCCGCCAGTTTCGAATCTTCTTGCTCATTTCAGCGACCATTCCTTCACCACTTTTCCTTTTTCCTTTTTCCTATGTCTTCGACGACTTTCCTACCTGATTTTTTGATTCGAGTTCGGCTCTTGGTCCGAACATTCTCATGATACCACGCCATCCGGCATCTCTTTTTCTCTCTCAAACATCTTTGGGCTATTTCACCCTTACCGTCTTTTAATCCGTTCTCCCCGTTCCCTCCTGTACACTCGAGGGATCAGGTCACACTTCGCCGTACGCAGTACATATCCATGCACGGCTCGTCATGAAGGCGATAATTTCGACAAGCATGGTTGGCTTCCTTGCGAGGCCTTATCACCCGCGATCTAGGTAGATGAAAGGACCGGGATTGATCCATGCGGCTGTACATACATACATAACTACTGGCAGTCGGTACATCACTGGCATATAATGGCATAACCTGGGGAGGATACGAGGGTAAAAAGATAGTAATTTCCTTTGTTGGAATGAACAAAAACTTGATCACTATTTTCTGTGCAAGAGTAGAATGGTAGTCTGTGGTCATAGTAGCGTATACCTGGAACTGTTCTAGAAGGATGTCGGTCTCCGGGGAAATCTCGAGCGGAACGTCCCGAACGGAGATCCTTGGACTGTCTGCCTGAGGCAGCATCCCTCTCCGCCTTCATTCCGCTCCGCCTTTCCATCCCGCCGCCTTTCTCCATTTCCCTCCGTCCCACGCGCGCTCAACCATCCGAGTCGCAAATCCTTTCCCTCGGCCATGGATATCGACGACATCCTTGCCTCCGTCGACCGCGGCGATGTCTCCACGCCGGAATCCGCCAGTCTCGACCACCAGCTCCTCACGCGCTTCTGGGTCGCCGAACGCGGCGTGTCGGAGCTCCTCCCATGGCCGGGACCACTGATGGAGCGCATGATGGAGCGCGTGAAAAGACAAGTCAGTTGCCTTCCTCTACCTTCTCTATCAATACTAATTATATCTTCTCAGATTGAATCAATCGAAGACCTCGCCGCCTCCTCATCCGACCCCCTCCCCACCACGACCACCCACAATCCCACACTCAACCTCAAACTCTCAATCCTACAAACCGACCTCGCCCGCACCCAATACCTCATCCGCTCTCTCCTCCGCCAACGGCTCTCCAAACTCACCACCCACAGCATGCATTACCTCCTCCTTATCGCCTCCAGCCCCGCCAACACGAACCCCCAATCCTCCACCTCCACCTCCCAACCGCCCTCCACCCAGCAACAACCCGAAGACTCCATCCCCAACCTCACAGCCGTCACCGACCCCTCCCCGCTCTCCCCGCAAGAGGTCACATTCCTGCACGCCCACCAGACGCTTCTTGCGGGCCACTTCGGCGCCTCGTTCCTCTCCTCGTTTCCTCCGCAGCTGCGCCGTCTGGACGATAACGCCGGCGGCACGAGTATGGTGCAGGGTCCGGAGTTGAAGGAGGTGGTGTTCGTGAGGTGTCTCGTGGAGGAGGTCATGGTTGTTGTGCCACCGGGGGATGGCATCGAGGAGGAGCAGTTCGGGACGGCGATGCGAATGGGTGATGTTTGGGCGGTTCGGTGGGAGGGTATTCGGGGGGCTTGGGTGAGGGGGGAGGTTGAGATTCTATAGGGGAATTGATCTCTCTCGACCACTCTCTGTGGGTGTGGGTGTTTCTGGATACCTGCTTCATTTCTTTTCTATTTGGTCTTGTTGGTTGGTTATGGGAATGATGCATCTGCCATGCCATTTTAGCATTTTCTAGGGCGTTAGCATGGGGTGTCTACTTTCTGTTTTGCTTCTATCTGTCTGTCTTGTTGTATTTCCATTATGATGTGATAATAGATATAGATGCCTAGATGCCTTTATATCCCGAGGGTTGATTTGTTTCATCTTTGTGTCGTGCCTTGGGGCTTTACATATCTGAATTCCTTCACGGAGCTCATCTAAATTTATATTTGAAATATAGATAGGGAGTGCCTGATATTGATCGTCTAGATTGATTGATGTGTAGGTTGTATGTATGAAAAAAGGTAACTATGTATCTTATACAAATGGTGTGATGGTTTATTGCTCGTATGTCTTAAGAGTGAGCATAATCAATTAAATCTATCAACTACCTACCTACCTGCTCAAGATATGATCGAGAACATTACAGAAAACTTACTAGGTTGTATGTCAAAATCCCGTCTTGAGAAGAGGGTCTTCAGGGAGGGCTCTATACTCTTCCGCCTTAAATACATAATGTAATAGATTTCCTACAAAGAAGGATTCAACACAGTGAAGTTCTTCCCATGAACTTTGAAATGTATTTTACTGCTTTTTTCCCCTCTCTTTTCTTGATGAAAAATGAAATTGATCACTCCCACACCGCTTGTCTCTGATCGTTCACATCATTCAGCTCATCCCAGAAGAGCAAATCATAATAATTCATATTGCTGGTCATGCATCGCCGGAAGCTCGTCGATCCATCCATCTACTGACCATAAAGGTGCAGATAGAAGAGGAAGAGAAAACAAGAAAAGGAAGAAAGAAAACAGAAAAACAACGACCAGGCCAAAATCTATGTGAACAGGAAAATAAAAATGAAGCCTCATTATGCGCCCTTCACCGCTAAGCTCAATATGTTTCAAACCCACAAAGTTATACCGAAATAACAAGGTTTCCCAGATCGATGGGAAAACGAGATCAATGAATCAAGGCTAAAAAGGAAGAAAGAATGGAAAAGGAAAGGGGGAAAGAACTCGGAGGGATTCTCAGGCGAGGTATCCGTAAGTCGGAGGATCTTCTCCCACCCGATCCAGGTATTCGCGGTCGATCAAGCTTTCAATACGTCGCTTGATCATGTTCACGTCAGGGACGAAGCGGGATGCGAGTTGGCTAAGGACTTCGCCGACAAGCATGGTGTGCGCGAGTTGTTTGCGTTGCCTATTGCACGTTAGCTGAATGTTTGAGGAATAGGACCGAATGCAGAGCAGCTTACTTCATGATTCGCACGATGGCTGCCTCGACCGTGGAATTACGCTCTTCGGTCATGCGCTTCTCCGTGTCCTTTCTCTGGTCCTGGTTTTCGACCTTGTTGGCACCGCCGCTGACAACGCCGATGCGGACCTTCATGTACGGGCTGTGGAAGTCGTTGTTGAAGAAAAAGGCATCGTTAGGTTTCACATCCTTGCTCATCGGTTCCTTCTTCAGGACTCGTGTCTTAGGTGCAACAGCCAAGGATTGCAAATTTCGGATCAGGTCATGTTCAGGGATGAGCGTCCGAGCTTGAATCTCTTCAAAGGTAAGAGACTTGTCGGCGGGCAAGTCGTTGAATAGCAACAGAATGATCATAGCGTAGGTGGAAACATTGAGCTCATGGCGTTGAGTCTTGCCGTTGGATCTCTGGAAGGTCGCGCGAATATCGGCCGAGCCCATGCTGGTTTGCCACGAGAGCTTCCGGCCGCTGTGCTTGCCCAGGTAGAACTTCTCGAAGCTCTGCTTGACACTCTCAACTTCCCTCGGGATGATGCAAGAGGACTGGGCGGCGCCGTCACCCTTGGTGGCGGACATCACTTCCATCGGCCACATGGTACTGGTAAGAACATTGACCTCCAGATCGATTGGTTTGCGGCTAGGGTCTCCTGCCTGTCGAATGTGTTCTTTGTAACTGGCACACAGATCCTCGGATATTGTCATGTCCTTAAACATGGACTCTAAACGCTGCGTGAACTGATTGCCAACCTCCATCTTCATCTTCGAGATCATCTGCCGTTCTGCATCCATGCTGACTGCGCGCTTCATCAGCAGACGCCGAGACAGATGCTTCTTGTAGTATGCTTCGAAAAGATCCTTGTCCTTGACATAGCGCAGGAGCGTAATGCCATTATCAAGGAGAGAGTCAACCTCGCTTTCGGTCTTGCCCTTAATACCCTTCTTCAGGTTCTCATCGAAGAAAAGAGACAAGTATTCCGAGCTGCGTGAGTTTGTATTGATAAACTCCGAAAAGCTAGTGGTGATAGCACTTTGCATGACGTGATCGGACTGGAACGAGTTCTGCCAGATCTTGTCGAACTTCGTTTTGAGAGCCAAGATATCGTCCACCCACTTGATAGCAGAGACCGTCTGCTGATTCACAGGCCGTTCTTTCTCCTTCTCCGGTTTCTTTCCACCATCGGCGTTCTTCTCTGTCGGCTTTGCCTGGGGTGCTTGGGCGGACGCTGCAGAAGCATTAATCTCTCTTCCCAGGTCCACTATGCGCTTTTGAACAGCCGCAGTCAGAGGGGTCTTCTTGCTGTCCACTCGCGCGTTGAGTGTATAGACACTTCGCAAGACATCCAAGCGGTCATTGTCGATCATATTCTTGACGCCAGTCCCTTCGAGTTGAACAACCTCGGCAATGTTGTTGCGGATCAGCTCATTGTCCAGGACGTCTCTGATTTTCGACTCGGACAGAGGGGATAGCGTGTATAGACAGCGTTCCTTTTCTTCCGCTATGCGCTCGGAAGCGACTTTACAGAATGTAGCCGCGTCTGCCGTATCCAGCAATCGTTTGCCTTCCGCTCGATAGAAGGCTCGGCTTGTCTCGAGAAAAGCTGGTTCGAAGATAGTCAGATAGAGTCTCGATGACTCCTCCTCCGTGATAGTCTCGTAGAGACCCTCAAGCATGTAGACGCAGTGTCGAATCAATGTCCGGTCTATGATATGCCCTGACCGTTCTAGCTGGATCATGAAGAGTATTGTGGATTCCAGGACGCTAACGACGCTCGTTTCTAGATCCGACCGGATTTGGGCTCGGAGGACAGAATCACGGAACAGAGCCATGGCGGCAACATAGATCGATGGCCGTCCCTTATCCGTAGAAACCACTCGGTCCTATTTCAACGAAACTCGTTAATTCTTCCCATCCTAGATAGCCATTCAATAACACATGTGGACTTACCATGTACATGAGAACGTCGGTGATCATGCTCATGCATAATTGATGGTCCTCCCACACTTCCCTGAGAGCCGCCAAAAACTTCTCACCTGCCGCCCTCTTCTCGTTTGCCTGATCTCCCGCATCTCCAGTGTCCTTTGTCAGAAGAAGTCCAGGAGCAATTGCCTCCGTGACTCGCTTCTGGACATCGGTATCTAGCCATTCCTGCTCCAACTCCTTGACTTTTTCGTAAAGATCATTACCGCGCGTCATCAAAACAGTATTATAGGCATTTCGATATAGCTGCTCGAAGGATAGGCTGGAGGCGTTCTTGGTGTGGATCATCTTAAGAGACGTGGAGAGGACATTCCAGTAGGTTTCGAATTCGTCAGTTTTGCTCGAGGTCAGGCCCTACAAGTAGATAGTTAGGATAGGCACTCTGAGACCTAGACCCCCAGGATATAAGTCATGGAATTTCTCTGCCGTTGCCCGAGTATCCGTCGCCATCGGAGAGTTCTTCCACGAGGATATTGAGCACATCCACCAACACGATTCCAGCTTGAAAACGGAACATAGGGGAAATATCTTACCCGTCGGGGGGCCCGAATCTTGTGTCTTGCTCTCATAGCCATGCTGCTAAGCAATGGTGAACTGCCATCCACCTGCACTCGCGAAGACCTCAGTTGAGCGGGGCTAATTGAGGATGAGAGCTCTCAGACAAGGCAATAATGAACTGATCACGATCCAGACGCAGACCGACCGAGTCCTTCTGGCAGGGAGTTCTCTTGGCAGGGACCACCAATGAGAGCACCGATTCACTGGATTCGCAACGAGCCTCGAGGACTGGAAGGGGAAGATAAAGCTTCTCATTGACGCCGCGGAGGAACACCGCAGCTGGAACAACGTAATTCCGGCGCAACTCCGGCCAAACTCCGTCATCGAGACGGATCTTCTTTCCTTACTTTCCTGAACATTCCTCTGGCAACTTTCGTCCCTTAATCTGCGCCGGAATACTCCAACACTCACCACGCTCAATTTCACCATGCGCTCTGCATTCTCGCTCCTCCGTGGCCTTCGTGCCACTCAACACTCTTTCCCTCGCACCGTCTCTCCCTCGACTTCACGATCTCTCTCACACTTGACCTACCGCTCGACTCGTCCCTCCCTCGCCTCGTTCTCTTCTCCCCTGAACATCCAGAACCGAGCACTCCTCCCAACATCTACGACTACCATCCGCCAAAACTCAAACTCCGCCCCCGCCAACAAACCCCTCACAGACCAGGAATCCAGCGCGGCCCGCGACGCCGAGAATGAAGAACAGAACCGCAAGCGCCGCGAAGAGGAACCCGCCTACCAGCTCGTCTTCACCTGCAAGCCGTGCGGCGAGCGCTCGGCGCATCGTGTCTCTAAGCACGGGTATCACCGCGGCACAGTCCTGATTAAGTGCCCGACGTGCCAGAACCGCCATGTCATGAGCGACCATTTGAATATCTTCTTTGACAAGAAGACCACGATAGAGGATATCTTGGCCGAGAAGGGTGCAAAGGTCACGAAGGGGTATGTGGATGGAGATATGGAGTTCTGGGATGATGGTGTGGCGCATAAGAGATCTGGCTCTGGGGAGTCGTCTTCGTGAATGATTTGATTCTGGGGAATGATTTGGAATGATTTGACTACTGCTGGTGTTTTGTCAAAGTTGGCGCTTTTCGTGCGCAAGGTACAGAGAAAAGTGATTGGCGTTAGATTGATTGATTTTGTCCTAGATACCTTGGCGATGTTGTACATTACACACTCTGCTCCGATATGTACTATAAACTAGCTTGAAGATAAGACGGGGGAAGAAAAAGAAGTGAACATAAGATATAAATATTTTGTACTATGAAATGAAAATCTATCCCAGATCTCCGAACTCCGGACTTTTATTTTGTATATTCACATCACAAAAACATGCTCGCAAAAGTGATCAGATAATAGACCCAAGCAGGGCTCGGCTTACCAGCCCCGTCTCTTGGACCGGTGCTCCATTCCCCTCTCCCGTCTCTTGTCATGCTTCCGGTCGTTTCTGCGCTTCTTGTCACGTTCATATTTCTCTGGCTCGGTTACGGCCTCGATGCGTCTCTTGGCTCGGCGGCCTTCCCGTCGTTCCTTGATGGATTCTTGGACAAGGGCCATTTGGTTCACGAATTCCGTGGTGCCCAGCTTCTTCTGGATGAGGTCAAGGACCTCGTGGCAGCTGGACACAAGAGCCTTGTACGAGTTGCGGAAGCCCTCGTCGGATGAACGAGGAGGTGGAATTGACGCGTCCGTCAGGTGTTGAAGAGGAACAAGGATAACGGAAAGGGACGGTTTGATCTGCTCGGCCTCGAGATGCCGGAAAAGAGCAGCCAGGAGTCCGATGGAGGCGGTCTTGGGGATCAAAGCCGCTGCCCGGGTGTTGATGAACTCTCGGCGGAGGGTAGAAGACGCTTGGACGAAGATATAATGAAGGGCGGTCTGTTCTTTCGGCGTCGTCTCTTCCTCATCGGCATCCTCGTCGCTGTCGCTATCGTCCGAGTCGGCTTCCTGGTTATCTGTCTTGGAGATCATGAGGCCATTTTGGGCACAGCAGCGGGCAAGGAAGATGATGTTGCGCACGCTCTGCATGGCAAGCTCCTCGCTGACGTAGGGAGTACGGAGACAGCGCAAACCGGCACGGATCAGATGAATCATCGCGTCCTTGTCTAGCGCTAACCCGGCGGTACTGGGCAAGGGAATTGAACCGTAGCCGGTTTCCGCATTCGATCGGGCAAGGTCTGCAAGCCAAGTGCCAACAAGGTTCGCGGCGCAGGTCTTGACCCAAGCATGGGGGTAGAAAAGACTCTCCCGGATAGAGAACCAGATGTTAGCACAGTCCTTAGAAATCGCAATCGAAGGGACGGCCTTGCAGATCTTGGCGAAGAGCTGGAGCGAGAAATAGAGCGTTTGCCAGTTCTCCGTGCCCTCGGCTTCAAGGATAGGCTTCATCACAGACGGTAGAGTCTCTCTGACGAAACGAGCTTGCTTCTCTTTTTCTGTCTCTTCCGACTCGAAGTAAATCCTCATGGCCTGCAAACCGGTGCTGGTCAGGAGCATATTGTCCGTCTGCTCAAGCCACGAGCGTAGGGGCGTGAGGAAGGTCTTCATCGTCTCCCTGTCCGCCCTGCTGTAGAACTGGCTTAGCAGAGCACCTGCCATCTCACGACACTCGGGTGCGTCGTCATTCGACATGACAATAACGATGGGCAGGAAGAAAGTGCCGACAATGTCTTGAGCCAGCTCATGTCCTGTTTTGGACAGCAACAAATTGATCGCTTCCATAACGGACTGACGGCCTTCGGGATGCTTGTATTCAAGGTTTTTGGCCATGAAACTTAATTGTTTCGTCCACCGGTTCTTAGCCTGAGGGTACTCGAGAAGGAAGTGAACGTAAACACCGCGTGCGAGATCGCGCGCAGAGCGAGTCTGGTTGGTAACCATCATAGAAGCGATATGGTCGACCAGCTCGTACATTTCAGGCACCACAAACTTTCGAGCCATGACAGCCCGGATGAAGTTGAAAGTCACGCCCTGGCGATCCGGCTCCTCGATGTCAGATGTGAGACGCTGGAGAAGGTAGGCAAGGTGTCCGTCCCTGAGTTTGGTGCTCTTTCTCTCCCTTAGCATGGCGGATATCAATTTCAAGGATGCCTGCGCGGCTTCGGTATTCGTGCTGGGGGCTTCCTTGACCACCTTCACGGCTTCAGTGAAGTACACGTGGGAGTTGCTGTCGAGCTCGGGCAAGGGAAGTTTAATGATTGTTGATAGCAACCGAAGGGCCGATACCTTTACTTCTTCATGCGATTGGACCAATGCGTCGCCAATAACCGGAACGAAGCCGGAGATGTTCGCCGGAGTGAGTAGAGAGTCGAACTTGTTGATAGTTGAGCGCAGAATATCCAGCGCAAAGCGGGTCAGCTTGTAAACATGAGAAGAAGTTGTATCTTTCTTCTCGCCCCGTTTTCTAATCCGGACCAAGAAGCGCTCCTCCGCGGCGGAAACATCGGTTCGTTTCTCGTTTTGCTTTGGGTCCTTGTACGAATCCTTGATGACTTCGTAGCAAAACACCAGAAGTTCACGGCTTTCCGCACCGGGGTTTCTCAGAAGACCGACTCCAATTCTCCGTAAAAGCTCGTCGACCTTTCTCACAATGCTGGAATTCAGCTTCTCCCGGAGGAGCGACTGGAGAGGCTGGATTAGGCGAGCCAGATTGCGAACAGAGGCGTTCTTTGCGAGCAGTTCCATCGAGTCGTAGCTCTTGCTACTCTTCACTTCCTTCATTTTACTGATATAATCTGCCGCATCCTTTTCTTGACCAACGGTTCCGAAAGTGTCGTCCATCACCACCGCTGTGAGATCTCCCAAGCAGTAATCCAGGTCTCCTTGTTTAAATTCATCTGTCGTCACCACGAGCATGGAATGGACGGTGAAAGAGAGAACGTGGAGCTGGTAACCCTTTGTCAGGGTACCTCTGAGCTCCTTGAGAATATAAGCAAAGTAGACAGGCCCCAGGAGCAGGGCGATATCGTTAATTGTCTTCCTCGCCGTGTCTCGAGCGTCTTGTGATTTGCTCTTAAGAGTGTTAGAGACATCCGATAGAACAGGCGGTAGTCGAATGGCCATTTCTGCCTCCGGCAGCAACTTCAAAAGTTTGATACATGTCACCGCGGCAGGTAGTCGCAGACTCATCTGCGCTTCATCCTTGTGGTGAATGAAGTCTGTGAGGAAAGGGATGAAGTTCGTGGTCAGTTCAGTCGCAACCTTGGCCGCAGAGGGCAAGGTTCGAGCTAGGTTGCATTTCGAAGAAGTCGTAAGTTCGACTCCTTCCATTCCATCCTCGGTGGCTTCTTTGGGCACGCTCTTTTGGCTCATAGCGGTCGTCAAGGCATCGGACATCCTACCCAGGAGCCTGAGAATGTTCCTTTCCATCTCTGACTTGCTCTGCATGTATCCACGGTACCTGCGGAAGATAGCCCTAAATTGGCTCCAGTCTAATGATTCGGCAAGAGCACCGATTGTGGCCACGGCTTCTGCGGTCAGGTTATGGGCACTCTCCTCGACTTCTTCGTCGAACACAAAGTGCTCATTGAGAGGAATGAAGATAGTGCTGATGTTCGAGGCTTGCAGTTTGCCTTGAGCTGCCTCGCTAGCAAGACGGCGCAGAGCTCGTAGACGGCGATGTTGCTGGATATGGAGGACGTTGTTAAAGAAAGACGCTTCTTCATCATCGCCGACAAGCAACACGTGCATATCTTGCACAGCAGGTCTGTCAGGGTTCAATTTGACGAAATAACCGAGAGCTGAGACAAACTCTGACCGAACCAACTCAGACTTTTGCCGGATACCACCTTGCAAGGCCGGGAACAAGACATCCCGGACCAAAGGCTCGAATTCCTCCGCATCGTTGCCGTTGTTGGCGGCGGCTCTCTCAATGAACCTTTTCAGACCAAAGGAGGAGCTTGATCTGATGGCGAGTTCATCATCGTCTTTGGCATGGTATAGCATATTAAAAAGCAGGGGCCGCCACTGCTTAGCGTTGAATGTTTCCCACAGGCTCTCGTTGATCTTTCTGAAAGCCTGCAGCCGTCGTTCATAATCCACTTCGAGCTTCTTCATTGACCTAGAGTTCAGGTCCTCACAAAGGCTTGCTACTTCAATGAGTTCAAGATCATGCTTTGAAAGTGCCGCGAAAACCCTAGACAGGACCTCTCGGTTCGCATCGTCCCTAAAGTAGTCGAACATGGAAGAAACAGCCTCAAAGACCTCATGAAGAATCTTCGAATCTTCTTGGGGATTAAACAAGGGCAAGAAGTGCTCCAAACTGCGTAAAAGACCGGATTTTGTCCTCGGCGAAACTCGATCGGCGGGCTGGCGAAGGAGATAGGTCGTAATGTTGACCAAGCGCGAGGTCTCTCCCGAAGATTCCACACATGGGGCAAGAAGAGATAGAGTTTGGACACCTGAATTCAACACATGTCGCGATGGGCCTCGCTTCAGAAGGCTACCGAGATGAGACAGAGAATGCTCGATATAAGGTGCCAGAACTGCGGACCGGATCTCCTCCGCAGAGAAATCACTCATTGTCTCCTGCTCTTCAAGCTGCTTCCCAGTGGAAAGGTTGATCAATGGGGTCAAAATCTCGTCGAGGACAAAGATCTTGACCTCATCACGAGCCGACTCCACTCCCAGACAGTCGATAATTTTAGTCAAGAGAGTATTGTTGTACTCGACGAGATAGAAAGAGGATCTAGGAGCCAAAGCCCAAACTCGGAACAACTTCAGAAGCCCAGAAACGCCTTGCGTAGTTTCTGTCGCAAAGTTATCCAGCCTCGGGTTGACAACTTCGTCGAAGATGACACAGACATAGGGAGACCAGTCTCGGTCCTGCGAGATAGAGAAAATAAGTTCAAGGCACCTGATGCACGTGTATCGAATGTTGCGCAACACTGTCAAAAGTCGTTCTCTCTGCGGATCGGCGGCCTCAGTCGTTTGTTCTTTTCCTAGCTCACGACACGCCTGGACCAGACAGTATAAGACAACATCCATTGACTGTTGCGCATAAGGCGCCATTCGGCTTTGAAGCGTCTCAAACACGGTCTCAATCATTCTTAGCAAACCCATCTGCCTTCTCGGGCTGGTGATCTCGCGAGAAAGAGCCTGATTGTCAACCTTGCCATCTTGAACCAAGTGGACGTCACTGAGAGGTCCGAAGGATACCTGCATGAAGAGTTCAAATTCTCGGTCAGGCAACTGTGATAAGGTTCTCAGGATAGCCTTCCTGCGTCCTTGTTGGCCTGCTTGGGTCGAGCTCGCACCAGCCTTTGAGATCATCCGACCATACAGAAGTCGGAGAAGAACGGGGATAAGATCACCCCTATGGGCTTCGTCAATGACGCTATCTTCACCTCCGACATGGACAAAAATCGAGAGCTCATCCTTGAATCGGGCTTCGTCAAGAATGTTCAACAGGTTTTCTCGGTAAGGTGTGACACTAGGAGTCTTCCAAGTGAAAAGGGCTTTCAGGGTAGACTTCTGGATTTCGGAGTTTCCGTGACAGAGCAAGCCAAATAACGCATCGTGGACCTCAGGCGCTCTGTAAAGAACCTTAGGGTTGACAAATTGGCCTAGAAGCCCTAAGAAAGCCAGTCGATCGTGGAATCCCCATGTGATATAACCAGATTCCTCGGACTTGTCGTTCGTACCCGACGGGACATCTTCTTCATCCCGTGTTGCCCAGGAAAGGAACAGTGGAATAACCTGGCGGGAACGCTTTTCAGCGATATTAGGGATAGCATTCAAAACTCGCAGCGCGTGGGTCCGAGGAGAAGGAGGAACGACTTCGGAAAACCTGTGGTCCTTCTCGAAGTTCCGTAGCAGAATCGAAGCGGGCTGTTCGAGACTCTCAAAGTTTTTGGCACAAAGGTGCTCAACCTTGGCGGCGTTGTAGCATTGGAAAGCCCCTGCCGCAAAGCTATCCACGTTTTCCTCGTCCTCAGGTTCTTCCGTGGACACTGAGCCTCTCTCTTCGAGCCACTGAATGGCCAAATCAGACACAATCCTTTCCCCCTCTGGCTGCTCGCTCACTATCTTCAGAGCAGCAGCGGAGTCATCCCACAAGGGGGCCATCTTCTTCGAGAACAACCCAAAGCAGAAATTTGGGATCAATCGAGGCATCCACCTGCGTGAAACGACTTGGGGGTAAGCAATGGAAAGCTTGCGGACCTGCATTGACAGGTATCGGGCGGATTGAAGTGTTAGGGGGCTCTCTTCAATCTCGACAGCCACGGAAATCAACGAAGAATCCTCGCCCGAGGCCTCAACTATCGCCCGCAGAATCTTCAGCGAGAGGAGCCTCAGATGATGGGATGGACCGCCCAGGTTGGTGATTAAAACGTCTGCAAATTCTTCCAGCGAAGGCTTCTTCAGATCAAGTTGCTCAGAGCATGTCAAGACGTAAGAAAGCGTTGCCTCAAGGAAAACATCCAAACGCGAATACTTGGATGCAACTGCACTTATTTTGTCCCAAAGATCTGGGTCCACACCCCCTGTAAGTTTTGCCAATTCAACGTAACTCTTGAAACCCTGTCCAAGGAAGAATTTTGTCGCAGGTGACAAGTCGGAATCAGTGCTCTTTAGGGTGCGGTCCAATTGATCATGGAAAATCCGGCTCATTTCGGGTAATAGTGATGGTTCTGTGGATAAAGACAAGGCCGTGGGAAGCTGAGAGTAGGCGTTAAGAAGAGTAACGTCAGTGGCGCTGGGCTTGTTGTTGCTCAGAGTCTCCTTGATTCGATTCTTCCAGGGACCGGGGCAGGTAATATAGCCAGGTTTAGACGCGTCGGATGTAACGCAGCCAGTCTGGCTTAAGCGCAGTAGGGCCAAACAAAGCTCATACTCGCGCTCCTGCCACGAGGCGTTGACAAACCTAGAGTTCAGACGATTAGATTACGGGGGGATTCAACATGGCTCCATACATGACTTACTTTTGGAAATAGGGCAGAACAACGCTATGAAACCTTTCTGCGCCCCACTCCGAAAACATGGAGCAGAACGATAAGAAGTGCTTGGAAAGTTGGTCGCTCGTAGCAGCTTCCATTATGGAGCGCATGAACGGTAGCATTTCGTCCATGGGAGCGAGTTGAAGCGCATAGGCGACAGCTGTGAGAAGCTGGGGTGCAGCCTCTGCATACGCCTCAGACGCCGCAGATGCCGACTGCAAAAGAAGAAGCAAGGTCTGGAAAACGGGTTTCCAATTCTGCACACGCGATCCTTTGCGGACAGAGATGCAAAGGAAGAGTAGACGGCAGCCGGCGTTCGCTTGCTGCTTCCCGGCCTTTCGACCGTTCTTTTCAGCATAGGATATGACCGTGCCCAATATCGGTTCGAATGTCTGGGAAGTTGTGCCATGCATGACGTTGACTAGAACACCGCTGACGACTTCTAAGCCCAGGCTGCTCTGCAGACCATCGTCTGTAGCAATGTTGTCCATTAAACAGCTGAAGATATCGGTTCCGTTTGAGTGGAGCCCGTACTTGATGCCTTTTATGGCATCAGAGAACATGGCCATCAATCCTTCCTTGTATATTTCGACACTCTTAGCTTCCGCTTCCGTCTGTCGCAAATCGTGTAGCAAGAAAGATACTGCACGCTGAAGCGGCGTGTTGTTCTTGTAGTAAACCAGGCCCGCCTTTCGAATGAGGAAGGAGATGGATTCGGCGGCGAACCGGGCCACAAAAGGCTTCTGTCGCTCCTTTCCCAGGTACGGAGTCATTATGCCCAACAGCTGTCTCAAGTCCGGAACGAGAAGTCGTGAAAGGAACTTGAAAATCCAGGCGAGACACGTAAAACTCCATTCAACGACTTCGACTTCCGGATGAGTGGCAGCAACGGACGCTACCAAGCTCACCGAAGTAGCAAAGTGCTTTTCGAATCGTGCGCCCAAGTCCCTCGCAAACTGAGCCAGAAGACTCAGCAGCGGCTCCATCGACAGTTGATCTCGTTTCTCAATGAATTCCACCAGCAGGTCCATTATTTTATCCTCGTAGTACAAGATCTGGGCAAGACTTTCGCATAGCGGATTGACTCGGCGAACAAACTTTGAAAAATTATCGGACAGGTTCAATTCGGTCCAGTGGTCGAAGGCGGATCGAAAGTAGGACGAGGTCTCATCATCCTCCTCGCCGAAGTTCGGTTGGCGCACGCGATGGATGGGATCGATTTTCAGTTTTGCGACACGCTGCGAAAACGGCTCGAATCGATGCGACTTGGTCGTCTCTGTTCCCTTTTTTACGCGCTTCACGGGCTTAGACCGCGAAGCGGACGACGCTGCTACCATCTTGAAAGCGACGGTATCCCGACAAGGCAGCGCCGGTTGGGGTATCGTATGAAATTTGTGTCGTGGAGAGACTCGACAGTTGTATTTTCTTGTCTATCTCATCGACAAAAAAATTCATCGGCGGCGCCGCAGCTTTCTTCCGGTGCGGAGATTAGCGTCGGTCTTTGCGGATGGCGCTAGGCCATATGCGGACTAGGGCGTATATCCCTTATCTATCTCTACCATTGGCCCCTCCCTTCCTCACATTCCAAGCACAGGCTGTACTCTCAGAAAGAAATGCAATGCCACTCACTGATATGCTGCATGATGTTGGTACCTACGCTCATGAACAAAGCATGTGGTCTCAGTGGTGGTCATCTCTATGATGTCAACCAATCGTTATTCTAAGTGTCGCTCGAAATAATGCAAAACGAACGGCCACGGATGAACCAGCCAACACATCGCCATCTCTCACCGCCCATATGATACACAAGCAAGGTCTTCCATGCAACGTCTCTGTGATTATCACTTCACCTCTCCCTTTCAGCCATGGATTCAGACCTGAGATTCATTTAGCTTGTATCCTATTGGGAGACCTATTGCAGCAAAATTCACCATGGAAGGTTCAGAATCTCATAGTTCGCCCAATACTCGCCTTGCTGCCCCTCGGCACAGCTTGTCTCGCGAACTGTAGCATTGGAATCTCCACCCGTCGAGGCTGCAAGTGGTTTCTTTTCGGCAAGATCCCCGATTTTCTCTTTGACTTTCTTGATTTTCTCGAGATTTCGCTGCATTAGTAACCTTCAAGGGGTTTTCAATTTCAGGAAGAAGACATCGAGCAAGCATCTGCTGTTCGTTCTCTGAAAATGTTAAATGCAACGATACGGATGAATATATCTCGTCTGTCTTCCCAGTGCCACCAGCGTTCTCAATTGCGAATGACTGTTCTGGTGGACTCTCTTTCCATTCGAGGGTATGAATGCCAGGTTGGTATCTTGGGCTGTGGTGTGGCGTCGCTTTCGTCGACCAAGTCCCTTCAGCCAGTTCATTGATCACTTCATTTCCATTCCAAAGGTTGGGTGGTGGAGAGGGTCTCGTTCTCCCTGGCTGGCGCGGCAGAAGGCACATCCCGTTGAGATCAGGGGTAGGGTCAATGCTCCTGATCGGGATGGCAGGCTTTAGTCGGCAGTCTTTGACACAATAAGTGCATTTAATGCCATTTGTAATAAAAATTGAAAGTCGAAACCTACCATCCCGACCTGGAGCCAGTCGCATTTGTCCACTTGGGATTTGGAAACTGACAGCGAATCCCGTAGGCGGAACAGTTCGTGCATGGCATTCTTATATCTGTGTCACATCGAACCTATTGATCAATGGACGATGTTTAGCCATAGGGTGAGTCGAGGTTAGATTGAATGGAAACTTTCGTTTGGCCATACTATTCGACTACGGCATATCTAGTTTGAATGGAGGTTATCAAAGGCTCGACAATGAAGTCTTTTCATGGATCACAAGCAAGTGCATACCTCGCAAGCACGTGCAGCCCGAGTCCTGGTGCGGGTGTCAGAAGCAATCATTTAAATCAAATGCATGTCCTTTTGTAACATCTCAGGGAAGCATTTGAAGATCCACGTACCTGATATATTGGAACCCCTTCCTCTGGCCAGCCTCGGCGCTGGAACTTTTAGGCCGCTGCATCATTCTTTCAGGGACTTTGATATATGGACTCTCTGAGGGATACCACAAAACAATGTACTCCCTATACCAACCCACAAGCTGTACGAGAGCCAACTTATGTAGGATCCTTACCAATACTTCATTTCATGCCTTGGCAGTCAGACATCCATGTCTAATCGGCCGGGGGTTGATTCCCGAGCGATACCGACTTATAGATTTATAGTCTCGGAAATCATTTGGTGCTGATGGAACTAAGCTAAGACGGAATACCTATCAAACCCAAAGTATCCCCATTGAAACCCGAGCCAAATTCCGATATCAGTATTTGAAGCTTGACAATGTTTTATAAGCCGGTCAGGTATTAACAAAAATTTGCTGCCGAATAGGTCATTCTCGATCGACTTTTGGCAGAAATACTCTGCCTCATAGATAACTGCGCCGCATGAATACCATTTCATACTAGATAGAGTCGTCATGTATATTTGGGGCGGTGGAGTCCATATCACACGGTATATCGAAGCTATAGCGTCCCTGCGATCCTCAACCTAGGAGAATTTTGATTAGTATGAAGACTTCATTACTACGTGAGTAGAACAGTTTGATAGATCATGTCCAATCAATAGATTAATCCAATGCGTTGAAGAATCTGGCATTTGTTAACCTAGAATACAGATCGATTAGTCATGTCCTGCCAAGCCCTCACGTGCTGCCCTCACCGCATCCGGCAGGTGGATGAAATTCACGGCAAAATAGGTAATCGAATTCAGTTATGCTACTCCGTACTTATTCTGTACTTCTAAGATTAATATCACCACTTCTGCGACACATAATCACTGAGGATTATGTGGATCTCATCCCTTGCACCATAAAAACTCCTCTTCATCAGACTCTGCATTAGCATTCGAATGATGACATCCAAAATGTGAGTCCAAAGAAACTTTTATATTACATAACACACCAATAATCTAACACTATCCTTAGAATCGTGCTCGGTGATGTGAACTGCGAGTTCCGCGAGGTGTTCACGAAGCTTGCCAAACTCCATGTCAAGCAGAATTTCGCACTTGCCATTATCACCGGTGACCTTTTCGGCGACTGCTCGACCGAGCATGAACTAGATGAGGTGACGGCATTGCTGAATGGGAATACCAACGTCCCACTCCCAACCTATTTTGGGCTGGGTAATCGCCCTCTCCCCACCAGGGTGATCGAGAGAATCGAGGCCAACGACGAAGTCTGCCCTAATCTGTTTTTCCTGGGAAGACGCGGCACCCTCAAGACGGCAGAAGGCATCCGCATCGTTGCTCTCGGAGGTAATTTCGAGACAGAAAACAAGTCGACCGACAAGTTTCACCCTGCCTACACAGAGTCAGATGCCCGATCTCTCAACGGTGCCCACCATGCCGACATCCTCGTCACTCATCAATGGCCCAAGGGCATTCGCACCGGCTCCAAGGTATCATTACCAGAGGACGCAACGCCACCGCAGGAGATCCAGTGTATCGCAGATCTCTGCTCCACCCTCAAGCCTCGCTACCACCTGACCTCCTCCGGCAACTTTTTCTATGAGCGCGAACCTTTCTTCCACATGCCCACCGAAGACAGCCCCGACGCGAAGCCCCTCACCCGTTTCATCAGCCTCGCATCCTACAGCAAAACCTCCAAGCAGAAATGGATGTACGCATTCACTCTCGACCCTAACGCTCCTCATCCCTTGACCGTCCCCGTTGGCGCCACCGCATGCCCTCTCCCAACTCCCCAAGCCAAGCGGAAGCCCTTCGCCAGCCAAAACGAGTCCTATTCCCGCTTCGCCGTCGACGACGATCACTCCCACCGTCCCCGGAAGCGAGCCCGCGCGCCTCCCCCAGGCCCCGACCAGTGCTTCTTCTGCCTCTCCAACCCCAACATCGCAACCCACCTCATCACCTCCATCGGTAACGAAAGCTACCTCACCACCGCAAAGGGACCCCTCCCCACGTCCAAAACCTTCCCCGCCCTCGGCTTCCCCGGCCACATGCTCATCATCCCCTTCACCCACTCCCCCACCCTCAACAGCATCTCCGACCCGGAATCCCGCACCGCCACCTACTCCGAGATGCAGCGCTACCGATCAGCTCTGCACTCTATGCTTCACCGCCGCGCCTCAGGCGCCCTCGGCGCCGTCACCTGGGAAGTGAGCCGCGGCAACGGCATCCACGTGCACTGGCAGTTCCTGCCCGTACCGTCGGCGCTCATCAAGCGCGGCCTCGTCACCGCCGCCTTCAAAGTCGAGGCCGAGAACCTCAAGTATCCCAAATTCGAGTCCGCCTCGAACACCGCCGACCCCAGCGCCGAGGCCGGCGATTTCTTCCGCCTCTGGATCTGGGATCCCCCCTCCGAGGGATCAGAGACCGAGCCTCAAGACCAAGACCAAACCGAAGCTGAGTCACAACCAGACAGCCCAAAGGCTCCTGGGACTGAAAAATCCATCATTTTGCCTTTGGGACCGGAATTCCGGTTCGATTTGCAATTCGGGCGCCGAGTCATGGCTAAGCTGATGGAATTGGAGAAGCGCATTAATTGGAAGAATGACGTGCAGTCGGAAGCAGAGGAGGAGAAGGATGCGACGGCATTCAAGGAAGCCTTTAAAGAATTTGACTTTACGCTAGAGGAATAGATAGCTTGGAACTTATCCCCCTTCTTCGTCTTCTTCATGAACTCATTGGTTTGGTTATTGTCGGGCTGCACTATGTATATCCATGTATTCTATAGGATTTAGGGATTGAATTTGAATGTGGAATTGGAGCTCAACAGATTGGTGAATGGCTAGTTCGCACATATAATTTTTCTCTGCCCAGAGAACTAGTTATCATGTGAAATTCAGGACAAACAGTCAACAACGCATACAATAACAAAACAAATGTCAATACCTAAAGCATGAGCAGAAACGAGATATGAAAACCACGTTCTCAAAAAGATATCATTCAAATTGCACGTTACCGATATTCAAAAGTCAAGCCCAACACCCTGTTCCAAATTTTGTTCACATAGGATAACAATCACATAAATCCGCCCCAAGACTCCGTAATTTGAAGATCGCCCGTTTTGTTTCAATATACATATACATATGAAATAGCCAAAATCTTCGAGCGATCAAAAGCATAAAATCCAAGAAAGGTAACATAAAAAATACAAGACGCCGCCGAAGGAAGGAATTGTTTCATTCAGGGACAGTTGTCACCGGTTATACGTCTCGGTAAGAGTTAGGAGCCGGCTTGCGTCCACTCTGCAGCAGACTCGGGGGCCGGCCCGAGTCGGCGGTCATTTCGTGAGGAGCAGCCGTAGCAGTGAATGGCGGAGGCGGCGACGAAGGAATACTTGGGGACATAGCCTGATAGACAGGTGCCTGGTTAAATCCTGGGGAGGGTTGTCGGTATGGGACCGGGCGAGGACCATCCATGGGAGAGATAGACTGTCCCATAGACGCCTGGTTGAAGCCTGGAGAGGGTTGCCGGTATGGGATCGGGCGAGGACCATCCATGGGAGAGATAGAATGTCCCATAGGCGTCTGCGCGAAGCCCGGGGAGGGTTGGCGATAAGGGATTGGACGAGGAGCTTCTGCCGCGGGAGACATGGCCGGGCCCATGGCCATATACTGCGGTTGGGGAGTGTAGGTTCTCGGGACGGGTGATCTTGAATCCCAAGGGCCTGCACCGTTCGCAGGGGAGTAATCATGGTAAGGTTGTTGCTCGTATGGAAGCATGGGTGCCGGAGACCCCACGGCAGGAGAATGAGGAGTGTATGCTCTCGGAATGTCGTGTGCCCGAGACTCGGGGTGGAAACCGGACCCGCCCGTTCGAAGGGGTGGAACGCCCATGTAACCGGGGCCATGGTGACCACCTCCATTGTAGCTACTGTCGTTGTAGTCACTACCGTATTCACTGCCGTTGTAGCCCGCACCATTATAACCACTTGCGTTCGATCGAGGGGCGGAGGGCGTCCGATGAGGAGGTTTGTTCGCTGCGTTCAAGGGTTCCATTTCCATCGCCTCTGAGTGGGGGTCTGAATCCTCGACTCTCCTATTCACAGCATTATCCCAGGTAGGCATGGCAGGCAGAGCATCCTCATTGAACTTGCCATGACTAGGGCTCGATGGGGAATCGAAGCGCGCCACCTGCGCGCCGCGGTATCCTGTGGCCGGCGACGGAGACGGTTTATAGGGATCGTTGACCGGCGCAGGGGGTTGAATGGGTGGCGGTTGCATCGGAGGAGGTTGACTGTACGGTTGATTGTATGGTTGGGGTGTGTTGTACGGATCATCCATGTATTTGGGTTGCCGGTTTTTGTTTCGGGGAGACGGGCAGCAGCACGAACAACAACAGCTTTTGCAGCATTGGTAGCCACAGCATAGGCAGTTGATCACACAGGCGAGAACCGAAATAACGATAACACCTCCGACGATAATAGCGACGATAACGGGCCATCTTGCAAAAGGAATGATGGTCAGTATTCGGGGCAGGGTAAGAAAAGGCGGGAACTCCATAAAAATTGTTGAGGGGTTCACCTGAAGCAGCTCAAATGACATACTTGCAATAGGATTTGGCCATGCAATTGTCCCAACTCGACAAAGTTTCGGGTGCCTCCTTCAGATCACTTGCGATGTCCCGCGCCCATATCGGGAACGGTGTTACGGGCGTTGTATCCACCGGGCTCATTTTGGCGGATTATATTTGAGATCCTAGTGCCCCACAGCGAACACTTCTTTGGCAATAGCGCAATGCGCTGGTTTCTTTTGTTGATTTTATCCCACTATCACTTGGACTGTCACCGGCTCGTATCCCTGACGGACTTGGCGCAAGCATAAACTCTTGGGGGCCGGATACGATGCTGACTTGAGACTCGAATTTGGATCAGCTCAACTTGCTCGTCATGGATCTCTCCCGGAAAGCAGGTCGAGTACAATGTTCGAGCCGAAATAGGGTCTGTTATATGGAATAGTTGTTCGTGTGTCGTTAGGCGAATACCTCGGTCGAGGGTGGTGGGCGAAGTTTGGGAAAGGACTGTCGTAGAGTTCTGACTTCTGAAGTCAAAATAAAAATAGTATCGCAAGAGGCAATAGGTATTGTAAGAATGGAAGTTTAAGAAAGGACAGACTCGAAGCGAAAAAAAAAAGAGGACAATGAAGTGCGGTGCTGCGCCCAGGTGAGACCAGTTGCACCGCCTCTCTAGGGGGGTTTCAGCAGACCAGCAAGTCCGCAGACGATAAATGAAGATCTCTCCAGGAGAAATAAAATGAGAGTAGGTGGAATAATGAACAGATAAAGAGAGATTGGTAAGGATTAGACGAAGGGGGAAAAAGGGAGAGGGAGGTTGGCAAATAAGGCAACTCAAAAAAAAGGAAGAGAGAAAAAGGGACGACAACGCGGGGATCAGCATGTTCATCGCAATTGGCCGTAATACGGGATTAGGAACCCCGTCCCACGCCCGCCTGATCTTTGGCCCTTGAAACCGCTCGTTTTTCGCTGCCTTCTTCCCGACTCCATCTGCCTCTCCACCGTCGTCTGTCGATCCCAGTCGTTTGCTGGGCTTTAAGCGATTCCATTCTTATTGGCAGCCCATGCCTGCAAGTGTCCACTCTTTTTGATTCAGGAACTACTCAGCAAGGTACTAAACATGCATGCTTCGACAAAATGCAAGTATACGGTACTTTACGTGACAAGCCTCATCCGCAGGCAGCAACGATGTCAACTCAAGCCTCCAGGTTCTTCCTAAGTATAGAAGACCCTCCAGCCAGAATGGAGTAGCGCCCTTTGTGGCTCACGGGCCAATTCTGGAGACCCGGCGGCGAGTTAGTGTGAACACACGCTAGCAAAGAAAGAGAAGAAGGGGAGAAAAGAATACGAGTTAACTATTTTTGGTTTGGGAATTAGAAGAGTAGCAATGGAGCAAGCTCCAGAAGGCTAGAGTTTGGAAATACTGGCATGGGAACACGACCAGGGTATGTGCATGCTTATGCCACCAGCGGTATAAAAGCAAGGTATTTGCAGCATCTCTTTATTCTAAGAGTGAAAAGGGAGGGTCTGTAAAATTAGCCTCTGCGTACATGCTAGGGGGTCTCCATCTCAGGCATCCAGAGTACTCCCCTGACTAAATCATTAAATATGTAAAAGCGTATAAGAATAACCATAAAGAAACTCATAGACCGTCATGCATCCCTCCAGTTGTCACTCCTCGTATCAATCGTATAGGACGGAGAGCGGGATATTCCGATAACTGATCAAACGCCAGGGTAATTTAGAAGCAAACAAAGAAAACTTTCACAAAAAAAAAAAGGCTACAAAGCAAGCAATGATATGAAGATCAATGGTCCGTCAGGCACCTCATGTTCTCGGCCTTTACGCCTTCGAAGTTGGAGGAGGACCGGGCGGAGGTGCGTATGCCGGACCACCCTGGTATGCATTGGGTGGCGACTGTAGCTCGATCCCTGTTTGTTGTCCCCCGAAATATCCGTATGCTTGTGGTTGAGGCGTATATTGCGGTGGTGGCGGGTGCTGGAAATAGGGATCGGCGTAGGTTTGCGGATGCTGCTGATGCTGCTGGTACGACGGGGGAGGCCCGGCAAGCCAGGCAGTACCGGGATGAGGCCGAAGACCGCGAGTGCGACGTCGACGAGCGTTATAGCATCTGCCAAATCGTTAGAGTCTGGTGTTCTGCAGTCCGAAGAAACGAAGGAGGTCACATACGCGAATATGAAGAAAATGATGAAAGCACAGCCAACAATCACAGCGAAAGCGACCCAGCGACCCCAGTCCCACCAGGCGCTGCTCCGGCAGTACCGGTCGTAATAATCACTAGAACCCAATGGTCAGTCGTTGATCTAATGTTTTGACCAGCCGAGGTCAATACCATTGAGGAGTCGAAGGGGGAGAACCTACCATTCGCGACGAGGGAGAATCATGTCGGCTGAAGAAGGCCTCTCTTTTCCGAGGCTTTAGGGCGGAAAATGACGTCGATCGGGCGAAGGTCTAATAGTAAAAAGACAAAGACCAACAGTAGAGAAAGATCACCAAGATGGAAAAGGCACTTAGATGAAGGTCACAGAATACTGGTGATGATTTTTTTTAATACGAGCGAAAGGGCCCAAGCAGGAGTGATGCAAGGGGAAAGGGAAAAGAGTAGTAGAGAATCTTCTGGGGAGACTGAAGGCAGCAGCAAAGTGAGAAGTGGACATGCACGGGTAATTATGGGGGGGCGATTGGCGATTGGACGGTAAGGCTTAGGCTGTGGCGCAGTGGATGGCTGGGCGGCTTGGCAGCCTTAGGCGGCCATGGATGTCCGTTCTGGGAATGGAACATGTGGATGACTCAGCCAAATACGACAGAGGTGACCTTAGGCTCTTCCGTGTACTCCGTAGTCTGCCAAATTGCTGACAGCTTACAGGGGTACCGGGAAAATCGTCATAGTATTTATTCCTAACGCCGAATGGCAGGGTCATCACATCACCCATCTCCAGGTCAACGAACTACACCGGATTCACATTCAGACTGAGCTTATATCCTTGACGTAAGTATGTACATACTAACGAATGGCTCCTCTCCACACTCGTCATCCCACATTGGATTCAACCCAATCTACTGGTCAACTGAGCTTCAAGCCTTCAGCATCCGCCGATGCATCCAACCTACGGGATACCGTGACTTGAAATCCTCCCGGTCTGATGCGTTGTTCGCAGCCTATTCTGACCTGGTCCTCGAGGTCCAACTCATCTGTCACACCGACTCATGGTCCTGATCAATAGTTAACCAGTACAGCGCATACTCCGTAATGGCCCCTGTAGCAGGGCGCAGTCGATCCTATCGTGGCTTGATCGGGTTCTATTTTCTGAGTCGGAGACAACTGAGACATGGTTTTTGTCATCGACCGATCTGATCCGATCCATGGATTCAATATTGTTCCCCCAAGGGAGAAAGAGTCGGCCTTTGTTGCGGCTCATATATCCTACTACGCAGTAGAGCCTTGCCTTGCCTACTAGTAACATTCTAGACATTCTACACAATAAAAGGAATTAGTAGTAAACCGGCGTATTCGTTAGCATGCTTTAAGCCTAGTTACCTCGCCATGCCTATCTATACTTTTTCGGGCGCGGAGTACACTGTAGAAAGGCGAAGGGGGTTGTGTCGAGTTGTGTCATCATCCAGCCTGAGGCATCTGCATCCATCCGATGATAACGACCACAAATAATGACCAGGTCCCTTTTCTGCTGTCCCTCATGGCTGTCCCCTCCTTCCCACCCGGGATAAGTCTCTGTTTCATATTCATAGGGGGTGAGAAGGAACTTTTTCAGTCGACTTTCCCTCTCTCTCTCCGCCACGCAGCATTCAAGACAACGTGATACAACAACCCGAAGTCATTCCTCGATGGAAACCCACCAACTACCAGCCTGACTGGGTCAACCGGACACCCTGCCGATTCGCAGAAAATGCACGCGAACCGGGCAGCTGCCTATGACAAAGTCGGACGGAGCACAAGATGCTGACCCTAGAAGCCCTTGAACCTTCGCTGGGGGGTGGTTGGCGGGGTTGGATTTGCTGGAAAGGCATGGAGGGCTTGATTAGTTCCCGTCTTCGCATCTGCAATGCCAACGCATCAGTTGGTCTGTGTGCTGTCCGCATTACTCCTCCAACTCGCTCCTCGTAAATAAGATCGTGCATCTTATTTTTTTGCGTTCCCTTCCTGCCTGTCCCCTGAGTGTTTTCTTTTTCGTCCCGCGTTGATTCTTCCCCGCAGAGTACGGCGGAATTGCCGACTGACTGACTATTTTGCTCTTCAGACACCGTCTGCCCTAGATATTTAGTCTAGTGTCGATTATTTCGAACGTCTTCCCAAAAAAAATGCATTTATCTCCAATCGTTGCTAAGCTGCTCATTCTTTCACTGGATCGGGCGCCGATAGACACCCCCCGGAAACAAAAGACATACTATTAAAAAAAATACAAAGATGAATCGACATCGTTATCATGACAAATCACATGGGCAAACGAAACAAAAAAAGAGGCCAAAGATCAGAAAGACCAAAAAGTGATCACGCTCAAGTTGAATGTGCCTGGTTCACATCATTAACGTCATTACATCTGAGGCAGCTAGCCAAGTGTTGGATATCTTCTACGGAAATTTCATGATCAGGCATGACACGGGCAGATAGGAATAAGTCACGGAGGCGTCAAGACGCCTATCAGACTAAGTTCCTGACCCGACTTCGCATGTTGCGTCGCTCATCGGCTAGCTCGAGCGATGAGCCAGTGCAGAACCGCATCCAGGTTGGTTTCCTCTTTGGCACTGATCCCATAACAGCTCACTTCGCGACGAGTAATGGACTTCAGGTCCATCGCGTCGATCAGCTCGTCGACCGACAGTTTGTTCGAGAGGTCCGATTTGTTTCCAAGAACCAATAGAGGGATTCCATCTAATGTGGGCTTGGTCATCAATTCGTGCAGCTCGTCCGTCGCAACCGGTAAGGCAGCGCGATCTGCCGCATCCACAATATAGCTGGTCGGCAAGTCAGCAATGCTATACAAAATCGATAGTCCGTCGTCTCCGAACACTTACACGATCGCGTTGACGCCGCGGCAGTATCGCTCCCACATCGGTCGGAACCGCGGTTGCCCCCCTAGATCCCAACTTCACGATCGTTAGAACACTGGCGCTGAAGCTCATCGGCTGCAAGCCTGGAACACCAACCATTTCAAAGTCACATGGCCCTTCTGGACCCGCTTCGTATTGAAGCCGATGGTAGGGATAGAACTGCGATAATGTCTTAGCAAGAGAGCGACAGAGCTTTGCGACTAGGCTTGGACCCTACGCGCTAAGAACTTACTCTACAGTAAACTCGCCGCCCTATACATTCCCGTATCGATCAGATTAGCGACGATGGTTGGCAAAAAGAAACGCTCGATCGGTCGGCCGAGCTGGGTGGGGGAGAGAGCCCTACCGCGAGGACACGCAGCAGCGATGACTTTCCGGCATTCTGGAGTCCGATCATGGTGACATCCATCTCCGTCGCCCTACATTCACACCACACATGGCACCGCTCTTGTCAGGCCAAATAGCTCCATTTCTGCGGGGACGGGCCGGGGGAGGGACTATTCCCGAGGAACCGCGAAAAGCGATGACCTATTGGAAACAACGGCCCACTTACCAGAACATCCTCAAAAGCCAGTCATAGATGGTTCGAAAGATCCCCGCCATGATGAAAGGATAGACCAGAACCAGACAAACAACTGCACAACAGAAATTTACCAGAGCGATTTAAGCGGACAAACGAGAAGGCCGAGGAAGGCCGAGAATGACAAAGTCGGTGAAGGCAAATCAAAATCAAAAAAAGAGAAAAAAAAAAAAAAAAAGGCAAAAGTCAGGCTTGGCCCAAGCGGATGACGCAGGGTTTAATATATCGAAAGCTCAGATAAAAAAGCAAAGAAGGAAGAAGAAAAAAAAAAGTTTGGAGCTGGAAGAATGAGGGAGGTGGGGGGTGGGTGGAAGCAGATTTCCGCGACTCCGACAGAAAGCCCAGATGATGCGAAGTAGTCCAAACGCTGAAGGAGAAAAATGAGTGGGCGAGCGAGATACAACTGGGTTTTTAGGCGGCGTGGAAGAAGTAAACGACGACAGCTACCCAGCCGATCAGACAGACAGGCCGACGAGCTGAGGAGGGGAGCGAGGGAGCGAAGGAGAGGGGGAAGAAGGAGAGGATGAGAGGAAGAAAAAGTAATTAATTATTGCTCAGGGTCCAACCGCTGCAGCGAGAGAAGGTCGCTTTCAGGAGATGATGCGTGGGAGGAAGGATAATTGCCGTTCTGATACTGTCCTGCTTTGCGGTGAAACTAAACTGCTCCGATCTATGTGCACGCATGACCGTTCGCTCTTGCGCCGCCGGGGAGGGGAGCGCTTAGTTCGCCCGTGTCCCTTGTCAGTCTGGACATCTACTGCTTCCTAGGGGGAGAAAGGTCGACCAGCTAGACTAGTTGGCTAGTTAGTCCTGTGGCTGGGTCGCACGAGCGAGATTGATTTGCAAGAGTGGCCGTAGCCGGTGAGAAATCAAAGACGGTGGAATAATAACCTCGTGTAATGCCGTCCAGCAGATCGGGTCTTATCTCCAGAGGATAGTTACAGATAGTTAGAGATTGGTTTATTCTTCAGACCCTCAAGTCACGACGAGGGGAAAGAATCGGGTGCGAAAAGGTTGCCTTGTTGCCTAAGGCGGCCGCGTCCCGTTCCGCGGTCCTGTGATGCGGTCTTATGTCATCGTGGCGGCCGGGAAGCCTCAGGCAGACAGCCACTTCAAGCCCGCTATCAGCACGTGACGATATCTGTCCGCCGGCTCCACCTCGAAAAATTTCCCCGTTGCTGCGCTGAGCGGCTTCATTCTGCTCTTTTCCTGCCTCTCTCCATCGCGAGTATCCCTCTCTCTCTGGGTCTTTCCTTTGTGCCCGTTCTCCTTGTCTTCCGTGTCAAGAGGGAATGAACCATTGAGTACCTCCATTGCGCCGACTTTGTTGACGGTGCCTCTGGTTGTTGAATCATACGAGGTTGTAGGAACCTCTTTTTTTTTTCTCTCTTCTTTTTTTTTGGGTCTACACTTTTTCTCGAGCAATCCTCTCTCTGATCGCTGAGAAGAATTCACCATGGCCCCCGCTAAGACCGACACCAATTGGTCCGTCAATTACGACACTCTGAGACGGGAAAACCTGTTCAGAAACCCTCCGAGTGACCGAACCGCATATCCCGCCTTGGCCGATGCCATCAAACCTCATATTGATTCCTTCAATGCGCTTTTCGACGGCAGCAAAGTCTTGGAGGCCGGCCTGAAAGACATCGGAACGAAGACATTCATCGATGGCGAAGGCGAAACCCCCGAACAGAAGAAAGCTCGGCAAGCTGAAGGACGGAAACCGCCCAAGCGGAACAAGCTGAATGTCCGCATCAGAGAAGTTTTCCTCGAGCGGCCGGAGATTCCGCCGACAAACAAATTTACCACTCGCAACCGTAATATCTACCCATCTGAATGCAGAGAACGACATGCGACCTACCGGGGGAAGTTGCGCGCAAAGATCGAGTACCAGGTCAACAATGGCGATTGGGTGGACTCGACTAGAGAACTGGGTCAGGTTCCTATCATGATGAGGGTGAGTATACTTGCCGTGTATTACGATTAGACTCGTCTTCGGGGCTTTGGAAAAGCTAATGTGAGCGGTTTACCAGACCAACCGATGCCATTTAGAAAAGGCGACCCCGGAACAACTCGTGCAGCATAAGGAAGAATCGGAGGAGCTTGGAGGTTATTTCATTGTGAACGGAAACGAGAAGTTGATCCGAATGTTGATTGTTGGAAAGAGGAACTTTCCTATGGCCATCGTCCGTGGCTCCTTCGTCAAGCGTGGTCACACCTACACCAAATACGGTGTGCAAATAAGATCCGTACGACCCGATCAAACATCGCAAACGAATGTCCTGCACTACCTCAATGACGGCAATGTGACTTTCCGTTTCTCGTGGCGAAAGAACGAGTTTCTTGTCCCCATCATGATGATCTTGAAAGCGTTGGTGGAAACGAACGACCGCGAAATCTTCGAAGGAATCGTCGGCAGTTCCTCGTCTGAGGGTATTAACAACACTTTCGTGACCGATCGAGTGGAGCTGTTGCTGCGGACATACAAGGGATACGAGGTGAACAGTCGCTCGAGTTGCCGTGCCTACCTGGGAGAGAAGTTCAAGCCCGTCCTCGGAGTCCCAATGGACATGTCGAACGAAGATGCCGGTACGGAGTTCCTTCGCAAGGTGGTTTTGCCACATCTGGGCAATCACAACGTCACCGAGACCCAGGACTACGACAAATTCAAGATGATTATGTATATGATCCGGAAGCTGTATGCCCTCGTTGCTGGTGACTGTGCTCCTGACAACCCCGATGCTGTTTCCAACCAGGAAGTTCTGCTGGGCGGTTTCTTGTACGGAATGATCCTGAAGGAGAAACTCGAGGAATGGGTCAGATCGTTCGGCCCGGTTCTTAGAGACTGGTCCCTTCGCAACCACGGGGCCAGGTTCACTGACCCGGCGTTCGAGCGTGACTTCTTAAGCAAGATAGTCAGGAGAACCAACGAAAACCTCGGTGGTACGCTAGAGTACTTCCTTTCAACAGGCAACCTCGTTAGTCCCACGGGTCTTGATTTGCAACAGACGTCCGGTTACACGGTCATGGCTGAGAAGATCAACTTCTACCGATTTATCAGTCATTTCCGAATGATTCACAGAGGTAGTTTCTTCGCCCAACTGAAGACTACCACCGTCCGAAAGCTTCTTCCAGAGAGTTGGGGTTTCCTCTGCCCTGTGCACACGCCTGATGGATCTCCATGTGGTCTGCTCAACCATCTTGCCCACAAATGCTTGATCTCCACCAGCGATGTGGATGTTTCGCACATCCCAAGGTTGTTGATCCAACTAGGCGTGCGCTCCGAGTCGTCTGTCTCGGTGGAGGAGAGTGTTCCTGTCCAACTGGACGGCAGAATTGTCGGATACTGCTCACCCAAACAGGCCCGTGTGGTTGCCGATACGCTGAGATATTGGAAGGTGACGGGCACTCACAACATTCCGCTGGAATTGGAAATCGGCTACGTCCCCAACACCAACGGTGGTCAATACCCCGGTATCTACATGTTCTCTCAGTCCGCTAGAATGTACCGACCCGTCAAGTACCTGCCCCTCGACAAGCTCGACTACGTGGGCCCGTTCGAGCAGCCCTTTATGGAGATTGCATGCGTGCCGTCCGATCTTATCTCGGGCACCTCGACTCACATTGAATTCACACCCACCAACATCCTTTCTATTGTCGCCAACATGACGCCCTTCTCCGACTACAACCAGTCCCCTCGTAACATGTACCAGTGTCAGATGAGCAAGCAAACGATGGGTACGCCGGGTACATCTATCGACTTCCGCACAGACAACAAGCTCTACCGGCTGCAAACAGGTCAGACGCCGATTGTGCGGCCGCCTCTCTACAACGCCTATGGCCTGGATAACTTCCCCAACGGCACCAACGCAGTCGTGGCTATTATCTCCTATACGGGTTATGACATGGATGACGCTATGATTATCAACAAATCCTCCCACGAACGTGGCTTCGGTCACGGTACGGTTTACAAGACCAAGATCCACTCGCTTGACGACAAGGATTCGCGACGAGGCAAGTCCAGGCGCGAAATCACCAAGTTGTTCGGCTTCGCGCCGGGCGCCGAGATTAGGGCCGAATGGCGTAACACGATCGACGAAGATGGACTGCCTCTTCTCGGTGCTAAGGTTCGAGAGGGCGCTCCCGTTGCCGCATGGCATAACGTGCGCTACGATCCCGCCTCAGACTCGTATGTGAACGTTGACGGCCTCACCCACTTTGTCAAGTACAAGGATTCCGAGGAAGGATACATCGAAAGCGTCCGCGTCATGGGTGCTGAAAGCGGTCTTGAGCCATGCCAGTCCATCAGTGCCAAGTACCGAATTCCCAGAAAACCAGTCATCGGTGATAAGTTCTCTTCGCGTCACGGACAGAAGGGTGTCTGCTCTCAGCTCTGGCCCGCTGTGGATATGCCATTCTCCGAGAGTGGCATGCAGCCCGACCTCATCATCAATCCTCACGCTTTCCCGTCTCGTAAGCATTTCCCCCTCTCTCTTTCTTAACCGGAACCGTGACTAACGGACATCCCAGGTATGACCATCGCCCAGATGATCGAATCCATGGCCGGCAAGGCCGGTGCCCTCCACGGCCACGCCCAGGACTGCACTCCCTTCCAGTTCTCCGAAGAGAACACGGCCACGGATTTCTTCGGCGAGCAATTGCGCAAGGCCGGATACAACTTCCACGGCAACGAGCCCCTCTACAGCGGTATCACGGGTAAGGAGTTCGCCGCGGACATCTTCATGGGTCTCGTCCACTACCAGCGTCTCCGTCACATGGTCAACGACAAGTTCCAAGTCCGAACCACCGGTCCCGTGAACCAGCTCACCGGCCAGCCCGTTAAGGGTCGTGCCAAGGGAGGTGGTATCCGTGTCGGAGAGATGGAGCGTGACTCGCTCATCGCCCACGGTGCCGCCTTCCTCCTCCAGGACCGTCTCATGAACTGCTCCGACTCCACCCTCTCCTGGATCTGCCGCGACTGCGGCTCCTTCCTCTCCACCCAGGTCGCCGTCTCTTCCGTCAGCAAGGCCCGTAACCACGGCGCCGCCGCTGCCGCTGCCGCCAAGAGTAACCAGACCCAGGGCTCCTCTGCCCCCGCCATCGTCCGCTGCCGTCGCTGCGCCCGCGAAGCCGTCTTCGAGGACTCGCGCGCCATTATCTGGGAGGACGGCGATGGTCGTCGCCACGTCGGTGGTGATAACGTCACCATCGTTGCTATCCCCGGTGTGCTGAAGTTCTTGGACGTCGAGCTGGCAGCCATGGGTATTCGTATGAAGTACAAGGTGGAGAATTAAACCTTGGTTTATATATGTATACCTATCACGACGAGGACCAAGCAAAAAAAGCGAAAGAGAAAAATATGACATGAGTTTTGGGGTTGAAGGTTTGGGGATCTCAAAAAATTTTCTGGTTTCATAGATTTTGTGGAGCCGAGCACTGCTTTCTTTATTTCTTGTTATTTGATCTTGGACATGTATGTAATTATTTTGGAGGGGTTTTTAGTTCTTTTTGTCTTGTATTTATGTTTCATAGCATTATCGTATCTCACTTATTTTATTCTCTTTTTCAAAGTTCCGTCTTATCCTACGAGCATTGGGATATCAAATCCCCTGTCGTATCGTCAAAACCATAAAAGACCCCGAGCTAGGTACCTACGCCCTACAGTTGCACAAACAGAAAGCGAAATCGAATGACTTCTCTTGAATGCCTAAACCATCATCAAAGTATAATATTCACTAAAAGAGAGCCCAGCAACACCCATTAAAAAAGAACCCCAATCCTCCCCGCTTACAATTCCGACGTGACGTTCGAGAACTCGCCCTTCTCCAGCTTCGTCTTCCAGAAGATGGGGTTCATGTCGTCGAAGCCGTGGTGCACCCATCCCTCTTCCTTGACGTGGTACAGGTTGATGAAACCACCGGAGAACGCATCTCTGTGCATGGCGGCCAGAATGCTTCGTCGGCCGAGCTCGAGCGCCTCCTCTTCGGACAAGTCGTAGCGGTAGTTGGCGTCCAGCACACCGTACGCGAAGGTCTGGCCGGATCCAACACAGAACAGGTTACCGGGGAGTCGGGTGCCGTCGGAGTCGATGTAGTAGAGGGCGGGACCTTCCTGGGGCGTCATCTGGAAGTTTGAGAAAAACGAAACTGTCAGCCGGGTTTCTCTTGACGCGCATGAAACTGAAATGCGGGAGGGGAGGGGAGGGGGTTTGTACGCCTGCCAACATTGTACCCATGCTCAGACCATACCCCTTGTAGGCGTATGTCAGGTTAGCGAGGATCTTCGAAGCAGCGGCGACGGTGATACGGCGCTTGTGTCGGATTTCTATGTCCCGGGTTAGCCAAACGTTGAACCTGAATATCACCAATGTTGTAGATTTACCATGAAGTGTGCATTGCTGACTCAGGTATCTCAGCCAGTATTGACAATCCTAGAATGCCCGACAATCAGTATCATCAGAAATCAAGTATATCCCATCGGATATTGGATATCCCCAAAGACGTATAATCATCGAGGAAGTGTACAAATAGACTCAACATACCGCAGCACCACCGGCCATAGTACCCAGAAGACCCGGCGTCGGATCATTCGTCGGCTTATCCTCACCACGGCTCAACCGCGAAACGGGAATGACCTTCTTCACCGTCTGACTAGCAATCCAGTCACCAGCCGAAGCTCTGGAATCCGTCGCAACGATCTAAAAAATAGAACCACGCATATGTCAGTGATCTGTGGCGATGGCAACGACAAGTCGACAGGGAGAGGAGAGGAGGGGTAAGGCATACAATTCCGCCCTGGAAACGGAAAGCCAGCGTCGTCGTTCCGTGAGCCAGCTTGATCGGACAGTCGGGATTGGAGTGGTCATCGGTCATCGCACGAAGGAAAGCTCGAGACTAGAAAGGATAAGATAGGTCAGCCCAATACGGTCAGGTCATCGGGTGGCAGATGGTTGAATGAATGGTGGTCGTTGCGTCCGGCTCAAGACCCAGGTAAGCATCGCAGTGTGCGTGCCCTTCGGAATCATTGCCATCAACTACCGTAGTCATCCAGCGGGAGAGATATTACGTTGTCCACAGGAGGGAGGTCGAATTTCAGAGAGATCGGGGGCAGGCTCTCGGTGAGGTCATGCTGCTCTTGTTCGGAATAGAACTCATTCTGATGAGGCGCCTGGGTATACTGGGCGACCAATTTATCCATGATCGGCAGGTGTGGATTTCTGGAGGGGTAAAAGGACAGAAAGATGATAGAAAGGGTAGTGTACAGAGAAGGGGGGTGAGGGTAGAAGAGGGCAGAGGCAGGATGGAGCTTGAAGCTGCTGGAGCTCTCTCCCGCTGTTCATCCGCGTCACGCTGGCCGCCTACGGTCACGTGGAGTGAATGGCTGCCCCAATTTCAAGGCATCACGGCCGCCTACGATCAGCCCTAGAAAAGAGCGCGACACAGTCAGTGACTTACCACTCTTACAAGAAAACTTGATCTCCAAAACAAGAAACCACATGTGAATTGATAGCACCTAATTATAGACAATCTCAGATTATAAAATACAGGACGCATGAGCAACACTATACGATCAATTTCCTAATATGGAACGGCGACTGGCTGGGGTCCCTCTGGCAGGAGAACAGCCTGCTTGGAATTGCCCCGAGGCACTTCGAGTTTTCCTGCAGCAGATCCGTTGATGTCTCGAGCAATTTTATCGTTGGTCACCTCGGTAACTGGGCCATCTGCATCGCGGCTGGTCGTTTGAGTGATAGTCTCTTCGACCTGCCGAGTTGGCGCGCTGGCCTCGGGGCTGTCCACAGCGACGTACGAATCTCGAGTTGCCTCGGTGACAGAACCATCGATATCCCGAGTGGTGTCGGAGAAGTTACTTCCATCTACTTCGCGGTCATTTGTGCGAGTCCTCTGTACAGGCAGAAGAGTGTTGCCCGGCATCTGCCCAGCAGAGGTGCGAATAGGATCGACGGTGCTCTCCCAGGAGAGAAGGTCTTTTTCGGCATCTTCAAGCACCATCTTTGCCTCAGCAGCTCGATCGTAGTCCTTTCGCACATCTCCCGGGACCACCGGGGTATCGTCGATGTAGTTCAGGAGCCGACGAGCGTGGCGAGCCAGCAGTATCTGCTTTTCTCCTCGCTCAATGACAGCAGCCAAATGAACATCAAAAGCCTCCTTGAGCTTCGATCGAGTCTATCAAACGGTCAACATCGGAGCCAAACGCAAGCATGGTATCATGCTCAAAACTCACCATGTTCGTCAACTGCGCCTCCGCCACCAAGTTCTGCGCCTCCGCCCTCACAAGCTCCTGCTCAAGCGTCTCCAACCGCGGGCTATTCGGATCCTTCCACTTCAGCTTCTGAATATCATCCGCGACCTTCAACTTATGATCACGAGACGGCTGGACCGAACCCTCCGTGTCCCGGATATGCTTTAACAAGCCGCGATAATCCTCCAGATTCTGCGCATAGATGTCCTCCTGCTCGCCCATCTCCGCCATCAGCACGCCCAGCTTATCCGTGATGTCAGAGACGGCATCGTCCTCGGTGGAATCGCCCCATTCGGACAGCTGCGAGGCGATGGAGACGCGCTCGCGACCGGCTTTCTCGTGCGCGCCAATCGCCGCATTCTCGTTCTTGATCACCCGGCCTAGACGCCGGCTCAGCTCGGGTTGCTGGAAGCCTCGCAGGGTGGAGATGTTGAAGCGCGGCTTTTGAGAGAGAGAATCTCTTCGTCGGAAAGACATGTTTCGGTTCCTGGGTGGTTGTTAGTTTGAGGTTCTTGTATGTGTGGAGTGGAGTAGTTGGTTGGGGCGTTAAGGGTGCGTACATCGCTTGTGATGGTCTGAACAGTGAGAATCACGGCACGATTATGTGTTAATTGAGGGCTTTACAAGATACAAGGAGACTCACGATGATAAAAGAGAAAGATAGACGGACAGATAGACTGATCGTTCGACAACGGAGTGGAATGCACCTTCCTTTCGAAGTTGATTGGACGAATCACCCTGGTTGATCGACAACCAGCCCTATATTTAGATAAATTGAGGTAGTACAGAACCTATACTGGGCAAAATTGTTGTACGACACAAGAGAATAGACATGAATTATGAAGGACAAACCGACCGCGACGCTCTGGAGAGGTAGACGTGACGTCATGCGGGAAGGGCGGATGTTGAGGTCATTTTGTCCGCTTTCAGTCACTGTGAATTGGGGACTGCGATAGAGAAAACCGTGGAATTGGTGCGGTTTAGGCTCTGGCACAAACACCAGCTGACTTGGTCTCTTTATGTTCGTTGGTTGAGTCGTGGACTCGACCGTGGCTAAGAAGCAACTGTACATGTAGGGTGATTGGTGATCTTGGATTGAACATAACTCAAAAACTATGGAAAACGAAGCATGTAAAATCAAGCAAAAATCAGGCAATAGGCCATCGAGTCACCAAGACAGAAATGAACAGCATACACAAATCGAACATAGACAATCTGGAGATCGGCAGTCTCGGCAACAAGGGGTATAAGTCAAACATAACAGAACGCAGCACGCATAACAAAAAGAAATCGACTCATTACACTCCTTCTCACTTATCTCCCACAGATATAGACCATGTCATCGTCACATTCTCTTTCCAAAGGACGTCGTCGTCGAACCCTGCACTCATCCGGCTCAAAACATTCCACGAAGCGATGCGGTCCGCACTCACGGCTTTCAATCACTCGCGGCGATTTCTTTGACCAGAAGGGCACCAGGGACTCCTCAGTCGTACGAATCATAGTCCGAGTCACCGTGGTATAAGAGCACCGTGGAGAGCATTCACGGCGAGCAGGCGGTGGTGGACAAACGACGACTGGGTCATGGTGATGACGATGACGATGGTGATAACGACGATGATGGTGATGGCGGTGGTAGCTGCTCTTGCTCTTGCTGCTCTCGCTATCGCTGTCGCTGTCACTACTGCTGCTGCTGCTGCTGCTGCTGCTGCTGCTGCTGCTGGAGCACGAGTCACTGCTACTGCTGCTACCGCCGTCACTGCTGCTGCACTTGCGACGACAAGGAGGAGCAGGAAGGGGACACGAAACACGGACAGGCAGAACCCGGTACTCCGTGAGACGCACACAGGTGTCCTCGTCATCTTCGACAAAGCACATGGCGGAGCGGACGGCGCGGGGGACAATCTGGTGAAGCCAAAGACGTTATTGTCATATTCTGGCATGGATTACTAGAAGAGGGGATTCCTAACGGTTTGATAGTGGATGTCCGGCATCATGTAGATCTCGAACAGACCACTGTCGAGTAACTGTGCTTGCAACCAAAGTCTTGCGTACTCAAGGGGCAAAGGCTCCGCAGGGTTTCAACAAGCGTTGGAAAACTGCCAGGAGCGAAGGTAATAAGAGAAAGCGATTTGTCGAAGTCATGATCTCGCTCGCACGCGGGCAAGTCCCAGCAAGTCACTTGACCGGCGGGATGATGCTGCCCGGTGACTCGGACAGTCTCCCCTTTCCTCCATCGGAATCTTTGTACTCGGAATCTCAGTCAGAAGGGCTCCGAGAAAGATGAGTGAGACGTGAACAGACAATACTGAAGGGTTTGTACTTTTTGAGTCGGGTTGTTGGCCCGGGAGTGCAGATGATCGGCCTCCTCAACCAGATTCACTGCCAAGAAACGGTGTTCACAACCATTCCCAGGAATGAAACCAAAATTGATATCAAAAGAAAATTATAAAAAAAAATGTCTGCACTCTTAATTTTACAGGAATACAAAACCAGCGCCAGAAAGTATTCGTAAGACCGACAACACCGTAGACCACTCACTCCAAGAGATAGGAAATCCCGCAAACGCACGCCTTGCCAGCTCATGCCAAATCGTCGGCGTCGTGGTGATGGGTATTCTCGTTGTCCGATGCATGGAATGCATCGCCAAAGGCCGAGTTCTCCAGATCCGGCAGGTCTAGATCGTCGTTCTGCTCCGTGTACGCCGCCAACGCATCGCCCGCGCTATCCATGTTGGTGAAATCAAAATTGGCGCCGTCCAAGGCACTGTCTCCCGCCGTGTTGCCCGGAGTCAGACCCTGCAATCCGCTCCCAGGCGTGTCGATGCCGGAGAGGGAAGTTTCGCCGATATTTCCTTTCTCTGTCGTCTGATGTTTCTTGTCGCCGTCGACCATCACCCAGTCGCCGGTTTCGCCCGCTGCGGTACTGGCAGGTTGGCCATCGCCCATGTCCATTTCAATGTCCAGACCCGGAGCAGATTGCTGCGCAATATTCGAGGGCTGCTGAGGCGGCGCTGCAGAACCCGCGCCGGCGCCCCCAAGCGCGCCGGTCGAGGCATCGTGTGGGGGCGCAGCAATGCCTTGAGCCTGTCCCGAAGTGGCGCTGAATTGATTGAGAAGTGCATCGCCCTGGTCCATGTCGATATCTCCCTGCGATGGCTGTTCCGGTTTCGGTTCCGGCTCGATCTTCTCCAACAATCCACCCTTTTGCACGCACGAGACCTTGGGCTCCAACGCGATGTGCTTATGCCACGCAGTCTCGACTTCCTTGATCACGTCGTCCACTTTGTGCGTCGCCTTGGGATCGGAAGGCGCAGGAATCTGATCGTCGTTCTCTTCGTCGGGGACCGCCATGCGACCTTCCAGTCTCCAGACCTCCGTGCCGGTATCTGCAGGGTCGGTCGCTGAGTCCCGGAGTCGAATCTCGGCATCTTTGAGAAGGGAAGTGCGGTTGAATTTTTCCATTCTGCGAGCATGACGCTTCTTCAGCTTCTCAATCTCAGCGGTCATGTCCGCCACTCTCTTGGCGACGCGATCGGCGAACTCTTCAGCCTTTGCCGGTTCCATTTTGGTGGCGGCGGCATCATCGGCATCTTTAGAATCCGGTGCATCGAAGAAGCCCGCCGTTAAGGATTCCAGCTCGCCTTTGCGACCTAAGCCCAGAGAGACCGGGGTGATCTGGCTAATCGCGTATGGAGAAGCAAATATTTCTTCCATCCACTCGTGATGTTGTTGGTATCGCATCTTACTCACTTCGCGAGGGGTCAAGAGATCCATCATGTCACCGGCGGAAACGTCTTCGTCCTCGAGCGCAAAGTCGGCAGTGGCAGCGTTCATTGCGGCAGAGGGTGCGCGATGTCCACGGGGGGCCTTTGCCGGCGCCGCACCCGCGGGGGCGGGCACACCTTGGACAGGCGGCGGATAATAGGGCTGACGTCCGACCATTGCGTTCGGATACGGTCCAGGCACTTGCGCAAAGTTCTGCGGGGCCATCTGTTGAGGGAAATTGATCGTCGGCCAGTTGTTCCGGTCGTGCAACATGAAGTCCTTGCGAGCCAGCTGTCCCTGACTCTGCAGGAAGCGACGCTGTGCCAGCATGGACTGAGTCTGGGGATGAACAGGGATCCGGTTTGCGGGGATGTGGTCGGATTGAGGAGCTCTCGAGTAGTGAACGATCCACAAGGACGGGTCTGGCGGAGGCATGTTAGGGTTCGGGACTTTTGATGGTAACAATCGATAACGTCGGCGGCAGTGAATGGCAAGCGGCTCGTTCGGGGGATGGTAGCCACTTCGGTGTAGCAACATCTCTAACACCTGATACGCGGTTCTATGTTAATCTCACGGATTCCATGCCCTAGTCGCGATGAATACGGGTGGAGGGGCGGTTCACGTACATAGCCGCGAGCTTCAAAGGTGAAAGCTTGTTCGACGTCCGCCCAGACATAGCCATCACTAGCAAAGTTGGTCCCCAAGTGGTTCAGAGGTTGCCAGGTGAGCATGACGGTCCCATCCTGAGGGCCATCCAAGAATGACCAATACATCGGTTGCGCCTCGCGGACGATCTTTTGGGCGGACAGAAGGTATTCGACGACGGTCTCGGTGGGCATCATATGCATTAAGGGGTAGCGATGCCGCGACAACAGATGCATATGCGGCAGCTGTCCAGGTCAATTTCGAGTCAGCGATCTAGCCATGACCGTGCAAATGGAAATCTGGGGAAATGGGGCCTACCAGCTGCCCGGGGAGACGGCTCGCTGGGTCGTCCATTGTGAAGCGACACCGTCACGGTTTCGAAAGTAACCGAGTATGGAAGTGATCAAAAGAGCACGGGGAATATTAAATGGTCAGAGGGCAGCAATGCATGCGAGATCGTGAAAGCGGCGATACGATGCGAATGGGCCGAGCTAGAGATGGAAACGCGACGCGGAAATTTGAGGCTCCCTGCGCTGCTGCGGCGGGCGAGAAGCGCCTGACATGCAAATTTGACACCTGAAGAGTCAGGTTACCACATCTTCCCTTCCCGGTGCGCGCTAAACCATTTTGGTCCATATATGTCCTTCCTTTCTTCCTCCTCTTCTTCTTTTACTTTCCCAGGCTTGACTTGTCCCTCACCTAAAGCAGTAGAGAAGATGAGTGGCCTCAATGATATCAAGGCTCTTGATAAATGGGGCTCTCGCATGCTATAATACCAAAATATATTACCTGCAAATGACCGATTTCAGCCAGGAAGATGAAATATATAGTTGCCAGCACGTCCTTCCTACTACTTCTACGCAACAATTTGCAGAACCATACAGAGATAAATCGAGCTGGATCAACCCTCTACAAGACTTGGATGGAACTACAGGGAATATAACCCCGTGGGCAAAAAGTACCAGAATTCTGCAGGAAGAGTCTAGTTACTGCTTCCGGGGCAGGAATGCAGGGCGATGCCGCGAACCAAGGGATACTATTTCAAGCAGCACCCCCATACGGCGCAAACAACAGCTGTTCATTCTATCAAGGGATGGCCATTTAAAGCCTGTCAACCCCGATTTTAGATTCATATCTTGTCTACATTAAAGTCACGTCACACATCGATTCAAAATCAAGATGTACGCTCTCAAGCAAATCTCATTCCTCGCATTGGCGCTATTCGCGGCGAATAGTGTTGCGAAGACCACAACTGTACGTATGGCTTTCTTAATATCCGTTCAATTGCGCTGATGCTTGATGGGAAACAGATTGGCTTGGAAACAGCAGAGGGGAGCAAGCCGATCCAGGTACCATTTGATGAGTGCCATCTGATTGACGAGGAGTGAGTACTAGCTATGTTAAAATCCCGGGTGATGTTAAGCGGAGACTAACACCAGGAAATCAGGGAGGTTTACACTGTCGCTACGACCACCTTCTGTCGTTTTTTCGTGTAAGTGTTCCTATCTAGGCCCGTTGAAAAGAAATCAAACTCACTATTTACCTCTGCGATAGTGGCACGGTATGCAACGGTCGCCAAACGCTTCTCGGACCGGGAGACCACTCATCGACTGACCCGGTGCCTATCGGGAGTGTTTACTGCCAGGGTTGAGGGAGGTGTATGCTACAGATCGCTGGATACGGTTATCTCGGGGTTCCTGACTTAAGCCATTAAATATGTATAACACAACAATACAAAACCTATCGTCTTCATGCATGGTATCAGGTCGGATTCTTTGATGCTCAAGACATTGGGATTAGTGATTTACAACGAGGGTATCGGAGTAGTTCGTTAGAAGCTTGTCTTCATTCTAATTCGGCACCTATGATGTTTAGTTTCTCGTGACTCCAAGACCGAAGTGACCCACGGTGCCACTGTTACCCTCAAGGATTCAACCCTCCCTTTCTTCCGATTCTCATTGAGCGCCACGATCAAAGGCGAGGCGCCCCTGCGACGGAGGAGTGAGACCGACTGGGCGAGGTGAGCTTCGCGCATTGGAGACATGACGAGGATGACGTCCTGGGCTAGGAATTGCTGGGAAATGAACATCCAATGGCATGAGGTCCATCGCGAAGAACCCATGGAGAAATTAATTAATCGTCCAATCGATCAATTAATCTCCAGTGTTCTCTCCCCGCCTTTCGCATTTCAAGCCTTCGCCAAGACTTTCGCCGCCATTTTTGTTTCATCTGCTCTCGGTCTTCTCGCCTGTCTTACAGTCTTTGACTCCCATGCTTCTGCTCCTGCATTTTCCCCTGTCGAGCTGCATACCCCCTCTGTCTCGAACCAATCTCTCCGATTCATCCCCGATCGAATCCATGCGAAAGGCGCGGACAACCTCGCCTGTCCCATACATGGCGTCACAAGTGGAACACGCTATTCTGGTTAACTTTGTCGATCCCCCAATAGATCCAATAATGGGCCACATCAAGTCATCCGTCCGCAAAACCCCCCGATGGCTGGCGCAGGCATTATAAGACCCGAGCTCGTCGCCGCGGGTCAAGGATTTTCAGCTCGTTCTTCTCGAGTCCCACGCTTTCTCCACCGCTCGACATGGGGTTCTTTGGCAAAAAGGACGCATCCCTCAACCCCCATGCCGGTAGCAATGCGCCGGACGACGATATCAGAGAAGCCCCGGTCGTCAGAGACCCGGAAAAGCAATTGCCGACCCACGATGACGACGTCCAAACCGCGTTGCCGCCCATGCCTGCGCCGGCGATCGACATCGATCCCGCTGTAGAGAAACGACTGCTACGGAAGCTCGATTGGAGGGTTCCGACGCTGTTGGGGTTCCTGTGTAAGCCGGAAACGCTTATACCATGATCGTTGCGCGCCCAACTAACGCCAATATCGACAGATCTTCTTTCCACGTTGGATCGGAGCAATATTGGGTTCGTGGTTCCTGGATTCCGCCGGTTGAGGCTCTGGGCACTGACGTTTAATGAATCTAGGAATGCGAAGATTGCTGGAATGGAGGATGATCTTCACCTGAGCAGCGATCAATACACATGGCTACTCACGATCTTCTACATCTCGTACACGGTGTTTGAGTTTTTCGCACTAATGTGGAAAATAATCCCGCCTCATAGATGGGCTGCGATCACCGTGCTGACATGGTAGGTTTACGGTGGATAGAGTTACCGTTCCGCAACGCCCTTAACTCAAGCTTCGTCTAACAATAGACTCCAGGGGTATAGTTGCCACATGTCAAGCCGCCACCCGGAACTGGCAGGGCATGATGGCTCTGCGGTTCCTCCTTGGTATGGGAGAAGCCGGATTCGGTCCCGGTACACCCTTTCTACTCTCGTTCTTCTACCGTCGACATGAATTGGGTCTTCGTTGCGGTCTATTCGTCTCCTCCGCTCCTTTAGCCAATACTTTCGCCGGTGCGCTGGCCTACGGAATCACGTCCGGCCATCCCAAGCTCGCCAGCTGGCGACTTTTGTTCCTCGTCGAGGGGATTCCCTCCTGTCTGGCTGCCGTTCTGGCCTGGTTCTTCCTCCCCGATCATCCCTCGACCGCCCGATTCCTGACTGAGGAGGAGAAGGAAGTCGCCCGGGCCAGGTCGATCCAGCGCAGCGGTGAAGGAGAGCGCGTCACTGGGATCGACTTGAAGGATATAGGCCGGACTCTGTTGGACGTGAAAGCCTGGCTTGTTGCCGTACGTTCACCCTTCAAATCACCCCCATGGATGGAATCTAATAAGAGGGAAACACAGTTGATGTACTTCAGCTGCAACGTCAGCTTCTCTTCGCTCCCCGTCTTCCTGCCTACCATCCTGAAAGACATGGGATTCACCTCGATCAACGCGCAGGGCCTTACGGCTCCGCCCTACTTTCTTTCCTTCCTCTTGACGATCGCAACCACCTATATGGCCGACCGATTCCAGCAGCGTGGCCTCATGATCGCGTTCCTATCCATCGTCGGCGCCGTCGGCTACGTGCTTCTTGCCACCTGCACCGCCGTCGGTGTCCGTTATCTGGGCGTGTTCCTCGCCGCGGCGGGAGTTTTCCCGTGCATTGGAAACATTCTCCCGTGGACCTTGAGTACGTCTACTCTACTCTACCCCTGTCCATTTCCAAGATCTCGAAAAACGCTAACACAAATACTACCACCAGACAACCAAGGCTCCGACACCCGTCGCGGAATGGGTATCGTCATTCTCAACATCATCGGCCAATGCGGTCCCTTCCTGGGGACAAATGTCTACCCCGAAACCGACGGCCCGCGATACATCAAGGGCCAATCGATCTGCGCCGCGTTCATGTTCTTCACGACGATCCTGGCGCTCTCCCTGCGGACGCTGCTGGCGTGGGAGAATCGTCGCTTGGACGAGAAGCATGGACGGGTAGGAGAGACGGAGGGAGACGCGAAGACGGAGACGGTGGCGCGGGAGAACTACGGCGCTGCGTTTCGGTATGCGTTATAGGACTGGTTGTCGAGTTCTAACTGCATCTGGATGTAGTTGTGGTTGTGATGATTATCGATCGGGCTGGGTAGGTTGATTAGGCTAGGTAGTTATTAACGCAGTATATGACCATTTCTTTTTGATTTTTTCTTTTTTAAATGCTCTTTTAGGAGTCTACAATAGATGAAACCGGAAGTATAGGAAGCAGATCATCGGATTAAAAGGAAAAGATCATGACGTTCGATATATTCGTTAAGTGCAACCAGAAAGTACAGTACATGGCTACTTCGGTCTGGCTGTGATCTGACTCCCCGTCTTTTCCCTGTCTTCTTGGGGACCATCCACCCATTCAACTTCTGGGCCATCGAGAACCTGCCTCTCCAATTCAATGCCCCATCTCACTTCACCGTTCTGATCCAGGAACCACCCCAATCTCGTTCGCAGATTCCCGGTATCCGCCGCCGATACCCGACCCGCTTGGATTTCCCGCACCACTCGGATCAAGTTGTCGCTGCCGGCAATCATAACCAGGACGTCGCCCATGCATTCGACGTTGCGCATCATGCGGCCCAGGAATCGCCGTTGGAGGAGCGCCACCACGGCTGTGGTGAGGATTAGCCAGCCGAGGATGCCGATGCTCAGCCATACAGCGACGTCGTTCATGCGCATGAGTTCAACGCGGCGGGTTGCGCGTGCGCTTACGGTGCGGTTGGTGTGCGAGATCGGGTGAATCACATCTTGAGTCGTCGCGGGGTTTGGATTGCGCGTGAAGATGTCGTCGACGGCTGGAGCGAGGTCGTGGGGTAAGCTGGCGTTGATGGGCTGGTAGGCCCAGCTGCCGGTTTCGAGCGAGATGTTGTTGCTTGCGAAGTGCTGGAAGAAGGTCGAGAACGTTTGGGAGGCGTACTTGGTGAAGGTATCTGGGTCGATGAGGGCGGAGGGGTCTTTGCCTGCGAGGGAGTACATAGCGTACGTCATGAAATCCATGTTGAGGCCGTTGGTTTCGTCGCGGATTGTGTAAGTGTTGTCGTCTGTGTTCTCGGTTGTGAAGCCTATGACGCGGTTGCCTGCGAGGTTCAGAGTGCTGGCGGCTGTGAGCATAGACGACATGAAGAGACGACCATAACTGAGGGCGAAAATTGTTAGCGACTGTTATATAGTATTGTCCGCATGTGGCATGAGGATGAGCAACGTCTTACCTTATGGTGGTGTTGAAGACCAAGTACCCTAGATCTTCTGGATCTCTGTGCGTTCCATTATGAATCAAGAAATTATCCGAAAAAGCATCATCCAGAGTCTCTGGTTTATCAAGAATATTGAACGCCTGGATATCACCAGTACTAGGATTAACCGTGACCCTCGCGTTGGCGCTTTCAACTAGCGGCATGCAATTCATGACGACAGTGTTGGGTGGCTGGCTGAATACAAGACGCTGCATAGGATCGGAGATATCCTTGGTCAAGGTGACTGACGTAGCAGTACCAGTAAACCACTTGGCTGTGAAATTATGCTCCCAGGTTCGTGGTGTCCATGTATATGGACTAAGGTTTGGAGACCAGTAACCAACCGCAACAGTTGAATTGGGGGGACTGCTGGTTGAATTACCACAGCATATTATCTGAGAAGGATTGACGTATATGGAAGTACATCGCTCGCAGTTAGTCCAGTTGCGTCCTGGCTCGGGCGGAAAGATCATGCTTGGAAAGTCTCGGTTTCCATATGATGCACCCAGTTCAAATCCCGAGGTGACTTCTGGGACAACAGTATCGTTTGGACCAGGGTTCCATAGAGACATCCAGGAAGAGAGATTGCGAAGACCCTCGGCTCCGTCACTGCTGCATTCAATACGGCCCCGGATGGCAGGTGTAACAAAAGAGACATTGAATGGAGATGCGTGCGTTGCGCTATGTTGGTTCAAATTGCGTCCAAGAGCCGAAGCAGACGCATTTTTACCCACGCTCGACAGGGAAGTGGTGGCGTTGCTCAGATCCAAGGGGACAAAGCTCCAGCCATCTTTGCTCCAGGCCGGCTGGGAGCCGTTCAAAATAAGTTGGTTTGAAGCAGTGTACATCCAGTGCGTCGAGAGGTTTTGGAAGAGATCACCCACAATCCTCGCTGCGTACTCATCAGGCTCATGGTTGATTTCCGATTGCCGCGTTTCAAAGAGAAACGGAATCCGGCGGATTTCCAACCCACGCTGAAGGTCGAGTGTCTGCGCGATATTGCCAGATTCTCGTTCGAAAAGTGCTGACATGGCTGTGGTAACTAGGGGACTAATTAGTATAGATAAAGAAACGCAAAGGATAAATGATTCCTACAGATTGGTGTCAAGGTTGCTCCCAGCGTGACCAATAATAATAGCCAGTGTCGATTTCTGGCGGCTTTGACGGCTGCCCAGACCCAATAAGACGACTGGTATGACAAACTGATGCCCTGCGAAAATTTGGGCCGGCCATTTGACATAGCAAGGAATGGCTGGAGGCGGCGAAAGTTGTCGTCGATAGCACTCCACCATAGGCCAATCCCAACAGCTATCAGGGTTGGAATGATGGAAAAGGGCGCCACCGTAGGGATGTTCTTATTGAAGATCGAGATGTTGGCTTGATAGACGAAGAATTTCTGGTACAGCTGAGAACCCTCGGCAAAGTGGTACAACACAGCGATGCCGACGATGACTGCGGCGAGCGATATGACCAGACCTAAAAGCGTAGCGAGACGAAGCACCCCAGGGATCCAGGTGGATGGTCGAGCGGGATCAGACTTTGACACTTCGGGAGATGTGTTATCAGATTGCAAAGGATCGCGACGTATTTCGGAGAGGGCCTGAGGCTCAGTGTGGTAATGACGTCCTTGCAAGAGCTTCTGCATTTCCTTCGCCGGGGTCACACTGAGGCCACTGAAAGACGATCTGATTTTACTGTCATGTGTCACTAAACTCGCCACCTCGGCCGTGGTGGCAGGATCACTCTTCAAGTTCAAAGGTCTTTGTCGTAGTCGAGAGCACCGCCAAACAACAAGCAAGAGACAGAAAGAGAGGAAAAGCAGAACAGCCAACGCAACAGCAGGACCCTTGACAACCACTACCCGTTTCTCGAAGGCAGTGATTTGGCCATTGATGGGGACCTCTTCAGATGCACCCTGATGAGTCACCGATGCCTGCAGTGCTTCGCCGAAAAAGCGTTGTTTGACCTCCCCCGCACGCTGGGTCATGTTCGGGTCATGTAGTATGTCTGTCATGTTGAAACCGTAGCTAGCCCCAAGAAGAATCGCAGGCCCACCCAAAATCGGCATGTCATTCTGGTAGAGCATTGAAATCATGTAGCTCGCCCAGTAAGGGTTAAGGGCAAGCTGTTGCAATTGCGTGGTGTTCAGCAGCTTTTCGGGAATAATAGTCTTCTTTCGATCATACTCGCTTTCATCAAAAGAGATGGAGGGCTCGTTGCTTGATAGATCGACCGAGGCCGTCACGTTGGCCATGTAGTACTTCGTGGCGCAGAGATGGGCACTGTAGGCCGCCTGTGGCTTTTTGGCCCATGACTCGCTCAAAACCAGGATCTCACGCCCCCGACAGTCTCCCGTGTTATTGACCTGGTACGAATCCGAACCAGGGTCAACGTAGGGCAGATAATTGGTGTATATGAATGCCGATGCGTTAGACCAGCTACCACCACCGGTGCCGAACATGTTATTTCCTTCAACATGAAGTCGATAGGTGCACCCAACAGGGGAAGACCAGAGAAGAGTGATATTAGCTTTGTTGTCATAACCAGAAGTATGTTCCAAGGTCATCTTGTCGCAGGTAAGGTTACTTCTAAACATCGTTGTCTCAACCTGCCATGACTGAGAAGAGGTCGACGACAACGAGCCAATAGGCGCAGTTGGCCAATCAGCCGGCCACACAGGAAGCATAGTGTAGCTATCAGTAACCCACGGGGACGTTGTCACATTCTGGAGGACATGACTAATTGTTCGAAAGCGAGTGGTGCGATCCGTATCAAGGGGCAGAGGCGAGTTAAAATGCGGTGTCAGGCGAGCAAACTCTCTGCTGTGAGGAACGGCCACATCTTCGGAGGTTAGCAATGCTGATGACAGAGGCGAGATGACAAGAAACCCCAAAATGTTAACTAGCGCGGCGCTTGTGAGGATCCAGCTTCGAGAATGACCTCCATTCTTCTTTTTGGAAAGACCATCGTGGAGGGCATTCCACCAAACTCCCGGAGATTGGAGAATACTTGAAGATGCCGCTGCTCCGTCTGGTCGTGCCAGGCGAGCGTACGGCTCTGTACGCTTTACATCGTCAAATAGCATAGCAGTGAATTGTATGTAAATCACGGCCACTAGAGTGGGACTGAATCTCCAACCGAAAAGAACAGCGGAGGAGCCATGATCGTTCCCCAACCCGTAATTCGTTTCAGATCGCCAGAGCAAGAGGGCTATGACCAGACACAACGCCAAAGCGAGGATACTCAGCGCACCCAAATAAAGATGTCCAAATGTACGAGGAAGCCAGGTTGCGTAGCCGCGGCTTCGCTCTGTCGAAGGACCAAGAAGATACGGATCCGAATCTGATGGGCGCGCAGAATGAGGGCCTGTATTTCTGGGTGTCCTATCAGGTTGCAAGTCGTCTCTTATTTGGCGATCATGATCGACGTAATGGTATTCAGGAGAGGGGCTACGCGCTCTGTTCACGGTGTCATGGTTTCTCTCCGATGTCGAGGAATGAAGCGAGGAGACGTCCGACAGCGAAGCCGTTGAAAAATCAGTTCTGCGAGAGTCTAATGACCGGTAGTTGAAGTATGCACTTGGTTCCGACGGTACTACCATGTTGAACCTTTCTGGCGGTTGACGTTAAGGGACATGTGTAAAGCTTTGGAAGAGTGAAAAGTGCTAGATGACCCATTCATGATTTTTAAAGATAATGTGCAAGGCTGTTCGTCCATTCCTACCCGAAGCAGTGTCGCTACTAAAAGGGACGTGCATAGGCTTGGGGGCAGTGATCATCACGACACCATACAAACCCTGCGGGCCTGCTCCCTGCATAGCAAGGCTCGCTGTGGAGTCGGCCTTTGAGGGTTGCTCATCCATCGCATTGGATAATGTCGGCTCCATGAGGCCCGTGATTCGCCCATTTTCACGTTACAGACCAAGCCCGAGGGATGTCCGACGCAGGGGTGGGTAAATCGATGGGCGGCTGTGCCCGGAGGACCGTTGATGGCAGTTTAGTGTCTCGGCGGTGCGTACGGAGTGCTGAGTACACCGTAGGTATAGCTATCCTTGTGCGTCACTCCCGGGTAGCAATGGATTCTTCATATTGATAGACAAGACGGCAGGCTCCTTCAGGATCAGGCCTCAAAATGAAGCCTCTTATCATCAAAACCGGATGACTGAGACGGGCTCACTTCCGTTTCATCTGTCTATCAAAAACCAGATGGGCCCACATTGAGCGGTTAACTGCCGTGTTGACTGGTCCTGGGGACTCTCGTGGCTTAGCAATTTGGGGGCTGAAGTCTGAAAGGCGGGTGGAATTTGTTGTTTAGCGCTGAAGGCGGGCGACTTGTCCATGAGGATCGGCGTTGATCATATTTGCTTTTGTACATGGATTCGGCCGGGAGGGTAAGCGATGGGGATTTCTCCTCTATCCACACAATGAGGATAGGACTGAATGGGGAGCTGCTTGGCCCTCAAGACAGAAGAAGAGAAGAAGAAGATGAAGAAGCAGAGAAAGACGATAGAAAGATTAAGGAGGTTTACGGTACATTACATACTGGTACTACAGTTCGGCCAGTTTTGAGGGGGAAATGTCCTCAAAATGACTGATACACGGTACCGCAGTGTATTGTCTGCTAAATGACTTCATCGCGAGCAACACACGTAACCCTACAACATTCATTCCTTCACATTCCGAGCTATCTTGGAGTATCCTGGTCAAGAAACACCCTTAGCTCTCTCAGGTATTATGGCTGTCGATTCAAGCACCCACCCCAATCTCTACGGGATTGTGGACATGGGAAGGTCTGTATAGTCTGAGGCACAGTCTAAATTCACCCCGCCATCCTCAATCATGCCTAACACTGACAAGAGCATAGCAATGGGATCCGATTCTCCATCACCGACTTATCACCTGAAACCGCTCGGGTCATGCCGACGGTGTTCCAGGACCGTGCAGCTATCTCACTGTACGATGCGCAATTCTCCAACTCAAACGTGCAGGGTCCCATCCCTCAAGACACGATGATTCAAGTTGTGGATCAACTGGTTCAGTTCCAAGCAACCTGCGAGGACTTTGGCGTGTTGGCAGACAACATCCATGTTTTAGCGACAGAGGCAACCCGAACGGCACCGAACACGCAGCAATTCAGAGCCCTGATCAAGGAGCGCACCGGGTGGGAGGTCCGCCTTCTGTCGAAAGAGGACGAGGGCAGGATCGGGGCCTTGGGAATCGCCAGCAGCTCAAACTCCGTCGCGGGTCTCGCGATGGATCTAGGCGGCGGTAGCACGCAAATTACGTGGGTGGCTGAGAAGGATGGAATCGTCTCGACCAGTCCCAAGGGGTCCTTCAGTTTTCCCTACGGCGCGGCAGCATTGACGAAGCGCTTAGAGCAGGCTAAGAAAGAGGGCAAAAAGGCAGAAAAAGCTCTGAGGGAAGAAATGATCGAAAACTTTCAGGAGGCCTACAAGAACCTTGAGGTACCTCGATTCACCGAGGGTCCCAACGGACCATCAAATCTTTACCTCTGTGGCGGGGGGTTTCGCGGCTGGGGCTACGTTCTCATGGCGAAGTCCCAAATCAACCCGTATCCCCTGCCCATAATCAATGGGTTCCGGGCTAGCAGGGAATCCTTCCACGATACGGCCTCCGTCCTGGGTGTAGTTTCAGACTCCGACAAGATCTTCGGCGTGTCCAAGCGCCGAGCGTCCCAAATCCCGGCGGTGGCTTTCCTGGTCAACGTGATCATGGATGCATTGCCGCATATCACGCACATCCAGTTCTGCCAGGGAGGTGTGCGCGAGGGATTTCTGTTCGACAGGCTGCCCAAGGAAGTTTGCGCACAAGACCCCGTCGTGGTTGCAACCCGGCCGTATGCACCTCCCTCAGCAGACGCGATCAGACAGCTCCTGTCCTCAGCACTGCCGACTTCTGCATCCTCGTTAAACTCTCTACGATCCCCTGACTCCTTCTCCGACAGTGTTATAATGGCTCTCGCGAATCTACTCTTTTTCCATTCCCGAGTGCCGCGGGAATCGCGTCCAGCCGCTGCACTGCACAGTACCTCGGCGGGTCTCCTAGCCTCGGTGAATACGATTTCGCACGCTGAACGAGCACTGATTGCGCTGGCTCTCTGTGAGCGCTGGACAGGAGACTTGGCACCCATTGATGAGTTCTACCGACGCCAGCTAACTGAATGCATCTCGAAGAAGGAGGCATGGTGGTGTCGGTATTTAGGGCAAGTAGCTACTCTCATTGGAGACGTCTACCCCGCGGGTCGTGTACCGACATCCACTGGAAAGATTCAGTTGGAAACAGAGTGGGACACCATTACTAAGAAGAAAGAGAAACGGGATCTGTTGCGTCTGCGAGTGAAATGCAACGTGAAAGGTCCTCTGAAGAACGAAGTCCTGCCCGAGAGAGCGAAGAAGATTGAAAAGGTCGGGAAGAAGAAGAATCATATCAAGGGATACGGTGTGAAAGTGGAAGTTCAGGTTTCCTAGCCCATATTTATCATATGTCACTGTTTTTATGGACGCAGTCCGCCGTTATGACCTTATAAGTACTTAATCCAAGGTATCGTGGTTCTCAGTCCAGAGCACACGCTCTGCTCGCAAATCCGAGCTTCTGGCGTAGCTAGCCATGGTGTTCGTCCAATGGCAGAATATTGCTCTTGGATGACACATAGGGTATGACACATTGTGCAAATACGTGTTACTCCGTAGGGTTGAGCTAGAGCAATGCCAATTTGATTTGTTGAGAGGATAGACTGAGGGGTGCTTCGTTGTATACTCCACCGTCGACGTCATTGGGCGGCCTGGAGGCCATATGGATTAGAGGCCCGGAGGATGAGCTCACCATGACACATCGGGTGTACAAATGGATCTGTTGGGATTGGAGCCAGGTGGTGTATTCCGTTGCAAGGGACATGATTGACAAGACACTAGTCCCTTAGGACGAGAGTGGTCCGGCGAGAAGAGGAATCGAGTCACCGGCGAAGCCGCGAAAGTCAATTAAGCGGCCGCGGGGTCCACCCGTGACCGTCTCTAATCTCTATAAATGCCCCCTCCTCTTCTTACCCCGCCATCTTCTTCTTCCCTTCTCTTCTTCCATCACGCTCTCATCGACAGAATTGCTCGCTCATCTGTAGTGTTCTTTGTCATCGACCAAGTTCTCCTCCCCAGAATTATGTCCTTCCCCAGATGGAATAGGCTGACCGTTATTCAGGCACAGCCCAACCAACCCGCAATGTAATATACACCTTTGCGTGGGCCCTCCTTCAAGGGGCCCTTCGAATGAAAACAACGACGGAAGTCATGGAATTAGCCTTTGGCTGTAATTTCTGATCAAGGTATCTCAGGTAAATTCTGGGCGTGGGCCGGTGTTCGTTCCCATCCATTGACCCGCCAACCTGTGATCGTTCTGAACGGGGTTCTTTCGAGATCTTCGTCCGGACCAGCATCACACGGTTGGTGGTCAATGGTTTGGGTTCGTTCTGAGATTATACGGTCATAACTTGATCTGGACAATACCAGCGAAAGGATCATGCCTTCCCTTGTTTTCTGTTTCCCCCGATTCATGGAATGGCTAACAAGGAACAGCTTGACTCACAATGTCTCCTCCCGCTGCTACGTACGAACCCACCGTGGCCCCTACCGGCCTTAAGGGTAAGGTCGTGGTGCCCGAGACGTTGTCTGCCACTGGCACTGCTCAGACCAAGCTGCTGGACCATTTCGGCAGCAAGTGGGATCAGTTCCAGTTCGCTCCGATCCGCGAGAGCCAGGTCTCTCGCGCCATGACTCGACGCTACTTCCAGGACCTGGACAAGTATGCTGAAAGTGACGTGGTCATCGTCGGCGCTGGATCCTGCGGTCTGAGTACTGCCTATGTGCTGGCCAACGCCCGTCCCGACCTGAAGATTGCTATCATCGAAGCCTCCGTCTCTCCTGGTTCGTGACAAGAGAACCCCAGATTATCATGAGCTCATGATGCTGACGAGTTGCCTATAGGCGGTGGTGCCTGGCTCGGTGGCCAGCTGTTCTCCGCGATGGTGATGCGTCGCCCCGCCGAGGTGTTCCTGAACGAGCTGGGCGTGCCCTACGAGGAGGACCCTGCCAACCCCAACTACGTTGTGGTCAAGCACGCCTCGCTCTTCACCTCGACCTTGCTGTCCAAGGTCCTCTCCTTCCCCAACGTCAAGCTCTTTAACGCCACCAGCGTCGAAGACCTCGTGACCCGTCCCTCCACCAACGGCAACCCCAAGGAAATCCGCATTGCCGGAGTGGTCACGAACTGGACGCTGGTGACGCTGCACCACGACGACCACTCCTGCATGGACCCCAACACCATCAACGCGCCTATCATCATCAGCACCACGGGCCACGACGGCCCCTTCGGTGCCTTCTGCGCCAAGCGTCTGGTGTCCATGTCCACTGTCGATAAGCTGGGCGGCATGCGCGGTCTGGACATGAACTCCGCCGAGGACGCCATCGTCAAGAACACCCGCGAGGTCGCCAAGGGTCTCATCATCGGCGGTATGGAGCTGTCCGAGATTGACGGCTTCAACCGCATGGGCCCGACCTTCGGGGCGATGGTGCTCAGCGGCGTCAAGGCCGCCGAGGAGTGTCTGAAGGTGTTTGATGTGCGCCAGCGCGAGTGTGCCGAGTAAATTCGGTGCACTGACTGGTACTAGTACGCTCGGGGAAGGAATCGTTTCTGTTATGTTGGGAAATCTCCCTCAGTCTGGTCTTTCTTTTATGACAAGCTATGAAATGAAATAAGGGAAATTGATGAATGAACCATATGAAGATTCGTTGAATATTCGTTCGTCTTAACTTATGATCGTAATATGTAACGCAGTAGCATAAGACCGGCTCTCGAGATAACCAGAAGCAAGGAGAGCGACCACTCTCACACATACCGCACTCAACCTGTCTCTGCTGCCTACAGATCTAATCTGTACCTACGTCCCTGGTGCCTGTTCCCTTACCGATCGCAGATCCAAACCCCAACCGCGGTACTCCGTACCTCACCGACACCCTCCTCGCCTACAACGGTATGTTATTATTGATATTGACTCTACTCTGAAACCAAACCCAATGAAGCGAGATAAATGTGAATTAAATTTTTGTTCAGGTTTCCAGGACTATTTATATCATGCCCATGCGTAATCACTAATCACAGAATCTTGTCTTATGTATCTTGACATAGAAGACAAAAAAACACGCAGATAAATACATCAAAGTAATCAAAATGGCCGAGAAAAAAAGTCTATAAATATGAAAAAAAGAGCCAAAGAAAATGAGGAAATATGTGAGATCAGTGCACGTATGTACGTAACATCCAAATCAAGTCCTATCCAATCAAAATACACCTCGATAATAAGAATGAACAACAGAATCCGAACAAAAGGTTGCTGAGTAGTAGTAGTTGTAGTTGTAGCTGTAGTGGTTTTTTAAAACTGAGAACTGATATACATGAAAAAACGGTCGTCGGTATCGGCATCGGCATTCGGTGTTGGCACAGCCTATTCCAAAGGATGAGAAGAGGGAGGGTGAGATGAAAGATGGGCGGGTATCGAGTCTAGGATGGATAGTTCGCGTCTAGTACTGCTGCATGTTGTTCCAGTACTCGGTACCGTGCTGGACCTCGCCCATGGGCTCGAGGGGCCATCTCATGATCATCCGGGTCCATTGCAGCAGGTGGCTGGCCAGCTTGATGTGGCCGACATCTGTGGGGTGGTTCTTGGGGTTGATGTCGTTGTGCTGTAGGATACCGGCGGTGTCGAACCAGTGCACGAAGCCCTTCTCCTTGTAGTGGTCGTGGACGCGCTTGATCTCGGACTCGTAGACGGAGTTGGGAACGTATTCGGTTCCGGTCTTGGTCCAGACGCCCCATTGGGTCTGATTTTCAGTCGTTAGCATGGCTGTGAAGGATCGGTGCGGTTTTATAGAGAAAAAAATGGGAGAGAAGATCGGGAATGAGGGATTGTCATCAAAGCCAAAAGAAGAACGTACCATGACGACTACAACAGCCTTGGGCCAGATTCCGTGGATGTCGTCAATCAGACGAATGTAGTCGTGGTAGAAATCGGGACCCGAGATTTCGTTGGGCGCACGGTGGTCGTTGCCACCCATCTGGATGATGACCAGATCGGCATCCTGGTCGCGACGGACGTCGAATTCTTCGGGATCGTGGTCGTACATTTCACGAGCACGGGTACCGGGGTCAGAGGCACGGTGCCACCACCAGGGCTGGGTCGGGGTTAGTGAGACTGCGGTACAGAACGGGAGGGAAGATGTATGTACCATGCCGTGAACACCGCCGCCATAGCACTTCATGTCCGCAAGACACGCTCCGGGGTAAGCCTGATAGGTAATTCGTTAGATCGAGTAACATGGTACAAGAAGGAAATACGAACCGTAATGTCGAACTCCGCATTCCCGAGTCCAGCTCCGTAAAGCCAGGCCCACGAGGAGAGGGTCTCGTAAGTGCCATATTGTCCGGAGGCAAGCCTTTCCAGAAAGTCAGTACATGATGACCAAACAGACGAAACCCGGCAAAACTCACGATCCACCGATAATTTCAACTCGGCGCTTGAAGTTTTCAACCTTGTTGAGGTGCGCATCATGGGCAACAGAGACACCAGCGATCTGAGCTGTACACGGACGGTCAGCAGGGAACGATACCACGAAAAGAATAGGGTGACTTATCCAATGCCCCAGTTGGTGACTCGCAGCTCGAAAATCTTGGGGTCTCCAACGGGCTTATCGCCCACGTCCGTGTCGGGCGAGACAAATTGGTAGGTGGTATCGGCGGTCACGTTCGAGAAGAGCCAGTCGAGGGAACCGATACTATTGCACCAGCTTAGCTAATCGGAGGTTATTTGCATCGTATCCGGCGAAACCTACCGATACGCCACCAAAACTCCCTCCGACGTGTGTTCACCGAAGCTCACGGCCAACTAAACCGACGTTAGTTCATCCGGGGATCCCTGACCAGGCGATGTCCATGAGACGGAAAGACCTACTCGGTCACCAGTAAATTCGGTTTTGATGCCAGGGGCTCTGCTCGAGTTAGTGACCGTCGGAAACGAAGATAATAGGCGGCACGAGAGCGCAGAAATCGCGAAGGAACGGGGAGACGTACGACCACCCTAAAAGACAAAAGACAGAACACGGTCAGTTCACAAGATCCCGAAAGTTCAGGGAGGGAACACGGCAGGCGGGAGGGTCACATACAACCGATGTGTTTGCTATCCCAGCGGCCCTTGTAGGAAATCTCCGGGGCACCGGCGTCGTAGTTTCGCCAGGAGTCGTCGAGCGAGACGTTCGAGACCTGGCCGGGCCACGGGTTCAGTCTCTCCTGGCCATTCTCGAGGATGGTGGCCGAGGCGAGCAGCGAGGAGGAGACGAAAGACCAGAGAAGAGGAGCGAAGCGCATTGTCACCGGAAGCAAGATGGAGAACCGGACCACATGAAGGGAGGGACAAGAACAAGTGGAAATAAGAAACGGACCGGGGGATTTTAAAATCGCAAGGCGCCGGGCTGAACGAAGTCGTGGCGCTCCCAGCCGGGGGAGTCGTTGGCCTGAGGCTCCACCGCGGCCTGGCGGGGGCGCAGGGCCGAGTTCGTGCGTCCCTATTGGTGGGACTGCCTGGATGACGTGATCATGCCGAGCGTTGATCTATTGATAGCCCAGACTCATTCAGTGATCAGTATACGAGGTTAATGTGATTGAGTGGGTTTTACGTTGCGTTATGGCAGAGTCTCCCCCAGAGCCGACATACCTGAGCGACGCTGGACTCTCCCCAGACCCGACCGACACATGCCGGAACCGGACAGAACGGTCGCCTCAGGCCGATCCATCTGAACCCCTTTTTGCGCCAGGGTCTTGGGGGCCACTCTTTTTCCCCTTATGATTGGCCCGTCGCACACCCACGCGGGGTCGCAGCACGCGTGCCAAGACCGGAGGCAGGGAGTGCCGGCCAATCAGCAGCACGTACGCTCCCCAAACTGGGAAAAGGGGCGGACGACGGAGCCCTAAATCACCCAAAAAGGCCAGGAAGGACGGGCGGAAAGAGGCGGAACCGCGCGAATAGGGCTGGCGGCTGTTCAACTTGAGACGTTCGTCTCTCCTGAAACAGTCGAGATCACAGGGATCGCCTTGGGAGTCCGGCGGTGACAGCCTTGCAGGGTGGCCATCTCTACAGAGTATCTCCGGAGCTACCTGTCATGTCTCAAGTCTTGGCTCGGTTGCCTACTCTCCATCGACAGGGGTATTCGAATTAGTCTGGAACAGCAGAAATTACTCTTATACTCCATAGTCCATAGAGTCCTCAAATAGTCCCACTACTTCTAGAATGCACTTTTCTTCTTCTTTTACTAGTATTTCCACCCGTAAGATCTCAAGCCATCACGTGTTCATTAAGAGGCCCGTATGTATGCCTGCCATAGGTCTAGTATGATACATCGAAGAAAGAAAATGATGCCTAAGAATAGGCAGAATAGTAATTACATGTCCGAAGATCCTCTGTCCCCCCTGTCAGGACCCGATTTTCCATCAGGTTTCCTGCTTCTGATCGGGCTCGACCAACCGTCGCGCATTACGTACCTCCCATTCAAATTCCTTCAACGCGCGGATCTCGCTCGACATGAACAGTCCGCCAATCAGTCCGTCCAAGATCCCTGCTCCGAAGTTCAACGTGCTGACGACCACCAGGATGAACGCCACGTAGGGCAGGTGATCGCCGGTCCACCACACGCCGATGAAACACCCGATGGACACCACCACCGAGGCCACGAAATGCGCTACTCGCCAGAACCGTTGGGACCGCTCGCGCTGCCCGTAGCTATGGATCATGTCGAGGATGCGGTCGTAGGTGTCCGGGGAGAGCGTCGTGTTCGGGGTCACGGTCGGATGCTCCGACGTGTTCGCGCTGGCAGGGCGGGACGACGCGCGGGTAATGACGGCCTCGACCGCAAAGTGGTCGCTCAAGGAACAGCGCAGCTGCGGGTGTCGCCCCATCATGGACATCTGCACCGACTCGACCGACCAGCGCGGAGCCGGGAACGCCGGCGCGTAGCCGCCGTCGCCCACGAAGATATAGTCCAGCCGTTTGCCGCGCGGGTCGGGGCTGTCCTTGTCCACCGTCACCTCCTCGCCCTTCTCCAACCGCTTGCGATCGGCCTCTGACCAGCGCCAGGTATTGAACTTGCCGTCGCAGGTGGCGCCGTTCTCCTGGATATTGAACTCGGCCGTGGGCACGGGTTTGTTGCGTTTCTGTTCGACGGGGTCGATGGCGGCGCCGACGGAGGAGTCCGGGTGCAGAACCTGCCAGGCATCCCGGACGGGGCTGTGCGCGCAGATGAGCTGGTGGGCGAACGAGGAGGGCAGCATGTTGAAATCACCCAGACCGATGATCAAGTGACCGCGCTCAGCGGCGCCGCGCATCAGCTTGGCGATCTCCCACGCCTGGGCGGTGCGGTGACAGATGTACGAGTCGTTGGGCTCTCGCTCGTAGGGGGCGTGGAGGTGCGTGCAGAACACCTCGGCGACGTCTTCCACGCCCGGACCAAACCGCACGCGCGCACAGGCAACGCCCTTCCCGACGTACCAGTCGCCGCGGAAGAAGGCCGTCGGCCGGCCGTTCAGCGGATATCCAAACATGCTGCTCTCCTCGATGGGCCATCGCGACAGGATGGCCAGGCCGGCGCCCCAGATGCCGCCGAAGTAGAATTTGCCGTAGGGAAGCAAGTGACGGGTCTGCTCGCGAATGCTTTCGTAGTCCTGCTGCGTCCAGCATTCCTGAAGTCCTACAATCTGCGGGGGAGGGTCCGCCAGAGCCAGCTGGCGACCGATCTCCGAAAGACGCTCATGACGGTATTTGGCGAGATATTTCAGCCCCCAGCAGTTGAGGGTGAGAATGCGGATATCGGAGGGAGGGGTGGTGGGAGTGGTGGACGACATGATCAGAAATGAAGAAAGAAGATCAATGGGATTTGAGAATTAGGACATGATTGTGTGTGATTGAAAATGATGAAGACCGATAGAGGGGAAGAGAAGGAGAGAAGATGAAATCATGGCTTCTCACCGCCTGCTCCCAACGCGTGCGGATTGGTCCAGAGGGCGGCAGAATGGGGGCTCCTCCACTCCTTGATTCTTTTGCTCTTCTTCCGGCTTTCTTTCTTCTGCTGTCTTGTCGTTTCTCACCCACCCGCCTTCTTCATGGACGGATATAATCATCGATCGAAGCGCCGTCGTCTGGATCCGTCTCCGGTGCGGCCGAATGGCTTCATCAAGTCGCCTACCGATACCTCGTCCGACGAGCTGGCTGCGGGCTCCGAACACGATGAGGCCGAGCGCCGTCGCGCCAGTTGGTCTATCCAGAAAGTCGTGCCTCCCAAGCGTCCCTACCGGCGATCGCGCAGCTACAGCGGCTCCGAGAGCCCGGACGAACTGACCATGGATGCGGAAGATTACTGGCGCTCGCGCGGTCGCGGTCGCAAGTCGCCCTCGGAGGTAAGTGCGGAGCCGACGTCGGAGCAGTACCCGGATGACGGCGAGGGCGAGGGCGACAGGGAGGATGCGGTGGAGGACGAGGAAGTGGGGGAGGCGGAGGATGAGGATGCCGGAGCGGAAGGGGACGTAGAATACGTGGAAATCGAAGACGTGGAGGAAATCCCCGCAGACGTTGAAGAGCCTGAAGCTGCGGCTGCGGACGACGCCGACGCCGCGCCCGAACAGCCATATTCAGATCGATCTCCCACGCCCGTCCCTCCACCTCCGCCGCCGCCGCCTCCCAAGCCCGACAAGTTGAATTACCAGCAGAAGTTCTTACTCCGGGGTCACCTCCGCGGAGTCTCGGCGGTGCAGTTCTCTCCGGATGCCTCCATGATCGCCAGTGGGGGTGAGTGATACTTTCTATCTTATCTATGCGAACGAGCGCAAGTGTCGCAGAAACTGACGGTCATGTTTAGGTGCCGACGGAGCGGTCAAGGTCTGGGATACGCAGAGCGGCCGACTGATCCATACCTTTGAAGGCCATCTTGCGGGGGTGTCGACGATCTCGTGGGGGCCTGACGGCGCGACCATCGCATCGGGCTCGGACGACAAAACCATTCGTCTGTGGAATGTGCAGACGGTACGTTTTCGTCTCTATCTCCGAACTGATTTATACGCCGCATCGGACGATAGCTAACGTAGAGGATCCTCCAGGGCAAAGCGCATCCCATCCCCTTCGTCGGCCACCACAACTACGTATACCAAATCGCATTCTCCCCCAAAGGCAACATGCTGGCCAGCGGCTCCTACGACGAGGCGGTGTTTCTCTGGGACGTACGGTCGGCCAGCGTGATGCGATCGCTGCCGGCGCATTCGGACCCGGTGGGCGGCATCGACGTGGTGTGGGACGGGACGCTGGTAGCCTCGTGCGCTACGGACGGGTTGATCCGTATCTGGGACACAGCGACGGGTCAGTGTCTGCGGACGCTGGTGCACGAGGACAACCCGCCGGTGACGGCGGTCAAATTCTCGCCCAACGGCAAGTACGTGCTGGCGTGGACGCTGGACGACTGCGTGCGGCTGTGGAACTACGTGGAGGGACGCTGCATCAAGACCTACCAGGGACACAGCAATCGGAAATACAGCCTGTCGGGGGGCTTTGGCCTGTACGGGGCCCCCGGCGCACCGCCCGAGGCGTTTGCGGTCAGCGGCAGCGAGGACGGCGCGGTGCTCTGCTGGGACGTGGTGAACAAGAAGATCCTGCAGCGCATCGAGGGCCACACCGGGGTGGTGCTGGGGGTGGACACGGCGTCGCTCGGGGAGCAGCGGTTGATGGTCAGCTGCGGTATTGACGGGTTGGTGCGGGTGTACGAAGAACGCGAGGATGAAGACGAGGACCCAGAGAAGGGCCAAGAGAAGGACGCAGGCGCAAGCGCAGAGCCACAACCAAACGGGACGGGAGAAGCCACTGCCGACCCAGAGCCTCAGGCCGACATAGAACCTGAGGCATCGGCACGCGAGCCTGAGGCCGAAGCCGTGGTCAACGAAGCCCTAACCAACGGAGTCACTCCGACCGGCGCTTCGGACGCAGAACCGCAGGATACGGAGATGGGCGAGGCGGACACTCCTGGCGGGTAACTGCCGGGGCATAATCATCTTGCATTTGAACTGGCATTGTAGGGCACTGCCCACGGTATTGTATAGTTAATGGGGCACCGGCGTTGGTGGGCACACATCGAACGGATTGCGTATGTACGAGTATGAATCTCTTCATTGAGGCATAGAGGCGTTATGGCTATGGTTCCTGGCTTACTTACTCCCTATATCCAGAGTAAATAAGGCCTATCATATAAAATAAACCCTAATTCCAATTCCAATATCTACTTTACCCTAACCAGTGTGATGTGCACCCACAAACGGGTTTCAAATCCATGCCAATGGAACTCAATGGACCTCAAAATTTCCTGAAACAAACCCCGCTCTCAGAAATTAGTACAGTAGACTAGACATTATGAACAAACAAAAATGTGTCACCGATTCAACGGCCATCCATGGATCAACCGGCTCGGGTCCCCCGTCGCAACCAATGCCGTTGCATCTTCGGATAGACGATCCGTGGAATCTCAGCCGATAGTCAGGAGTACGGGAGGGGTTTTGGATGAATTGACGGATCTGGCTCTAGTGAGTCTATCGGGGGTTTGGTTGTAATGTCATTGCAATGGATGTTGGATTTAGTTTGCGTTCTAGATTGATTCTAGGGTCTTGGTGTGTTGTGTGTATGTGGTAGCGGTAGTGTGGGTTTTCTTTGATTTTTTTCTATCTTTCTTGTGATTATTATCCACTTTCTTCATGTCATTCTTTCTTTTCTTCTTTCGCACAATGAGGTAATGGAAATGAATATTAAACGATGGAGATTAGGGTGGAAGCATGTAGAATAGATAGAAGATAATATACTCATATCCAGAAGATGATATCAAAAAGAAGAAAATATACTAGAAAAAGATAAATAAATATAAACCACAAACAACTAGGATATGTAATGTCCTCCCCAACTTGCAAACCAAAGGTATATTTAACTCAAACAAGAAAAAAAAAAAAAAAAAAAAAAACCAAACAACAACAGCAGCAGCAGTTGCGATCACCAACTTACGCAGTGTACGCCTGACCACTGATACTCAAGCCCTCACCTTCGAGCAAGAACCCATCCTTGCACATGAAGTAGGCATACCGTCCGACGGCATCATTCTCATCCATCCAGGGAAGCACGGTGTTCAAGAAATCGGCACTCGACTGCGACGCAGCACCGGCGTTCATGTCCTGGCTGAGCGCAAACTCCGTCACCCAGGTACTCTCGAGGTTGAACTCGTTCGCGAGGTCAACGGCATCGTTGACGAAGCTCTTGAAGTCGTCCGCGTTCTCGCCGTACCAGTGCACCGCCAGCACGCTGATGCCGCACTCCTGGCACGACTCCAGGAAGGTGCGCATCCAGGTGAGACCGAGGTTCTCGCCGACGCCGTTGGTGACGGCGGGGGTGACCAGCTTGGCCTGGCCGCTGAGGTTCGAGATGTACTGGTTGTAGTAGCCAGCGGCGTCACCGGGCAGCATGTTCGCTTGCTCGCCCATGTCGGGCTCGTTGAAACCCATGATGTACGACGACCCGGAGGCCAGCGCGGTCTGGATCGCCACGGACCAGCCCTCGAACATCTTGCTGCCCCAGAGCATGGGCACGAACTCGATGTTGCCCGGCAGGTCGCCGTTCGAGTACATGTTCCAGTCGTAGGCCCAGCCGATCTTGCCGCTGGAGGAGAGCGAGTTGACCATGCCGGCTTCGTTGTAGGCGGCACCGCGCTTGGAGGACAGGTCGCGGGTGGCGACGCGGGGAGACGTGCGCTTCAGGTGCACCGTCTGTTCGTGGGTGTGGCCGTGGGGGATGGCCATCGTGGAGGAGGCCAGGAGACCGGCGGTCAGGAGGTGGGTGAAGGAGACCATTTTTTCTGCTTTTGGTCGAGGAGGGGTATTCGATCTAGGATGGAATAATATAATATATGGATGTCTTTGTGTGCTTCAAGGAAAGTGGCTCCAATAGCTATAGACTTAACTAGCAGCAGTAGTCAAGGATAGTGTGGGAGAGGAAGGATAAAAGGAATGACGTTGACTATGCACGGCACGGTCAGATATGCAGCAAAGAAGCCAAAAAGGAAAGGAAGGAAGGACTGATTCGACCGAGAAGAACAGGTGGAAAAAGAGGCGAGAGGGATTCCCTTGGGTTCTTTAAGTATATCCCAGCCAGACTCCCTTGGGTCGAGGAGGGGGCCCGGTTTAGGGCTTGTTCTGGCCAGTTACTACGGAGTATGGCTATGGCTCTGGGCACTGGGCAGGTTAGCGTCGCTAGTCTGGGAGAATTCTTAGTTCCTGGCGTGTTTCATTTTTCGTTTTTCATTTTTTTTTCTCCCTTTGCTTTTGTTTAATTATAATAATTATTTGATTTGATTTGTTCCTGGGAAAGGAGACTAGTCAGAACGGCGACAACTGAGTAGAACAAACCTGCAGAAGACCAGACCCATGGATCGTGAGGGATGCCGATCCGTGGACTTACTAGAAGGGGGCCAGAATCCCATTCGTGCAGCTGCTCGCTTTGTCCTCATTCTTCAATCATTTCGTGCTGTCGACCATGCGTCGATCCATGGTTCCGTTAGGGTTGGACCTGTACTTCGGGATACATCCTTGGGCGGGTAATTGCACTGCGGTGGAGATGTATATTCAGGTACCTGTTTTACGCAGTACGTGGCGGTGAGGAGTGAGTGACACCTCAGATAAATCGGATAGAATAGACAAAGTCAAGAGGGGATCGTGAACTCGAATTGAATTTGCTGCCCCTGATGATCGGGTCCAACCAGGCTCTCTAGAGAAGCAGCTGCAGCCTTTTTCTTCCAATCAGTTCCTTGTCTGCGCCCAACAGCTTAGCGCCAACACATACGATTCATTCGTTCACGCTGCAGAAGAGGATGACGTGAGCGCTTACTGGCGCAGAGTTACATTCTCTCTCTCCGTTGCTTAACTTGCGTCCTCCTGGTCCCCCCCAGAAATCTATTTCTGGAGATCTCGGAGATTTCCTGCTCTGAATTATTTACGGAGTACGGAGTGAGTGATGTTGGGGGAACACCTCCTGATTCAATCTCTTTCACTAGTCTTGACTTATGAGTCCTTTGTGAAGATTATTTTTCCCGGGGGTTATTTTTACATCGGCGCGACTAGACTTAACTCACTGACTGCAAAGTCTGGACTCGGCTGTTGCTGCCACCTGCACTGTTCAACCCATTCCAGGCCCACCCCGTCCGCGATCCACTCTCACTTTCTCTTAGTAGTCTCTCCATCTCCCCATTCTGGACTCGAAAGAATCAGTCCACAGACTCCATAACTACACAGTAGAATCCATACAAGCATCCTCTCGAGAATCCGGTGTGAATTTGCTGAGACTGCTGACGTTGACTGCGGTCTGGGCCCACATGCTCGCCCGAGACCATCCGGCCTATCCCAAGCCTGCGTTGCAAGTGCGATGCCACGCCAGACCCGCTTGCTTCCGGCGGTGGCGTCGAGACTGGAACCTTCGTAGGTGTCTGAGTCGGAGTTCGTTGGATGTCGGAATCCGTCGTACACACAGTAGTGCAGTGCGACTAGCCTGTCCTGCTATCCTGGTGCCTGACGCTGAAACAGCTGGCAGTCAGCCACTGTGCATACATCGGCCCAAGAAGCGAAAGGGGGAGAAAAAGACGCAGGAACGGATCTGTAACGATCAGTCCATTTCCTTGATTGATTGATCGATAGTTCGAGATGTCGTAGATTTTCCATTTCCAGGTATTGAATCACCCCCATTCCTAGCAGACCGGGCCGCCGGTTTATTTCTTTCGTCCCTCGAGCACCTGCATAACGTCAGACACGCTATCCTTGTTCCCCTTCTTCTTCTTTGGCCCTCGCTTCCTCTTCTTGCCGCCCCGTTGTTCATCGTACGTCGGCCCCTCTTCGTCCTCCTCGTCTTCGATGCGACTGTTGCCAAACCCGAGATCCATGTCCATCGCATCCTGCGCTTCTCGTCGTCGTGCTTCCTCCAGGAATTTTTTCCGCCGCAGGAGCGTGTCCGAGTCGACGCCCTCCTCGCCGTCGCCCCCTTCCGCGGCTTCATTCGACGGCGAGGCCTGTCGCAATGCGGCAGCGCGCTTCAACGCAGCCACCAGCGTCGGGTCATTCATCAGAGGGTTGTATCGATCAACGGGCTCGGGCTCGTCGCTCGTCGACGTCGAGAAGTAATTGCGCGGGCGCGACGGTTTCTCCGTGGGTTCCACGGCGGGCGGCGCTGTGTCTCTGTCTGCATTCGCATTCGCATCCGCATCCGCACTGGCCCTCTGCTCAGTCTTGTCATCCACTGAGGTCTCATCCTCAGAATCCGAGGAGCTGCTGTCCCCCTCGCCCAGATCCCCCAGGGGATCGTAATCGGCCCCAACCCCTGCGAAAATATCGTCGTCCTCATCTTCCGCCTCGACCGGGGCCGCAGTCTTGGACGCAATTTCCACCGGTACCTCCATACCTAGGGGCTTTGCATCCTTGTCCGGCGCCAACAGTCCCCCGTTCGACTGGCCCGGCTTGTCCAACCACCGTACCTTTCTCTTCGTATTGCCCTGGGCATCCGTAATCTGTAGGATTTCCTTTCGTCGACCGTTCTCATCCTGTTCCACCCATCGTTTCTTCTCCACCTTCGTAGCATCATCCCCGACCTTCTTGAACCGTGCTCCAAGCACGGACTCCGGCGCAGCCGGTTGTGCTGGTGGCGGTGGCGGTGCCATCTCGGTCGAGCGAGCGCGCTCTCGACTCTCCCGCAACTGTCTTAGAATCTCGTCACGCGTCTTGGGAAGCGGAGCCGGGGCCGCTGGAGGCACCATGGCCAGATTCCCCTTTTTCTTCTTGGGCTCGGTCTCTTTCGGCGCAGAGGGAAGCGCTTCCCCTTTCTCCTCTAACACCCGATCAAACGCCTCGTCCATATCCTCCTCCCCCTTCTTCTCTTCCTCTTCACTGTCCTTCTTCTCCTCTCCCTGCGCATTCACATCCTCCCCGGCCCTCACCCTCCTCAACAACGCCCAATCCAACCCCTTCACCATATGCGTACTCCCCACGTTCCCACCAACCCCCATTTCACCGCGTAGCTTCTCAAACGTCGCCTGATCGATCTGTCCCAGTTTCACCATCTCCTCGAGCGCCTTGACGCGTTTCTCCAGATCCGTCTTTTCGACATCGTCCTCGGCGCCATCACCGTCGCCGCTGCCTCCTCCCTCGCCCGCCTCCTCCAGGGCGCGGAGCTTCGCAGCTCGATCTTCATAGCCGGAGGGCAGCTTCGTGCCTTTCGGGGCCGCGGTGGACTTGAATCGTTTGGAGGGTGGGGCGTGTTGTTCGCGGTGGTAGTCGGATAGTTGGCGCGCAAAGTCGATGTTTCCGACGGTGCGACTGTAGAGGAAAGAGTGTGGGTTAGATTAAGTGGATTCCGAGTGGTAGGTAGACAGATGGGTAGATAGATGGATCGATAGACATGTTGCGGAATGGAGTTAAGTTGGGCTGAGCTGGGCTAAACCAGGTTAGAGAAGGAGAACTCACGGTGTCATGGGAATACTCGACTTGAGTCGAGATCCCAGTGAGGAAGCAGCGGCGGGGGTTGCATTTCCATGTCCTCGCGATGAATCGTGGGACTTGGGCGATTGGGAGGACTGTTTCTGATTTTGGGATTTCGAGGCGTTGTCGAGCAGGAGACGCCGGAATTGCTCGTTGTTCATGATGAACGAAAAGAGACGGAGAGAGAACCCGTTCTCGGTCGCGGGTTGTGTTTAGAAAGACAGAATAACAGACGAAAGAAAGGAGAGGAGAGGCGGAGAGACACGCAGCAACTACTCCATAAGTAAGAAAAGAAAGAAGTAAGAAAAGAAAGAAAAGGAAGAAAGATCGCCTCGATCGCGAACGGTTGCGGAGGGAAAGGCGGGAGCTGCGTGTGCTCGTCCAGTAAAAAAATAAGCAGCCCAACGCGGGGACCCGCAGCCTTAAGATACCTAAGGGACCATCTGGACGACCTCCGACTCGTAACATAGCGAGGGGGATGTCAGTGAAAGATCATTTGGGCCGGTTTAACGGGCAACTCACAAGACTTACGCTCTACCGATTGAGCTAGCCGGGCCTGGTAAGAATTTGGGTTTCAAAAAGTGTTACTAAAAACACATCAGCCATACATTTGGTCATACTGCCTGACTAGATACTTCGGACCGAAGTATGCAGTGGATTCCTATAAATTGGAAATCATAATCCTTCATTCTAATTGCTATGTATAACGTCCAACAGAAAAGAAAATCCCAAACAAGCTCGTCACAATGGCTTTTGGCCCATCCGTTAAGGCATCAATGCACCCTCAATCAACAGAAAAAATGAATATGGAACAATCATGCAGAAAGAAAAAGAAAGATAAGAAAAAGAAAAGAAAAAGATACACAAAAAGAAAAAAATAAGATAGAGGAGCTGATTAATGCATTATACCCATCCCTTTCCATCCTTTACTTCTCCCTCCTCGACTATTGCTCCGAAGGAATGGATGTGTTAAATCGTCTCCCATCCTCCGTTGTTAATGTCCGCTTCCAACTTCCGACTGATCGTGGCGGGCACTCCATGCGAGAGCCATACGTCGCGAAGGAGTCGGTCGTATCGCTTCTGATTCAAGATCAACTGGCGGTTGCGTCGTAGTCCCGGGTCGACTTCGCCGTGTCGGTCCAGGTACGGGGCATAGTGCCAGGACCCATTCTGGTTGTGGAGGTAAAGGACGGTGCATTTACGGATGTTGATGAACAGTCCAATGTTCTTGCCGCATCTGCAGAGATAAATTAGTACAAGATCTTGGGGTAAACGGGATAAAAGAAACCTACTTCTGAAGGTGCTGGTTGCATCCGCCCAGCTTGTTCTCCATACAGCATACGGCTTGCGAGCAGAAGATATCTCCGCAGAACAAGCAGATACTCGGATCGGTCAGCTCCTTCTTGGACTTGGGGCAACGGCGTCGGTTGGCTTCTTCGATCAGGCTATCGAAATACTTCGGCAACCCGACCAGTTCGTAGATGGCCGGATGCGTCAGGCTGGGCCATAGCTTGTGGTCGCCGATGCGAATCCCCGATCGAGATGCGTTCCAGTGGAAGATCCACCCCGAGATAATACCGTCGAACGGACGACTGCTCGTGCGAGCTGGGTTCACGCTCGTAAAGATGTCGTCCAGGGTCGGCAGCTGCAGCATCTTGGTGAGACGGTCTAACTCGGATGCACCCAGGTCGGCGAAGCCAGTGCTGGGGAACTCCACGCCGTGTTGAACGTGCAGCAGGATGACGGCCTTGCGGAGGAAGGTCAGCGCGTAGCTGGAGATGAGACGTCGCAGCGCAATCACGACACCCGGAGTTGCCGAATCCTCGCTGTCCTTGACGTAGCCGCTCTCGGCAGGGAACGAAGACCCTTCGGCGCGTCCGACCGAGTTCGACTTAAGCTCAGAGACGACGGAGTTGAAGAAATGCCGCGTTGATTCGTACCGCTCATCGGACAGCTCCGCGTCCAGCAGGTGATGCGCATCCCCGTTCGAAGCCAGCTCCTCCTTCAATCCAAGGGGCCACAACGCATAGGTCGCGACCACCTTGACAATTTCAGCCACGTAGCACATCTGGATCAGATGGCGGACGTCCATGTTGAGGACCGGCAGGAGCGAGAGCGAGCTCTCGGCCAAGAAGACGAACGTCTCCATACCAAGGAGAGGCTCGATCTCACGGACGTCATCGACAAGCGCCGTGCCTTGCAAACTAGGGTGGCCGACGAACAGCTGGCAGATCTTGTGGCGGTGCATCTCCTGGAACTCATCGATCGAGCGGCTGTGGGGGTTGGTACGATCGTGTAGGCATCCGACGGCCGCGTAGGACAACGCCGTCTCGGCCAAAACGCGGAGATGGGTCAGCGTAAGCTGGGGGATCTTGTCGAGGAGAGTCGCGCCCGGTTCCGACTCGACGCCGCGCTGCGAAATCTCAGCCGCAGCAATGCTGAAGCCAAAGGTCTGGAACAAGGAGTCTGTATGAACCAGGTCGTCCGTATTGATAGTCTCCGGCGAATGGCTGAACGTCGAGTAGATGTGGTTCAGCCGCAGGGTCTTCTTCAACCGCTTGTAGATCTGAAGAAGCTCCGACATGGGACTGTCGCTGGGACTGGAAACATGTTGAAGAGGGCTTGGGGTAGGGAGTTCATCCTGAGTCGGGAAGATACCAGGCATGGGCATCCTGGCCGGCGGAATGTAAGACGTAGGAGATGGGAGAGAAGAACTCATCAGTTGGTCTACCTTGGTGGCAAGCGGAGGCACCAGTGCCTTGGAGAGGTAGTCGACGAACATATCCTGATATGGCTGGTGCTGGCTCGTCGAGGCATTGCCGCTACCATTGTCCATGAGAAGGTTGTAGTTCCGCGGCTGCGCAAGGATAGTCTTGACCTCGGTGGCCATGAACTCGTCGAAGGATGACGTGGTGCTGAGAGGGCCGGGATAAGACTCTTCCTTGCCCTTCCAGGTGATCGGAAGGAATGCATTGCCCAAGGCCTTGCAGAGGGGACAGACGAACTCCTTCAACTGCAGACACTCGGGGTGGTTTCGTGCGATCTGCTGGGTATGACGTCGCTGGGTAGCCGTATAGTAGACCTCGAAGCAGGAGTAATGCATAATGTGCCCACAGCCAGTGGTAACGGGACCTCGAAGGGTGTTCTTCGCGTTAAAACCTTTGCTGAGCCCAACCTTTTCGCTGATCACCTCTCCACCGGTCGAGTCCAGTCGACGCACCGTCGTGCGGTTCTCGCCAGCCACTCCAAACGGCCGGATAGCCTCAGCAGACTTGTCCAAGCTGGACGGGGTCTTCAGCACCTCCCGAATCCAGTCGGGATCCCGGATGTCGGTCTGCCTCATGATGCTGCTGTCCTGAATCAGGGCGAATGTGCCATAGAGTCGAGAATCACTGGATTCCTCTTGACACAGAATGCAGGTTCCACTGGGATATTTCCAGAGTTTGGCCTCCGGAGCAGCCTCGGTTTCCGACTCCAGATCACTGAAATCTTCCTCGCCCCAGTCGATGTCACCTTGGCTGTTCAGGAAGTTCTGTTGCTGCTGCTGGAACTGAGCCATGACCCGTGCCTGTCTCTCCAAGGCCTGCTTCTTCTTGGTCTCCTTCTCATTGTCGGTATCGATAGCCGGGGAGTTCGTCTCGATCCGATCGAAGGGGAACTTGAGAGACGCAGTGGCCGACGCGTACGCCCCAGGCCGCTTCTGCCACAGCCGCTTCAAGATATGCCGGATCTTGGCGCCACAGGCAGAGAATTCGCCCATGATAGAGATCTTCTCGAGCAGACCTATGATGGTCAAGTAGCCAGCTTGGGTTTCTCGGGCCTTGGTCAGAGCATGCGACACGAAAGAAGACGAATCGTCCGACATGTCATCGCCCGCGTTGTCTTCCAGCGTAGCGGCGAGAATCAAGTGAAGAACCACCTGCAGGAAGGTTTCCACGCGCGTGGAGGGAATTTTGGGCGTACGATCCTTCGAGGACATCACGTATTCCAGACAGTGGTGGACCACCTGGGCAAAGAGCAAGGTCCGGGTGAAACGAGGAAGGTCCGAAAAGGCCCCCGAGGTAATGGGTCGGAGTTTGGGCTCGAACACGACGTCGGTTGCCTTCTTGCCGGACTTCTTGGCCACCCATTCCTTGTAGATATTCTCTGCCTCGTCGCGCTGGTTCTTGGTGCAGTGGGCACTGTACGGGTCGATGAGGTCAAGGTACTCGGGCTTGAGCTCGAAGGTACCCGTGTCGTTGAGACCCTCTGGCGGGCGGAACGACGCCACCTCCTCCAGCACGTCCTGGAACATATCCGAGTCCAGGAGCTTGTCACTGAGGCGGGTCGACAGGTCCGAAAAGGAGAGAGGCTTGAAACACAGCACGTGCGCAATATCGCGGCTGATGTTTTGGTGCATCGCCTGATCGCTGTCGTCGATGGCCGTGAGCGAGTTTCGATCGGTCAAGAGAATCACCAGCAGATGTACGAATTCCTCGGCCACGTCGACAATCTGGGTATCCTCGTAACCGGGGCGCGGGGTGTAGTCCTTGGTCATCCAATCCACCATTCCAAATCGATCCGCAATGGATGCAAGCACCCTGCTAGGGTCACAGGTCACCAGAGCGGTTTGCAGCAGAAAGATATCGCGATAGTAGGCAAAGTCACGGGACGAGACTCCACGGTACTGCGACATCTGATGGCGCAAGCTTAGGCCGTTGCGCACCCACATACCGGCCTTCATCTGTGCCAACCACGCACACACCCGGAGAGGGTAGTCAAACATCGAAAGCAGAAGATCTTCCGGCCCAAGCGTGCTATCGTGGATGAACTTGTCATTGGCAACCTTCGCAGCTTCAAACAGGGCATCCCGCATCATGGCGCTGCTCATACCACGTCCGCATTCAAGTAGCCAGGAGAGAGTATAATGCAGAGCATGGTGGAAACTAATAGAGCCCCGTTCTACAACGAAGGATACAACGCGATAGCGGGGAATATGGTTCTGATCAACCTCGAAATCAAAAGGCGGCAGGGTCTTGAAGGAGACGTAGTCCTTTATCTCGGCCTGTTCGAAGCGCTGGCGCTCGACGCCTGTAGAGTGCGCCACAGCGGTGATTGTAGCCACCTTCATCGCCCGCAAGAGATTGGCGCCGCCATCCACCTCGGGGTTTCGGAACGCTTCACAGAACTGACGACAGAGTCGGTTGATCTCGCGCATGAGAATCGACGCACTGATCCAAGCATCCGTCTCGTACTCCACGTGTTCTCCCACGGCGCGGACATTAGGGCAGATGCCCTGCGACAGCTTGACCAGATCCAAGAATTGACCGAGATATTGATCCTCAGTCCTCACGCGGACCTGCACGTACTCTGACTGAAGGAGGTACCGCAGGTCGAGGAAGAAGTGATACAGACGGCGATTCGTCACGGAACCAGCATCGAACGCCAAGGTGGCATTGGGGTTTACGTCGAATGGCTCACCAACCTGCCGCGTCGTGAGGAAGGTATACAGGATGGCCATGACCTTGGTTAAGAAGTTTCCTCGGAGCACGATCTCCTCGGTGATAGAGGGCGTCGTGAGAAGCTGCAGCGACAAATTGACAATGGAGTGGTCCGGTTCTCGGTCGGCAATCAGGTATAGTTGCGCCAATGCCGTGTAGAGAGCAGACAAGCGCAGCCCCATGATTCGCTTGAACTCCGGAACATTCACCACGGTGCCGATGTAAAGATCGCGAAGGTCTGTGCGCGTCTTCTTCCACAACCTCAGGTCAAAGAGAATCATCCAGTCAAGTCGCGTCCGTTGCCACAGGTCCTCGTACGGGGGCACAGCATCGCCCTTGAGAGGAACAGAAGGTCGCACTCGCCAGTGGCTAGGTGTGCTGGCTTTCGAGGGTTTGACTACTCCAGATGGCGTCTTTGGAATGCGGATATACTCCATCGCGGTATCCTCATCGTTGTCAACGGACCCAGAATTGTTCGAGGTGGATTGTTGGCTCTCCTCATTCTGCGGAGGCGGCTGGGTCGGCTCATGCCGTGCCTGGTCCTGTTCCTGCTCACGCTCTTGCCCATCCTGCTGCTCCTGTTGAGATTCATCATCGGGAGCGGGCGTTCGTTGGGTCACAAAGCCCATTATGTGGTGGCCAATGTCGAGAACATCGTCGGCATTGCCCATCACCATGTCCTCATCCTCATCCACCTCTTCCCGCAGGCGATTAAGATCGATCTCCATTTCCTCGTCCTCGTCGTCAGCATCGTCATGTTCAATAAACTCATCGTCATCATCACCCTCGACCTCGTTCGGATCCGGTTCGTCCCCGTTTGCCAGATCGTCGTCATCATCATCATCATCATCATCATTACCGGTAGCCAAAACCACCTGGCCCTGAGGGGATACGGTGAGCATAACTGTCCGGAATGGCACGTTTTCCGAGCGTTGATGGTCATCGATGCCCCGAAGACCGATCTCTGCGTTATAAGCACCGCTACCCCGTTGCCAGGAACCCATCAACTCATGACAGACAGTGTGGCGCAAGATCTCGTTATCATCCAGAACGCTACATCCCGCAATGTCGGCGAGCCACTCCACGATGGTGCCGCACATTTGCTCCCGGAACGTGTCCCGAGACGATCGAATGGTGACGGTGACCTTGATCTGCTCGATCACCTTCGAGACATTCAACAATTGCTCGAGGTTCGAGGAATATTTGACCACGCTGCGTCCAATGTCGTTCGTCTCGTGGGCTCGGTCCACGCCAAACCGGTCGTTCTGTCGACACGCCCGGCTCACCTGATGCGCGACGTCTCGGATCGTATGCTTCTCGTCGTTCCACAGGGCCACCGCGAACTCAGGCTCTTCCTGCGCCTGGTCCCCTTCGCCGTACCAGTCCGACCGCAGCCGCGACGCCTCTTCGTCCTTCCGGATACCTTCAATGGTCTTTGGCAAGCGCAGCTGCTCCGGCGAGCACGAGATCACGTCGCAGAAGTAGTCCAGCACGCGCGAGACGGTCAGCCGGATATTGTCCACCCACTCCCGCGGCAGATGCGACTGCGCGTGGGCCTTGTCCTTCTTCTGATCGTCATTTTCCGAATGGATGGCGCAGAACAACGGCAGCCGCCAGGCCTCCTCGTCCCCGCAATCGCAGCAGCCGCAGTTGCCCGACGACAGCGAGATCTGGTACTGGTGGCCGGTATGGTCGGAGGAGTCGAAGCACCGACTGCAAAGCACGCACGTATCGTCGGCGGCGCAGGTGACGCATCGGTAGGTAGCCTCGCCGGCCCGGAAGATATGGCCGCACCGCTTGCCCCGCGCCGCCTCGGTGTACTCAGCGCCTTCCTTGGCGCCCTGGGCCTCTGCCAGCCTCCAGGGACCGGCGGGCAGTCCTTCGGGGAATAATACGCCAAGGCGATCCTCATCGTGGCCGGTCAGGGAGCGGAAAAGAAGTTCTAGCAGGTCTCTCTCCGCCTGGGGGCCATAGCGATAACCATGCTTGGCCGGAAGTCGCAGGAGGCCTTGACCCAGGATCCTCTCACATTCCGTGAGCATCATTTACCGTTGTTGCCGTGACGAAGCGACACCCATGCGGCTGTCCAAATATTTCGAGCCCGATGGCCGTAAGGAGGGGAAGTTGGGCGAAAGAGATTGGGGCTCGATGTGGCGGAAGCGGAGGGAAATGCGGGAGATGAGAGGCCGAGATTGGGAGGAACCCTTGGGAGATGATCAAAGAAATTCCCAGAGTAATCACGGAGACCAGTGATAAAATATCACAAGAAACAAAGAGGAGAAGTACAATAATCAAGGATAACCTAGGAGGCGGAAGAGGGGAGGAAAAATCTAGCTCACTATCAGTTTGACGCTTAGTTATCGATGATTAGAAAGGAAATCGATGTCACTGTGGGGGGAAAGATTGGCGGGTTCAAACATGCAAGGCTGAACGCACCCACCACAGAATCCGATTGTAATGAATCTTTTCAGTTCCAGACTGATGGATGAATCAACCCAAGACAGCGGTTGCACAACACGTCAGGGAAATGGGAAGGTCAAATTGACCGCAGAGTGAAGGGAAGAAGAGGAAGTAAAGTGGTGGATGGCGGTCTCGGGATGACGATGGCTTGGCGCGACCTTCCCGCTTCGCTGAACGTTAAGATTCACGGCCTTTCTACGGAGTACAGCACCGGATGAATACGGTGAATTGACTCAGGATAGCAGCTCGGTATATTCCAGTGTGGTTACAGGTTTGGCACAAAAACTCTATTTCATACATTCACACTCAGTAGTCCCCGTCCCCATCCCCCTGCCCGGTCTCGCCGGCGAAGTATTATAACAACATGAAGTGCTTTGGAATCATTGAATCGCGATTCATTCCTTTAGTCGTCATCCTCCTCCTCCTCCTTAACCACGTATCGGTGCTTGATGTCCTTCCATTGCCGCTAGAGACCAGGAAAACCAATTAGTGATATGCTCATCATGTAATCATGCAATTATGCGTCGAGTCAGATGGGGGCCAGGTCGTGTCTCAATGGGTCACATACGCCGCGGTTGATAGTATCCCAGATGGAGTTCGAGGCCGAGTCGAAGCCGCTGTAGTCGCAAGTATGGTCAGTGGCCGCGATAAGAATTATCCCCGGGAGTTCACACGTACATCTCGAAGGCAAAGGCACTGGCGAAGATGGTGGTCAGGAAAACCGCGTTCCGGCGGATGACGCCCCTAAACAAAGCAGACAAAATGGTATTAGCCGAGACGAGATCGATTTAAGCGTCCTGGGCGAGGGTGCGATTCAAAGGGGGGAGACATGCTGGTAGATAGCGGAAGCGATCTAAACGGAAGACGAGCTACAGTTAGCCATTGAACCCTCTCACAGTCAAAGCAGACGACAGACGAAGAACTTACGGCGCCGGCCATTGTGATGGATGTGGATGGAGTGCGGGGGAGAGAAGTCGAGGCAGGGTGCGAGTGAGGAGAGCGAAGAGGAGATGAGAGACGACGGAAAGGAAGTTGAAGTTTCGAAGTTGCCGGGAATCACCGGGTCGCTGATTGGCCCGCCCGGTTCCTCCCTGCAGAGCCTCCCAAAAAAGAAAATCCCCCCCCGGCCAATTTGTGTTCGATTAGTTGATAACATTAACTTCATTCACTCACCCACGTCTCTGGTCTACGGGGTTGGAACGGTGGAATCCTTGTGTTATTGTCTTCTTCACTCTCTCGGTCTCTACATTTATCTCAGAATTCACTCACTCATCTATTCATGGCTTCGACGAACTCCGGAATCACCACCGACGCTGCGACCGGCGAGCGATTCATCCCTTCCTCCTTGCGTGCGGATGGCTCCAAACGTCGCGAAATTCGTGTGCGTCCCGGTTACCGTCCGCCCGAGGATGTCGAGCTCTACAAGAACCGTGCCGCCGAGGCCTGGAAGAATCGTGGGAAGGCCGGGGTAGTGCCTGGAGCGGAAGCGTTGAACACCGAGGAACCCAACACCAAGGCCGCCAGCGCCTCGAGCAACAAGAATGCGAAACGTCGGGAAGCCAAGAAGAAGGCCAAGACCACCCAGGATGGCCCCGCCTCGACGGACTCGAAGAATGTGAAGGATATCGAGAACTGGCGGGCTCCGGCGGAGAAGACCCCCTCGAACGGAGCCGCGAAAGCCACGGAAGAAGCGCTGGACCCCGAAGCCGAGAAGGAGAAGAAGGCGCGCAACCTGAAGAAGAAGTTAAGACAGGCTCGCGACTTGCGGGACAAGAAGAACCAAGGAGAGGACTTGCTGCCTGAGCAGTTCGACAAGGTCATCAAGATCCAGGAACTCATTCGTCAGCTGGACGGGCTGGGCTTCGACTCGAACGGGGACAAGAAGACTGATGGCCAAGAGAGTGAGAAGGCCTGAAATGCATGAACTGAAATGGTCGTAACAAGGTCTTTTATGTTTAAGACCCAACTGCGATACCGTGATGATCTCCCCGCATCGCCAGGCGGGACTCGCTGCGACACCTGACGATGCTTCAGGACAGCTGTTCGCGGCGGGTATTATGCTCCATGGGATGATGAATAATGAACGACGATTACCCTCAGGAACGATCAATCGTCCCTCTGCACAAATAACCACTTAACAGACCCATCAATCCATCACCCCCAACCAATGTTCTTCCGCCCTTCCTGAAACTGTCGAGGGGAGCCCTACCGCTACAGATTGGATTGAGCATCTCCCAGAATGAGGAATTGTGATGGAAAATTTACGAAGGGAATTGATGATGTAATCTCTCACAGCTTGCCAGCTGATCGATTTAGTTAAATCTTCCGTTCTTATTTTTGCAAACGTCTGAACTGGTTTCAAGTACAGGGGAATAGGGGAATATCTGGTGGATATGGCAGATGGTCGAGTATGTAGCCCAGACAGGCTCGGCTCGGCCCCCTTTCCATAGACATCAACTCAATGCAGAAATCTATATTTACATGGTATTAAATGCTTATTTTTGAACCTTTTTGTTCGGGCTCGCTCCAGACCATTCGGACCGGCGACTTGACGATACCCCCCTCCAGCTCCCACTGCGTGTAGTTGAAGAGCTTCCAGGGTCTATTTCTCTCGTCAGACGGGAGCTTGTTCGCGCTAACCCCATATGCCGCCGTCAAATATGCGTGTCGGATACAGTCGACTACCCCGACACCCCCGTACCAGCTTCCGGCAAGGCTCAACCGGTTGCTGAAATCTGCGCGAGCTGACTCGGAAATCCTGTCCATGCGGGCCGGATGACCGACGGTGTACTGAGGAATAGCATCCCGGTGCAGGCGGCTACGGCTTATGGCCGGGGCGTCGGTGATACCCAGATGTCTTTCCAGCAAGGTGCGGGCCATTTTGACGGCGGTATCATGGTCCGGGTAGTCGGATTCCGCCCAGCCGTCCCACAAGTGACCGCCCAGCATCACCGTCAGTTTGGTTCCAGACACCGTATCTTGGTCAGCGCTGGTCTCGGATCCGAAGATCACCCCCAATGCCCTCTCTGGGTTTTGTTCGAAGGGGATTGACCGTGGGATCAGGTACCCAAAGCCTTTCACCGGAAGCAAGTCTTCCTTCTCGTAGAAAAGGTTCACCACCATAACCGTCACGGCGTAGTTGTGCTCCTCAAGGGCCTGAATCGTATTGTGCGGGAGTTTCTTGTCCTCTCCACCGCTTTGTCGTAGTGCCCTTGCGAGATGAGGAGCCGGGATCGTGGAGACTACACGGTTGTGCATGCGGCGCTCGTCTTGTCCGTGACTGATCTGGTTCGTATAAGTATCGTTGCGCGCACTAGGCAGGGAAAGGGACTAATGTCGTTCAACACTAACTGTTATATCCGAGGAGTTTGCATTCCGGCTGATGGCCGTGACCTCTGTCCCTGGCAAAAGGTCGACTTTATTCGATTTGGCCAATGCAGCCAACAACGCATCGGTGAGCTGGCCGAGGCCGTTTCGTAGGGTGAGAACACTGGCCCCGCGGGCTAAGACCGCCAAAGCGTTCAAATAGCGAATGGACTTTTCCTGGAGAATGGTTTCGATAGCCAGATGGTCATCGAGGAGCCATAGTTTTTGATTCGTTCGCGTGTTGTTCATCAACCGAAGTATTACACTAGGGATTTCACCTTCTCTTTCACGATACTGACCCAGCAGTGTCTCTGCGCTGAGTCGATAAATGTCACCGGCGTAGATGCCGTGGAATATACTCGAGACCAGATTATCGGCCAATTCTGGCGTTAATCGGCGCGAGACGAATTCCCCGACAGATTCGTCGGCCTTGGGCTTTTGCGGGGCAGGACCGTGTACATCATTAAAGACGCCCAAGAAAACACTCTCGAACATGGGCTCGCGCAGCAAGCTCCATACTAAGGACATGAAGTTGTTGAGCGGCCCGCGGGTAGGGTCCGGCGCTGGCACGCGAGCCAAATGATCGGGGTAGTAGATGTAACGATTGAGGGCGGCCGGGGAGGTTTTGCTTGTGACTAGAACTTCGCCGAGTAAGTCTAATTCTTCCAGCTAAAGTAGACAAGGGCTCGTTAGCTCTCATTGGCTGTTGGTGGGAGTGAACCTGTTGCGCGAGGCTTCCTACCAGGTCCAGGAGCGGGAGACAGCTGGGTAATGCAGTCCTCAAGGTCCGCGGGCCATATTCAAAAACCACATGTCCATCCTTGAAAGGAATTTTCTCGGATTGTAACCAGCCTCCTAGATTCTTTGACTTCTCGTACAGGGCGATTTTAGAGCATTTCGGATCCCTGGAAAGTCGGTAGGCCGTGGTAAGTCCGGTTATGCCACCACCGACAACCGCGGCATCGTACGTTGGGGTATGTAAAGACCGTCTCTGTCCATAGCGGGCGAGGGCCAATGGTGGTCGTGACCCCTTCAGCGCATGGCTCGAGGCACGCGGCAACCGCATTGCCGCAATTGGGAAGAGAAAATTAGGAGAAGAGAAATACGAGGGAGAAGAAGACGGTAGCGAAGACGAGGGTCAATTTCGCGGATGATGATATCAGTCAGGTGATGTAATCTCCGCTGTCCGCTCATGCGACATACTACTAACTGGACCCCTTGTATACAGCACACATAGGTCTACACTCCATGAAATAACTTTTTTTTTTAACATTAGGTATGGTGAATCGGGATCCCAACGATCGTAGTGACTTGAAGCAGCAACGAGATCTCGTCATACCCACATCTATTTACAAGCCAATATGATATTGCTCCCTTTTGTCGGGAATCGGCCAAATCGAATTAAAACGCCCTTCCTACCAAGCCGCCCATCATTTGCACGCGCACAAAGTAATACATGATAATTAAAGCATAGGAGAGAAATCGAAATTGAGGTTCGTCACAGTAAAACAACACACAGGGGGGGAAGTGTTGCATATTCAAATCGTCCGCGATCACGTTAAGATCTCTTGGGTTTGCGAGGAGCCCTCCGTGGGACCTTCGGGCTTGATCAATTCCTCCGCGCCGCCCTCATCGGCCACGAACTTCCTCTCGCTAACATGGGGCTTTTCCTCGCCGGGCGTCCACACTTTGTCATGGAACGACCCCCGTTGGCCCTCTTCATGACGGTAGGGGCAACTGGGGTTGAGACACGGGTTAAACTTGCATGGGGTTTGAACGTGGGTAAACTTGCAACCAGACACGGAGCAGTCGGCCCCGTTGCGACACAGTGGCATTTCGGGGTGTTTGAAGTGGCAATGAGGATTGGCACAATGCGGGAAGAACTTGCAAAGCGCTTCAGCCTGGTGTGCCGACTTAACAGCTGGTGACGGGTGTCGGCCTGTGCACTTCCGGTTCTTGCAAGCTGCGCCGTACGAGCAGTTATCGGAGATATCCACGGGAGTTCCCTCGGGAGCGGCGGGTGATTGATGTGCGAAGGGGCAGTCTTTCCGGGTGCATCGGAGGTTGAAGCGGCAGACGTTGTTGGTGTTGTTCTCATCCAGTTCGCCGTCCTGTGCTTGGTCGGGTTTCATATCCATATCGACGTCAGCGTTCTTCTCGCGTCGGTTGTTAGAGAATCCCTGCGGTCGGCGGCCTTGCTGGCGCTCGACACGGTCGAAAAGAGAGCGACCTTGTTGGGGGGCGTTGGGTTGGAAGGCCGGATTGATCGCCGGAGAGACAAATCCAGGCATGAATTGAGCCATCATGCGCGCCTGTTCCTCGAGAAGAGACATCAGGTGCATCTGATCGTTCGCCGGCATGTTCATCATGTTCCCGGCGGCTGCCATTTGGTTCGGGTTCATGCCCATTCCACCCATTTGACGCCCGCCACCCATTCTACCGCCGCCGTTCTGGAAGCGCCCCTTCGGATGATCTCTGCCATGAGCATTGATTCGGCCGGCGCCGGCGCCCGACTGGCCCCGTATACGGTGTAGAGGGCCGTCGGCACGGTCCATCGCTCGGTTGATCTGGTTGAGCATTCTGCCTCGTCCCCCGTGGCGACCGTTGCGCATTGCTTTAGGTCCTGTGGGTCTGTTTTTTCAACTTCAGTCAGCTCAAATCCCAGGCGCTAATTTGACAGTCGCAATGAGATGGATCAATCAGAGACAAAAAGAGAACTTACATCGCATCGTTCGCGGCCCCACCATCGCCCATGCTCATATCCGCATCCAGTACACCGTCTTGTGACATCGGCTGCGAAGGTAGAGACGCGGTTTGGTCACCGAAGGAGGGGATTGTCTGCATGGAGTCCGCCTCTGTCGTTGTCGGTACACCTTCCCCGTTAATCTGTTGGTTCAAGAAGTCGACCTGTTCAAAAAGCCATCTTGAGAAATCCAGCGCCTGCGTATCGCCCTCGCCCAGACCGAGCAGATCATTTGATAGTTCTTCGGCAATCTGTTCCTGGGTCTTGCCGTTGACCAGCATCAGAACCACATATTCGATCAACGCCGAGTCATCCCCACTGTCGGAGCTCCATCCCATTTCGACCAGCTTTGGTTGAATCGCATTTGCCAACGCCTCCGCGAGCGGGGTACCGGCCGTAACCATCGTCGTCATGGTGGAGAGTGTTGAAGGTCAGAGTTGACCAAGAGACGGGGAGTTCAAAAGGAGGTGAAAGGTGTTGGAACGGAAGAATCGAAGTCGGGGCTGTCGGTCGCTGTGATTCGCGCTACCCGATTGGGAGGCAATAAGGCCTAATGTGACTGGATATGCCGGAAAGACGAGGGGCGCTGACCAGAATGAAGGATAAATCCGGAGTTCCAGAAAAAGGTATTTGTCGCAAGTCGAGTACGATCGGGGATGTTTTTTTTTTCCTTCTGGAAGCTTTGCAAGGAACTTGGCCGGTGATGAAAGGCGCCAAGGCAACTCGATCAGCCACATAATCACGTGGGGCAACAGTGGCTGAGTGGCGTGAAGAGAGTCACGAGACCAGGCATTCATCTCTCCTTTTGTCTTCTATTCTTCTTTTTCTTCTACATCCACCGAGTGTGAATGCACCTACATTCCCCCACGTGTGTATTCTCTCATTCACTGCAGGAACACATGCTGTGAATCATCCCCTCGAGATTACCCCCAAGACTAGTACCCTTGCCACCGGGGAGAAGATTGTAGTTTGGCCCGATTGTGGTCCCCGATGAATGAAAGAATTGTGTTAAGGCCTCTCTTTTTCCTAAATGGGTTGTCCAATGTGATTCAGGCAATTCAGTGATTTATGAGATGTTATACACTGGTATGCATCAAGTGCAAGTTTACTGAGACACGTCCTCAGTCCTTCCCACCAGTAGTCATGGCTTCCCTCGAGGTCAACCCCTCGGGACCAGGCTCCAGCAAGCGTAACTCCATGGGCCAAAGCAGACCGAGACAGAGAGCGACACGCGGGGCTCGCAAGCCTTTCTCAAAAGGGTAGACAGCCGAGCGGACCGGGCCTGAACTAGTCGGAGTTCTAATGCGGGGGAAACAAAGGCCCTGCTGGCTTATGACGATCCATGATGCCTGAGGTTCCAGTATTTATTCACTTCTTCTCCTGCCACTCCCTGCGGCCCTATTTCTAATTCCATGTTGACCTCGACCACTTCCCCTCTTTCACAGGCCTTATGTTTCCACCATTTGCTTGAGTGCCTGCATGCGACAGAGTCATCCTTGTGCATCACCTGGGAATTATTGGTCTACTATACCTTATAGCCTGGACTGTTTGCCAGGATGATCGACAAGTTTGTCGGTCAAATGACCCCTTTGCAGGCATACCTCGGTCTGCTTGGGGGTTTTTTTCTGCTGTGTTTGTTTCGCAAAGTTCAGGTCTCCAGGCAGATCGCGAGCCTAGGAAGTAGGGCTTCGCAGATCCGATTCCACCTGCCGTATGGTATGTGGCCGGCAGATAATCTGAACGGGATAATTGCTCATGGTGTCTTGTAGCCATTGATTTCATTTACCTATCATCCAAATCCAACAAGGCAGGTCGGGACCTAGAATTCTGGGAGAATGCTATCAAAACCGCCAAAGGCGCCTCGAGGGTCGAGCATCCTAAAACCGCGGAGCTCGACGCGGGCGTTTCGACCCGAGTGATCTTCACCAAGGACCCCGAGAATATCAAAGCCATTCTAACGGGCCAGTTCCTCGACTATGGCAAAGGCGAGCCTTTTCATCGCGACTGGAAGGAGTTCCTTGGAGATAGTATCTTCGTGACGGATGGCGAAATGTGGTCTCGCTCGCGACATCTGATTCGGCCCATGTTTGTTCGCGACCGAATCGTCGACACGGAGATCTTTGAGGAGCATGTCCAGCATCTGATGCACTTATTGGAAGGTCAGCGTTCGCCTGTTGCTGGCAAGGTGGTGGACATTGGACCTCTCTTCTTTCGCTATACTCTCGACGCGGCTACCGATTATCTCCTCGGCCAGAGTACGGATAGTCTCCAGAATCCGAAGACCACTTTTGCCGAAGCATTTCGGTATGTGCAGCATCGCCAGGCCGAGATCTTTCGTCTCGGGTAAGTCACAACCGAAGCTCGTCAGCCCTCTAGGAATTCGCTAACGTGCAAAAACAGAGTATTCAACTGCCTTCTATCCCGTAAGGAGTTCCGGCATAATCTCAAACTCATGGACGATTTCATTCAACCATACATTAACCATGTCCTCTCCTTGTCTCCCTCGGAGCTGGACCAGAAACTCTCCAAGCGGGAGACGTTCCTGGAAGCTCTCGCCCGTTTCACAAGAGATCCGCGGGTCCTACGCGATCAGCTCGTGGCCATCCTACTGGCAGGCCGCGACACAACCGCCACCACGCTATCCTATTGCGTCTTCGAACTCTCGCGCAACCCTCACATCGTCGCCAAACTCCGCGAAGAGATCCATCCTCGTCTGGGTCTCGGCCCGAACGCCCAAAAGCCCACCTACGCCGACCTCAAGGATATGAAGTTCCTCAACGCCGTCCTGAACGAGACCATGCGCCTCTATCCCGTTGTCCCCTTCAATGTCCGCTACGCCCTCCGTGACACCACCCTTCCCCGGGGCGGCGGCCCGGACGGCCTGTCCCCTGTCGGCGTCCGCGCCAACACGCGCGTCATCTACTCCACGATGACCATGCAGCGGAGCGCCGAGCACTACGACTCCCCTGGCTCGGCTACGTATTTCGATCCCGAGAAATGGCTCCCGGAGCGCTGGCTGTCCGGGTGGCAGCCCAAGCCGTGGCATTTTATCCCCTTCAACGGCGGCCCAAGGATCTGTATCGGTCAGCAGTTCGCGACCATCGAAATGGGGTATACTATCGTGCGGATCTTGCAGGCGTTTGAGCGCATCCAGGCCATACCGGCGAGTGGGAAAGACTCTGTCGAGGATCCGGCTCTGCGGTTCGAGGTTACTCTCAGTCCAGGGTCGGAGATGAATTGTGTTTTTGTGAGGGATGGGCAGACGGGATAATGGGTGTTAGATGGGTCGGTTTAGTTGTTCGGTTGGGAGAAACTGGGTGTTAGAGCGATGGATTTATGCTTTGACCTGATTTTTTCCCCTTCTTTTCTTTTTAGCCATGGTGCTGTTTGTCTTGTAGTTTATCACAGTTATGGGATGATAAGTATTGCCTTTGTTGCCTTTGTTTAAGTCTACCCTCGTTGAAGAACCAGTAAACAAATATATTGGCGCACACATATCATACCCCAGGTAGACTTCCCACGGTGACCAATGAAAAACCGCCCAGCATAATGAAACACAACCCTATAGATACGTAACCTTCACCTTCCTCAACTTCTTCATCCTCTGCAAGATCTCCACCCTCCTCAGCTCTAAATACAGATCCTCCTCATCCGCATCATCCAGATCACTACAAATGTTAAACAGCGGCGGCTTGATCGGCGCGACAATTTCCCCATTAACCTTGTTCAAAGGGATCTTCACCGCTTCATTCTGAACCTTGACGATCTCCGGAGTCTCTTGCCTCTCGCCGTTGTGATTGTGGTTGTGGCTTTGCATCTGGGTCTGGGTCTGCGCGTGCGGTGCCATATCGCCAACCCAACCACGGCCCATGTTCACGGCTTTTTCCCACAGAGCGAACGACTTGGCGCTTTCTTTGCGACTGACCTGCGGTTCGAAGACGGCGCCGCCGGCGCGGTTGATGTCTCGGAGCTCGGCGAAGTTGCGCCATAGTCCCACGGCGAGACCGGCGGCGATGGCGGCGCCCAGGGCGGTGGTTTCGCGCATCTTGGGCCGGTATACGGGAATGGAGATGAGGTCTGCTTGGATCTGGTCATGTTATTATTAGAGATCGGTGGGTGGGTTGGAAATGGTATGGACTGGACGAAGGGTATTAGTATTGACTTACCTGCATGGCAAGATCGGAGTTGCTCATTCCTCCGTCAACGGCTAGTTCGGAGAGTGCGTGTCCGCTGTCCTTTTCCATGGCGTCGAGGATGGCCTTGGTTTGGAAACAGGTCGCTTCTAGTGTGGCTCTGGCGATGTGGCCCTTTTTGGTGTATTGGGTGATCCCGACTTAGGGCTTTGTTAGCATGGATTTGAGGAGTAGCTTTGGTTGGGGATTGTTGAAGTGAGCAACTCACAGATGGTTCCCTTTGCATCGTCAATCCAGTAGGGTGCAAAGAGCCCGCTAAACGCAGTGACGAACACACAGCCACCGTTGTTTTCGACGCTGAGCGCTAGGTCGTTTACCTCTTTGGAATCTTTGAAGAACTCCAGGTTGTTTTGCAAAAACTTCACCCCGGAGCCGCCGACAGCGATGCTCCCTTCAAGCGCGTAGACGGGCTTCCCATCGAAATGGTAGGCGACCGTGGCCAACAGGCCGTGTTTGGAGATAACAGGTTTGTCGCCGACGTTGTATAACAGAAAGCAACCGGTCCCGTAGGTGTTCTTAGCCATGCCGGGGGAGAACCCCTTCTGGCCGACAAGTGCTGCGGATTGATCCCCCAGACAGCCCATGATGGGGATGCCGGAAAGGATGCCGTAGGAGATGAATCCGTAGGCATGGGCATCAGACGAGGGCACGATCGCAGGTAGGTGGATTCTACCGCGGATGCCGAAGAAGTCAAGCAGCGTGTTATCATACCGCAAAGTCTCGAGATTCATGAACATCGTGCGCGATGCATTGGTTGGGTCCGACACAAACACGTTCGCTTGCTGGCCTCCGTTCAGGCGATACACAAGCCACGAATCAACGGTACCGAATGCCAGTTTGCCCCGCTCAAAGGCATTCTTGACCGCAGGAACGTGTGCAAGCATCCAAAGGAGTTTGGTAGAGGAGGAGTAGGTCGACAGAGGGAGGCCGCACAGTTGCTGCAGCTGCGACGCCCCGGGTCTTTCCTTCAACTCGCTGACAATGTCCTGCGAGCGTGTGTCCGTCCAAACAATAGCATTGCACAACGGTTCCCCGGTCTCGTGATCCCAGACCACAGTTGTCTCGCGTTGGTTGGTGATGCCAATTCCCTTGATGTCATGCCGGGAGTGGCCTTCGGCTTCGAATTGCTTGACGGCTTCTTCGACGCACGTTTCGACGGAAGATACGAGTTCTAGAGGGTCATGTTCATGCCACCTGAAAAAATATGTTAACCAGAAAGAGCGTACACAAAAGGGAAGAAAATGTAACTCACCCGGGATTAGGATATATCTGGGTAAACTCCACCTGGTGTGATGCCACGGGCTCGCCATCCCGATTGAAGATCAGGAATCGCGTACTCGTAGTGCCTTGGTCAATTGACCCTACGAACATCTCCGAGGGCTGCATTTTTCTCTTGCTGACTCACGAGCAACCGTAACTATCTGCGAGTAGTCGTGAACCCCTATTTGACCAGACGTGGGAAAGAAACGGCAGAAAGATTCCCTGCGTGCAGGCTGTAAGATGGCGAATGAATTGAGGAAACATGACGGAAAAATCACCGTCGTGATTAATCCTTATATACATGTCGTTCTCCCTCCTAAAGCTAGCGGCTGATAAGACTATTTGTTGTGCGACAGTTTTTCCGTTTCGGAGGGAATAAGCTGCGGGGGCAAGGAAGTTTGGCTGAGACGGGACCTGGAACCAGAGAAAGGCATCAGAATGGAGGGAAGGGATCCGATACAAAGACAGGATCTAGTGGCCCAGCCGACCCTTGCCCAGGAATGCACGAGGCGTTCTCATTCGCAGAGGCCCGGGGACGATGGTGTTTGCTAAGAGACTCGGCCAGCATAGCATCCGGAACCAGACTGGATGGAAGGATTCCTGTTCAGGAATGTCACATAAGATGCCCTGCATCGGTTCAATCTGACTGAGACCGGGGATCACCAAGGCGACCAAGGCTCAAGAAGCGCCAGTCGATGCGACGGACGACGCCAGGTCGAGTTCGGGAAGCGAGTCTGGCTAGTCTCGGGGGGCTCACGTGGGATCCTGCGTCTCTGTCACCTGCAAGGTCGGGCCCTAAACACTGGGCCACTAGCACCACTAAAGCCTTTAGTGTTGACGACTCACGTTTGCCCTTCCCCCGTGTGATCCACACATCGTGGAGTCTCCAATATCCATCTTCCTTCCCCACCCCACACCGTCAGAGATCCAGATTGCGGGGATGATCGCCCATGACAGCACGTCTATTCGAACTTCAGATCTTAGTGGATCCCTGGATATTGGATACTGGATACTGGATATAGATGACTGGAAGAGCCGCGCTGTTCGGCTACGAAAACGCGCTACATTCAAATCCCCCCTAAAAAAATCGCACCTCGACAGCTTTCCATACGGGCTGAAATGCAAGTGGGAAGCGCGTCATTGGAATGCGCTTCGCTGCCAGTCAACCCTGCAGCCAGAAGCAGCAGCAGGCGGCGCGTCACTGATCACAGCATCCGAGCCCTCCTAGCAAGAAGTGATTGATTTAACTGTCACCCAAGCCGACCGCAAGGTAACACAGGCATTATTCGGTCTCTTTGTCTGTCCCCTCAGCGCCATTTGACAAACACTATGCAAGTATGACTACTCGCCCTGTTCCAACCCTTTGGAACTGGCGAGGCCAGTTCCTGTCGCCTTCACGGGCTTGAATTGAAGGACGTGGGTATGTATGTAGGCACAGACTGACACATGCCCACTCTTGCGGTGAAGACTCTGCAGGGGCCGGTGATGCTGAGCTGATTTTAGTTACAACCAGACTCGCCGCACGAGAATTGCCTACTCCGATATTCGGTAGACAAGGATATCATCACCAGAACACAGGCTTTTACCGCGCGTCCCAATTCATTCGACTCTATTCTCGCTGTTTGTGGTGTCATGCCTTGCAATGTGGCTCGCAGTCAAACTAGGATTGGGTATCCTTGCTGCGCGAGAGATTGTATAGACGGCCATCTTTGCGATAGGAAGAACTCTAACCGCCACATTTCTGTCCAATTTACTCTTGCCAGTCGAGGAAACTGGTCGGGGTTCTCCGGGCAATGGCGATGCCGACCCCCAATCAAGACCTCGCACTTATCACGATGAGGGGAGGGAAGCGGGATAAGCTCAGTGAATGTGACACGACCTGCCTGGTTAAAGAGAATTTGTGTATAACCATCACCCCCAACGATTTGAGTATTAAGTCGCCTGGGTTTTGTTCGGAGTATTTTGTGCTTCTTATACCAGACCTCTGCCCCCTAAAGAGGCCCCTCAGCTGTCTACCCAGTCCTGCATCGATTATATAGGATGTCTTTGGTGAAAGTCATGGAGGGTTCCACCACCCAGGACGCAGCTCAAATCTCCATAACATCGAGTCCCAAGCCGGGTGTATCGCTGCGCGAGAACATCAGCGTTGATTCTGAAAATGTTAGCCATGCTTCCCCTCCACTACTCTGGAGCAGGATCAGGGGTTACTGTCGCGAAGCGTTTTCTGAGTTCTTCGGTACTATGATCCTGGTTCTCTTTGGCGATGGCGTCGTCGCCCAAGTTACACTCAGTCATGGTGAGAAGGGTAACTATCAATCTATCTCCTGGGGCTGGGGGTAAGTGGTTTCTTCTTCCTATTTCCTGTCTCTCGTCTTACGCACCCTCTTGGTTATTGGCGGTCATGTCTTGGAAACATTGTTAACCACGGTCCCCTCCAGCCTCGGAGTCATGCTAGGAGTCTACGCCAGCGGTGTCTCAGGGTCGCACATCAACCCCGCCGTCACATTGGCCAGCTGCGTCCTGCGCAAGTTTCCCTGGCGCAAGTGGCCCATCTACGCCGCCGCCCAGGTCCTCGGCGCCATGTGCGCGGCGGCCATCATCTACGGAAACTACCGATCAGCGATCGACGTCTACGAGGGCGGTGCCGACATCAGAACAGTGCCAGGCTACTCGGACACGGCGACCGCTGGCATCTTCTGCACATACCCGGCCCCATTCATGACGCGGACAGGCCAGTTCTTCTCCGAGTTCATCGCCAGCGCCATCCTCATGTTCATGATCTTTGCGCTGAAGGACGATGCTAATCTCGGGGCTGGCCGCTTATTCCCGCTGGGGCTCTTCTTCGTCATCTTTGGCATCGGTGCCTGCTTTGGCTGGGAGACTGGGTATGCGATCAACCTGGCGAGGGACTTTGGTCCGAGACTCGTCACGTATATGATCGGGTATGGACCGGAGGTGTGGCAGGCAGGCAATTATTACTTCTGGGTACGTTCCGTATACATTCACCTTTACCCCACTTATACATGTACCTATACCTTGGTCTCCTTTGATTCACTACAGTCCCCCATTGCTCACATGACATGATCCTTCAGGTCCCAATGGTCGCCCCTTTCCTCGGTTGTACCTTCGGAGGCTGGATCTATGATATGTTCCTCTACATCGGAGAGGATAGTCCCGTCAACACCCCATTCATAGGCCTACGGCGGCTAGTTCGACCTGTCGGTCGAATGCACAATGACGGGCAGAGCCACGTCTAGCCCAGGAGGCTAGGGACGAAGTAAAAATGACAACAAGGACAAGACGGAGTTGGTTACGTGGGCGGGGTTTGGCGTTCATGGGAAATGGTATTAGTCTGGGAAGGGGTTATGGATGTTTGGTTCATTAGTAGGTTGGTTACTTAGTGTGATGGGTAGTAGAAAGAGAACAAAGAATAAAAATGCATCTACTAGCTACCTACTCCATACCTGTCAAGGTTGATTCCTCCGCAAATGAAAACTTAGTAGTATCTACCTCCATACCAACCCACATTCCATTCCATTCTTCCTCCATTCCCCCCCTCTCTCATATCCCAAAACTTACCTTTAATCATAACCCTAAACTGACCTTAAAAATAGCCATAACCATAATCCCACCTGCCAAGTAACCCAGTAGACCACAAACAACCCATTCCACCAAAACACAACCCATTTCGTCCGACAAGACCCCAAAGGTAGGCATGTAGGACAAAGAGCAAGCCAACGGGCCCAAAGACTACCTACTAAGGTAGGTAGGTAGGTAGGCAACAATCGCATGACCCCTCTTTCCTCTATATACCCGTTCCACAATAAGTTCGCACATGTACAACGTCGGAGTCTTACTGTGTCATTTAGTCGGTGTCTTTTTCTTTCTTGCCTTCTCTCTTCCTTCATCCGGGATAGATAAACTAACAGGGGAGAAATTCAAGAGTTGAGACGAGGGTTTTGCGTATTTACTTACCTATCTACCTATCTAGGTGGATATTTAAAGGGAAGGCCCAGTCAAGGACATGCTAGTGAACAATAAACGAAGGAGTAACGAGGCGTTCGGATACCGCCGGAACTGTGCATGCAAGAACATACCCACTCTATCATCTAGATGCACGTTACACCCATCTACATATACTAAAATGAGGTATTAACGTCGATACCTAGGTACTAGGTAGGTGGGGTAGTGCAAAGTAGTGTTTCCGGTGTACTCGATCTGAAGGGTTATTTAGGTTCATGTGATATTCCAGGTTATATGCCAACTGATATTTGGGGGCTGAATTCAAGGAAGCCTGATTCTCGAAATGGGGAGACATGGACCGAAAGTCCCCGCATTCTATGTATGGTCCTTGTCCGATGTCGGCTCATTGTTTGTGTACTCCGTACAGGCAATGGATGTGAGTACTAGTAGTGAATATCTACATTTGTTTCGATTATAATGAACCGACTCAACCGAGTATCATACGGTGAATTCCTGCAAAAAGCACCCGGTATCCCTAGAATGTGCACGTGCAAATGGATGACCTCGGCTCCTTTTCGGCGGTCTCAGTTGGTTGGCAAAAAGGTCGACTCACTACGTGCGATCAGAATCGTCCGATTTCCAGAATACCGAATTCACAGTTCATTCATAAATATACGGCCTAAACCATGGACTCATCTAAGAAACAAATCCGGACCCACAAGTATGGCCGGTGACAATTCAAATGCATCAATGGAACACCCAACTTTTGATGGGCCTCGATGCGCAAAAGACCAACTCCCTATGCATACTTTACATGATTGACGATTGTCATCAACAACGTGGTGAAAACAGAAGAAGACGAAAACACAGAAGAAAAACAAAAAAGAAAAGAAAAAGGTTCTATATTACATGAAACCAACCTTGATCGTGTTAGTCATTAGTTCATATCCCATATCTGTCATTTCATAAGGGTAGGCGTCGTATCCGTTCTTTGCTGGCTTGGTTCGTACTGCTTGTGGCACTCAAAGCATGATTAGGCCGCCCGCGAGCAACAGAGAAAGGGCGTTTATCATAACGGGTACATTGATCATAGGGGTTGCGGCATTAACGTTGGGTGCGGCGTGCACCTCGGGGGTAGATGAAGGTGCGGTGCTAGTTGCAGATGTTCCACCTTCGGTCGTGGTAAGAGAATGGTCGGTTGTCTGTGTCAGAAAACCAGTCGTGGTGAGAGTCCCCGTCACGGTTTCATGGCCAGAATGCGAGGCGGATGGGGAGACTGAACCCGGCGAAGAGGGCGATGATACTGATGTAGATTGGAAAGTAGACTAACAGAGAGGCATTCAGATTTAGCAACAAGCTCGGGGGGCATGAATAATTGGGGTTCGGGCAATGCTCACTCACAGAAGCCGCACTGGGCGGCTGGACGGGTCCAGAACCGGAAGAGGTCCAGCCATCAGGAAACGTCCGCTCGGGCCTTGTAGAGGACTTGGTGGGCGTCGGAACCCAGGGCCAGATGTTCGGCGTCACAAAGCTTGAGGTTTCGCGGTGTGTACCACTGAAAGGAATGGGAATGCTATCAACCGTCGCGGTCACAGACGGAGCAGATTGGACGCTAGAAAAGGTTTCGGCCGCACTGTTACCGTTGACCTTGCCCCCATCAGCCTGGATCGACTCCCACGATCCACTCTTATCGCCATAAGAGTACGTAGATCCGGTGGAATAGTCCGTGACTTTCAGCGACTTGAGATACATCGTGTAGGGTCCGGCGCTGTAGTCAACCTCTCCGCCAGCCCAGTCTATCCGAGAGTTAGCACAGCAGAACAAAGGCCAGATGAGTAGTCAGCACTTACCAATAGTTCCTTGCGGGTTGTTGGGGTCACCACCGGCCCACACCCCAACCCTGATCATCATCGGCGTCTGGGGGTACTGATTCTCCTCCGCGGTGTCGGGAGTCAGGACTCGAACAGTTTTGCCGTCGATCTGCCAGACGATCTGCGAGCTGGTCCAATCGATGGTGTACTTATGGAAGTCGTCGTGGTTTCCCGGGTTGTTGTGCGTCGCTCCACGGTTGAAACTATCGGTGTTTCCCTTTCCGAAGTAGTTGCTTTGCACCAGCGCATTGTTGCCGCCCAGCCATTCCCAGTCGATTTCATCCAAGTCATCCGACTGTAGTACTGCGCTGCTGACAATTCCCTTGCCTGGGGCGGCCTTGATCTCGTATTCCACGTGTCCAAACATGATGTACCATTTGGAATTCAGCAGGGGCGCATCGCCCTGCTGGGAAACCGTGAACGCAGCCCCGTTGCTGTCGTAACTTGGGTTCCCAGTTTCATGGAAGGCGTCCGATGCTCCCGAGGTGAAATCGAAGGTGGATGATTTCCCGAATGCCGGTTTGGGGGAACAGGCTAGAAGATGGGTCAGTTATGGGAGCGTTGAAGTTTGCATGGAAAGAACTGACAGTCTTGTCTGGGGTTACAATCGGAAAATGTCTGGGCCACTACTACACTCGAAGAGCATAGTAGAGACGTGGCGAGGTTGAAGGCAGAGAGCTTCATTGTGGGTGACTGTCAACAGAGAGAATCGGATGGGGGAGAGAGAGAAAAAAAAGAAAAAAGAAAAGAAAAGAAAAGGAAAAGGAAGAGAAGCAATAAAAAGCAGCTGGGTGATGCAGGCCACGCCACTAAATCCGATCAATCCCAGGTGGAAAGCCAAGGATTCTGCAGGAGTATACTAGGAAGTAAGTGGAAGTCCCTGTGGATGTGCTGTACGTGAGGGACGCCGACCGAGATTCAGGAAGGTGCAGGTCAGGGCAAGCATAATGGGCGTGACTGAGCGGGGAGGCACTTTATATCGAAATAGCGAAGAAAAAGGGCCCGCCGAGCAAGAGCCATCATGCAAAAGGTGGAAGGAGAGTCGTCCAGCCTCCTCGCTTTTTGCATCCTCACGGTGGAGACTTTGCGGGCGCCAACATCATGGCCTCGCCCGTGCGGTGCCGCCATTGGGCATCGGGTACTTGCGAGCGACCGCTAAGGTACCGGTCCTTACATTGGGTCTCTCAGGTAACAGACTAACAGTCTGTCGTCACTCGTCACGGAGTTTAAAAAAAGAGCTGCCTGTACGAGATCCGATCACAATTCCGAGACCGCCAGGTATCGCCGATGTACACCTGCAAGTTCCCCTCATTGCGCCGTTCGTGTTGCACCGCACCCAGGTCATGTCTGTCTCGGGACATTGACTCCTCGGTGTCCTGCCAACCGATACCGCCACGGGAGATTGTGGACAACAAGTAACAACAGACATTTCATCGATCATCACCGCTCATCACCAGCTCCACCCCCAACCTCCTCTTTTTGTTCCCATCTGACCTAGAACACTCACCCGTTCTATTCTTGCAACAGATCGGGGCTGAGCTACGAGAGTCTAATGCAAAGGTAAAAATTGACAACAAATCAGAAGAAAATCAATAAAATAGAAAATAAAAGGTTTCGCCTCATTGTATGGACAATTGGACATGCAGTCCGGAACACGCATTAGAAATTTCCTTAGGGTTAGATTGGCATGCGCGTGGTGCCAACGGTCTTGACGTGTCGGAGTTGTTAAACCCGGACGAAACCATCGTTCCTCAATTGATTCTCAGGGGCAAGGTCTTCAGAAATTGAAGAAATAAATGATTAATGAATTTTAGGAAACGAGGCGGTTTCTGAGGCAATATATATATAGAACCCCAGAATAGCCCTATTGACGACCGGATAGATGTCCATGTCTCAACCCTATGATTTTGATACCATAGGTAGGATTTCTCATCTGCCAGTCCACGATTGACGGTCGAATTGCAAATCCATGGGTAGTGGTCTAGAAGGCATGGAGCTCGGTAGGGCTACAAGGGCTTATGAGTTCATGATATACTTGTATGCAAATGCTCTATCATTATCTATCAAAATGAGAGACACATTGCATTTAGAGCCATCTAGGAAGAGGAAAGGAAGTATTTTCATGTTCTGTGACACAAAATCGGCTCATCAGCAACACATCCCCCTCCAAAATTGATGGGTTTCTTGCAGAGATAGGTGATCCGGTCGAATGACCCTACGAAAAAATACTTGGTGTCGCGATAATGCAAGTAAGATGAAATTATTAGTCTGTGCACGGTAAAGCTACTGTTATTCTGGTGGAATCTAGAAACCGTTGCTTTAGCTTGAGATTGAAATTAAAGCAAGCACGCTAAGTGCATCTTTAGCTCTCTAGGTAGATTGGTAGAGTCTAACCTAGCCAACTTTGAACTTCTACAGGTCCCTTTGTGGGGCTTCTTGATCCCCAGACTGATTATGAGAATATATCTACTAGTACCGTACAATCTTCGAAGCACTCTGTACGAAGCGCTGCAAATGAGAAATGCATGAGCACTTACTGATTAATTTTTGGAATAGTTATGGTCACCAAGTTATCTTATACTCCGTAGTTGTCTCTCTCGAACTAGGAGCATCGCCATGTGTATTGGGTTAAGGCGAGATTCTGGCATGCCATCACCAGAAAGATGATAATTCCAATAGCCATAGAACAATAATAATGATAAGAAAAAAGGAGGGATCAGTCCCTGCAGATGTACAGTCGGGTGCCGACATCCCTGGTCAGCCATCCGCGCTTATCCCCGGAAGACACCGTCAGCGAACCCTTGCAGTCGAGTTTCATACTTCCAGATATCCCCATTGGAAGAAACCGGCTCGTATTGTTCCAGATAGCCGAGACACGATACTAGTCTCCGTGGTTCTACCGTTCTACCTTTTTGCACTGCGACATTGAGCCGATCTACCGTGCTGTACACGGATATATATAGTACAGTACAGGATATTCTACGTAATCCGACCGGTCGCACAGGCTCGCAACAGTACTACATCCTTGCCAGACGGATGTCCAAGCCTTCTTTCAATGCTCCAAAAGGGAGACCGAGAGAACGAGCGCACTCGGCCGAGCCCGAAGTGGGTGGAAAGGTATCATCTGCCATGGTTACATAACGCCACGAACTGCAACGTGACCTAAAGAGCATCGGGTGAACGTCCTGACTTCTTCCTCATGTCCGAGAAAGGTAGGACTAGGAGATAGTAGATAGGAGGGATAGAAGATGAGATACCTAGATTAGTTACATACATACAACTCTTCGGGTCAGCACGGACATCCTCACGGACCATGCAGCCATGCCCCAGAATGCGGGTTGACGTCCAGTTGGATAGCAAATGACTGCGGCAGGATACCGTGTGGGCGGTAGGATTGTAGAGAGTCTTTTGCTCAGAGGTGAATTCCACTTAAATATATTTTTATTTTATTTTATTATATATATATTTATATATATATTTTGGTAGAGAATGAGTGGCTGGAGTGGAATATAGGAAAACTCCCACTGAACAGAGGAGGGACCACTGACTTTTTCCGGAGCTCGTGGTCGGGGAGCCTCAACGAGTCAACTTTCGGTCGGTTTGTTCCCTCTTACCACCTTTCACCACCCCCACACTTCCTCCTCGCAGTCACCACGTCTTCCCCTCCCAACGCCTCCGATTTTCGCCCTCAAGTCGACAACTCTTTAAACTCTTGTTCTCGACTTCTTATCATGGGCCCTTGGGCTACTGCGATGGCGCTTTCTGACCGCTGCCGCTTGCCTTCTAGGACATGAAAGCTCAGCCCCGTCTTAACACCGTCGCGCCCGACGCCAAACCATCTTCCCCCTCCCCCTCGTGTGCCGACCGACGCCCATAACGGGTTCCTATTCTCGCGGAGAGCAAGCCGTTCGATCTTTACGTGAAACTTGTCGCTCCCTGTGTCTATTTCAATTCCTTTAATTCAACTCGCTATTCGCCGTGTAACGATACTTATATTCGCCACTAGTCGATCTAGTGCCGTCGGCCTTCGTTCCTCCCTCCTCCCTCCCATCCAATCTCCTCGCTCGCCCTTGCACTCGTCTCGCCTTCCCGTGGATGATCGATGATCTCGGACTATTCGGTTGCTTGAATGCTGGCGTCCTCTCTCTTTCCCTTCCTTGTTCCTTGAAAATTTATAAAACCCGCCCCGACCGGCGGGCTGTCCTCCGGCGACCCGACCCGGTACGATCGCATCGCATACTTTGAACGCCATGGCTTCTCGGACAGGCGAGCGCTCCGAAGGGAGGCATAGCTCGGAGAGCTCGGGTGGACGTAGCTGGCTATCACAAGAGACAGTTAGAGGCAATCCCGGTTACCGTCAGCAGCAAAATCAAGCTATGTCCAACGGCCGCAGTGCCTCCCTATTCTCGGGGTCCACCATTTCCGACAGGTGAGAAAGCCATATTTGACTCTTTTCCCTCCCCTTCTGGTCCCCGAATCTCTCCATGTGGCGGAGGAGATCTTAACACCTGAATCGTGCGACATCTTGAAGCAAGACAGCCTGTTTCAGCTATTTTTTGTCCCCATGCGTTATGAGCTACAGGAACTAGAACATTCCATTATGAATCCGATCCAATCAAGACCCTGGCTGCTTTTTGATTTGAGCATCATGGTTGCGAGCTGGCTTGGTCCCTGTCTTGGCCTTGATTGCGAAATAAAATGCAATGCTTACGAGCTGTCTGGTTATCTGTCCACGCTCCCCATGCTTGTTTTCTTCTGTCGTTCACAGCAGTTGTGCCGTTGGCTATAACTCATTTGGAGCATTGACAAGGCAATGGGTCGTGAAGACTAACTTGTATCAGACGTGATTCCCAGAGCCGAAATCCCCCGCCCTCCATAGAAGTTCCGCCCGAGCTATACAACCCAAAATTCACCTGGATCGCCCCGGAAATATCACCCACCGATCAGCGCAAAGGATTTGGCAGTCATAGGAGAGCATTGGCGGTGCTAGGAGCTGATGATCCTGGCCCCCCTCCGGCTTCCGGTTCAATGCCACGACCGCCGGCGCATCTGAATCCATCAACGCCCGACTATTTCCAGCACGATCCGAATTCCTCGTTATCCTCATCCCCTAAGCTTGCGCCCAACGATAGCCCGGGGACCTTTTACCATGATTATTCTGAACAAGAAGCGTCGCCCGCTTCTGCTACCTTTCGCCCTGGCACGGGCCGGACCTATACGAGTGAGCCGCTCGAACTAGATTACAATGTCGATGACCGAAGACCATCTGTTGCGAGTGCCACAACTGTTAGTAGCCAAGGGTCAAAGTCTAGCACCAGCGCCCGTTTCCGGAAAAGACTACAGGGTTTCTTTGGAGACGAGTATACAGGCCCTGGGGATCCTGATGGGAATTCTCAAAAGCCAGCAGCCAGACCCGTGCGCATGGCACAGCATGGATCTAGGGAAAGGGCGAACTCTGATGGCACTCGAAACGTCCCGGGACGGTCGCACGATCAGTCTTTCTCACAGGAAGAAAGGGGTTCCGACCCCGCGATCCCATCGCGTGAAATCACACCGTGGTTGTACCAAAGTATTAATGTCAGTTTGTTCCCCTATCACCCGTCATTAACCCGCGATGGACGGCAGAATCTAATCCCTTCCTGTAGGATATTCCACATTTCGGAGAAGCCCCGGTTCGTGAAGCTCCAACGGGGCCAGACAGCCATCGTGTGGGCAACCGCAATGGATCGAGAGACCAGTCCCGGCGGTACTTTAGCGGTCATCGCCACTCGCGAAGCAAAGAAGAGAAGCCCACCGTTGCTGGTGACCTCGCTGGGTACCCGGCACGCCCTGCGACAGGACGTGACGATCTTTCTCTTGGCCTCCGTCCTTCCCGGGAAGGGAGTTTGAATTACCCCTATACGTCGGCGATGACCTCATCCAGCGCCTTGGTTGGACGCTCTACTAGCCCCACGCCGAGCGTACAGAGCGCATATTCCCGGGAGCAAGGGCAGAACTCGCCTGGGCCGCAGACGAACAAGCGGTCTCTGTTCGACAAAATCCGCCGGCCCAAGGGCCATGGTCCCTTGAAGCATTTCCCCGGCTTACAGGACGCGTCTAAGAGCTCGTTGAAAATTCCACGACGAGAAGCTTCTCCATCCCGCCGGGGCCGCCAGGGAAGTCTCGAGAGTACCACTACTACTAAATACGGGGATACAGCAGATGATCGGAAAAAGGACGGCAGAAGCCTTGCAATTGGGCCCGGGAAGCTGCGCGGGCGCCGTGGTGCCGACGCTGCTGGAAGAGATACCCCGAATCCGGACGAGCAACGCGTGTATCCGCTTGATACAGATCTCTCACATATGGAAGGCATCGTCAGACAACGTTCTCCAGCACCGCCTGGCGATGCCAACCGAATGGATGGCGCTTCGATTGATCAAGAAGGGATCCCCGACAACTTGACTCTGGGCAACTGGGATGCCCCAGAGAGCTGGCATGTCAAGAAGCAGTGGGATGAAAACACCTCCTTACTTCCGGGGACTGGTGACGACCTTTGGACTACGTCTGAACAGTCAAATTCCTCTGGAGTTTCATATTTCATCCGCGTTTTCCGGATTGATTCAACGTTCGCAACATTATCAACGGGATTAAACGCCACGGTCGCCGATATTTTACTAATCTTGGGTCGGAAGTCCTTCCTCACCGAGCATTTGAATAGCTATGACATCGTGATGCGGAGGGGTGACTTATCCCGGTCTCTGGATGTTACTGAAAAACCAATCCTCATGCAAAAACGGCTGCTCGAGCAAATAGGCTACACCAAAAAGGACAGGCTAGAAGAACTTGGCCGGGAGGACCATAGCTACCTGATCCGCTTTACCTTCCTCCCTATCAAATTCAGCGGCCTTAGCAGTCTACAAAGTGGGACCGAGTCCTTGATCAACAAATCCCAAAAGCTTACTACCGTGGATCTTTCAAGCCGAAACCTTGTGACGATTCCAATCAGCCTATACAAACGATGTTCCGACATCATTACGCTGAATTTGTCACGCAACTTAGAACTGGACGTCCCGAAGGATTTCATCCAAGGCTGTATCAACTTGCGGGAGATCATTTTCAAAGGCAATGAAGCTACGCGCCTAACTTCTAGCTTTAGCATTGCGGCCCGATTAACCCTACTTGACATCTCGAGCAATCATCTGGACGACCTCGAGCACGCAAACCTGGACCAAATACAAGGCCTTGTCTGCATCAGATTGACCAACAACAGGCTCACCACCTTGCCGAAATACTTTGGTAATTTTCAGTATCTGAGAACCCTAAGTCTTTCGTGCAATAATCTGCAGACACTGCCTGAATGTATCTGCGACTTGAAAAGCCTGGTTGACCTGGACTTGAGCTTCAACAACATCGCGGAACTTCCAAACGTCGGTAACTTGACATCTGTTGAGCGTATCTGCGTCACCAACAATGCTCTACGAGGCCCCTTGAGCGAGACATTCAAGAACCTTACCAACCTGAAGGAGCTCGACGCCAGATTCAATGAGATAACGAACATTGACAGTGTCTCCATGCTCCCACGCCTGGAGCAGTTGTCGGTCGGTCACAACCCTATCTCACGGTTTAGAGGCTCTTTCCCGAAAATGCGAATTTTAGCTCTCGACCATTGTCCAATGACTCAATTTGATATTGACGCACCCATGGCAACCCTGACATCGCTGAACGTGGGATCGGCAAAACTCGTTCAGCTGCGGGATTCCATGTTTGAGAATCTGCCCAATCTCACAAAGTTGATTCTGGATAAGAACCACTTTGTGTCAATGTCCTCCCAAATTGGCAGGCTCCGCAGACTCGAGTATTTTAGCATGATTAAGAATCCGCTGGCTGCGTTGCCTCCGACAATCGGATGTCTAACAGAGCTCAGATATCTCAATTTGCGGGAGTGCAATCTCAGAAGACTGCCACCAGAGATCTGGTACTGTCTCAAGTTGGAAACACTCAACGTTTCGTCGAATGTTCTGGATGCCTTTCCGAAGCACACTTCTCAGCCGCCAACACTCAATGATATCGGCAATACTCCTACGGCCACCCCGGCCCCGTCCACAACGCCAAGCTACGAGGACGTAGGTGCGCTGGATGAAAGCCAAGCTCGTCGACCGAGTCAGGCCTCAGGCGGTGTCCTTAGCACTGGAAGCTCGCCCAATGGAGGGGGTTACCGAAAGCCGTCAGTTGCGTCTTCTTTCGGCCAAGGTGGCCGTAAAGTGTCTACTACCTCTCGCTCCCACACCGAAGGAAGCCCATCCTCTAGGAAGGATTCCAATTTCTCGCAATTCTCTGCTTCTACATTCGTGGGCTCGCTCAAGAATCTTTACTTGGCGGACAATCGGCTAGAGGACGATATTTTCCGCGAGCTTTCGCTGATCCCGGATCTGCGCGTGGTGAATCTTTCTTATAATGAATTGACCGAGTTGCCGCAGGGATTGCTAAGGCGATGGCCTTTGTTGTCTGAGCTGTATCTCTCGGGCAACGAGCTTTCCTCTCTCCCTTCTGACGACCTTGAAGAATCAAGTAATCTGCAGGTCCTTAATATCAACGGGAACAGGTTCCAAGTGTTACCGGCGGAACTGTGTAAGGTCAGCAGGCTTGCCATTCTAGACGTCGGCAGCAACTCTTTGAAATACAACGTCTCCAACTGGCCCTATGACTGGAACTGGAACTGGAACCGGAACCTGAAATACCTCAACTTTTCTGGCAACAAGCGATTGGAGATAAAGCCTAACTTCAACACCGCACAAGGAGCCGACCTGACCGACTTTAATTCTCTTAGTCACCTGCGAGTTCTAGGTTTGATGGATGTTACCCTCACGACATCTACTATCCCCGAGGAGAATGAAGATCGTCGTGTGAGAACTTCTTCTTCTATGGCCGGCTCAGTTGTCTATGGCATGGCGGACTTTTTGGGCAAAGATGATCACCTGTCCATCATTGATATGATCGCCCCGCGTTTAAGAACAGAAAAGTTCGAAACTGTTGTGGGGTTGTTCGATGGCCAATTTAACTATGGCGAAGGTTCAAAAATCGCCAAATTCCTCCATGAGCATTTCGTCAACAACTTCAACTCCCAATTGAAACGATTGCGACGAGAAGAGCAGGAAACTCCGTTAGATGCTCTACGACGAACTTTCTTGGTTCTGAATAAGCACATCGCTCTTGCCTGCTACAAATATCATGACGACCAAGGTGTCCGACAATACAACGACGACCCGGGTGATCAGAGGAAGGTCAAGTTAACCAGCCACGATATCAGGACCGGTGGAGTTGCAACTGTGCTTTATCTGTGTGAGATGGACCTATATGTTGCCAACGTTGGCGATGCTCAGGCAATCCTTGTCAAATCAGATGGCTCCCTTAGACAGCTGACGAAGGTTCATGACCCCACTGAGCCCCATGAAAGAGCCAGGATTCGGGCTGCCGGAGGCTATCTCACTCGCAACGGAAGGCTCAATGATGACATACCCGTCTCAAGGTGTTTCGGGTTCTTCCCTGACATGCCTGCGATTATTGCGGCCCCTCATACCATGCATATCAACCTCACCGAACAGGACGAGATGATAATTCTTGCATCGAAGGAGCTTTGGGATTATGTCACGCCGGACGTTGTCGTCGATGTCACCAGGGCTGAACGAAGAGATATGATGATAGCGGCGCAAAAGCTTAGGGACCTTGCTGTTTCGTTTGGGGCCAGTAACAAGCTTATGGTGATGGTACTGGGTGTGGGTGATCTCAAGAAGAAGAACAGCAAGTACAACCGACCCAGCGTCTCTCTAGGCGCCCCCGAGGAGCAAATTCTCCCCAGCACGAAACGCACCAAAAAGCCACGCGACGTTCCTGGCGATTCCCGGCTTGCCCGGTTCGACTATGTGGATGCACCTGTCGGAGAGTTGGCTATCATCTTCACGGATATCAAAAAATCAACAAGTCTGTGGGAGACATGCCCTGACGCCATGCGTTCCGCCATTCAGATCCATAACGACATTCTTCGTCGTCAATTAGGAATAATCGGTGGATATGAAGTCAAAACTGAAGGTGACGCATTCATGGTTGCCTTTTCAACAACTACGGCAGCTCTTCTCTGGTGTTTCAATTGTCAATCTCAGCTCCTAGAAGCTGAATGGCCCACAGAGATTCTTGAACAGCCCCAATGTCAAACCCAATACGACATGGACGATAACATCATCTTCCGGGGACTGTCTGTCCGGATGGGCATCCATTGGGGCGAGCCTGTTTGCGAAAAGGATCCCGTCACTAATCGCATGGATTATTTTGGGCCGATGGTGAACCGCGCATCACGTATCTCCGCTGAGGCCGATGGAGGGCAGATCTTCGTGTCTTCTGATTTTATGAGCGATATCCAGCGCAATCTGGAAGTATTCGCGGACAGCGAGCGTGCTGCATCGACTGGCTCCGAAGAAAGTTACGCACTGGATAATTTGGGATATAACATTCGTCGTGAGCTTCAGCAACTAAACAGCTTGGGCTTTGTGATCAAGGACCAGGGCGAGCGCAAACTGAAAGGACTAGAAAACCCCGAGTCTCTCTACCTAATCTACCCACATGCACTGTCCGGGCGATTGAATTCATTTGAAAAGGATGTGGCGAATGAAAATACCCCGACAAGCATCAGCAAGCATTCGCAACTCGAAATCCAAACAGACCTGATCTGGCGATTGTGGGAAATTACGCTCCGTTTAGAGAGGCTTTGCGGTGCTCTGGAGTACCCGGGCGAAGCACGTCTCAAGGAGCCCAATGTAGCGCTCTTTAACGTGGTCAAAAACCACGGAGGAGAGCTGGCTGATTCAACGGTGCTCAGCTTGGTTGAACAGCAGGTGACCCGAATTGAGGTGAGCTGACTGAAAATATCTTCTTTGCCCGTATCCGCCCGTACCCGCCCGCCTCCATCTTGCTCAACATACTAATCGTCGTATTTTCCAGATGACAATCAACACACTCGCGGTTCGACATATGATGCGGCCCTTCAGGCCAGGGGACCGACTCAACGATCATGCCGTGCCTATAGGGGAAGTGATGCAAGAACTACAGACTCAGCTTGCCGAATATTGGGCTCTCAAGGAGCAACTTGCGGGAAACGCCGCTCATCTTCCTAATGAGTCTCTCAGGTACTCCCGGGCCAATATCCCCTTTGATGGTGGTAACAGTTCCGCCTCATCGTCAGACCATTAGGGGGCTCTTTCCACCCATAAGCTATGGATCCATCCGTTGTTCCTGGTAGTTCAATTTTTTTTTTAGGAGCGGTCTTCAATTGGCGTGCGTGTGCATGCTTTTTGCTGTTCATCTCGTTTCTCGCTTCTTACTTTCTAGTCGTTTTTCTTTTCTGGCTACACTGGAGAGCGGCGTCTCATGAAACGGAAGGGTATTCTGGATTTCAAAGCATGGTTAGGAGCCTAGGGGAAATGAATTTTATTGTTTGTTTACTTCATCATCCAAGGCTAGGTCAGGTCTTAGTTATTACATGTAGTCATCTAGTAAGTAGATGCATGGTAAATATGAAATTTGGCCACACTATACCTATTTCTGCGTGTGCTGTACCAGTACTGTAATTATATTATATCTATTATTTCTAACTACAAAGATTAATACGCATAGATAGGATATGACTTTTCTGCAAAATTTTAAATTTAGATTTAATCCTACACAAATTGCCATACTAAAGTGCGGGGCGTGCTATTCAAACTTTTGGCCTAGTTTCTAGTGATGGCTTAAGGCAGTAAGGCAACCGCGTCAAACGCAAGCATCACGTGAAACATGTTGTTTTTTTCGTCATCGCTCTGCAATCCCAACCTTCATCTCTTCTCTGCTCTTCAGGGTCTCTTCATCCTCGGTCCTCGAATGCTTTGAGCAGATAGGGTTCTATATGCTCTGATATCTGTTACGAGTTAGCTCTATCGTGCAGAAAGCACTTCTGTTCGTTTGTTAGCGTGGCCTATTTGTCTTTGGCCCCGCTGTGTTGCCCTGGATACCGTGTTCTCCAACGCCCACGATCCGGAACTGACAAATTGGAATCATCAGGCTATTTTTTTTTTTTTTCTTCTTTATCCTTTAAATCCCTTAGTTGTCGCATTTTCAAGTTCATCTCTAACACCTGAAATTACTTGTCTCTCATCTCTTGCGGTGACCTCGATAAGGTGTGCCTGTCACCATGGCGGACGAAATTGATTATTTGTCTGCTGGTTTCGACCTCAACTCCCTGACCGTCCCTCGTCTGCGATCTATTCTCGTTAGCCATGACGTCCCATATCCAGCATCCGCCAAAAAGGCGCAGCTCATTCAGATCCTGGAGAGCGATGTTCTTCCCAAGGCGAAAAAGCTATTGCGCGAACGCGAACGAGTAAGGAGGACAAGTGAAGGCATTACAGACATGGGAAGTCGCGCCACGTCGGTCGCAAGCGATTACGACAACCATCGGGAAAACGAAGCTCGGGATTCCATGCCTCCTCCGCCAACACCCTCTACAGTTTCGACAGCAACTGGGACGCGCAGGGGCCGCTCTCGGATGAGCACTAGAGCGTCGACTGCGGATGCCGAAGAGGCGCACGTTCCTGTAACTCCTTCGACGGCTTCGAGACGATCAACCGCAAGATTGAGCGAGCGAATCGATGCCCCGACAACTCCTACAGTCGCTGACGCCTTCACGCCTCGAAAGTCCACGGCTAGAAAATTGCGCAGAAGCGAGATGACTCCCTCAACTGAAGCCGAGCCGCCAATTTCATCAGTCAAAACGGAGCCGAAGGAAGAAAGCGTTTTTACCCATGACAACCCTTTCCAGAGTGGAAGCTCTCCAGCTCCCTGGGACTCGAGAAGAGGTGCAAGCCGGGATGGGAAGCGAAAGAGCAGCGCATATCTGGCGACCGAGAGTCCTGCGTTGAATCAAAGCCTGCGGTCGAGGAAGTCTGATGCGCGTGCTTATCTGAGCCATGAAGCGGAACCAACGGTATCGGCCCGTTCATCGCCTGATATTCAGAATTCGAAACCCACCACGCCTAATCAATATTTCGAGCCCGAGGGAAGTTATGACTACGACCTAAGTGAGGAAAGTGCTGGTGAAGAATTCACCCCTGACGAGCAGTTGGCGTTAGAGAGGGAACACGCGGATTTGATGTACCCCCCAACTTCGCCACGTCGGCGTCCTCAGACACGCGGAACGGCAAGCACAGCCGCGCCTTGGTTGGTCATCATGGCTCTTGTTTGTGGCTTCGCTGGTTGGTGGCGACAGGAAAAGATTGAAATTGGATTTTGTGGCATCGGAAAGCCGACTTGGTCCCTGGCCAACACAAGAGTTCCCGAATGGGCTAATGTGCTCGAACCGCAATGCGAACCGTGTCCCTCACATGCGTTTTGCTATAAGAATTTTGAAGCCCGCTGTGAGCATGATTTCATCCTCAAACCCCATCCTTTGGCACTGGGGGGACTGGTTCCCCTGCCTCCGACTTGTGAACCAGACAGCGAGAAGGCACGCCGTGTGAAAGCCGTCGCGGACAAAGCCATTGAAGCACTCCGTGACCGAAGAGCCAAGTGGGAGTGTGGTGAGCTCACCGAACAGGGCAAGGAAGCGTCTGGACCGGAGATCAGCGAATCAGAGTTGAAGCAGGAAGTAGGAAGAAAGCGACGGAAGGGAATGAGCGACGCGGAATTTGATGGTCTCTGGAAAGGTGCATTGGGCGAGGTTATCGGCAAGGAAGAAATCATCAGCAAGACGAAACAGTAAGTTCGCCGGACATCCCTTAGCCTGTAATCCCAGCTCCTGGCGCCCACCTGTCATGACTATGTCGGTGTCGAAGAAATTGTGGTTCTGACGTGTATAACGGAACTAACAGAAGCGACAAAACAATTACAGTTCCATCCTCAGCCTCACATCTACATCCGTCACCCGACTCCCTCTCAAATGCGCCTTCCGCCGCTACGTCCGACTCTCTCTCCTCGCGTATCGACTACCTCTTTCGATTCTAGTGGTAATTGTTAGTACCTTAATCTATGCGCGTTCAAGGGTCCTTGCTCGCCGCTCCGACATGGCAAGGATTCCGGAACTCGTCGCTACAACGCTAGACCGCCTCGCAACTCAGGCAGCTTTGCATGCCCGCGGCGAGGCCCGCGAGCCCTATATCCCAATAGGACAATTGCGTGACGACGTGCTACGCTCAGAGCTACGGGGAAGTCGGCGCGAAGGTCTTTGGCGGCGGGTCCGCGACGTTGTCGAAGGAAACACGAACATTAGAGCTGCGGTCCGTGAAGGCCGGGGTGGAGATGTTGCGCGTTCATGGGAATGGATTGGGGGCATTGGAAGTGTCCGTGGGGACATTGAAGGCAGCGCCACTCGTCAGCGAGAGGGGAATAAAGTACACTTCACGGCATTGTCGAATGAGACCCCCCAGCATTCCGGTGATCATGCCATGGCAGGAAGTCCAAGGGAGTCGCGAAAATGGGAGGAAGGACGGCCCATATACTGAAGAGGAAGTTTGGCTAGTGGATGATTCTCTTGCCAGCTTTTTTGTGTGCCTCTTCGCTTCCTTTCTTTTGAATATTTTTCTTCTTTTTTTCTCCATTTTTGGTATCCATTTCCCATCGTTCTGTTCATGTTAAATTCTTTGCGTTTTTGCCCGCAGCATTCTTTGGATATCCTTATGCCTCTCGTCCTTTATAAGATTCCCATAGCTTGCCTTTTTACAATGTTCAGGTCAATTCTAGCTTACTCTGCATCCCCGTCAGCAGTTTAGAGTAATTCTTCCTGCCCAGACGCGGGGCATTAAAGGGTCGTGGCGCTCTCAGGGAAGTCAGTCGGTGCGGCCGTACCATATTGTCAGGTCGAGCTTGGCAAGTTTGGTTCTTACCGGGTCTGCTGTTCCATAGGTCTCAAGGCATCTGTGGCTGCGTCCAACCATCGATCGTTCTCAGTTTGCTCCAAGGGGGCATAAATTACGGCGGACGAGGGGTGTCAGGGAGAAGGGGAACGCCGAGGGTGCATGAGAATTTGCCACCGCGGCCTGATGGTTTATCGTCATGCATTTGCCGGTCCACCGTGGTGGATCTTGCCTCTCTCTCAAGACTAAAAAAGGGAAACCTGCTAGCCCCAAGCGCAGCTCAGTAAATGACGACCTCGGCTGTGCCCAATTAAAGATGTGCCCTTGAGTGCTGATCTAGCCGTCTTGCTGTAATCTGGGAGGCCCGCCGGGCGTCTCGTCTAGTCTCCTCGAGTTCCGGAAATGAGAATTCCGGACCGGTCTAGTTTGCGACAAGAGGGGGGCACGCGCTCAACACTAGTCATTATTGCTGACAGTTTCTCCGCCGCCGACGACTCGGTCCCACGCTGCTTCAGTGCGCTGTTGAGAGTCGTAATAGGAAAATGCTTGAAGTGCCGCATCGGCGTCTGTCAAGGCCATGTGCTCCCCCGTATCGTTGCTGAGGTCCAGAGCTGGGCCGTACCGTGTAGAAGGTTTCAATGGCTCCCCTTGTACCATCTGGCTCATGGGTGGAATCCATGGAAAGCAGCCGGCTGGGAGGAAGGTCGCGTGCGTGTGCATTATTTCCTCGGGCGTGTGTTGGGTTCGCGATGGGTTGGAGAGATGATGGGTAAGGACGAGGAATGAAGTTGCCCCTCGGACGACCGATATGCAGATGGGCCTTCCCCTTGCGGTTTAGTCGCGCGTAACCAGTCGATCACGTGAGACAGAGCTTGGCGATGACCGTCGATCTGCAACATCCTCTTTCTACTCGAGTCTGTCCAGGATGATCCAGGACGGGCTCGGTGGCCAGCATCCCTTTATCATACCCGTCTGCATGTCCTGCATGCCCTGCATGAGCTGCATGAGAGGACTGTGAGGACTGTGAGCTGTTTCTCGGTACGTTAAAACTCGGATTTCCCAAGAACAAAAGCCTTCAGTGCCGCTAGTCGAGCCTTCCAGACTCCAACCATGAGCTCGCCGCTATCGTTTCCAAAGATCAGACAGAACCTGCCTTCAACTACGTCACCGGGTCTACATGATTGGGTGATAATCTATTGCGTTCCTTGGAGAACAGACTGTGTTCCACTTCCATCCACTGCCTTCGATGTTCCCGACATCTTCTGCCCTGTGCTGGCCTATCAATATCTCCGGAAACTATATCCGGGGATACTGGTCAACCACGTCCTTCCATCCACCTGCTAGTCCCAGTGGCACTGGGGCTGTCGTGGCCGAATCACCGCACATGAGATAAACAAGAAAAATTCTTAAAAAATTTCCCGAGTCAACGAAAAGCCGATGACAAAGTACCCTTCGATCGATCACGTTCTGTCGTGCTTCCAAATCGAAGTAAGGTGAAAGCGCAACACTTAAATAACTTCGTTGGTATGAACACAAGGGGTCTGGAATGGTAAAGCCCAACCTCCGTTCCAGAGAAACAACGAAACATCTCGTCTCCACGAGTAGAAGCCATGGGGTGGATACGTACTCATTATTCGTGGCAGGCCCTCGGTCTCGAAAGAAAAATGATCGAAATAGAACCTGGATTTGGCCTTGATTTTGAAAGGGACTCCTACCATGGCAATCTCGATCTTCACCCTTCACCAGGGACTGACTAATATGGCTACAGCCCATCATGATTAGGTTTCAAACTAATTTGTTCTGCTGCGCGCGCGGCGTGGGCAAGAGTCGGGCCTGCCTTTTATGCCCTTGTTTCCACGCGCTCTGTCGCTTGGGCGTGCCTGGAAACGACCGGCCGGAAAGATCAGCTGTTCAGCTGTTCTTGGGAACGGCCCGTGAGCAGACGCTACGAAATATTGAAATTAATTTTTTTTCCCCTTCTTAACCCCCACTGCCCGCCCACCCACTCTCGCTCTCGATGGCCGACGGCGCTTGTTGCGTGCAAACCGATGCGCAGGGAATCTGAATTAGCGCGAAAATTTTAGCATCTCACACGTATGGTCTCCCTGAGGAGCATGGTCTGAACGGCTCTTATAGGCTGGACGTGTCTCCTTGCGCGGAAAATGCCCTTAGCCATTTATCTTTCACCTTCATCGTTGAATGCCTCTCCTTCGGCTGTGAGTCTGTAAGACCACTCCATACGCTCTTGTTAGAACATGGCCCAACAAGGACCACCGAGGCCTTTGCGGCCCATTGCCCCCAGATCATTCCCCGAGTCTCCTGCACCAGGGCCTCCTCCGGAGGAGGGGAAGATCAAGAGAGCCTCTATGGCTTGTACCGAATGTAAACGACGCCGGACGAAGGTATGTTTATTCCTTTTGTGCTTTTACCCTCCATCTGAGGATTTTTCCACGTGTCTCAATCGACTATTTGAAGAGGTCCCCCTTCGACTCCGGCAGTCCGTGATTTCGTACCTGGCTCTCGTTGCCCTTGCTATTTTTTCATCGTCACCTCCTTCGGCAATTTTCTCTTCGTTCCTCTGCTAAAGAGCAGGGCCTATGATATCTAGTGCAACGCTGCCGAGACGGCCGGTTCGTCGTGTTCTGAATGTGCCCTCCACGGTCGTGAGTGTGTTGTCGACGAGTTTGCCGATAAACGGCGAAAAATATCCGCCAAGCGTACCGAAGAAAGTTTGAAATACTATCGTGGTTTTGTGGAAGAGCTACTTGAGGCTATTCGGTCTGGGGATGGTTCAGGCATTGATTCGATTGTCGATACCATTCGGTCGGGCGCATCGCACAAGGAAATACACTCGGTTGTCACTCGGGTCTTGAATCAGACCCCTAAGGAGGATGCGGACTCCTCAGACTCTTGGAATAAAGCCACGCCCGATGGCAAAATGCCTGATATGACCCCAGACGGCTGGCCATGACAATATGTCCTGGCCGTTTATGAAGTGATGGAGTCGACGAATTTGATGAATATCCACGGTGCTTCCCAGCCTCTGTTACCAACCCAATACCATCCTAGTCTCGCGGGAGGGATGGCAAAACATGACACCATCCTTTGATAGGATAAGAAGAGGGGTCTTATCTTTTGTCTGCGTGAAAGATTAGCCAGCCTGACGTCAGTTCACGAGCCATAGTCCTTAATAAACAGAAAGCAAAAGCAAAAAGAAAAAGACAGCAAAGGAAAGGAAAGGCAAGAAACGAAACAGTATTACTGGCTATGACTATCCCAGGCAAATCTTGGTCTTCTCTTCTTCATCTCCCTCCTGCCTTCGCCTGTTCTTCGTGCGGTACCTCCCCCACCCGGACTCTTCGTCTCTTCTCTTATTTTCACCGCTTCCTTCATGCAAGCTTCCAACATTGATGGTATGCAATTTCCGCGGAATTGAATGTTATGACTGGTTCTGGTCAGCACCAAGATGCTCCAGGACGATTATAACCAAGCTGGGTCAATGGAAAGATGGTTGTATTTCTGGCCGACACCTTGCGACATTGGGTAGGTCCATACACCTCTAAATACCTCGTATCCGAGGGGGGTAGGCCTCACTCCATATACGCCGACACAGAATGTATCTTCACCCCATATTTGCCCTCGGACATGACGTTTAGTGAGTGAGTGGGCAAATGCGATCCGTGTGACTGATGATATCAATCCGATCTTCCCTGGGGCAGTTCTAATACTGAAACTGCGATTCAAAGGAGTGTTCTCACCTCCGACGTGTATTGGTAACTCATAAAGGGAGGCTGGGGATGAGCACCCTTGTCATTCTGTCATGAAATAAAATAGAATTTGAAGTTGTGTTAGTTTTAGGGCAAAAATTTATCCAGAGACCAAGAAGAATGCGTAACCAACTAGTTAAGTGGTTGACTAACCGCAGCAGGTGACTGGGGCCTTCTCTATCCCTTTCCTCATCTGATCCTCTCCATCATTGCTACCTGACTCATGGACACCGAGTCCCTGCCTATTAGCTCCGTTCATCGATGATAACATGCTCAGTCATTCAAGCCATCAACCATGCTTGGTTTCCTTGATAAGTCCAGTCTTAGCGCCCCGGATTTCTCCCGCACCAGTGGAGCCATCCTGGCCGACCCCGCACCCTAAGGCCATCAGTTGTATTCCGAGCCTTCGGAAATTTCTCCTAAACCTACCAGGCTCTCTCCTTCTACTTGTCTGTCTATGTTACGGTTTCGAGAGAGGAGGCGGAAAACAAACTCAAACGTGAAACGGGGCTGCCCATGTTTAATCTAGTGAACACTCGGCAACACATCATCTGTCTATTCAATGGCCGCCGCTGTCGTCGGTATTGCTGTTACGCAGCAACTCTCGCCCGGAAATGACTGCGTTGTGGAGATGGTCTCTAATGACCGACTGCAATCTCCCCCGGAGGTTAACGGGACCCCTGGTGCCAAACGAAAGAGAAAGGCCCTCGACCCCCCAACAACGAAAGCCAATGCGCCGAGACAAAAGATCACCAGGGCCTGCGACCACTGCAAAGAAAAGAAAACCCGTTGCTCCGGGACACGTCCTTGCGTCAGATGTATGAGGCTAGCCCTCCGCTGCGAATACAATGCAGCCTACTCTCGAGGACTGCCTCCAGAACCGCTCCGGGCGTCTACTTCGGTGACTGATGAGAATCATAGCCCGTTTTCAGTTTTGGCTCGTGATGAGACTCCGCGGTCCGCTCGGAGCTCCTCTAGAACCGACCTCCCTGCGCGGCGACAGCAGCCTAAGAGAGGTCCTGAGTTTTCACGTCGTAACTCGCCAGATCCAGTAGCCACGGACTTCGAGGGCAACTACTTCGGCCCTGCGTCCGGTGTGTCGTTCCTCAATCGAGTTTGGCGTCGTCTTCATCAGGACGAGATTTGTACTATCCCGGACGAACTGCAGAATGAGTCGGTCTCTAAAAATACCTCAGTCTTCATGTTCGGCGACAAGCCTTACTCCGATTACCGGGACACCGGGTTCGTGCTGCCCCCGTACGAAAGGGCCCTCGAACTGGTGAATACGTATTTTGATTTCTCCATGGTGACCTACCGCTTCCTACACAGGGGCAGCGTGGAGGAGTGGCTTAAACAAGTATATCAGAACAAGATTTCGTCGTCAAACCTTCCATCTGGTCCCATGATTGTTAGGACGGCGATTATTCTCATGATCTTTGCTGTTACCACCCTATATGAAGAGAAACGACCTGGAAACGAGGTAGACACTTGGAATGGAAGGTGAGCTTGCAAACTTTCCATGCTGCATGCATACTCAACGGGAATACTGAGATATTCTAGTGAGCGATGGTACTCTGCCTCAAAATATATGATCTCTATGGAGTTCGGGCCGCCGCGATTAGAGACGGTCCAAGCAAGATTGGGCCAATGTCTATTCCTGCTCGCCTCGTCTCGGGCCAACGAGTGCTGGTATGCATTTGGTACCGCACTGCAACTGGTGACAGCACTGGGTCTTCATCGAAAATGTCCTGCGAAATTGTTGAAGAACGGGAATAATTATTTAGAGCGTGAGCTTCGTAAGCGCATTTTCTGGAGTGCCTATACATTGGACAAATACTTAAGCGTTATGTTTGGGAGACCACGACTTCTCCACGACGAGGATAATGACCAAGAGTTTCCAGATGAAATGAACGATGATGATATGGCCCAGGATGATCCCGAGAGACGAACTGGCGCTCCAGACTGTATGATGATTGCGTCTGTTCTGCATTTTAAGTGAGTCGCGATCTTTCTTTGGTTTTTAGGGCTGTTTTTCGATCGTACTCCAAACTAATCGGCCTCGTTAACGCAGACTCGGGCGCATTGTGGGCGAGATATCGCGTCAAATCTACACCATTAGCCCACAATCTCGAGATCAATCTCTAGAAACAGCTGCGTCTCTCACCTCGGAACTTGTGAAATGGAAGGAAACTGCACCGCCATTATTCAACAGTGTGCGTGCGACTAGCCTCATCCCACCACTCTGCAGGCAGAGTCAGGTCTTACAACTTGCATATTCGCATGCAATAATCCACGCGACGAGGTCGTTTCTTCTGAACGATTTCACCGATCTGAGTCGAAGACCACCGATTCCACATCCCACCGTGACAGGCCATGTACGCAAATGTATTGAGGCTGCTGAAGACATAATCAAATTGGTGGATAGCCTTGCCAAGCAAGACGTCCTCATTCAATCATTCTGGTTCACCCACTATGTGTGCTTCTGTGCCATTATTGTGGTCTATATATACACAATTCAGCAATGTCAACTTTCCTCATTAGAGAGCCCAGACCACCATGTTGAGGATCACAAACGACTACGGTCACTTTTCAACCTTGCTGAAGTATGTCAACAACACCTTGCCGAAGCCACTCGCAAGAACTGCCCAAGTCGCCGTTACAGTATCATCCTGGAAGAATTGCGGTTGGAAGTGCACCGACAAATTGGATCTTTCTTGAACCAGGAGCCACCGGGAAACACTTCGATTCCATTGAGCACCCAGGAGGCGCCCTTGGAACAAAGGAATACCAACGTTGCAGTTCCTGGGCACCAGAACCCATTGGACGCCAACTCAATCAACTATCTTGGGGGTCTGCAAACACCGGAAATGACGGGGCAGCTTTACTCCTGCGAAGACATGGGATTACTGGACAATCTTGAAGGATCAATCTGGTGGACGCAACTGGATTCCTGGGTGAGTACAAGAATACATTACTGGTCTTGAACCTTCCGTTCTTTCTGAACTGATCATTTCTTTTTAGGCATTTTCGAATCTACCTACTGACCCTACAGGCATCAACCTTTAGATCTCGTATATACGGAGACGGGCGTTGCACGAGCCGTCCTAGATACATAGTACTATAATTTCTTTCATATGGTTAAATACTTTGGTACCATTCCTATTCATTAGCACACAGTGAGCTACATCTGACATCAAGTGTCTAGTGTTTAATTGTAAGATTATTCAAACTCAAATGATCAGTAATAACGAGAATCCAATGCTTCTTGTTACTATTCATCCCACGAACGAGAATACGTCCGTTCGTTCGCTGGTTTTTGTGGTCTCGGAAAAGAATCCGGGATCGGCCAGGTTTTCCGGCTATTAAGCAGAAACGGATATCAAACCGACGAATACTTAAGTTCAAAGCAGCTGATCAATCATGGCTGAACCGGTTTATTTAAAGGCCGGTTCTCTCTTTTCTATCTCGAGTTAGTCTATTCGTTTCCCCAGAAAACATTTGTTGACAACATGTTGGAATCACCTATCACAAAACCGCTGAACGTGCTACCGGCATACCGTACTCAAGTCTCGCCACTTGAGACGGTCACCAAGAACGAAAAGCACCATGACCAGAAACCAGAACAAGAACCGAGAACAATCGACGAGCTTGTCCGGCAACGGGCAGCTTTGGGATCTTCACAGCCTGTGATTTCTTATCCTGAAACAGGCACGGACTATGTTGATTACCCTCTCCGTCAACTGGATATCTTCGCTTTCCGAGTCGCCAAGGTGTTAGCTGCACGCATTCCCCCTCGGTCATCTTCATCAGAAACTCCGGCTGTCATTTCGTTGCTGGGGCCTTCCAATCTTGACTATCTCGTCATGCTACTGGCACTGGCTAAATTAGGACATACCGGCCTCTTGCTATCAACACGACTGTCCAATGAAGCCTACGTTTCACTACTGGAGAGGACGAATTCGCATCACCTATTCATCCATAGTTCCTTCGAAGACACCGCAGCGGAGCTTCAGAAATTGGTTCCGGGCCTGCAAGCCGCCGAAATTCCGACTGAGGAGAACTACAATTACCCTATCCCGACTGGCACTGACATTGACACCAATCTCGTGCCCCAGCTTGATCCAGCCAAGGAGCTCGGATACCTCTCGTGGATTATCCATTCCAGTGGCTCGACTGGGCTCCCCAAGCCAATCTTTCAAACCAACGGGGCCGCCATCAAAAACTATGCTTCCAACATGAACATGAACGGCTTCATTACCCTGCCTCTGTATCACAATCATGGAATCAGTGTTCTCTTCCGGACTATCTACTCGAACAAAAGACTGTACCTTTATAGTGCAAAGTCGCCACTCACTCGGCAGAATCTGCTCGATATCATGAAATCACGCGAGCTGGAGATTTTCTACGGCGTTCCCTACGCCTTGAAATTGCTTGCGGAAACCGAGGAGGGACTCTCGGTTCTCTCGAAATTCAAAGCTGTTATGTTCGGGGGATCGGCATGTCCAGACTCTCTCGGGAATTTGCTTGTGGAAAATAACGTTAAGCTGATCAGTCACTATGGATCGTAAGTTCATTGCGCCACAAGGTGACAAGGTAATTGATTCTTGCTAACGCACCCGCCATAGGACTGAAACGGGCCAACTGATGAGCTCAATTCGCCCAACCGGGGACAAGGAATGGGACTATTTGAGACCTGATGGGCTTGTCAAACAGTATCTGCGGTTTGAGGAACGCTTCCCTGGAGTCTTCGAACTGGTCTGTCTCGATGGCTGGCCGTCCAAGGTCACGTCCAACAGACCGGACGGCTCTTATGCGACGAAGGACTTGTTCATCAAGCACCCCACACTCGAGGCTTACAAATACTATGCCCGGTTAGACGACACCATTCCTCTGGTCAATGGGGAGAAGGTCAACCCTCTGGATCTAGAAGGTCGAGCCCGGCAGCATCATGCAGTGGCTGAAGCTATCGTGTTTGGATCTGGTAAAGCGAGCATCGGTCTAGCGGTTGTGCGAGCTCCTGGGACCGATTCTCTTTCCGACGATGAGCTCATCAACGACATTTGGCCCAGTGTCGAGAAAGCACATGAGGCAATGCCGGCCTACGGCCAGCTTTCAAGAAACATGGTTCGGGTTCTGCCAGCTGACATCCAGTATTCTCGCACCGACAAAGGAACCTTCATTCGCCAGGCCTTCTACAGAGACTTCAGTCAACTGATTGAAGAGGCGTATGAAGCCGAGGATGCTATGACTGGATCATTGGTTCTATCCGAGCCGGAACTGAAGGCGTTTATCAGAGAGCAGATTCTCCAGCTTCTTCCTCTAAAAGACCCAAGCGCCTTGACTGATGATGCTGACTTCTTTGCCCTTGGCATGGATTCTTTGCAGTCTTCACGATTACGGTCCGTTCTGGTAAGAACAATCAATACAAATGGACATAAGGTTGGAATGAATGTTGCCTTTGAGCAACCTAGTATCGGCCTACTAGCTCGTCATCTCACAGACCTCAGCTCTGGCACCACAAATGGCGTGGAGTCTGTGGAGGACCAAATGGCAGGCTTGATATCTCAATACAGCCATTTCCATACTCACACACCCTATCCAAATGGGCTCAGTGGGAAATACATTGTAAGCAAGAGTATCATCCCACTCTAACGCATCACGGAATGCTAACATTAACAGGTTGTGACTGGAACAACTGGTTCTCTTGGAAGTCATGCCATTGCCAAGCTTGCAGCCCAGGAGAATGTCAGCAAGATTTACTGCCTTATCCGCGCCAATTCCCCTATTGAGGCTTACGGTCGATTGCTCAAATCTATGAATGCTCGGAAGGTCTTTTCTGGTCTTTCCGACATCGCCAAAAGCAAGCTTGTTGCCCTTCCATCCGACCTCTCCCACCCGATGCTGAGGCTGGACTCAACCATATACAACACTCTCACCTCCGAAATTACCGATGTGATCCACTGCGCCTGGTCTGTCAACTTCAATTTGCACCTCCGTAGCTTCGTGAAAGATAACTTCGGCGGTCTTCAAAATCTCATCAATCTCTGCCTCAAAGCCCAACGACCAACTCCCGCATCCTTCAACTTCTGTTCATCCGTCAGCTCCGTCGTGAACACGGAAGGAAACGAGATCCCCGAAGCCCTCCCCGCGAAGCTCAGCTACGCCCAAAACATGGGCTACGCACAATCCAAACTCGTCGCCGAACACCTGTGCATCCAAGCCGCTCAACAAACCGGCATCTGCGCACGAGTCCTTCGAATCGGCCAGGTCATCGGTGACCAGGACCACGGCATCTGGAACGCCACCGAGGCCATCCCTCTCATGCTCCAAACCGCCACGACCATCGGAGCGCTCCCGAAACTCGACGAGTCGCCGCTCTGGTTGCCTGTCGATGTCGTCGCGGGCACTGTCATCGACCTCTCCCTCTCCGATCGAACCTTGTTCTCCCCCTCTACCCTTACCACCGACCTTGTCTTCAACATCGTCAGCCACCACCCTTTCCATTGGACCCGGGACCTCCTACCGTATCTTCACCGCGTGGGTCTGAACTTCGAAGAGCTCGATCAGCGCGAGTGGCTCCAGCGATTGAGGTCGTCGAACTCGGACCCCGTCGCCAACCCTCCGATCAAATTAGTCGATTTCTTCGCCAGTAAATATGATACTGAGAAGCCTCGGCGGTCGTTGCAATACCACACTGACCGGGCACGACAGGTCTCGGTATCTTTGGCGGATGCGAAACCATTGGATGAGGAGTTGGTGGGTAAGATGGTTGGTTATTTCAAGAAAGAGTGTTGGACGGTTAAGGAATGAGTGTAACATGCAACATCGATAGATATATATTTTTTAGCTTGTTCTTTATTGATTGGGCGTTTTAGGGTTCTGGGGCCTTGGTGCCGAGTATATAAATTGGGCTTTGGTTACAACGGCTCTAGTTTTTCTAAAAATGATATCTCATGAGTGTGTATATGCATATTTCCATTCAGACATAATGCAATCATTTAAACTATTCCCACTGGAGGTATATTTGCGACCATACATTTGGTAGATCAAATCTTGTAGCTATTTTCATCCTAATATTCCCAATATTTAGTAGAAATTGTATACATAACCCGAAAAAAACGAATACCGAGACTGCCAATCACAAGGCCAATTCATAATCGTTAATTTATCATCAAACTCGTTACAAAACACCACTATACAAACCCCCAAAATCAAGAAAACTCAACCGGAGGCAGATCCCGTTCCTCCAGTCCATCCTGGATACTTTGCTGGAGAGACCGCACGGCATCGTCCCAAGTAACCACAGGCTGGGAGCTGCCATTCATGCCCGGAGAAGTCGATGGTGGTTCGTTAGATGGTCGGGGTGTTTTTGCTTTCCCGTCTTCGACAAGCCACATGAGCCAACTGATGACGGAGACCGCTTTATCGATGTCTTTCTCGTCAACGACAACGCGTTTCAAGTAGACGCAGAGGGACGTTACGTCTTCGTCGAAGGGTCCGTCCTCACTAAAAGCGGCATGCCAGGATCCGACGGTGTCGCGCAGATCCGATAAACTGGATAATTTAAGCGAGGTGAAGGTAGGTCGCTCAGGAAGAGGGGGGAGCTGAAGTCGTGGTTCTTGCGCTTGAGGGACGGGGGCTGAGGGGTTTCGTGTTGGAGCGATCGCTCTGGGAGCTGCCGTAGAACTGGTGCTAGAGCGTTGTAGCATGCGAGCTTGTCGGTGTTCCTCGAGGACTTCGCGACGGATGTCATCAGGTAGCGCTGCGAGGAAATCCGCTGATACTTCGTCTGCGCCTTCCGAGGGGGATGGCTGCCAAGGGAGGCTCGATGTATCGGTGCGAGTAGGCGCTGAAGCTTTGGGAAAAAGAAATTTGGACTGTAATAGATTGTCGGAGGGCTTGAGACTCGGACGGCCGCGTCGCTTTTTAGTCGGTGTCGTGGGTTTCTTATACTTCAATAACCCGGAGGATGACGGACGAGAAGGCTCCACGGGAGTGGGCACAGATTCAACATCGTTCCCTAGTGGTGGGTTATAGTAACCTAGTACCTCAGCTCGAACATCTTCTGGAAGCGCAGCTAATGTTTCCGGATCAAGTTGGGACTGGGGAGGAAGCTCCGTCGCTGCTGGTTGAGGTTGAGGTGCCCGACGACTCATCGGAGATGGGGAGACAGATCGAGAGTCGCGTCGACGTTTGCCTTGCGCAACAAGTTTAGACCTAATATCACTCGGTAACTCCGCCAATATCTTAGGATCAGGTTGAGATGGCATGATGAATTGACTCCCCAGGATGTTAAGAGGCTTATGGGCACTGTCATTCAGAGAAGGGCCATGGGAAACTGATTCGGATTCTCCTTTGCGGGGACTATCCAAGTTGTCAGGGTCAACGCTTTGTTCCATGGGTTTGCGAACGGGCGAGGCCTTGAAGGTGAGCTGCTTCTGACTGCTTTCAAGCCGTCCAGTTGTGCCTGACGCAAGTGGTTCCAGTTTGGTCATTTGCACCCCTAGGCCGCGTAGGTCGCCCGGCGAGATCCCAAAACCTCGGAGCATCGAATTGGCTTCTTTAGCAAGAACGCCTGATTCATTCGTCGATATTCCAAGCACGATGCTCTTGTTGAAGACATCACACTTACCATGGCCTAGATGCTTGACCGGCTCCAATGGGGCGTCGGCTGATCGTCGCATAACCTTCAGAGTCAATTGTTTGCCTTTCACCAGATTCTCAACGAGCCTTCGATGTAGCTCCCCACACAATGACGTGACAAAATCCTCCGCTTGGGTCTGATTAACGAATCGGATTCCCCAATTGACTTCTGCAGACACCGACTTCCTCATCACTTCATTCCCAACTTCTGTTCGATCGACCCCTCGAGCATACTCCCACATCCTGATTCCCGTCTTAGGCCCCAGACTAGAAGTGAGCTTTTCCCGCGAGAGATCGTTGATGTCTTTGACAAATTTGACACCGATCTCCTCCAGCTTAGCTCCCAAGCTATATCCAACACCGGGAAGATTCTGGACGGGGAGATTTCCAATGAATTCAAGAACGGCGTCGGGTTTGAGCTGGAACTGTCCAGCCGGTTTCGCCTTGCGTAAAGCAACTTTTGCTTGGAGGATATTGCCGCCAATTCCGACCGAAATCGCGCAACCCGTTTGGTCTTTGACCGAGACCCTTAAAGCTTGACCGATCTCATCGCCTTTGGCTTGTTCGCGGTAAATGGAGCCCTCGAACACACCTTTCCCATCGGTCCCACCGGCTTCCAGACATTGCGAAGTGATATCTACCAGAGCCTCGTCAATACTGACACTTTGAACTATGCCCTCTATCGCGAGAATGGCACTATAGAACTTTCGGCTCGCTTCTTCGTACGCAGGAAAATCATATGGCACAACTTTGAGGTCAGGACACGCTTGCAAGGCGCCCTTCATCCACATGCCGTTCTTGACCCCGTGTGCCCGGGCGACATAGTTGCAACTTGCAATCTCTGAGCCAGAGCCGCTCCCATGCGCAACGGCAACCGGCTTCCCTTCCAACTCGGGATGTTTAAGCGTGGAGACTGCGGCAAAGAAGCAATCGAAATCAACATGCATGACGTATTTTCTTGCTCCAGGTGTATGTCTTCGTCGTCCAGTCTGAGCCTGCGATTTCTCTTTCGCTGCGGACTGAAGTTGGGCCTTTAGTTCGGCTTTCCATGTGGACAAATGGTGCAAACGTGATTCCTTGTAGTACTGCTGAAGAAATTCGGGATTTACAACACTTGAGCTTTTCATGCGAGGATCCGACAGAAGCTCAGCATTATATTCTTCGGGGCTCATGTTCGGCTTTGGAACAGCACGTGAAGGGGAAATGGCACTCTGACCAATACTAGGGGGGGGAAGTGGCGAACGCGTTGCTGGGGAGATTTGCGTAGTTTCATCAATTTCAAAGCCATCTACCCTGTTCGCATCATCATGGGCTTGACGAGGCGTTGTAGTTTCGTTGGGCTCGTCAAGGGAGGCGAAACTGGGAAAGTCACCGTAGTCCGACTGTGATTCTTTAAAGGATTGATTGGGCCCATGGGCCGGAGTGGGAGATCCAGGGGAAGGCTGCTTTAGCTCTGATGTATTTGCACTTGCAGAGGCTTTGAGCTGTTCGGTGTACCAGCTCGAGCTAGATTGGTCCTTGTAGCCCGATTGCGGGCTGTGGGTTTGGCTAGTGAAATGTCCGTCGCCAAACTTGAGAACTTTTTGAGACTGTCCTTCGTCCACAACCCTAAACGCGTCCCAAGGAAGCATCCGTCCTGCTTTCACGCTTTCCACTACCCATGCGGGCTTGACAATGCGATACCTGCGAAACTCCTCTCGTTTCTTGGGCGTGAGCGAGCTGGCAATAATATGGGTGGCTGCCGTCTTGCCATCAAGATACTGAAGGAAACCCCCTCCATGGCTTACAATAAGGCGGTGTAGATCTTGCAAAGAGGGTTGAGTATAGCCATTGACATGGGCGACGACTCTTCGAAAGATGGGAGGACAATCAGCGGCCGTGGAGCGAATCTCGGCGTCTAAGTTCTGCAATTTGATTTTCTTTCGGCGCATGTAATCGCTGAGCCCGCCAAACGCGGAAGCGCCATATTCTTCGCCTTCCTCATCTTCGAATTGATCTGTCCAATGAGCGGTTAGAAGAGGTAACTGTGGCTGATGTGGTGTAACCTACGACTCTCGATGCGTTTGCGCACTGCGCTGGAGTTTGCCTCGAGCGCCGAGCCCATGGTGGGCCAAAGACGGGGTCATGGTAGAGATAGAGATAGAGAGATGGAGAGATGGAGATAAGACCCACGAGAGCACTAAAGGGCGGCGACGCGTGACGAGGAGCGTCATGTGGGACGGCACGGCCAGCAGAACAGGCGGTGGCGACCACGTGATGTGGTTGGACCGGATTCGGGACAGGCGGTGATGACGAGCAGAAAAGAAAGAAGAAAAAAAAAAAAAAAGGAAAGAAAAAAAAGCTCCGCGGCAAAAAAGACTAACGGGAGGTTAGTGCTGAAAGTGCTCTGGGCAACGGTCTCCATCCTCAAAACTTTTCCTCACTGCTTCCTCTTCCTCTTCCTTCTTCCTCTTCCTACTCGGACGGTTACTCTTTCTTTGTTCCCATCCGTCAAGTCATTGATTCATCTCTTTTGAATCTTCCTCTTTCTTTTCTCTTCAGATTTATCAATTTCTCTTCCCTTTTTTCTTTTCACAATGTCTGGTGTCCAGCCTGTCGCAGTCTACACTCTGCGGATTCCTCCCGGAGGAACTTTGCTTCCTGCTGTCCCCGATGCTGCCGCTATGGTAAGTGATTTTTGATCGGAAACTATCGCAATGATGCGTCGTACCCTGGATAAATGGTACTGACTTGATTGATTAGTTGCGCGTGAGCATGGCTGCCGTCGACCCCGACGAGGAACCCGACTTTGATGACGGCTCCAACAAGCGCCCCAGAGCCACCCTTAAGATGATCCGTGCTCCCCCAGGAATGGACCTTGGTGGCGACTCTGACGATGACTGGGAGGACGATGAGGAGGAGGATTCCGACGACGAGGAGGTCAATGGCGGCCCTAGCGACAAGGAGAAGGCCCGCAAACTCAAGGAACTCGCCGCCCTTAAGGAGGCCATGGAGGATTCCGAGGATGAGGATGATGATGAGGACGACGACGAAGAGTTCGATCTGAAGGCCGCCATCTCGAAACTCGTCAAGGGCAAGGCCCCCGCTACGGAAGACGATGAGGACGACGACGAGTCTGAGGAGGGACTAGACCTTGAGGAGACGGTCGTCTGCACTCTGGACCCCGCGCAGGTAGGTTTCTATCATTGCCTTCCTTCTTTTTCTTCTGGTTTATCTTTGGGGGCCATGCTAATTCTATTGTACTACAGACCTACCAGCAACCTTTGGACCTTACCATCTCCGAGGATGAGCAAGTCTTCTTCAAGGTCACTGGTACCCACACCATTTACCTGACCGGAAACTTCGTGATGCCTCTCGACGACGGTCGTCATCCTTGTGACTCGGATGAGGAAGACAGTGAGGACGACTACGATTTCTCCCCCGACGAGGACGAGCTTGACATGGGCGACCTCATGGATGAGGACGATGAGGACGATGAGCTCGACGGTCTGGAGAACCCTCGCATCACCGAGGTGGAGAGCGAGGAGGAGGCTCCTAAGCTTGTTGCTGCCAAGGGCAAGGGCAAGAACAAGCGTGCCGCCGAAGCCGAAGATGCTAGCCTTGACGACCTGATTGCCAAGTCCGCCAAGAAGGGCGAGGAGGCTCTTAGCAAGAAGCAGCAGAAGAAGCAGAAGAAGAACAACGGTGACGCCGCTCCGGTTGAAGAGAAGAAGGAGGGCAAGGAGGCCAAGAAGGTCCAGTTCGCCAAGAACCTGGAGCAGGGTCCTACGCCTTCCGGTCAGGACAAGAAGCCCGCCGAGGCCACCGGCACTCTGGGTGTCAAGGAGATCAAGGGTGTGAAGATGGATGACAAGAAGCTTGGAAAGGGTACCCCGGCCAAGAGCGGCAACACCGTCTCCATGCGCTACATTGGAAAGCTTGAGGATGGCAAGGTCTTTGACGGTATGTTTCTCACCCCAATTTACAATGGCCACTATCCCGTGAAGGAACTAGTCGCTAACGATTTGACTTGATGTAACAGCCAACAAGAAGGGCAAGCCTTTCAGCTTCAAGCTTGGTAAGGGTGAGGTGATCAAGGGTTGGGACATCGGTGTGGCCGGCATGACTGTCGGTGGCGAGCGTCGCATCTCGATTCCTCCCCAGATGGCCTACGGCAAGAAGGCCCTTCCCGGTATCCCCGCTAACTCGAAGCTGATCTTCGACGTTAAGCTGCTGGAGATCAAATAGAGGTCTCTCATCAACTTCCTTTGCTTGTGCTTTTAATCTACCAAAAATCAAGGGTGTTCTAGGGGGTTTTGAATCTCGTTAGTTTCTGTGTGATATCCGACTTGTTTCTTTCTCATACCGTGTTTTGATGCATATTAGCAGGGATGAGGATATCGCAAGCCATCCAAGTCTCTTCAATAGTAAAAAGTATTTGTTCCAGACTGCCTGGCGTAGCTGTAGTTTATGGCCGTAGTCAGCCGGTTTCCCTCCGTCGCCCTTTCCGCACTTTCTCATGCCACTTGCCCTTCACCCACGACCCATGTCCACCAACATCTTGTCTTCTGTTCCCTTCTGCCATGCGCGGCTTTCTATCCTTCAAGCGGATTATCATCGGCAAATCTATCGTTAATGACTCGCCCGATCTCTTTGCGAGTCATATGGGTCAAATCCAAGTCTACAAGGAAACCGGAGCAACGGGGCTGGTAGAGATCATTTCGATTTTATCGACAAAGTCGTCCACTCCCTTCGATCATGTCGGATGTCTCGAGCTGTGACGTTCAGAATGCCGGCAAGGACAAGATCCGAGCCCGTCTGAGGGAGAGAAGCTCGAGATTGCTATCATTACTGGGCCTTAGAAATCCCGCTCACGGTGCAGTTTTCTACGCATCAACCAGAGAACAACTCGATCGCAGGCTAATACCTCTGCGCTCACAGTTGCGAAATTGACAAGCCCTGACTCTGCGCGTTCCTCAAAACTAGAGAGTAATACAGACACTCTGCGATCCGGCCTCTCGTTACTAGCAGAAACCAATTCTGCGGCTCATCATATATCCAGCATGGAATGCCCGAGTAACCACGCCCACCCGACGGCTCCTAGTACAGATAGTCTCAGCCCTGATCCAGAATCCAATTGCCAAGAGATGTCACAGGTACCAAGGGTAAAAGATCGACAGCAGACAGAGATCCAGTATGATTCATATCAAACTGATGGCCCGGGGGACATGAGACGCAGCCAATCAACCCCAGAAGCCTTCACGCACCTTTTCTCGCGGAAACTATCTAGTACTTTTGGGAACCCGACTGTCATCCGGCGGGCTCATCTGCGCTCAAGACCGAATATCCGTGCGGTGCAGTTTGCGATTCCTACAAGCACATCACCGGAAAAGGGTTCTGAGAGTGATCATAATAGCTCAAACCCTTCAACGCCTCCCAGTAGTAGTGCTTCTCCCCCAGGCACTCAATCAACGCCTCCGACCTCCGAAGAGCCAACTTCTTCACCGGATGAATCGAAGCAAGCCTCGGCCTGCGCGGTCAATGTTAGACTGAGTTTAGAGTCCTCGGGTCGAGAGCCAAATGCTCAAATAGCTTCCATGCAACCGGTTTCCGGCATATCACCGTCTATTGTCACCGTTGAAGCAACCGCCAATGCCAAGATATTCTTTGAGACGTATTTTAGTACAGTCTATTCGGGTACTGATCCTCGCTTGCAGCGTCAACGGGAACTTGAAGAGTATATGTGTTCATCCGCGATAACAACCGAAGAGAAAATCAGAATACGGAAGCAATGGATTCTCCAAGAACGGGAATACCTCCGCCAATGTCGAGTGCTCAAGACTCGGTCTCATAGTGTTCGAAATGACAAAACTGTTTCCATAGCTGGGTTCGAGGTCATCAAGGTTCTGGGGAAGGGAAGCTTTGGTGTTGTGCGCCTTGTGAAAGAAAAAGTGACGGACGAAGGAAACAGAGGTGGTGCTACTGAGGACGAAATATTTGGCCGCCAAAGTGAGGTAATAACCAGTTCAGGGGAGTCTAATCGGCGCAGAATCATGGCCGGAATAAAGAAAGATGTGTTTGCTATGAAAGCCATACGGAAATCAGCGATGATCCGGAATTGCCAAGAGGGTCATTTGCGAGCGGAGAGAGACTTTCTTGTTGCGTCTGCAAAGTCTCGATGGATTGTGCCCTTAATTGCAAGCTTCCAGGATAACAGCCATCTTTATCTTATCATGGATTATATGGTAGGGGGTGATTTCCTTAGCCTGCTCCTGCGGCAATGCATCCTGCGCGAGGACGTTGCAAAATGGTATGTTGCAGAGATGATTCTCTGTGTCGAGGAGGCCCATCGACTTCAATGGATCCATCGTGATATCAAGCCGGACAACTTCCTGATCTCCGCTTCTGGTCATTTAAAGATATCTGATTTTGGCTTGGCCTTCGATGGACATTGGGCCCATGATCAACTTTACTACAATGATCACCGATACTCCTTGGTTCAAAAGCTAGGGATTCGAGTTTGTGGCGATGCGCAGGATCAGAAAGATGCACAAAAAGCATCGAGCTCTTCGCCAAGTACGCAAGAAGATCGGCATGAAGATAGCCTTGGATGCACCACGCCTTCTTCTGGCCTTCTTAGGTGGCGAGACCGAAATCAAACACGTCGACTGGCAAGAAGCATCGTGGGTACTAGCCAGTACATGGCCCCTGAAATTATCCGAGGGCAAGCTTATGATGGCCGATGCGACTGGTGGAGTATAGGAATCATCCTGTATGAAGTAAGCGCACCAGACTCACTTATCGTCTTGCCCCGATTGGCTAACTTTTTCGAAACAGTGTCTATATGGATTCACACCCTTTGCTTCAAATGATCGTCAAAAGACCAAAGTGAAAATTCATGTAAGTACATGGATGCCATACCGAACGGCATTGGATAGGGCTTGTGGCTCACGATGTAATAGCATCATCTCCAGACCTTACGATTTCCCATGCACCGTCCTTCCGACAAACTTGTCACCGGAGAGGCAGTTGATCTAATCAACTCTTTACTCCAAGAGAAAGAGTTTCGGCTATCATGCAACGACTACCGCCAGAATGATCCACCTCCAGCACGATCGCCACCGAGGTATCTTTTTTACAATATCGATACTTTAGGTCAAGACAATAAAGGTTTCTATGTGTATACGAACGACGCCACCGATATAAAAGCCCACCCGTTCTTCCGAAATATTAACTGGGATATACTCCATCGCACGATTCCTCCGTTCATCCCCAAAGTGAAAGGTTGGGAGGATACCAGGTATTTCGATGACTGGGGAAACACACAGGAGAATGACAATACGTCCAACTCATCTAATATAGAGGACGAAGTCGAGGGCCACCCGAATCCGAGTCAGTTTGACGGACAGCTGTCGCTAAATCGAGATGGAAATCCGGCGCCAGATCAGAAAAACAGCCCGAAAGCAGATGTTCATTCGCCCGCACGGGACCGCAAGAAAGGCAAGGAAAAGCATCGACCTCGCGATAAGCTTTTGCGAGACAAAAGGACCGGAAAGACCGCGCTCGAAATGCGCAAAAAAAGCGCGTTTTTGGGCTACACTTACCGTCGGCCAAAAGCTGTAGCCATGGCGTTCTCTGTTGATCGAAGCCGACCTTATCTTTCACGAGGCGTCCTGTCCGAGCTATATGGTTGCTAGGACGATGTGATGTAACCCTGCAATATGTGGTGTCGATCATGGATCAAACGGTGATCTATTCTTAAGATTTTATCTTTATCTGGAGATGGTGTCGGGGAATGACTGGAAATATGATTTGGAACCAGCGTGGTGCCGGGTCAAGGGGGTTTTGTTATACTGACTCGGCCTGGATGGATGTATCACGACCATTCTATTATTGATTCGCTCTCATGCCCCCTGTTTTCAGTTCCTCTTGAGTCACGCCAATCCATCGCAAAAAATAACATTCATAATTACAAAGTAGCATTTTTAGACATGATAGCGAAATCGCCGGCCCATAGTAGGGAGATGTCGAATGAATGAGGGGAAAAAAGGGCTTAAGAAACACAACGACGCGGGAAGCGCGGAATCATTTTTCTGAAAATTCCTCGCCCCAAAAACCACATCAGCGTGAGAGGATTTCGCAGCGGCATCTGGGTAAGACTGCTTGCAAGTAGCATGCTTAGATCATGGGGTACTCTCTCAAAGAAATAATATAGGAGCCCGGGTTGAAAACGTAGAAAGAAAAGTAAAGGGAAACGTTCCAATTATCATCGACGGGAGGGGTATCATAAAGAAGTAATGAGAATGAAAAACTGAGAAGTCGAAACTACGAAGCAAGCTTGCGGTTGAGGTGGATAAAGATAAGAGATTACATTAGACGGCGGGAGGCGCGCCCATGGCGAAGGCCGACTCGCTGACCCGATCTTCGGGCTTCATGGTACCATTGAGAAGAGGACAAAGTCTGTAGGCGGGAATAGGCCGTCAGCAAACGCGTTATATAAGAAGTATAGGAGATTTATATATGAGGGTGGACATACTTCTTGTTGGTCTTGATGTGACCGACTTGATGGCAGTTGGCGCACTTGCGCTGAGTACCGGCCGACTTGCCACCTCCAGAGCCACCTTCTGCCGGTGACTCGCCGGCGGAGGTGCGAACAACGCCCTTTTGCTTTTCGCGTGCGAATCGACGCTCTTTGTTGCGGTTGAGACGACTAAGCTCGTTTTCAATCCTACGGAAAGAGTGAGTAAAAGGACTAGAAGAGAGAACGAAGACATAAAAGGAGAGCAACGTACAGTTTCTTGTTGCGAGCATCAATCTCTGGGTCGCCTGTCGGTTGAAGAGAGTCAAGCCTGCAAGGACGGGTTAGTGAGTTCTGTGAGATCCCAACTCAGAGTTATGGGCACTTACTTGGTCGATAGAGCTTCGGCTCTATGGCGATGTTGAATGTAGTGTCGAATGACCCTTTGATCCCATATGAGGGTTTCTTTGGGATAAAGTCCCCCCTTTTCGTCCTTGTGATATCGAATAATCCGAAGGACCTTGCCTTTCTGATCTGGCATACTCATCTTACTAAATTGACTAGTTGTCTCATCATCTCGACGACCGGGAGCCGGTGTAGGAGCTTCCGATCTTGGGGTCGGTTTTCCGAACTCCTCCTCGTCCTCGCGATCGATATCACTTTCCGCGTCCGAGTGTTCAACAGTAGACGACAAGCTAGCTTTCTGGGCATCCCAGATGCGTCGAATCGAGGTTTCGTATGATTTTTGCTGTCGAGCCACATTGTAACTGTGTCCACCCAGTTCTTTGAGTCGTTGCGCGTCCAATTTATCCTCAACACTTTCTCCAATCGCCTTGAACCCTCCTTTCATAGATGTCTTAATGAAACTAAAACCCTCGCCACGACCGGTAGGATCACCTTCTCCGTGAAGCTTGAGCATGGCTTTTCCTTGAGACGCAAGCAGGAAGTTTCGTGTTGCTTTCCACGGAGCCATCTGTTGCTCGAAGCTCTCGCCTTCTGCATCATCGTCATCGTCACCGCCGGTTTCAGCATCATTGCCATAACCCGTGTCATGCAAGTGCTGTTGACCAACCTGCATGGATTCAAGTAAACACACATCCTCAGGCTGGACCCAGGACCGAATCACATCCTGTTCCGGGACCGGCTCCAAGGGAACCCAGTATTTGGAATCCTTGTCATGCTGAAGGAAGTCCTTGACCTTTTGACGGTTTTGCATATCGCTTGTTCCGGGGATATGAGCAGTAACGTCGCTGATCGAAAGTCTGAGGTCAGGGCTCTTCTTCAAGAGGCGGTAAACAAGCATTTTCATACGGTTTTTGGCAACCGTAGTCACTTTTCGTGAATGAGGTCCAGGTACATCCACGGACGGGAATTGCTGGCCGGCAACATAGAGGTTTTCTATGTTTCGAAGGTAGTAGTTGCTGCCACCCCCCGTGGTGCTACTTCGCACCACTAAGAAATCGGTCGATTTGGCTTTGTGTGGGAAGAGGGGTGCGCGATACATGGAGTTCGAAACAGCTTGAGTGGTCTCCCCGGAATCAACGTGTCCAAAGATCGAGAAGGGACTTTTATCCTGGGGAAGGAGAACGACGGTTTCGCCAATTTCAGTCTTTGGACGAGTCGAGTCCTCCATGCTTTTACGCCGATAATAGTTGATAAATCGATTCGACATTCCAAAGTTCGAGAGCATGAGGGGTGCCTCTTCTGAATATTCGACGAGCAAGACGTGAGAGTTGTCTGCCATAGAGAGTGCCTTGGTAGAGTTGTATAATTGCTTGACGTCTTTGCCCTTCTGGTGCTTGCGTTTGATGTGGGCGGGATTTTTAAACCAACAAGTCTGGCCAGCTCGGAAAGACAAGGCCGGCCGGTGGAAAGATCGGGTTTCCGCTTTGGCAAGCTCGGTCTTGTAATATGGCCATTGCAAGCGACGAGCTGGCATACTGTGTTCAAGAGTAACATTTCCTAGGGTGCTCCGCACCTTGTTCTGGTGGTTCTGCTTGAGCATGTCGTAGGCCTGGTCGTTCGAAATGTTGTAGCGAGAGGTGAGACGCCGAGTAACGTTCACGTCCATGTCCTCGCGATTCAGAGAGCCCAGAGATTTAGGTTTTTGAGCAGTAGAATCAGGACCGCGCTCATCGAGCAGAATGTGGGGATCGTTCATGTCAATCGTGACCTTTTGAGCAATTCGCGACGTGAGCTGCGAGGGGTCATCCATCACAGGTACGTCGATATGGGAAAGGGCGATCAATTCGGTCGCATCTCTGCCGATCTTTCGCTTCTTGGTCGGGCGAGTGGTTTCCATGAGCCAGTCATCCTCCTCGTCTTCACCCGTATCCATGGGGGCGGGCTCGTCAATATCCATGATGGATATATCATCCTTGACATCCCAATCAGTGCTTACAACCCGAAGGTCATGCAAAGTGATGCCCCCGGGCAAGGCTTCCTCCATGTCGGTGTCTTGCTCGAACTCCTCCCGAATTTCCTCCTCTCCAGCCTCTTCCTCATCTTCCTCCTCTTGTGCAGCCTCAGCTATCGTCGTGATTCCTAGATGATCCGACTCAAGCGGGCGTTTAAAGGCCTGACCTCCAGACCTGAAGCTCCTCTCCTGGTCCTGCGCCAATTCAACGTTGAGTTTTGTCGGGAGTACCGGCTTCGGGGGTTTGGGGTGCTGTTTGCCGAGGAAGAAAGCCTTCTTATGGGGGATCAATTCTAGGAAGCGAGGGAGGGTTTTGCGATCAAATCCAGGAAACAAGGACTGCAAAAGCTCCTCCACGTTCTCCGGTGGGGCCGGGGGGTTATCAGGGCCTGTATTAGACATGGCAAACAAAGCCTGCTGAAGTTTCCATGCCCGCAGGGCAGCAGGATCCATATCCTCCCCTGTAGGACTCATGACACCAGGATCTTGCATAGCCTCCTCGACACCTTCCTCCACGTCCATTCGCTCCGGCTCAGCGGTGGGTGGTTCGATGGGGACAGCAGGCGCAGGCGGCGGTTGCTCGCCTTCCTCTTCCTCGAAGAACAAATCGCGCGTCGAGTCCACCTGATCCGGTCCAGGCGAAGAGGGCCCGTCGCCAAAGAGGTCGTCAAATTCATCCGGAGCCGACTCTGGTGGCTGATCTTGTTGAATCGGCTCGTCATCGGCCGGGCCTCCGAATAGATCATCGTCCTCGGCTTCAAACAAATCTTTATCGAGATCATCGTTATCTGCCACTCCGTTTTCCGCCATTCTTTGGGCTCTTTCCTCCTCCTCGGGTAAATCATCCTCGTCAAAATCTTCGTAATCGACCGCGTCATCTGCCTTCTCGCCGGGTTCCAAGTCTCGGTTTAAAAAGTCCAAAGACATGCCCCCCTCGAGGGGGCCGTTCATCTGTCGCATGACATTTTCGAAATCGGCATCTTCGGCGTCGGGCACCCCGGTTTCCGTGGCGTGAGGCATACTATGGACGTGAGGTTTGGTCGAGAGTTCGAGCGAGGAACCGATTGGGGCGACAAACGATTGTCGGAGAAGTTGCGGTGGTGTACAGCGCGTGGGGGGGGGGAGCGGATCAAACGAGCGGAGTCGGAGCAGAGAGGTTTAGAAGAAAGTCCGCATGGGGACGGACGCGTAGTCTACTCAAGACTTCGCAGCTGAATGATATACTCGACGAAATGAGACTGCTTTGAAGGGACGAGGGGGGATGAGAAGAGGAGATGAAGCGAAGTCGAGGAGAGAAACAGAAGATGCCGAAGGGACGCTAGGCCGCATCGGGTAATCAGCTTCAGACATTCACTTCTTGTTGCCAAAGAGTGCCAATCAGGATCCCACATTCCATTATGGGGCTGGCTCATTTATAAGAAAGCAAAGGGTATTATTGTTCTTTCATCAGAGCAGACTATCATACATCGCGAATCAGAGCAAACATGGGCGCGCGCGGCCAGGAAGTTCCCGCCCCGTCGCCCTCCGTGTCATTATTTACATGAGAAAAGTAGAGGGGGCACCCAGGAGTCACTGCAGGTTGAAACCGCCATAATAGATGCAAAGGGCTTTGCTGGCTCCTTCCATGCAGTAGTGCATCACCGTCGATTGCTGCCCTTCCTTGACTACTTTGGCCAACTGTTTCACATCTGAAGTTCGAGGCAGAAAGAGGACCATATGCTCACTAAAGAGAGCAAATTCGCGGTATAATGTGTTCAGTGAGTATGGTTCCATTGTGCGCAAATTGAATACCTTGTCGGAGCGATATCCAGGGCCTGTGGGAATAAAAAATCAGTGTTGATCACGTAGGGAACGAACCGACTGAAACTAACCACCCCAGGGAGGACTAGCAAAGATGACGCTGTACGGAGCCAAATCCTTGAGTTGGTTCTTTAGGATCTCGAAACAGTCTCCTTCAAACCATGTGATCTTGTCCTGTACCCCGTAGATTTGCGCATTATGCTTAGCGCACTGTAAGACGGCCGGGTTCTTCTCGATCGCGTAGACTCGCTTCCACTTGCCCGAGAGCGCAAAAGCAATGGAATTTCCTCCAGCGCCAGCGAAAGTGTCTACCAGGATGCTCCGTCCAGCGGGGGCCGCACTGGCGACATGCTCGGCGATTTTGCTATAGCCGGGTTTTTAGTGTCGGTGTTCATAAGACAGTATAGAATGGGAGAACGGAAACTCACTTGGCTACAGGCTCGGGGGTAACTCCAAACCATGCATCATCGGTCAGCCAGACACCCTCGTCATACCGCGAGAATATCCGATACCTCTGAGCCCAGTAACTAAATCAAGGGTCAGCAGGGACCGATCCGATTGAGAGGGGTTGCGCAGAGCATGAAATATGGATTTAAGGCTTCCATACTTTTGGATATCCCAGGGCACTTCTCCAATGTGATCGTAATGATGCACCTCCGGGGGAGGATTGACTGCCATGGAAAGAACTGCCATAACAAAACAAACGGACAGAGGCGCAGGAGACTAGAAGAAGTGCGAATGGTGAAAGTTGGAGACGAAATGCGATAAACTGATAGCGTGTTTGCCTTGTTTGCACCCCTGCCTTTCCCTTGTTGGCAACAAGTCGCAGTCGAGCATCAACAGAGCCAGCAACTCCCTCCTGTTCTCTCCCCGCCGCTTCCGAGCCTCGTCGTCATGTTTGGAGCTCTAAATCGATTTATTGGGCGTCTGGATTCCGATCCTGTCCAGCACCCTCGATCGCCTGCCACCAACGACAGCGCATTTGGCTTCCAAGTACTCCGCAACAAGGACTCCGAGCTCCCCCTAGAGCCATGGTTTGATTTCATCGTCGGCATCAATGGGCGCCTGATAGTGAGTGACCGGAGTGTCTCCATTTCATGCCATTCATCCAGATCGCTAACCACTCTCGCCATCTGAAGGATGATCCCGACCCAAATCTATTCGCGACTGAGGTGCGCAACTGCGCCGGTTCAAGTGTAACGTTTGAGATCTGGAGTGCCAAAGTAGGTTGACACACGATCGATGCTCATGGCAGATCTATCCGCATTACTGATGACTTCTTTCGCATCAGGGTCAACGGACGCATACGGTTTCTATTCCCGTAACACCTTCTAACCCTACACTGGGCCTTGCCCTCCAGCTGGCACCTCTTTCGTCTACGCAGCATATCTGGCATATCCTGAACATCCCATCCCCGCTGAGTCCGGCATACCGGGCCGGACTGCTGCCACACTCGGACTACATTATCGGGACTCCGAGTGGAACGTTACGAGGCGAGTCCGCGCTGGGCGAATTGGTGGAGGACCACCTGGACCGCACGCTGGTGCTGTGGGTGTACAACAGCGAATTCGATGTCGCACGTGAGGTAGAACTGGTGCCTACCCGGGGCTGGGGCGGGGAGGGTGCACTGGGTGCTGAGCTGGGATACGGCGCTCTACATCGGCTGCCCGTGGGGTTGGGCGAAGAAGTCGAGGGGCCCGGCGAGGTGGTCTTCGAGACGCGAGAGGACGGCACCTCAACTCCTGTCCCGGCTCATTTGGGCGCGGCGCAGAGCGTGGGAACAGCCGCGCCGCCTGTTGGGGGCCAATTCCTCGTCCCTGCCAACATTTCTACGCCGCCTCCTTTGGGGCCCCAGCCCGGCACTCTGCCTCCCATGGGACACGCGCACTCCGGACCACGTCGGGGCAAGGCCCGACCTGCGGGGGTATCGCCCAGCCGGGCCTTTGACGACTACTTTGCCGAAGGGGAACAGAAAAGTAAGGAGCAGGATCTCGCCCCGTCTCGCAAATCCACGCCGCTGCCTCCTCCGCCCAAGGCTGGCATGCGATCTCCCCCGACCGCGGAACAACCAGCCGGGCCATAGGAAGGATAGAGAAATATCAACGGAATTGGTCGGGGCCCTTTCTTTTCCCTTTGTGCGTTGTAGAGTAACATGGATCTCCGGAGTTACGATGGACTTTATACCAATGATGAAACGAAGATTTTCTTTATAGATATACATTTTCCTCCCAGGGATTGACTTCTTGTCATGGAATCCCCAAGCCGTCCGCCACGGACGATCTCTCGGGCAACAAGCAGAGATATGTAGAACAGCATGGGACCGGTTCGTTCGAGTCTACTTAGAATACAAACACATATGCAGGGGAAACTGTAACCCATCCCAAGCCCGGAGGGGTGGTATACCAACCACGGGCTCCAAATTGTATCCGCTTCAAGGAGAACAACCAAACACACAAAGCAGAGAAGCTAAAAGAAAAAGGAAAAAGGAAAAATCAAGGAAAGAATAAAGTCGGAGAGGAAGCTGGCCACTCTAATGGCCCTTGCTGACCAGCTCCTCCAGCTTCTTCCGGGTGTCGCCGATCTTCTCCTCCATCATGGCCCGTGCCATTCCGCTGTGCGCAATACCCGTGGACCAGATGTGTTCGGCCTTCTCCCGGATCAGAAGGTGCTGTTCCGCCACGGCGGGGACCTTCTTCTCGTACTCCCAAGCCAGGTCGGAAACGTTGCGCATCGTCACGGGCAGAAGCGACCAAGCGGCCACGGTACCGAAAGCAAGCGGCGAGGCGGAGCGCAGGAAGATGCCGCGGTTCCGCGACACGATCGAGCCGGCCATGGCGGCAACGACGACGTAAACACCACCGGGGAGCAGACGCTCTCCGGACTCCGGGGACGGGGCCAGCGAGGCAACGGTGTTGGTGAAAGCGTTCTCAATGTGAAGGGCCCGGGACAGGAAGTCGTTGAAGCAGTTCTCGGCAGCCAGGGAGTTGTTGTAGAGGAAGAGACGGGCTTGTCGGATCTGAGCGGTCAGGATATCTGTGGGAGTCGGAGACGACGAGGGCGAGGGCGAGGACGGCTGGGGCACAACGGCAGAGGGCGTCTTGGGGAGCTCCGGAGTCTCGGTGGGGAAGTCATCGTAGATGGGCTTTTTCTACAGCCACGGAGTCACGTTAGGATATCGACTCTTTGCGATAATCATAGAGAATAAACGACGGTGCATCTCAAGAGAAGTTGAGCCCTACCAAGTCCTGGGGTTCTTCAGCCCACGCGGTGCGACGGGGAGCGAGAGCGACACCTCCAGCCAAGAGGGTGGCAGCGAATGGGGCCACAGCCCGCTGGAAACGCGGTCAGCAAGGAGCCAGGAAAGCAGAAGAGGACGAAGATCTACCTGGCGGAACATTGGCCGGAAAGACATGGTGGGGAGAGGCCAATTGGGGGGAGGAAACTGGGGGAGACAGACAGAGGGCAAGAGAGAAGGAGAAGCAGAGATGAGGTCGAAAGCGTGACCGCCAAGCCTTTTTTTTCGCCGCCTCGGCTTTTCCTCCGTCATCGTCCGGCCTTCTCTCTCTCTCTCTCTCTCTCTCTCTCTTACTTAATTACGCTTCTTCCTCCCCAATTTCCTCCCATGTTCCCCAGTTCCTGTTCCAGCTTTCCCGTTTCATTACTGCGGGACATGTTGGCCAGGTCTCTATCCTTTCTACCTTAAAACTTATCCCGTTCCATCCCCGCGATGAGCGGCCATTTGCTGGCGCCCCTCCGGCGTCGGCCTTGGACATGTCGGGCATGCCTGCAGCGACTGCAGCAGCAGACTCGACGCTCCCTGGAAACGGCGGCAACCTCTCCTTCGCATCGCGCCAATAGTTTCGAGTACGCACCCGCCGGAACCGCGACGCAGAGGAAAAGCGCGGACGACCAGGTTCTTCGCCGCGTCTTCGACTCGCCGCCCTTCTGGAGGGAGTTTTCGCAGCGCCGCGCCTCGCAACCCTATCCGACCGGTCTGGTGCAGAACCAATACCTGACGAGTCCCGACGGGTTTCGAACGTTTGCCCATGTTTCGCTACAGAAATGTCAAGCGATCGTATCCAAAGTCTTGGCGGCATCGACCCTGGAGGAATACCGGGACATGGCTCGGGATCTGGATCGGCTTAGTGACCTTCTGTGCCGAGTGATCGATTTGTCCGATTTCATCCGGGTTATCCATCCAGATCCCCGGGTGCAGGAGGCGGCGACGCAGGCATATGCGTTGATGTTCGAGTACATGAACGTGCTCAACACCACGACGGGGTTGAATGACCAGCTGAAGAAAGCGGCCGCCAATCCGGAGGTGACGGCGCAATGGTCGGAAGAGGAGAAGATCGTGGCCCACATTCTGATCAAGGACTTCTCGAACTCGGCCATCCACATGCCCCCCCACGAGCGACAGCGGTTTGTGAACCTCTCAAACGAAATCAGTCAACTCGGAACGACCTTTGTGAATAGCGCCGAGCCGGCTAAATCGAACGTGGTGGTCAACACCAACAGCTTGCGAGGGCTCGATCCCTTGCTGGTCCAGCAAATCAAGCGATGGAATCGCAGCACCGCCGCGGTGCCGACCATGGGTATGATCCCGCGTTTGGCACTCCGATCGGTGCACGACGAGGTAGCTCGGAAGGACATCTATTTGGCGACGCGCACTTCCAGCGGCCGACAAGTTCATCGGCTGGAGCAGCTTTTGGCCAAACGGGCCGAACTGGCCCAATTGTCGGGCTACTCTAGTTTCGGGCATATGACGCTGAGCGACAAGATGGCCAAGAGTCCTGAGGCGGTGTCCAAGTTCCTCACCGCGCTGGTGGGCAGCAACCGCGAGTCCGTGCAGGAAGAGCTGTCTCATTTGCAGGCCATGAAGGGCAGCGCGCCGCTGCAGGCTTGGGACCATGCATATTACGTCCATCAGCGGGTCATGCAGTACTCGCAATCGCGACGCTCACGGGAACTGAGTGCCGTCCCCGAGTTCTTCTCGCTCGGAACGGTGATGCAGGGCCTATCGCGACTGTTTGACCGCCTCTACGGCGTGCGCCTGGTGCCCCAGGAAACGGCTCCCGGCGAGACGTGGAACGCCGACGTGCGCCGACTAGATGTGGTCGACGAGACGGAGCGACACATCGCCGTCATTTACTGCGATCTGTTCTCGCGTCCCAACAAGCACCCTAACCCGGCTCATTTTACGCTGCGATGTGCTCGCGAAATCTCACCGGAGGAGGTGGCCGAGTGTGCGACCATGGGTTCGTCCGCTCACCCCAACGACGGCATGGCCACCGCAGTCGAATCTCAAACCCTCCGCCAGTTGCCTACGATCGCCCTGGTCTGTGATTTCCCCGAGCCCCCGGCCACCGGTACCGGACGGCCCTCGCTGCTAAGCGAGCACAGCGTACGCACCCTCTTCCACGAGATGGGCCACGCCCTGCACTCGATTCTCGGCCAGACACGACTGCAGTCGATCTCCGGTACGCGGTGCGCCACCGATTTCGCCGAGCTGCCTTCGGTGCTCATGGAGCGCTTCGCCACCGCACCCGAAGTTCTTGCCCTCTACGCCCGTCACTGGCAGACCGACCAACCGCTGTCGGAGGAAATGATGCGCCGCATGGAACAAGATCGCAACGCGCACGGTTCCATCTACGGCGCTGTCGAGAACGAGGCCCAAATCCTCATGGCGCTCGTCGACCAGGCCTACCACTCTCAGGGACCCGCGCAATCCCCCATCTCCTCCACCGCTCTCTACCACCAGGTCTCCTCCGCCCACGCCAGTCTTCCTGACCCGGCGGACTCCAAGACCTCCTGGCAGGGCTTCTTCGGGCACCTATACGGCTACGGTGCCACCTACTACAGCTATATCTTCGACCGAGCGATCGCCAACAAGATCTGGGAAGATGTTTTCCGCGGCGGTGCCGCCGCCGTGGACCGGGCCGCGGGTGAAAAATACCGCGACGAGGTTCTCCGCTGGGGCGGCGGACGCAACGGATGGGACTGCGTGGCGGGAGTCTTAGGCAAAGACCATCCTGCCAACGCGGACGGCCGCCTGGCGGACGGCGGAGACGAGGCGATGCACGAAGTCGGTCGCTGGGGACTCGGACGGGACGGAGTGTCCGGATAGACGTCTGCATTAAAACTCGCCTATTATACCTGTACCATTAATTAGTCTTAGTTGTTATAGATAGCCCAATTTTTTTTCTTCTTCCCTTTTTGCTTTTTTTGCTTTATTCTTTTTTCCTTTTCTAATATTTCTACCTTCTATGGCTTGACTGACGCATAAACATACATCAATCCATGCGTCTTCTATGCACCCTACATCGATAGTTCTCAAACCGAACCGCCCTACCTACAGACTTCACTGTACAGATCTCACGCCCAGCACCCAAACAAGAAAAGCAAAAGAGAAACGAAAAAGAAAAACTGCTGGATGGCCGCCGAAGTCACACAAAGACGATGATCTGGACGTGTCACGACATGCACGAGTTAAGTTGCGGTGGCACCAAAAAAAAAAGAAAGCAAAATCCCAATCCCAATCCAATCCAACTGTCACAACGCAAACGGATGAAATGATGCATAGCGACAATGAACAATCGGAATAGATTATTTGTTACATATAAAAATCTATTTACTTTCCGGAGGTAAAAAGAGGAGGGAGAAGGGGGGACATGGTTTATCCTGTCCTCTCTTTTCTTCTCTCTTCTTTTTTCCCTTTCTCTCTCTCTTCCTCTCTTACCTACTGTCTCTCTGGCTTTCGCTAAGTCTCTCGCTCATAATCCGTTTGGCTTTTTTGATATCTTTTACTCTTTTAGTTAATACTACTGTCCCAATGAATACTGGCCAGAGAAAAAGAATATTAATTTAATACTTTAATATCGCCTTATCATGCCTCTCGACACCGCCCCGTCGTCCTTCACCACCTCCGACTCCTCCTTTTCGCTACAAAGACCCTCACGCTCGCCTCTCCGCTGGGTGTCGCGACGTCTCTCACGTCCCAAGCCGCCGTTGAATCGCAATTCCAGCGACGATTCGGAGGAGGAGCGTGTGACCGAGTCATATGCACTTTATTGTCGGGCTTTCAGCGGTGCCCAGCCCGAGTCCGTGCACCTGAACGAACGCCAGTCCTTTGATTTCTTGCCAGTGGGCGCCTACGGCTTCACTCAGCTCGCACCGCCTCGCTCGACGACGCCACCGCCACCGCCGCGTGTGCTCACTCCCTCCCTGTACAGGGCGTCCACTCTGGTTCAAGAACCCCCTCGACGACCGTGGTGGAAACGGATACTGTGTGGCCACTGAGGCCGAAGACGGTCACCCAGGTCTCCCCCATTGACATGAAGGGGTTGGAGACAGAAAGAAGAATGCAGAAAAGAAGAGACTGGGGAAAGAAAGAGACAAACAAGAGATATCAGTCGAACAGGGGTATCCTGAGCTTCGTATTACATACTATACAACCTAATCAATACAACGTGCAATCCAATCCAATTCCACCCTGCCCTCTGCAACACAAAGGAAAGAAATGCTTCTCCACGGCGCAGGTGGCCTTGTTTTCTTTTTTGTTTTTGTGATTAATATTCTTCTTGATCGATTTACCACGACCCATCTGCGGTTGCTTTATCCGGCTGGGGGGTCGACGAGTGGCTGTGCGCCTCGGGCGTCGATCGGTGAGACAGCTGCGTCAGTTCTCCGACGAGCCTGCAGTAGTCCGTTAGGGCCTGCTATTCATGCGTCTGCCTATGGAGGAAGGGAGAATTACTCACCGATTGTGATCTTCGTACCACTCGTCGTTGGTTGTGCGGATGTGTTTAAGCTGAGCCTGAATGCTTGCCATCTGTGGAGACGCAACGAGCAAAAACAACAATCATGCGAATCAGTAACTCATGTCTGCCAAAAAAGAAAAACAAACAAAGGAAACGGTGCCGATCAGGTAAAAGGATGAAAACCGGGCAGTCCTGAAGACGCGGACGCTAGACGGGGAGCTCCCACCGTTCCCTCGATAGATGAACCAAGCTGCTCCTCACCTTCCACGGGTCCCTTCTCTGCCCATTGACTACCCTCCAGGCCCACCGAATTGCCCCGGCCCCCTTCAGCCTTCAGCGCGGCCACCTCCGCTTCCAACTCGCGCGTGCGCTTACGGCTAGCCGAAATGGCCGAGTCCACCTCGCCCAGCTGGTTCAACAGCGACATGTTCTTATCAATCTGGTCGCTAAAGTCCTTCTCACCCTGCTCCAGTTTGTCGTTCATCACCCGGTTCTGCGTCGTTGTCTCATCCAGCTGGCGGCTGATCATCTCGTGCTTGCTCTTAATCTCGGTCAACTCCTCCTGGGAGGCCGAGAGCTGCTTCAGGACCGATTCGAGCTCCGATTGCGAACTTCCGGAGGCCGATAGCAACTTTTCCAGCTCGGCTGCCCGGGCCGCCAACTCCTCGTACTTCTGCTGCCATTCACTGGTCTCTGCCTGGGCCTTGGAGACGTCCACACCGTGCTGGCCCGCGAGCTCCTTGGCCTCCGTGGCGGAACGTTCCGCTTCGGCAAGCTTGTTCTCGAGTTCGGCAATGGTGGCCTTCAACCTGTCAAGGACCGAGCTGTCCTGAGCGGCGGCCTGGACCTGGGCCAACTGAGCATGCACCTCACGGAGAGCCGCGTCGTGAGACTTCTGCAGCTCGTCCAGCTGAGCTTGGTTGGACGACTCCAGCTGAGAGCGGAGGCTGTTTGTCTTCTCCTCGTGCGCGGTCAGAAGTTCTTCGATCGCCTTGCTATGCTCAGCGTCATTTTCCGCAGCCTTGGAAGCCTGCGAAGCGGCCACCTCGGCTTGCAGTGCCGACCTGGTTTCATCGTACTGCTTCTGCAGCTCTGCGATCTCCTGACCACGAAGCTCGGTGTGCGACGCAATTTCCTGTGCATGACGCTCCAAGGCCGACCTGAGTTCCGCTTCGAGAGATTCCACCTTCTCCCCGTGCTTCAATTCAATTTCGCGGTTGGTCGCCAACAGGGCGTCATGCTTGGCTTGCACATCTTGGAGCGCCTGCTCGTGGGATCCAGAGATGTTCGTCTGGGCGGTCTCCAATTCTGTGGCATGCGCGGCCTTCAGAGATTCTATTGCCTGTGCGTGCTTCTCGGCGGCCGCGGCGGCTTCCTGGAGATGTGCCTGCAGAGAATTTTCCGCGGTCTGCGCTTTCTCTTCCAACGCCTTCAGCTGGCCTTGCTGTTCCACGTCCTTTGACTTAGTCTTGTCCTCAAATGTAACGAGACTGTGTTGCAGTGCCTCGACTTCCTGCTGTTTACTGGAGATGGCATCTTGGAGAGATCTAATCTCAACTTGGCCTGTGGACAGCTGGGACTCCAAGGCGCCGACCTTTTCTTTGAGCGATTCAATCTCCTGAATGGCCACTTCTTGCGCGGAGCTGGCGCCCTCCTCCAGGGATTGCTTAGCTTCGCCGAGAGCCTGCTCCGAAGCACTTAATTTCTGCTCAAGGGCTTGCAACTCAGCCTGGTGAGCAGTCTTTAGCTCGCCAATAGCGTCCTCACGTCCCTTCTGTGCGGCAGCTTCGGCGGCATCCAGAGCCGCGCGAAGTTCCTGAAGTTCTTCCGAGGTGCTGTTACCAGCCGACTCGGCCGCCTCTCTAGCAACGGCCAATTCCTGGGCATGAGTGTTAGCCGCAGAAGCGAGGGCCGCGCGAAGTTCCTGGAGTTCTTCCGAGGTGCTGTTACCAGCCGACTCGGCCGCCTCTCTAGCTACGGCCAATTCCTGGGCATGAGTGTTAGCCGCAGAGGTGAGGGCCTCGTCATGCTCCGCTTTTAGTTTGGCAACGGCCACTTCGTGGGCCGCCTCGAGTTCCTGAATCTTCTCCTTCAGCGTGTTTTCGGCGGCGTCGCGGGCTTCCTGGAGCTCTGAATGGAGCATTTCCACCGTCTGCTTCAGTTCGGCAACTTCCTTGTCCTTGGCTGCAAGCACGGTGTCCGTCTCCTCGCTGGTTTTAGAAGTAGATTCGGTCTCCGCAAGCTGAGTTTCGAGCGACGCAACCTTCTCCTCAAGGGCTGAGACAGACTGCCGAGCAGATTCTTCAGCAGCGCGAGCCTGGTCTTCCTTGGCTTGGTTGAGCTTCTCCATCTCGTGGTTCAGATTTTCAATCACCTGATCGCGTCCATTGAGCTCACGCTGGAAGCTTTCCAGAGCCGCGGTCTTCTCTTCCAGGATCTTGGTGGTTTCGGCGACACTGCTCCTCTGCGCCTCGACTTCGGACTTAAGAGCATCGAGCTCCTCAGCATGACCAGCGGCCGAGGCCTTCTGGTCGGCCAGTTCTTTCTCCAGCGCTTCCAGCTGAGCCTGATGGGATTGCTTCAGTTCTTCCAGGGCGGTCACGGTCTGATCATCGCCTTGAGCGGCGGCGGACTTCGCGGCTTCGTTCAGATCCTTAATGGATTTTTCTACCAGTTCTTTGCGCTGAGCTTCGGCCTCGTCCAGCTTGGTACGCAGAGCCTGCAGCTGTTCCGCATGCTCGGCAGTCAGGCGCTCGAGTTCTGCGGCGTGCTGTTCCTGGAGTTCCTTGGTGGCAGCGTCGCTGTCTTTCGAAACATCTTCCGGTGGAGAGACAGACAGCTGAGCCATTTTCTCGTTCACCGTCTCCAGCTCGGCTTTCAGGCTTGCCACAGTAGCCTCGCTTTCAGACAGCTTGCTTTCCAGCGCATGCAGTTTCTCCGCATCTTCCTCCGAGGTCTTTGTGACGGTACTCAGTCTCTTGGCTGTTGTTCCAGTCGCTGGGCGAGTGACCGTCGAGGTGGGACGAGTAGTCGTCCGGGTCGCACTAGTGGTTGAGGACGTCGGACGAGTAGTAGTGGTCAACGTGGCCGGTCGGGTTGTCGGGCGTGCCGCAACGGTGCTGGGACGCGACACTGAGGTTCTCTTCTCGGCCGTAGTTGAACCAGCGATGCTTGAGCGTCTATCCAGCGTGCTGGTAGTCTTGGTGGGAGCACGGGTAGCCGGGGTACCAACCAGAGACATCCGCTTTGCGGTGCTAGACATGCCTCGTTTTTCATCTCCGGAGCTTGCCACGGATCGCGACTTTTCATCGGCAGAGCTGCTAACTGATGCGCGAGATCGATGAGAAGCAGTAGTCGATGTGCTCAGAGGCTTTCGGGTGGTAGTTGTCGTGGGTGGACGCGTAGGAGGCCTGTTCAACGTGCCGCCATTGGTGGTCGAGGGGCGAGAAGTCGATGTCGTTGGCTTGGGGGCACCGGAGATGGAACTGGGCCGTTTTGTGACTGGAGTTCCCGACACGGGGCGTTTAGCCGTAGTCGTGGTGCTGGAGGTAGGGCTCTTCTTGGTGGGAGACGCCTTAACGTTCTCCTTGTCCTTGGAAGTCTCGGGACTAGCGACGGGCTCCTCACTACCGGAGAGCACGGTTGAATCGACGGGCGTGGCCGGGAGGACATCTGGATCCACCACCCCTTCGGCCGGGGTAACGGGAGGGACGGGTTCCTCAGTCGAAGCCATTGTAGCTGGCGTGGAATCAAGATCGGGCACGATAAATGGTCAGGGAATTGAAGCGGGCGATCTGGCAAAATTGTACGGGGTCCACGTTAGCTCCAGGTTGACAACCGCAAAAACGGAAAAAGAAAAACAGAATCTCCGTCTCAAGAGAAAGACGAAAGTTGACATCCACGTGAGGCGATCGTAGCCGTACAGGCTTCTCACATTCCAATTGGAAAGAGGGGAAGAAGGTCAACACTGGCCCCCCATGGGTTTGCTGATCTCCCGCCAGAGGGCAAGTCCAAATCGAACAGAATGGGGGGTTCTCCTTTTTCCACCAGCGTCCCGAGGTCCAACGAGGAAGGCGGGCAGTTCACGAGTCACTTACTGCAGCACAGAAGTCAATCGTCAATTGCAAAAACAATGACAGTGCAAATTGAGCCAGGAATGTTCCACCAAGCACCGAGTCCGTGTTGTACAGGAACCGGTGGGGGATGAAAGAAGCAGAGAATGGAAAGAAGCAGCTTCCGATCCCCGAACGGTGAGGAAGGATACTAGACAAAGCCAGACGGCTCAAACTAGAAAGAGATGCGAGGATTAAGAAGCAAGCGACGACAACCAGAATAAAGGGGGGAATTAAAAGAAGATAGAAGGAGGATTAAAGGAGCTAGGTACAAGAGAAAGGGAAAGAAGAGGTGTAGAAGTCGAGAAGGCGAGAGGGACGGAAAGAGAGGAAGCGAAGAAAAGGAAGGAGAGGAAGAGGGGGTGCCGCATGGTCACGGTATCGTATGAAACAGTCTGGGGACGGGGTGAGACTCCGAGATAACGTGCGGAATTGCGGTTATAATACCGGTCCTTTTGGTCCTGTACGGTATGTACCACGTACAATACACCTCACCGCCCTCCGTGAGGACACGCAGGACTCTCTCTCTTGTCTTGACTGGGGCAGACTCGAGTCGATTCTCTGGCCCTGGAGAAGTACATACAATGGTTCTCAGGTGGATGTGGTTGAACCACCCTATTCTGGTCCCTTCAGCCTCGCAGACTCGCATACCCCTGAGTGTTTGTTGTGATGCGCGGTCCTCATACTCCGGTTCCGTGGTTCATCTGTCCCTGAACCGTAGAAATATAGTTCCAATTTACTAGTAGACTCGACTTTGAACCGAAATAATATTAAAGGGTATCTTCAATCTTGCTTCACACGCCATTCCTCCAGTCATGGATATCAAAGTTCCATCAGCCACTGCCACTCTCGGCGTTGCTCCTGCGTCTTCGCTTTCTCTTCGTAAAGAGAAACATTTGCATCTTGCATCTGCTGCGCCTTGGCCCGGAGCTCTCCAATCGTTCGCCCCCCTAATCTACTAGGGTATTGTTCTAGTATTCGATGAAAGCGCTCTGGACCTACAAGGTGACAGTGTGGCTCGTTAGCATTTCGATCCTTCTCGAGTGCGACGTGGATACGGAGTGTGTTTCCGAAAACTTACCTTGCCAGCGTTTTAGCCCTTTCAAAAGAGCATATCCCTCAACATCTGTCCATTCTCTCTGATTAAGGGCGGTGGGAACAGGGTCACTCAGAGCACCCTTCTCCAGAGCATCAATTAAATTGTTGAGGACGCTGATAAGAGACCAAGCCCGGCTTCGAAATTTAACATACCCCCGGATATTCTGGGCATTGCTGCGCCTGCAAAACTTTTGTAGCAGCTTCATGGTTTGGAGAAGATGATCGTAGGCCCATTGGAAACGTCGATGCATGCCATGGTGGCGGTATGCTTCGAAACATTGAAGAATTAGTCTCACCATGGGGTAGTATACGCGCGCTTCGAATTCCTCCGCCAATTCCCCACTAAGCGACTTAAGCTGTTCGTCCCGCCTCGCCGCGCGATAATAAATCATTTCACGGAGCTTATCCCCTTCATTGTCCAGAGAGCGGCGAATCCTTTCGCACGTTTGTCGGGTTTCTGGTGAGGGTTGACGTTGTTTTTTCAAACTGTAGAATAACCCGGTATATTCCTTACGCAAAGACATCATCAGAGTTTCGATCTGTAGGAAATAATGAGCCCTGGATGAGCTGACAAGCTCAGAAGCGGCAAGCGTTTCAGATATCAAGATCTCCCAGTTCTCCTTCTGTCCACCAAGCAGTTTGGCTTCCGTGAACCATGGGCTGTCTCCAATGTCTCCAATGTAACGGGGCTTCTCTGTAGACCTCGTGGATGCAGAACTTGAAGCCCCCTCATCGGAGCGGCTATTGTGGTGATTTTGCAAGCGTGTCGAGACGGATGATGCTCTTTGCTGGCCTGGCATCTCAACTACAGGTATTTTATTTCCCAGCCGCGGCCTGTCCTTCGGAGATGCCGCTGGGGATAAACTATCCTCACTGCCTTCGGGGGTATACCTGAATAGGCCAGACGCAGCTCCTGGAGATCCCTCCGAGGCCGATTCCTCCATCGAGGGAGAGTAGTCTGATTCCTTAGCCGCATCTTCTGCCTCCGGCTCGCTATCCACGGGTGGCCCTGGCTCGTGTTCCAACACAGTCGTATCTTTTGTTATTTCTTCGCTGGTCGCGGCTATCTCTCGCTCTTCTTCCGGTGTAGTCGCATCTTTTGCCACATGTGCGCTATTCACATTTATCTCCTGCTCGTGCTGCAGTTGCTGTGAAGGAGAAAATTCCATAGAGTGTCGTTCGTCATCGTCCTCATCAGAATCCGAAGAAAATAATATCACACGAGTAGAATCGACTTCTTCGTAACGATCTTGGATGGTTGCATCTGGGGGGCTGGGATTTCCCTCTTGCTCCTGGAAGCTATCCTGGAAGCTATCTTCGGAATCATTTTCCGAGTCATCATCTTCACCAACACTGAAACTCACATCTGACTTCTCCATAAAGGGAAGCTCAGCAATGCTATGTTCGGGATTAACTTCAATTTCTTTGGGCTCTTCTCCAATCTTTTCGGGTTGATCCTTGCGGCTCGCTACCTTGTTTAGACCCTCGGATTCAGAGTCCTCATCCGAGTTATCATCGGAACTTCCATCAGATGATTCGCGGCCAATCTGAATCTCTATCGTAGGATTTATATCTGGCTGCGACCCCGGGGGTTTCTTATTCAAAGAGCTTCTCCGTGTATCTTCATTCTGCCTGGGGGTTTGTTGATTACCCCCAGTCGTATCAATACGCTTGGTTGTGTTGCTCTCAGATTCATCCGAGGAATCATCAGACTCGTGATCAGAGCTCTCACCCGAGCTACTGATAGAGTCGTTTCCGAGCTTGATGCTCCCGCTTGGGTGCACAGGGCCGATTTTTCGACTGGAAAGTCTTGGAGTGATCGGTTCACTCTGCAGAATAGGCTTGGACACGGGAGATTCGCCCTCCTCTGGAGATTCAGGACTTCCTAGAATCACATAATTTTGCGGGAATTGCTTCGTCTGCTCTGTTTGGCGGCGTGGGGAGCGTCGAGGCCGAACGGGAGAACTGAGGCTGACCCGATCGGTGGGAGAATGGATGTTGTTTAGAAAGTCTACGGCCCGTGAAGTTGTGTTGCGTCTTCGTCTTCGCTGGGCAGCAGATCGCGAGCCTGCCATTTTGAGCGAACTAAGTGAAAACCATGAAGGCAAGTTGGTAGGAAACCGGAAGCTGGATAGAGTGCTTTGTTGATGGTGTTTGTGCGTTGTCGGCGCAACACCCCGTGACTAGACGGACCGTACCCGAATTGGCGTCATGAGTCGTCCTTATCGATAAGAACCGCCTCTTCTTCCCGCCTCCTCTTCTCTCTCTCTCTCTTAGTCTCCTGTCAATATTTGCCGTCCACACATTAGCAATCATAGAAGCTTCTGTCAATATATTATACCTGCCATAATCATCCCTTCGCCTCCTGTTTTGGTCATCGAACGCAGCCTCCAGAATGGCTGCTGAGGGATTCCCAGTGCGCGTGCTGCCCGCGATTGACCCCGCACGACACTCCTTTATCGAGCCCGGCAAAAAGATTCACGAAGGAGATGATGTCTCGAGCTTTTTATGCTCCAAGGGCTATGTTGATATAATGACATTCCTTCTTCAGCTGAATCGCTCGATGTTCCCGGAAAAGCTTCCCGATGGCAGCGTGCAAACTTGGCCTTTGAACTCCGATGCGGTTGAATACTCGGCCCCGGTCCGACAGCTACAACAATTACTATCGAAATTGGAAGCGATTATTGTGGAGGCACCGCCCAATACGGGCCCACGGAGGTTTGGCAATATCAGTTTTCGCAAATGGCACCAAATCGTCGAAAGTCGAGTCTCGGCCCTGCTCGAGGAGTGTTTGTCGTCTGAAATACTCAAGAAACCGTCCTCAGATCCAAATGGCCCGACGGCGGAAGTAGAACTGAAGGCCTACTTCTTGGGGAGCTGGGGAAGCGCTCAACGCCTGGATTATGGGACAGGTCATGAATTGAGCTTCCTGGCTTTTCTCGCTGGGATCTGGAAGCTGGGGGGATTCCCTAAAAACGCGGCCGGGGTGGAAGAAAGAGCTCTTGTTTTGGGTGTGATAGAACCGTGCGTGTTTCCATGAAATAGCTACCGTGCGTGGTAAATACTAACAGGAGATTGGCCTAGGTATTTGGAATTGGTACGAACGATTATCAAGACCTACACCCTGGAACCGGCAGGCTCTCACGGTGTATGGGGGTTAGACGATCATTCATTCATACCCTATATCTTTGGGTCTGCACAGTTCGCCCCGGCCCTCGGAGAATCAGACAAAGTGCCTGATGAGGGCTCTCTGCCCGACGCGCCGGATCCCACTGGTGTATCGAAAGCAAATATTGTTGAAAGAGAGCGAAGAGACAATTTGTACTTCTCTGCAGTCGGCTTTATTTACGATGTGAAGAAAGGGCCCTTCTGGGAACATAGCCCAATGTTGTATGACATATCTGGGATTCGCACCGGCTGGGCCAAAATTAATAAGGTCAGTACCTCATCTTCTAAACAGCATAGTAATTTACTGATCGAAACTAGGGAATGATCAAAATGTATAACGCCGAGGTGCTCTCCAAATTCCCTGTGGTCCAGCATTTCCCTTTTGGCTCCCTCTTCAGCTGGGAGCGTGATCCGAACGCTTTGCCACCACCATCCACAGCTCATAGCTCATCTGGTCCCCAAGCACGACCACAAGGTTCCGCTGCCCCGGCCCCAACGACACAGGCCCCTGGAGCGGGAACCAAAGCGCCTTGGGCCTCTACATCGGGATCTGTCCCTCAGAGTGGAACTGCGGCGCCTTGGGCGACCTCGCGAGGACCCGGAGGGCCGTCTGCGTCCAGAATTCCTCCAACGCTCATTAATACATCGACATTACCCCCGGGCCCGATGACACCGACTCGGGCCCCTTGGGCGAACTCACAGCCCCCGGCAGCCCCAGATGGTAGTGCTGAAGGGAACCCTGTTACCAAAGCTCCCTGGGCTAAATGATGCCTTTGTATGGCAGACGATGCCGTTCTGTTTTGTATATACCCTTCACCTTATGTGGCTTATGGTTTTGTATGAAAGTGCATAAAAAGTTATCATGATTAGCAAACAACGTATTCCTAAATTCAACTCCATCTGGGTATCATCTATCTCTATGTAAAACGCTCAAGCAACTTTATATAAAGGTATCACATGAATGCCTTGAAAAAACGTCTCAATCTGAATCAGAAGCATAAGCAACCAGAGCAGTCGCAGCACCCGACTGCTTCTGATCCGATGTGTCTGCCTCCTTCAAATGCTCACCCGACACGGTAGAAGATGGTTGGATAGACTTGCTGTCTTTGTTGTCCTTAATGGTCTCCACTGGTTTGTTCAGCGCGGTTTTTCGCCGCTTGTTCTCTGGCTGCCATATATTGGCGTCTTGACTGAGGAACGGATCGACCGCTGCGCGCGTATTACTCGTCAACTCACTGCGCAATATCGCCTTCCGGTCTGCAACAAGATCGGCCGCCTTCGATCTCTTCCCATGTCGACTCCCCGAAGCGAGCGGCAATCTCTTAGTTGTCGCCGTCACCGAGGACTCAAACATGGGTCGAGTGCGAGTAGTCGCATCACCGGTAGGTCCAAAGTCGATAAATCCAGCACGTAGCCGATCCTCCTCCGTCTCGTCCACCAGATCGATCCCCAAGCTCATCTTGTCCTTCAACGCCTCGCTCTTCGCCTCCGCCGTCTCGAGCACCTTCCGTTCCGCCCGGAACCCCCGTCTCAACCGCCTCGACTGCTCGTACGGGTCATCCCAGTCGCGATTTTGCCGTCGCTGCAGATCAAATAGCCGGCTCTGTTCCGTCTCCGCCCTCCTCTTATCCTCAACCTTTCCCTCCAACTTGGCCAACGGGTCACTCTCCCCCTCCTCCCTTCGCAATTTGATCGTAATCTCCCCCAAGCCGAGATCCTTCTCTTCTCCGGTATCCCGCTTCCTACCTCCCTCGGTAACCACATACGCCGTGTTCTGCGGATCCGTGCGGATTTCGATCCATCCACCACAAGCGGTGTGTTTCATGCGAAAGCTATAGATGGGCGTCGAGTGGTAATTCCCAACTTTCTTTTTCTCGGCGTTAAAGCGCACGCCTTGTCCGATGATCGTCTCGTGCGGTTTGCAGTTCGTGCACCATACCGCGAAGGGCATCTCGAATCGCACGACTAGGGCGCCGGTGGTGTGTAGATGGCGGGCGCGGGACCCGAGCGGGTGCTTTCCCGCGAGCTTGTTGGCGCTTGTGAGGCCTTCTTGGTCGGGTGGGACATAGCTAGGGGTGGGTTAGATGGCGGGTTGTCTTCTTGGTGCCTGTGGCGGCGTGGAGGGGAGGAGGGAGATAGACGAACCGTCCCATATCTAGAGGGGGGAATGGTGTCAGTAAAATGTCTAGAGAGAAACAGGGTTGGCTATGAGGTACATACTAAAGCCTTGCATGTTGGCGGCTGGGCAGCGCAAACTGGCGCTATCGTATCGAATGTGAGGGGATGGCAGGCAGTTGCGCTCGGTGTTTGCGATGGAGAAATGGAGATGAATGGAATGCATAAAGTGTACTGATAAGAATGACTAATTATGCAATACACGGTGGGCTCCTTCCCGATTCGGCAGTCTTTCTACATATCTCTTTTTCTTCTTCTTTATTTCTCTTTCCTTCTCAGTCTCCCTTCGGAGGTTATGCTATAATAGGAGAGTTGTTATCTGAGACACAAAGTAAGACGTACAATAGAATACTCAAAAATGAAAACACAATAACCACTACAAAGTCGAGCAATCGCCACCCACATCGCAGCGCACACGGGCATCAGCGACGCTCTGTCCGATCCAGAATCTGACACCTTCCCCGTTCACAGGGGCCTTCCAATCCTGCACCTCTACGTCCCAGATACTGATATCCTTACGGGTGATCTCCAGAGTCAGGTCCTCGCTCTCGCCAGGCGCCAGGATCTTCGTTTTCTCGAACTGCCGCAACTGCCGCGACGGGGTGTCAACCCCCAGGCTGGAAGGCATCTCCACGTATAACTGTGCAACAGCACGTCCTTTTCGCGAGCCCGTGTTGGTGACCTTCACTTTAATTGAAAAAGCAATGTCCCACAAAGCGGGATTTCCGCCCTCGGCGCCGCCGGCACGCGGTGCGGGTTTCGGCTCCGTCGCGTACCCATCAGGATAGGGGTACTTCTTGGTTGAGTTGGCGGCTGCACCTCCGGGGTTGTCGAGGTATGGGTAGAGGTAGCGCCAAATACGGTCGAAGTTCTTGGGCCAAGTCGCCTCGGATGCGCTGGGCTTGGTGGTTGGGTATGAAGGTGTGGTGCCTTTGGGAGATCGAGCTGGTGGATACGCGCTACTTATGGGAGTGTCTTCTGAAAGACTAGGCTCGGAGAACTTGAATGTAGTGTAAGAGAGTCCGTGGCCGAATGGGTATCGAGGGGTGACGTTGCTCTTGAGGAAATGACGATAATCGATGTACAGGCGCTCGGTATAATCATCCTGGATTTGGCCGAATGCTTGCTGAAGCAGACCAACGCTGGCTGGATAGTCCGACTCGCTGCGAGGGATTGTATATGGCATATGTCCGCTGGGGCTGTAGTCACCAAACAGGATGTCTGTTAAGGACCAGCCGGCTTCCTGGCCGGGCAGATGTGCGACGAGGACTGCCTTGACCGACTCCAGGTCAATCCATTTCTCCATTATTATGGGACCAACCGTGTGGACAACCACGACGACCTTCGAAAATTTCTCCGCAGCAGCTTTGACAAGGTCATCGCCCTCATGCCACGCATACAATCCTGCTGTGGTGCGGTCCCCCGGGTTGCTTTCGACGGTGATATAGTTCTCTCCTGAGTCGGCATTGATGAAAACAATGGCAACGTCCTGCGAAGTTGGGGAGATGTTGGAGGGGAACTTGTCCGTGATGAAAAATTGAGCATTGGACGAGAGATTGGCAATTGCTTGCTGGGGGGTGACAAGGTATGGCAGCCTAGAGGTTCCACTTCCCCAGCCCATGGTCAAGACACCTTTGTTGCAGCCTTGATCGGCGCAGGTATTCAGACCATCCGGATTTCCGCCAGCGTCGGCGCCAAAGATTTTCAACGAATCATTTCGTCTTAGGGGCAAGAGGTTGTCGTCGTTCTTAAGTAGCGTGATGGCGTCCCTCGCCACTGCTCTGGCTGTGATATTATGGTTCCCTTGAACATTGATATATTGGTTGACGATTCCGGAGGGAGAGAACAGAGCTCCTGGATAAAGAGGTCCTTTTTCATCCAATGTGTTCCCGGAGAAATTGGGAAGAGGATAGTCTTTATCCTGGCCCATCTTGTACCATGTTGCGACGATTCGGGTCACCTAATTTGACATGAGCAACCCATGACCTCCCGAGATTGAAGAGACAACATACCATATCGTTTAAACGATCAACCGGGACTGATCCATTGAGAATGGAACGAGAAAGTTCCCAGCCCCAGTAGGTGTTTCCAAGGAGTGGTACAGCGCCATCTCCAGGCATATCCATGTCCAGACCAGCCAATGCTGACGAAACTCCGCCGATGTGGGCCAGCCAGTCGGTCACAACGAACCCCTGAAACCCTAATTCATCCTTGAGGATTCCATTGATGAGTTTGCTATTTTGACTACACGCTGAGCGATTCACCTTACAAAGAGATCGAATTAGTAAAGACATCAGGAGAGAGGACGAGAGGAGATCGACTGCGACTGCTCACATCATTATAAGCGATCATCACTGAGCCAGCTCCGGCTCTGACACCTTCAGCAAATGGCCACAGATAGAGCTCATGGAGTGTGCGGTCATCGATATTCGACGAATATCCTTGAGTCACTATAGAGCTCATACGATGCATCTCCTGCTCGTTGCCGATGAAATGTTTGAGCGAGGCAATAGCCCCCGTGCTCTGCATGCCCTTGATAGTCAGAGAACCACCGACAGCCTGGAGACTGGGATCTGCGCCAAAACCCTCCCAGTTGCGACCTCCCCGCGGTTTTCTCCCTATAGCGCCAACTGACGGACCCAGGAGGACGTTGATGCCTTTGCCCCGTGCCTCTTCACCGAGTCCCACGCCTCGCTCGTACATGAGATCCTTGTCGAAAGTGGCCCCTACGGTAATTCCAGGGGGAAAAGCTGTGTTATGATCGGAGTTGCGTACCCCCAGTGGAGAGTCATGAAGACATAGATTGGGGATCCCCAATCGCAGGGCGCTACCTGTTTGGCCCGCGCAAGGGCCCATGAAGATACCCGTGCCGGTTGTCAGATTCACCTTTTCGGCCAAAGTCATGTTGCTCACGAGCTTATGTGCCTTTTCATAGGCTTCCGCCCAGTTATCTAGCCACCCGCCCTTGGGTGTCGGGTAGTATGGGGGGGAGTAGGCATCATCCGAGGCCCTTGCACTCAGGCCTGGCTCCGAGGGCAATGATAGAGCCGAGGGCAGCAAGATAGAGGCAACCACCAGACACAGTGATCGAGCAGCCATGGTTGAATCACCTAGAAAGGCGCGACCACGAATTCACTAACGCCTATTTCAAAAGGGCAACCCTGCAATAAAGCCAACAAGGGCCACCGCGGGGGACGCCATATTATTTATAGGGTGTTGATGATCCATGATGCCCCCGCAGGAAAACAAGGCAAGTGATCATGGGATCCCCACAGGACCGGCATATTACAAGGTCATTTGGCTGAATGCTGAATAGGGGAAGGGCGACGGGGATACAAGATAGCCTAGCCGGAATGCGAACAGTGAGGAGTCCGCGCGCCAAGCAGAAAGTGCTCGAACCGAAGATGATCATTGCTGGAAAATCGAATGCTAGGATGACTAGCAGTCCGAAAGGATGTCATACCCAGAGAGTGGACCGTAGACCACTGCAGAATCACAATTTCGGTACTCGGAAACCCTGGAGAACGCTCTAAGGGAGGAATAGTTTGTTGTCGATCCGTCCGCTAACCGTCGCGCACTGCCTGCCGTGCCACTGACCCAGAGCGTGGAGTGAACACAACAGTGCGTGTCCACAGTGCTCACCATGACCGCAATAACATATAGTATAGAGTGAATATTCCGATTGATTCACCATCAGGATTGTTTCAGCTATCCTGGTGGGCAATTCTTTGTTCTACTTTTATGATGTAGCTTTGTGCCCCTGAGAATAAAGGTTGTTGCTTTGTTCTCGCTCTTACCCTAGAGAATATAGAATCTTTATTCGACAGGTCTTCTCTTCCCTGGAAGCTACAAATACACCACACTTGCATGATACCAGAAAAACTAGTTGACGAATCACCCCCCCATGGAAAACTCACAGGGCCCTCGTCGAAGTGCGCGCCTCCAAGAGAAAGCACAGGAAATTGCTGACTTGAAGAGAAAGAATGTTTCACCCGCAGAGCAACAGATTAAGGTACTGTCATAAACTATTGCTGAGCATTCTGGCTGTGATAAACTGACTGGTTTCACTGATCTAGACCCAGCGACCTAGCTTGAAACGGAAGCGGGCAACTGGAGCAAAAGGGCCATCCAAGAGGCGAGACACAAGAGCAAAGGCGCCTTCCAAGAAGGAAGAAACGACAGCAGTAGTGTCTTCTGCGGTGCAGGCACAGGTCGCAGCAGAATCATCTCGACACCAACAAGGATTTTCTAGAAAATCACGACAACCAAAGACTGCCGACCCCGGTAAGAACATCGAGGTAGGCAGAGCTCGCCATGTCTCTCACTGGATCGAAAACAAGCAGTGGCCAGAAGAGTTCTTTCAATTTGTCTCTAAGTTCCGAGTGGGGCGTGAACCTCGCCATTCAGTATCTCAACCTGAGTGTCAACCTCCAACGCATACAGAAAGAACTATGATTGACCTCTATAATGCGCCCCAGTGTGTGAGCTTCCTCAATTATAAAGGCTGTAACTTAACCAACCACTGGGATGGGCTCCCTATTGAAGAACGCGATTATTTCAAGAATCTATTGGAACAAGACTGTGAGACTCCCACAGGCACGGCATTCGATGAGAGTGCAATATTATTCATAAAAAACATAATGTCAAGCAGTAACGAAACCGCCGTTATTCGAATGATCAGTCAATTGGTTGTTCCTTCTGCTGAGCTTGAGATCAGCCGAGGTCAGCTCGAATCTATAGGATTGGTTGATAGTATAGATGAGCCTTGGGAGGGGTCGATTTCCCTTGCAGCGGAAGAATCGAATACACCTCAAACAACACCAGGTCCAAGCATCCAACCAGAGACAGGGAGGGATCCTCTCCCAATACCGCAACCAGACTATGCCCTTGGATTTTCAGCAACAGCATTTACGCGCGAGCAGCTCGACAGGCTTGCACCTTTCCTCGGTAGCGATAAAGAAACCTCCGCTTTCAAGGGTACCCAAGGGATGCTTTTTCCTTTTCTCGCGGTGCAGCTGAAGTCCGCCAACGGATCTCTTGAAACGGCAATAAGACAGAACTCCCACACTATGGCTCGTGCTCTCCGCGGCGTTATTGAGCTTTTCAAAATGGTCGGACGTCAGGACGAGTTGCATCGAAGTGCTCTCGGCGTTTTCATCATTCACAACCACTGTGAAGTAGAGATATACGTAAACTTTGCTCGGATCGAGAACGGGCAGGCAACGTATCACTATGAGCTGCTCGAGGGGTTTAGTTTTACATGGGAGGAAGGCAGGAACCGATGGAGTTCGTACAAATTCGTGATGGCTTTTTATGAGAATTGGGTCCCGATGCACCTGGAACGACTGCGCTCGGCAATTGACGACTTGCCAGTGGTTAACTTCGACGTGTCCACCCAGTCGCCGATTCAATCTAAGTATTCAAAGCGGTCAGATGATTCAGGGAGAGAAAACTCGTCATCAGAAGACGGTGTCCCGGCCTCTCAAGGATTGCGCAGACCATCTTTGTTTTCAACAATTTTTTCGGTGGTGCGGTAGAGTGTCCTGTTCTTTTTAGGGTCGATTTCAGAAAGGTTAGAATAATCTAATATAGCTAGATTAATGGGTTGGTCGTATATGAGAATAAAGAATTATAGTTCTGTCACTAGACATCGGTTGTCCATTTGAGTCATTAACTGATTTCGTAAAATCATAACCAAGTCTTGTCTTGCGTGTTCCATGAGATCAGTGCATCCCACCAACTTCAGTCTCATCCATCAAATCAGATAGCAACGACTCAGCTCGGCTTTGGAAAGTTTATGCAAATATTCACAAGTAGAAGGCGAGGACCTTTGAAACCATACCCCCGAAGCTATTGGAAGAGATTAGCTAGTGAGATGAAAATCAGCCTTGACTGTCTTGGGGGAATAGACAAACGATGAATTTCCTCGAAAGAATGAAATTGAAATGAAAGAACCTAGAAGACAAGAAGAATATCCGTACTGCGCGGGGACACCACACAAGTGCATGCCACATGGTACCTTGCCAGAACATCCCTCTAGTAGTTGGTCTCTATGAACTCCCGCGCATCTTCAGTCTGCTGCTCTTCTTCAACCGGCTTAGACCTGTATCTTCCCGGATGGAAGAACAACTTTTTATCATCACGCGAAGCAGAGCAATCTCGCAGCTCATACTGGCCCCGTAACAACGCATCACGAGTCGGCCGCTGGTGCCGTCGAAACGGCAACGTGCCGGCTCTCCATCCCTGCCAATACGTCGTAGTGATACTGGCGATGTTCGTATCTCATTTGTTCCGCAAACAACTTCTGCTTCACGGCCGGAACGTGCGCGTAGAGATAGGAGATCTGACAAGCCAAAACAATCGATAGCATGGCATCGTCGTTCGAACATTCCAACCAGCTTTCGATCAGTGCATCTAGGAGGCCTGCCAGTGGTGGAAATGGCACCTTGTGTGACGGATGGTCTTCGAACGGTGCATGGTATTCTAGTCGCGTGTCGGAGGTGAGAGGAAACTTCCAGTCTGTAGCGGGGAGGAGGACGGTTCTCCACTGGCCATCGGGGGATATTAATCGCTGTTGAGGCTGGTCCGCCAAATCTACCTCTGCATTCCCAATGAGATGAGGCCCCTGCATATCGAAAGTCCACCCCTCCTGGGCAAGAACATGGACGGCTAGATCGATGTCCTCGACGAGGATGTATAGATCAAACGAAACCGTAGGAACGCCATAGTGGGATAGAGCATCCTCAAACCAGACAACGTGGCGGACTCGGTGGTCATCTAATACTTGATAGGGTTTGTATCTTGTTTCAATATTATATGGCCCGGGGCCAAGGTATAGTTGAGCTTGAATTCTGTCATCCTGCGATGTTCTGGTAAAATGCAAGAGACTTGGTCTTGTTTGGAGGTAAGACAGGACGTAGTGGAGTACTTGGGGCTGTGGCGGCCACCGGGACACTACCGTAAGAGGTGCCTAGGCGGTCACAAGGATTGCACTGAACCCTAACCTACTAGGTTACTATTTAGGTACCTAGTCTTGATTCATTAGACTGCTCTTCTTGAAGCCTATATTGATCTCATTGTTCATAGATCAGTAACACTGGCCCGTCCAATCATTTTTAGGAGCACCCCTCCCTGCTTTTCTGTGCATGCTTCAGTACACAAGTATAGTGCTATTATATTGCCTCGTACTTGCATTTTGGAGATTCACTGGCTATCAAAAGTAGTTCAAGACCCAGCAGCTCACTATCAAATCACTTTCCTGGTGCTTCACTCCGGAGGATGGCGTCTGATATACCAGGGATTCACACCCATGGCACTTGGAAAGCACCGGAGTTTCGAGATACATGATCCATCAATAGTTCTCATCCTGTGATCTCTGCTTGCTAGGTAAACGTGTAGTACCCTTGGAATACTGAACGCGTTTCATGATCATTAAGTGAATCAGACCAAGCTGGACCGGAAGGCGCTACCACATTCACCATACTAGGTAGCAGCATTGCGCGATTCACCACCAGTCGAGCATTATCATCGTACCTTATTCCCATGAGTATTCGATATGAGCAACCTCCAGTCAGCTCAGTCTGTCATCAATCTTCATCCATACACTTGCCTTGTATATACACCATCTAATACGATGGGCGCACAGCTTTGCTCTGAATTTGCAGAGTTCGTGATAAAGACCTGAAAAAGTAGGTGATATGCAGATGGAAAGGACTCTGTATCTTGGATCGAACTATGGACTGACCCCATCGTTTAGGGCACACACCATGTCTTCTTCACGCCTTCACCCCTACCCAGAGATACGCGAAGTTGCAAAGGCAGTTGGAAACGCACTTGCTCATGGTGAAAAATATGATCTTGTTGGAGGTGGTGCATGTGTGGTCTTGGGCTCCAATCGAGCAATAGAAGACGTAGATTTCGTTGTCCTTCGCGGTGGAACTCGAAACGCAAGACAGCTGTTGCGGGCCTCACCTTCGAGGTTGAGGCAAGAACCAACCATACAACTTACAAGGCAAAAAGGCCTGTAGAGGTCGAGATCCTTGCACCGCCTGTCCTATTCAAAGAACCCTCTGATCAAGAGACCGAGTTGATCACAGTCGAAGGCACCAATGTTTTGAAGTCAGCCTTGCTTCTAAATGCAAAATGTGGTTCATTCTCTGAGCGACCGACGACGGAGAAGAGAAGGACCGATGCTCAGGACATTCATTTCCTCCTTCGTTTCTGCGCCAGTCACCCGGAACATCTTCCAAAGGCCAACGAAGTTCCCAGAGCAGCGAAGGAGTTTGTTGAAGAGCTCATCCAGGACTTTGGATCCCCAGATGCTTGGGTTGGAGCTGGTTATAACTTCGAGACGGGTTTGTTTGTCCTATCTTATTTCTGTAAAGAAATGCCACAGCTGACTCACATGAATAAGGCCATTTTGACAGAAATTAGGCTATATTACTGCGAGGAATCCACTACATGGACATAAATAATCCTTTGCTTAGTAGGAATGACCTTTCTTAGTGCAGTGGAGTATTAACTAGCCATACAATGCAACATGTACCACCCAGGGACATACCTGATATTCTTATTGTTATTCAACCAGAAGAATAAGAACACGGAGTAGTAGACTAAACCCCACGACCCAATGGCCCGAAAACCCAATCTCCTGACGATCCGCGAAGCTAAAAATACTCCGCGGGGGCGATCGGCAGGCACGCCGTGCCCCAAGCAGCTTGTCGCCCGACGCTGGCCCGGAAGCGTTTCCCCCCAAGGAGTCTAGTCGGTCAATTCTCCGGACGGTGGCTTCGTTGTTAGTCATCTGACTTACGCGGTCAAGTGAGCACCGGTTACTTCCCTTGTGGTTGATTTTCGGGATAAGTTTACAGATATAGATACCATTCGTATTATCCGAATAATTTTCGCATTCAGCCTTCATAAAACCCATACCCATAGCTAACGTCGAACCCTTTACATATACTCTATTCTATGAAATGTTACTTCCGCGCTTTCTCACCGTATCTCCCCTAACTGTGGGCTCACGGAGCAGGCTGCTGTGCATGGTCAGGATGAATTCAAATATTAATGACAGAGGATACGATCAAAAAAAGATGATTGTGGAATGTTCGACGGTTTTTATAAATTGGAAACGGCATCCGCATTGGAAACAATCCGTAAGAGATATTCCACTGCACTACAAAGGGTCAATCCTGCTAAGCGAAAGACTGTTTATCGCAGCAAGATAACCTACTTTTTTTTTTTTGAAATGGCCTTTTTGGTATGAAATAGAAGACTAAACCCAGAATCACAGAAGTAAAAGAAAAAAGAATCAATGCAATATCCAAGCACCCAATTCCAGAAGCACCTTGAAATTCAATCAATGACCAAATCAATCCGCTTTTAGAGGGAATTCCGACATAGTCCTCGTGATAGCCTTCAAGCCGCCGAAGAAGGATGGGGAATCGGTCTCCGGCAAAGCCACACAGTTCGATTGACAGCCGTTAATCGGATGAATCAGTGCGTTGCAACGAGGCTTGGGGACGGTTTGGAAGCAATCAAATGCCCCTGCCGCGTTGAAGCCTTCAAACGGGGCCGTAGGGCGCGGATAGAGCTGATGATTCTGCAGATGCCGAAGGAGGGTCCCGACGATCCACTGGTCACAGTCATAGCAGCATCTGTGATTCGTTGGAAGCTTTTCGGAGGGAAAGACGCTGTGTTCCGTGAAAGTCTTTATGGGTCGATAGAGGGCTTCGAGTATGTATTCGATGGAATTTTGGCGCGTCTTATCGATGGCTCCTGATTTGAACCAATTCCAGTCAGTCCGTGATAACATGCTCGATCATAGAATGGTATCAAGTGAGGTGTAGCATGGTCACTTTGGCGACACCAACTCGGCTCCGGTAGATGATAATGATCATTGAAGAGAAGGAAAAGTGAAGTGAAATAGAGGATACTAAGAGCTAATGAAGATGGGAAAAGTAAATGCTATAGAGGCTGTAATTCGTAAACTCATCATCAACTATAAAGATCTGTTCTATAGGTGAGAATTGATACTGTATGCAGATATCTTTAACATCTCTGTATAACAATGAGGATCTCTCTATTCAAAGTAGCCAGGGTACAACCAGTTCAGCTTCTCCTTGACCTCAGGGTTCCAGTGAGGCAGAGAAGTGCTGACGCCGAACTTGATGGATCCCTCGACGTGCTTGGCCTGGACGAGCTCGGAGTGCTTCTCCGCAGACAGTTCGTCCAAGACGGCGGTCACGAAACGCTTGGCGTTCTCAGCGTTGGCCTTCATGTTGCCCATCACCATCTCGACGGTGACGTCGGCGGTGGACTCATGCCAGCAGTCGTAGTCGGTGGACATGCAGATCATCTGGTAGGCGATTTCGGCCTCGCGGGCCAGCTTCGACTCGGGAAGGCAGGACATGTTGATCACGCTGCCACCCCACGAACGGTAGAGCTTGCTCTCGGCGCGAGTAGAGAATTGGGGTCCCTCTGCGCGATGGTTAGAAATTCGCACCCAAGGAGAATGACCTAACAAATAATCACAAGGAGAGTAACATACCCATACAGATCAGGGTGCCCCGGTCATGAAGAACGACTCCCTCACCCTCCAGAGTGTGACCGCAGGCCCGGACAATCTTCGCGACACCCTCGTCGAACGGGTCCCCGAAGGGAACGTGAGCAACAGCGCCTCCCTCGAAGAAAGTGAAGGGGCGGATGCCCTTGGTGCGGTCGATGACCTGGTCGGGGATCACGAAATCACGGGGCTTGATCTGCTCCTGCAGACTGCCGACGGCCGAGAAAGCAACAATGGTGCGGACTCCAATGGAGCGGAGGGCGGCGATGTTGGCACGGGCGGGCACCTCGTGGGGCGCGATCTGGTGGTGCGTGCCATGGCGACTCAGGAAGGCAACGGCGACGGTCTGGTTGTTGTGCGAGCACTGGTGGTGCAGGATCGTAATGGGGGAGGAGGGCTTGCCCCAGGGAGTCGTAATGTCCAACGAGGCGACCTGGGAGAAGCCAGGGAGCTCACGAAGACCAGTTCCGCCAATGACGGCGATGCGGACGGGGTCTGTATGGCGAAAAACGAGTCAACGTGGCTGCAATGGAGGCAGGATGTGTTTTTCTCCCGAAGGAAGGGTTTCAATCTTACCCTGATAAGTGGAGGGAAGAGCGGCCATTCTGCGAGCTAGTTGTTTTGCGGATTCGATCCTTCTAAAGGGTTTTGTGGTTTTAGTAGAGAGCGAGCGACGAAGAGAAGAGATCGCAAGCATACAATGGAGAGCAGAGAGGGACGAAGGAGAAAAACTGGAAATGGGATCTTTCTGGCTTCAAATCACGAAAACTCCGCGGCGGGGTCGAGGGGCTTATCGCCACGTGGTATCCCTTCAGGCATTCAGGCAGACAAGGCATGCAGGCAGCCAGACCGGCCATCGCCGATCCCCTTCCTTCCTTCCCTTCCCTTCTTCATCCTTGTCTTCCTTTCAACTTGTCGCTTATCAACGGCACTAATATATTGCTATTGTCCATCTATTTACAAATCCATCCTAATTCCTGCAAGGTGATTTAGACCAATTCAAGCTGGTCGCCATTCATAATGATGAGGCCCCTTTCTCACGGGCCCCGGATCTTCTCCTTCTACCCCGGGCCTGTCATATGAATGAGCCCCGAAGAAGTCCATCTGGCCTTCCATGAATTTCGTGGGGAGTGCCGTCCCACCGACATACTTGAGGTATTCCAAAGTTGCGGAGATCGACGGGATATACTGATCATAGACGGTTCCCTGGATCACGATCTCCTTGAGACTGGGGAAGTTCTTGTGCAACTCTTGCGCAATCTCGTCGACATTCTTCAGATTGGTGAGGCGCGTAGCGCCGGCCAGTGCCGGCTGCAGGAGATCAGCAATGGCCTCGGATCGGATGATACAGCCTGCGCGCCAAATTTGCAGGCATTTTCCCAGGTCGATATCCCAGCCTTCGTCCTGAGATGCGCGTGCAATCAATTCTAGGCCCTGGCAGAATGAGGCAAGGAAGGTGCAATAGACTGCGCGTCGCAGGGTCTCGATGAACGCTTTGCGATCTTGGATTCCCTCGACAACCCGAGGGCTCGGTAGCTGCAGCTTCTTCGCAGCCTCGACTCGTTCTGCGCGATTTCCACTGGCCACGCGCAAGAAATGGGCGGTGGCGAGAGAAGGAGCGGACACATGTCGGGCAGCCGACTCCATGATGGACCAGAAGGGCGTTCCCTCGGTATTATCGTCGTCCTGTACAACTTTGTCGAGAACTTCTTCCAGCACGTATCCGTCGGGTTTCTTGGTGTGCAGCATGTCCACCGCAATTTCGAGTAGGTAATTGTTTCGCAGTTCCCCTTCATGGTTCCACTTGGCGAAAATGTTCCCGATCTCGTCATATTTGAGTCCCAGTCCATAGTGAAGGATAGACCAGGCCTCCGCAAGGGTGGACAGCATTGCCCCCTCGATTCCATTGTGCATCATTTTCACGAAATGACCCGAGCCTGCAGGTCCGATTCGCGTGACACACGGATTGCTCGTCTTTGAATCCTTAGCTGCGTATCGTTCCAGCAATGGCATGACGAGCTCCAGCGCTTTCGCATCGCCTCCAGGCGACAAACTCGGTCCCCGGCGTGCCGCCTGGTATCCTCCCGACACTCCCATTCCAATCCAGTCCACTTTGAGATCCGCACATTCCTTCTGCCTCCTTTCTGTGCGCCGATAGTTCTCATTGCCGCCATCGAGGATGATATCTCCGGGATTCAGCGTGTCCTTGATTGCGCCCAAGACTTTATCCGCGGGGTCACCATGTGTAATCGAGAAGATGAACAGCTTGCGATCGTCTCCGCCGTCCAGGCTCTTCGTGAATTCGTCGATTTTATAGAACCCCGAGATCTTGCCCTTGTAGTCAACATCCTTTGCGCCCTCCATGACCTCATCCACATTCTTGTGATTAACGTCCCAAATGGACACGTCCAGACCGATCTCCGCGAATGCAAACGCCATCATGGAGCCCATGTTGCCAGCTCCGACGATGCCGATGCACTTGAAAGGTAATTTCTCACTCTGTGTCGACGGCATGATGCTGAATGACCAAAATCGTAGTTACTAGTTAGTTGTAGCTTCAACTTGCCGTTTTTGAATGCACTGTATATACCTCATACATCCCACGATGACTAAATCGAACCGCAAACCGGGTAAAGAATAAAATTACATCATGTCTACAGCATCAGAACCTCCAACTTACTCCGGAGTAGTCCAGAGGTAGCCTTAACATTCCGGTGGATCCTGCTCCCAATTGACTTCATCTCATCATTACATCATCCGCCCATCCCATAACTATAACACTCATTAACTTCACCCCCTTCCCTCACTGAAAGCCAACCAAAAAGACCTCTCCACGTACCTGGGAGAATTAAATTCAATCACATGAATCTCTGACCCTTCAGAAACAAAAAGAAAAGAAGAAGGATGTCCTCCCAACCCAACCGACCAACCCCCTTCTCCTACGCTACCTGCTCCATCACCGCGCCCTCCCTCCCCGCCAAACTCGCTGCCATCGCCAAAGCAGGCTTCACGGGCATCGAGCTCGCCTTTCCGGACCTCCTCGACTACGGCACCAAGGTCCTGGGTCACGCTGTCGCAGACAAGGACGAGGACGAGGACGAGTTAGTTGAGGTCGCCGAGAAGGTGCGCGAGCTGTGTCGCGAACATGGGCTCGAGGTGATGATGTTGCAGCCGTTTGCGAATTTTGAGGGATGGCCGAGAGGGTCGAGGGAGAGGGAGGATGCGTTTCGGAGAGCGAGGAGATGGATTGCGGTGATGGGGAAGTTGGAGACGAACATATTACAGGTGGGTTCTTTTTTTTTCGTGTGTCGCTTTTACTGGATGTTCTATATGGGATCGGTCAATTGGGGAGAGGGAGGAGTAGAGAATGTGATCTGAACTAACAGAGGTTCGATGAAGGTCGGATCGACCGATATACCCGCGGAAGAGCTCTCCCCGAGTCGCGAGAACATCATTGCCGATCTGCGCGAACTGTCGGATCTGCTCGCCGAGAAGGGGATGTGGGTCGCGTACGAGAACTGGTGCTGGTCGACACACGCACCGACATGGAAGGATGTCTGGGAGATTGTGTGCGACGTGAGGCGCCCGAACGTCGGGCTGTGTCTGGATTCGTTCCAGACGGCGGGCTCGGAATGGGGCGATCCGACGACGGAGTCCGGGCGCATGCAAGACAACCCCCTAGGATTGATGAATCAGCGGCTGGAGCAGTCGCTGGCGGAACTGTCGAGGGAGGTGCCGCCGGAGAAGATCTATTTGCTGCAGGTGTCGGATGCGTATAAGCCGACGAAGCCGCTGGAGACGGAAAGAGTGGATGGCATGTGGCCGCGCGCGCGATGGAGTCATGATTATCGACCCTTGCCGTACGACGGGGGATACTTGCCTATTGAGGCGGTGGCAAGAGCGGTGCTGAAGACAGGGTTTCAAGGGTGGTTCTCCATGGAGGTGTTTGATGGAGGGCCGGATGGTCGGGGGAAACAGTATGACCCGGAAGAGTATGCGGAGAAGGCGATGCGAAGTATGAAGGAGTTACTGGAGAATTCTGAGCGAACCTGTATAGATAATCATTGACTGTGGATACGGTGTAGGGAACTTGTAAAGATATATAGAATCTCAATTCAGATACAATTGTCAATTGCCATAACATTCATAAGCGAAGCTTTTTATATCGCCGAAGAGTCTGTCATACAAAACGCCTAATATGATGCAACATGAGACGAGCAAATGGAATACACACCAACAGTGGGGGAATATAATATAGACCAAAAAGACAAGGAAACAAAGAAGAACGTCAAATCAAATCTCGCAAGCCAGTAGGGTTAGCTTAGGCGTTGCTGGGGTAGGGGACGTTGTAGGTAGGGCAGAACTCCTCCTTGATCGAACGCAGGCTGACGAAGCGAGAAAGCAGGTTTCCACTGCCCGCCTTGTCGTTGGTACCCGAGGCACGCGCACCTCCGAAGGGCTGCTGTCCGACGACGGCGCCGGTGCTCTTGCAGTTGAGATAGAAGTTACCGGCGGTGTTGCGCAGAGCGTCGTCGGCCAGGTTGAGGACCTCGCGGTCGCGGGCAAAGACGGCTCCGGTCAGACCGTACTCACCGGTCTGGTCGACCTTCTCGCAAATCTTGGTGAAGTCGGCGTCGGTGGCATCCTCGTAGGTGTGGATGACGAGAACAGGGCCGAAGAGCTCACGGGACAGGAGAGGGTGGTCGGGGTTGGTGGTGCGGTAGATGGTAGGCTGAATGTACCAGCCCTTGGAGGAGTCGTAGGTGCCTCCAGCGATAAGCTCCAGCTCGGGGTCCTGCTTGGCCTCATCGATGACCTTGGCCAGCTTGTTGAACGAAGCCTCGTGGATGACGGGACCGCAGAAGTTGGTGAAGTCGGACGGCTCGCCGACCTTGAGCTTGTTGGCCTCGGCCGCGATATCCTCGAGGAACTCCTTGGCGATCGAGTTGGCCACGTACGCGCGGGAGGTGGCGCTGCACTTCTGGCCCTGGAACTCGAAGGCGCCGCGGATGGTCTGGACGACGGCGTTGCGAACGTCCGCCGACTTGTGAACGAGGTGGAAGTTCTTTCCGCCGGTCTCACCGACGATGCGAGGGTAGCTACGGTACTTGCCCTCGGCAACGCCGTTGGCAATCTGTCCGTAGAGACTGCGGAAAACACCGGTGCTACCGGTGAAGTGGAGAGCGGCAAACTCGGGGTGGTTGAGCACGGTGTTGGTGACTTCTTCAGCCTCTCCGGGAACGAACTGGATGACGTCCTTGGGCAGACCGGCCTCGAGGAGGATCTGGTGGACCAGCCAGTTGGAGGCGATAGCAGACGGCGAAGGCTTCCAGATGACCACGTTACCCATCAGAGCGGGAGCACCGGCCAGGTTACCACCGATGGCGGTGAAGTTGAAAGGACTGATGGCATAGACGAAACCCTCTAGAGGGCGATATTCCACGCGGCTATCCCGGTTAGCTTCGTTCGCATCAAGGGAATGAAGGCCACCACTTACTTCCAGACTCCCGGAGCATGGTGCACCGGCTGCTGGGCATACAGCTCCTCAGCGTACTTGACGCCGAAGCGGAAGAAGTCGCACAGCTCGGCGGCCGAGTCAATCTCAGCCTGCCAGGCATTCTTGCCCTGACCATGCATGGTCAGAGCCATGATGTCGTATCGGTACTTGGTCGCGATCAGGTCGGCCGCCTTGAGGAAGACGCTGGCACGGTCAGCGAAAGAGGTGGCGGCCCACGACTTGCGAGCCTTCAGAGCGGCATCGATCGCGGCCTGAACATCGGCGGTGGAGGCATGGGAGTAAGTGGCCAGAGGTGCATGGGTGGAGGGGCTGGCCTGAGTGAAGGACTGAGAGGCGTTGATCTATTGGGAACCCTTTGGTTAGAAACACTTTTCCCTAGGAAAGATTCGCCATAAGTGTCAGTTAACGCACCTCCTTTCCCGCAATCACCAGAGGAACGTTGAGGGGAGAGTTCTGCTTGTGCTTGGCCAGAGCTTCTTCCAGGCCCTTGCGATCGGGCGATCCGGGGGCGTAGTGTTTCTACATCATCAAATTAGCTCCGTTCCGACGCAATTCGACCGACTCGCACAAAGACAACCTACGTTGGGCTCGTTGTCAATTCGAGGGACCTTGAAGGTGGCGTAGGAGCCCATGGCGCGAACGCCGGAGCGAGCGAGGCTGGCCTTCGCCAATGGCAGGCCCCGAGCACGAAGGAAGAGAGAGGATTGCATTGTGAGATCAAGACTTCTCTCTGGAGGGATGATGAGTAGAAGGCGAGGTGCGGCGGAGAGAAGAGGAGAAGAAAGAGAAACGCGGGGAAGCTGGACTTTAAGAGCAGGGGTTAGTCAGCACGCAGCTGGAAGTTCTCTTCTACTCCGTAAGATACGTGCAGGTAATAGTAATAATACCTAATAAAATAATTATAATGTTAATCCATGGCGGGAATCTTCTCCCCGGTGCAGAGACTCCAGTAGATCCGGCTGGCCTGCCGGGTGGGACGCGACCGGCCCGGCAGCGTACGGCGTATCTTCTCCTCACTTTACTCTCTTCCGGTCGACAGGAGACTGCCACTGTTCATATTACATTATGCAATGCTGCTATCGAATTCATCTTGTATTCTGGTCGGGGTTGACTACTTCGGAAGACTTTGAAATCCGTACCTCCATATTCTGGGCGTCTTCTAGACATCTTGACTTCGACACGATTCATGAGTGAAGAACAAACTTCAAAAAAAAAAAAAAAAAAAAAAAGTGTCTCCGCTTCCCCGCACCGGTCGCAATGACGTCATCTCACTTGGGGACAGTCGATACTCTGTGGAGAGTATAAACTATAGACTCTGTACTGTGTGCGTTGTCTCCGTGTTGAAGTGTCCAATACGCAGTTTTAGCTTTCCTGTTGATCGATCGACTTTTATTGGTATTCTATCCTCTAAATAAATTCTCTATTCTAGGCAATCCACCACCAGACTCGCTCCAGCCAATTCCGCGGCTGCCGCTCAAAGTCATCCTCGCACAGTCGATCGATCTCCTCTTTGCCCGTGAAGAGGTCAATCTTCGATGCCTTGGTCATCCATGGAGTGCGATACCAGATCTTATGACCCACGTACAACGCCACGAATATCGCGATCACCAGATACGACACCAGGAAGTCCGCCGCGGTGAACTGTCCGGGGAAGAAGACGGCGTACCCATTGGTCAAGGTCAACACGCTCACAACCAAAATGATGAAATAGGAGCCCCACGGCTGCAGCCTAGTCCGGAAAGGCAGCGTGTCCAGCAGATTATGGGCAATGAGGGCCTTGCGAAATCGCTGTACCACGGTCAATACATGCTCGAGAATCTAGCAGATCGGAAGGAAAGGAATCGGAAACCCACCAAATACGCAATCGCGATCAATACCCAGTTGATGAATCCGCCTACCGTGGTGATGTTGGTGAACCAATAGAACACGTTCGCTCCTGAACTGGAGAGATTCAGATAAGAAAGCAATCCGATGGCCCAGGTGCTGATGACGGCCACGTATGGAACGCCATTTTGGTTGCATCGCGCAAAGACCTTTGGTGCGTGCCCGCCGCAGGCCAGCGAGTATAACGTTCGCGATCCGGCAAACAACCAGGCATTACCGGAGGACCATGCAGAAACCAGAATAGCGGCGTTGACCACATGGTTCAAACCGGCAATACCTGCGTTCTGAATTCCGATCACAAATGGACTGGCCCCGGCACCAGATCCCCCGTTGGCGACTCCCGAGAGAAGACCCGGGTCGTTGTATGCCACGGTGACTCCTATCACCAAGCTCCCCAAGATATAGAACGTGAATACACGATAAATAAACCGCTTGGTAGCCTTGGGGATATTCCGTCGCGGCGCTTCGACTTCACCAGCTGCGGTGGTGATGAGCTCGGGTGAGAAAATGAATGAGAAGCCCGACTTGATAAGAGCCGTCCAGAACCCGAGGAAGCGCCCGGTGTTCCCGGGGACCAGATAGGGGTTGAATGCTCCCGGGTTCTGCCAATATCGAAAGCCTAACCGGTCGTGCTTGGGACCCCCTCCGAAGAACAATACGACGCCCAGGATGATCAGGCCGATGATGGCAATGATCTTGAGGGTGGCAAACCAAAATTCGGCCTCACCGTACCATGAGACAGCGACGATATTAAGCACCAGGATCACTAGGAAATTATCGGGTCAGGCACTGCAACTGGTAGATTTGGCAGGTTCTGCAGCATATACCAACTAGCACGATCGTGATCCAGACTCCAACATTGACGGACGTCGTCCAATATTCGATAATCAGGCCGGCAGCCGTCACTTCTGTTGCCAGCAGCATGGCAAAGGAGTACCTAACAACAAACAGGTAAGTTCTCTGGCATGGCCGGTTCTGGGTCCTTGATGGAATCTTACCAGTAATTGTATCCTGAAACTTGGTCAATACAACTAATTCACAACGATCCAAAGACCTGGATTGCCAAACTCACCCGCAGCAAAACCAATACTAGGCTCCGTGAAGCGACCTATCAGGTATGGGACGGAGATGCCCTTCACGGGTAAATAGGTGGTCATTTCACCCAGAACATTCATGACCAGCCAGACAATCAGCGCCATGACGGCATAACTCATGAATAGCGGCGCTAGTTGCACGTTAGCTAGATTCGTTTCACCCGCATGTTGACCGTCGAGTCCCCTCACCAGGTCCAACCAGAGAAAGGGTTGATCCAGCTCCAACAAAAAGACCGGTTCCGATGCAACCGCCCATGGCAATCAACTGCAGCTGTCTTGATGACAGACCACGTTGGGTCTCCGTATTAACGTCATTCTGCGTCCCCAGCTCTATGGGCTTGGTATCCCCATAGTCGTAGGTCTCTGACACCTGGGGTGCAGGCTTGGCCTCCTCAAGGGCTTTTGGCGAGACACTCATCCTCAGGTAGAAAAATAATAATAATCCAATGCTCCGTATACATTATTCCATGAGAATTGAGCCGGAGCAATGCATATAAAGCCATGCTACACTATCCAGTAGACATGTACATACGGGGTAGATACTAGATAGTAGAGAGATAACTAGATATGGAGCTTATCGTTCCAGAGCGCAAGATAAGGTTTACGTATTTAGTCTACGGAGTCGAGATTCAGGAACGAGAAGGATGCAAGGAAACCCCAGATGACATGGGCGCAAAGCTTATCGTTCAAACACGCCATAGTTTGCTCGGGGAGGTCAGCCGTCTGGAAACGGAAGTAGGGCTTAAGATATCGGCATCCTGCCGACGGATTGAAGATGTTCGGCATTCCCAAGATCTATGGGGTAAAATGGAACATACTACTCTACCACGTGTCGGCTGTCTTCTTCTCCATAGTTTGATCGAGCGAAGCTGGGGATTTCTCCGCATTTATAGATCTAGAAGGTTAGATTTTAAAATGTATCCCATAGTCACCGCTGGGCTTTGAGTTAGAACGATGGAAAGTTACCATGACTAACGAAAACAGCCGGAGTTAACTAGGGTTAGGTTTGATAGGGCTAAGGTTAGATAAGTACTCTTATCAGTTATGACCGTCAGGGGGTACCTAATGACAATAGCGTCAACCTTGTCTTGAATTGAGTGATTGAGATGAAGGCTGACGATTGGGGTTTAGACAACCCGCCAGAGGGACACAGGATGCGGTGCCTGACAATCCAGGCAAGCAAGACTCAGAGTCGGGCCGAGACCAGCCAGGGATCCCGTGACCCCGGGCGCAGGATCTGATAAGGGAACGATAAGCCCTCTTTGACCGGCCCGGTTGACGCAGGGATCCGCCCGGGGTGGGGCCTCTCACCGGCCCGTACTGCCGGCCTCTTTTACTCTGGAATTTTCATTTCTACGGAGTATGCAGCAGCCAGCTAGACGACAAGTATTACGGAGTAGTATATACTCCGGGCAGGCCCTGCGACCGGCACCAGAATGAGTCTACCGGCTCGAGACTCCCCCATACTGTGCGCAGGCCACAGGGCGTAACGCCGCAGATTCCCCCGTCCTTGCTGATCGTCCCAGGGAAGAGAGAGCTTGGCTCCAAGATCCCCGGGTAGCACAGTAGCGGCCGATCGCGTGCAGAGCAACCAAATAAGCATCGAACACCCGTCCATACGCGTAGACAGTAGACACTCGGCCCTCGACGCTCGTACAGAAGTATGCAGAATGATGTAGGTATCACGGCATGCTGCCAGGTGACACTGGTAATTAATGTCTGAGTATGGGAACCAATGTCATCGTTACCAAATGAAACCAAACCGCCAAGTCAGGTGGAAAGCAAGAGGCAAAGCATTAGTCAGGGCCAACCTGGAACTTGCCGCCAGCCGGCTCGAGAGCGGTTTCCACCGGCTACCTTTACCGTACCCTCATAACTAACGAGTAGACTATTGATCACCGCAGAAGAATTATCATGGCCGCTATTATTATTATTATTTTCTCGGTGTGGATGTTCCCCTCCATGCTATCTTCTCCTGATCGTTCTTCCGGTCAACTCCATCTACTTAACCACCCGCAGTCTTTCTCTTCTTCCCTCGCTTTCTTCTCGCCATAGTTCCATCCCACCTTATCTCTCTATCTCTCTATCTCTTAGGAACACAATCACACTTCCTCCTTCCTCCCACAATGAAAGCACCCCACCGTTCCATGCGGACGCTATCGAGCCTCCCCGCATCCTACGCGAATGTGAGATACGTGAGCCGTACCAGCAACGCGAAGTCCTCGCTGGCAGCTGCCACCGGCGCCACCAACAATGTGTGGCAACAACTCCCCCCAAAGACGGGCTCTGCCTCCCCGCTGGCTAAGTTGCCGCTGTCATCCGTTCTGCGATCGCTCATGATTCTATCGGTCTCGTCCTCCAAGCTTCTATTGAAGCCTTGCATCTATACTCTCTCCATGCTGGCCCACCCCAAGACTGCCGCGTTGGACGTCGCCAAAAACCCTTTCCTCAACCTCCTGGTCAAGCACACCATCTACAAGCAGTTCAACGCCGGTGAGAACAAGCTGGAAGTCCAGCGATCTATCGAGGATATCAAACAGCTGGGATATCGTGGTGTCTTGCTGGGTTATGCTCGTGAAGTGCTCGTGGGCGAGAGCGACGCCGATCCCCTGGATGAGAAGGCCGCGCGCGAGGAAATTCAGATGTGGCTGGACGGAACTCTCCAGACGGTTGACATGGCCCAGGAGGGTGATTTCGTTGCCCTGAAGTTCACCGGTATGGGTATTCAGGCGCTCCAGCTCCTGCAGCAGCAGGCCATGCCTTCATCCTACATGGATGCTTCTATCCAAAAGGTTTGCGACTTGGCAATCTCGCGCAACGTCCGACTGCTCGTCGACGCCGAGGAGCAGGCCGTGCAGCCCGGAATTGAGGAATGGACGATGAAGTACCAGAAGTACTGCAACTCGCAGACCCCCGGCCGTGCCATCTTCTACAACACCTACCAGGCCTATCTGTGCTCTACCCCGACCACTCTCGCCAGACACTTGGAAACTGCCCGTCAGGAGGGATACACCCTCGGCGTCAAGCTCGTCCGAGGCGCGTACCTCAAGACCGAGCCTCGTCACTTGATCTGGGCTACCAAGGAAGAGACCGATGACTGCTACGACGGCGTCGTCGAGGCTCTTCTGACTCGTCGCTACAACTCCATGCTGCAGTCTGCGTCGAAGGAGCACCGGTCCGAGCTGCCCTCCGTCAACGTCATCGTCGCCACCCACAACCGGGATTCCGTGCGCAAGGCCCATGCCGTCCGCATGCAGCAGGCCATCCAGGGTGACAACCGGGGCGTTGACCTCTCGTACGCTCAGCTTCAGGGAATGGCCGACGAGGTCAGCTGCGAGCTCCTGCAGGGCTTCCAGGGCCCCGAGTCCAACCAGCCTTCTTCGTTTGAAACCCCCAACGTGTACAAGCTTCTGACTTGGGGATCGGTCAAGGAGTGCATGGGTTTTTTGCTGCGACGCGCGGTTGAGAACACCGAGGCCGTCGGCCGCACCAAGCAGTCCCAGGAAGCGATGTTCGGAGAACTTAAGCGACGAGTATTTGGTTCCAAGAACTAAGGTCGTTTTCTCGATGGTTCTTTCGTTCACCTTCCTTCCCCGGACATGACTCACGCACTTGCATATATATGTCTTTTCTTTCCGCTTGATTCCCTCGATGTCTTGTTGTTGGCGATATTTGCATCTAGACGGCGTTTACCAATAGTTGATTGTTGCTTGATACTGATCATTGGATCAAAAATGCTTATTCTTCATTTTTCTCATACTTTTCCTGAACCACTGTAGTCCATGCGGGGAACCACGTAGTTTTTTCTAATTTCCAACTCTTATCGCTTCCTCCACCCCACAATTTCCCACAACCACAAGTTCACAGCGTTCCAGTCAGCTCACGCGACGTCAATTGGCATCTCAGTCACATTTTCAGTGTGCGATTTTTCGGAACAGGATTCCTCGGCCTCGGGCGTAAGCTTGCCCGTAATTGACTTGCTGACCCTCCGATATCGCCGCTTTCGAGCAGCACTGCTAAGGGAACGGCGTGCTTATATCCTTTTATCGTCGCCTAAACTTCATCTTACTCTTGTTCAAATACTCCAGGTGCATACATCCCCAAGCAAACGAAGAGGAAGCCCACGAAAAATTATACCTAATCTCAAAATGCATCTCCTGTCCGAACCCAATGTCGCCCAGCTGCTACGGCGATTGACCCAGGAACAATGCCACGACTTTCTCGACGCTCTGTCCGAGGCACTTGTCACAGTATCATCCCAGGCCCGGTCAGCAGGGTCAGAGAAGACGATTCATCAACCCCTACGCACTACTATCACCACCAAGGATAATAATCTGTCGCTCTTCATGCCGGTTTCGAACACCATCAACACGGGGTTCAAAGTAGTGACCGCTTCTCAGGCGAATGGGATCATTGGCGTTATTAATATCTTCTCCCCGGAAGGCAAATTGCTCGGCTTGCTCAGCGCCGCGGAGATCACTGCATTCCGCACGGCGCTTGCGATCATGACATTGTTCATCCGCTGTACCTCTTTGAAGAAAGATAATGTAGTGATCTTTGGCTCCGGTAGACAAGCTGAGTGGCATGCGCGTCTAGCCCTGATCCTGGTCCCGAGCCAGATCCGACGGATCGTGTTCATCAACCGCGGCCGCAAGAGGCTCGACGAGATGAGCGACATGATCTCCGAATTGCAATCGGCCCATCCGGACGTTGCTATCTCTACGCTAGCTAAGGAAGATACTCCGGACTACACGGAGCGATTGCAGACGGAACTGGCGGCAAGCGACGTGATTTTCAGCTGTACTCCTGCGACCGAACCTAACTTCCCACACTCCTATCTCCTCCCGTTCAAAACCCGGTTTATCTCGTTGATTGGTTCCTACAAGCCTCATATGCAAGAGATCGACACGGAGACCGTCCTGTCCGGCGGAGGGAAGGTGTATGTGGATTCTAAAGAGGCCTGTTTGGAGGAGTCCGGAGAACTCATCCGGGCGCGAATCCAAGAAAGCCAACTAGTCGAGCTGGGCGACCTCTATGAGCAACAGGGGAAGTCAGAGCCTGTTGTCATTCCTGATGGATGCAATGTGGTCTTCAAATGCGTGGGAATGGGGATTATGGATTTGATCATCGGCAAGAAGTTATTGGACGTTGGCAAGGAACGGGGGCTGGGGATGGAAGTCGATGGATTCTAGACGTTTGTTTCCTTATTCCGTAAATAGACCAGGCGAGAAGTATATGCTTAGTATGAGACCCATGGAATATTCTCGGTCAAAATTGATCGATAGTCATAGTAAAAAAAAAAAAAAAAAAAGTGAGATCGAATACGCAGACGTAGCGGCGGTGCTTGTCGAAGCGAACCAGACTTAATCTCCGCAGCTCCAGCGGAACGTTCCTTTTTCTCTTTTCCCGCTCTCTCCGTCCCTCCGTCCCTCTCGCTTTCTCCTCTGCAGTCTAAGATAAAACTAGCCCCGGCAACCATTCACCCTCCCTCGGTCCGGTGACTACTCTGAGCTTTCCGTCGCCCTCCTACAATGCTCCTGTTCCTTCGTCGTCCTCCTTGATCACGACCGCGATGGACGATGCGCCAACAACCCCGGCTGGTCTCGGCCAGCAGAAACGACCCCGCGTTGCGGAGGAAAACCGCAAGCGTGCTGTTCGAGCGTATGTTCCCCCTCCCCCCCACGTGGCTCCCACGATTCGCTCCTAGATCTTTTATCGCTGGAGATCTAGTCCGAGGAATAAGCTGACGGCTGCAGATGTGACGGGTGTCGTCGCGTGAAGGAGAAATGCGAGGGAGGCGTGCCCTGTCGGCGATGTCTGCGCTACCGTCGGCAGTGCGTCTTCACACACCCCGACCATGCGGAGAAGGTCGCACGATCCTCCTCGATATCGTATGATCCCCCATGTGTTCATCGTCTTAAGTCTATTTTTATGATGCTCCTATTCGCTTGTAAAGTGCTAAGTGCTGACCGCTGGCCTGGCGCAGTCTTCTGGAACGAACGGCAGGGGTTAGTCGGAATAACCTGGCGGACTCGGAACGGATCCGGTATATGGAGCAAATCCTACAACATTATATCCCAAACATTTCGTTTGACCTGCAGTCGCTTCGAAAGACGGCCGAAGAGCTGAAGCACAGACATCGGGGGTCCGACTCGGACGGAGGTCCCTCTATTCGCCTGGACGAGGAGGATTTCGAGGACCTAGCGATTGACGATGAAGATTTTACGATTAAAGCTCTCCCGGATAATACGACTCGTATGTCACACCTTTTTGCGCTGGCTGGATCTTTCCGGGCCTTTCATGGCATGGGATTGCGGACTAATCGGACTCCGTCGCAGAGTACTCCGGGGAGTTTTCTTACTTGAATTTCTCCATGAAGATTCGACAGAAAATTGATGAATGGATGAAGACAGCAGCCCCAGAGGTAATTCCTCCGATCTCATGGTTTGCCCTTTGTGCTGATGATAGCCCCAGGCCACTACCGAAACAGAGCTATTCGAGGAGCGATGGCGAGCGACGCAGCTTCAGTCGGGCTCGTCGCTTGTGTCCGCATCCATCACTTGTCTTCCGCCACGCTTTGTGGCCGATTTTCTTGTTCAGATATTTTTCAAATATGCGCAGACCAATAATTTTTACGTCGAGGAAGACTGGCTGCGAGACAAGCTAAACATATGCTATACCAACCCATCAAGCCTTTCCTCGAACGACGCGGGCTCCGTGTGCTCTCTACTGATGGTCCTCGCCGTCGGAACACAGTTTGCGCATATGGAGTCGGCTACTCCGGTCAATCGTGTATCGTCCGACATGGCGATAATGGAAGACCATCACTTTTCGGAAGATGAAGTTGGTCTGACATTCTATCAGTTCGCGTCTAAACTACTCCCAGATATTATTGCCACTGCTTCGATACGGAGCGTACAGGCGTGCCTGCTTATTGGAACGTATCTGCTGCCGCTCGATACCTCGGGACTTTGTTACACCTATTTTGGACTGGCTCTCAAAATGGCCATCCAAAACGGTATGCACCGGAAATATCTGGGAGAGGGCGTTTCTCCTCGGATGATCGAAGTACGCAATCGAGTTTTCTGGACCGCATATACGATCGAGAAGTGAGTCTCCCGCGCAGTTCCATCTCCAATAATTAGAAGGGCATGTGCTGACATTGTTCTAGGCGAGTTAGCATTCTCCACGGGAGACCAGTCTCTTTGTCGGACTCCGACGTGGATGCCGCCATGCCTGTCGATTTTCCGGCTTTGAAGTCCCCCGGACAGGTCTCCAACCATACCAACATGATAACCTTGATTACGTTGACTCTTAAACTGGGAGAAGTGGCAAATGAAATGTGAGTCAACGACTACGCCAGTTGACCAATAGACACAGTTGTTAATAAACGAATAGCTCCATATTGCGGAAATCTAGCAAAGGTCAACAGCAAGACTGCCTCGAGAGAATGTTGGCTATAAGAAAGAACCTAGTCGACTGGTGGTCTTCATTGCCCGAAGAGACCGATTGCCGGGATCTCAACCCGTCTGGCCCCTTGTTCCGCCCAAATCTGCATTTGAAGCTGGATTACTGTTTGACCAGAATCTTCCTCGGACGCCCATTCTTATTCAGCAGCTTGAGGGGTGTCAACCTAAGCACGTTGCTTGGACCAAACTACAAACTGCCTTCAGGTGTCGCCAAAAACCGTACTATCCTGGTCACCGATTGCGTGGATGCGGCTCTGGAGATTATCGACCTCTGCCGTCTCCTCCGTGACGAGAGTGGTCTCGCTCGCGCGTCGTTCACCGAGTTCAGCTCATGTCGTGCTGCGCTTCTTGTGATCCTGGCGCAGAGTTTAACCAAGCGCACTGAGCGACTTCGGGAGGCGCTTGAGAAGGGCATGGCGTTGATCAAGATCATGTCGATGGGGGTTGGTTCCGCACGGTCTGCTGTCAGCGTGATCGAGGCTCTCGAAAGAGCTATTCGTCGCCTAGAAGAGTGGAGCGAACGACAAGCTCCCGGGAGCGCTGGGGCTGCCGAGTCTGCATACGACCGCTTTAAGAACTGGGAAATGCTATGGAAGACGGGTCCTATATCACCCGAAACGGTGCCATATCAAGAGCCGTTCCCTCCCGGAAGAGGTGGTCTGCCACACGTGCCCGTGACGCCAATGACGGGCACCTCTGGTGGGAATGATCCGATGGAAGGAGATGTGGCAAATACGGACATCACCGGCTCATCGGGCTTCACATCTCACCCTACGTTATCTGAAATGCCGCCGTTCGGGTTCGATCATTTTGTCTCGAACCTCCCGCAGGAATTGGGGGAATTCAATGCGATCCCCTGTTTTGAGACCGATGTGCAGCAGGGGCTTGCCGGTGATATGAAGAATTCTGATACGAGATGGATGCAATTCATGAATGATTGATTAATTGGCTTTTTTAGTGTTTGGTGACTATCATGGTCTGTACAGCGAGTGACCTTTAACTTTCAGCATGGCGGTGTTTTTTCTGTTAGCTGGTTTCGATACCTTCCATTACGTGCTTTGTCTGATATCTTTGAACGCTCGATGAGTGTTTATTCCATACCTATACATATATTGCTCATTGCATTCTATTCCAACGCTGTCATATACAATATACATAAGAAGTAGTTTGAAAATTGCCATGCTATTCTGATTAATCGAACACCACCTTTTTGCCCTGGAACGAAGCGGTCTTCTGCTCTTTGGCCTTCTTAGCGGCTTCCCACGAGGGATGCAAGGGCTTATTGTCTTCCGGTTTCTTCGGCGGCGCACCGCGCGAACGATCACCCGTGCTAGGCAATGCATTGGCCCCCGTCGCTCCCGTCGCGCCTCCTCGTCCCTGGCCGCGTCTCCCCCGCGGGCCTTCTCGACCGTCCGTGGCACCCCGGCGAGCGTCCCAGCCGTTGTCGCGATTGTTCCTGCCCTTCTCCTTCTGGTTCTTGACGTGATTAGCACCGGACCCGAACTTCTTCTCCCACAGAGCCCGACGCGCCTGCTGACCCATTCGGTTCTTGCGAACCGGAGCCTCTTGGACATCTTCGGCCTCGGACTCGGAGCCGGAAAAGTACCCGCCCATGCTGAGGGAGGGGAGGAAGGTCGTACTGGTGATCGGAGCGGCCGCAGCCTTCTTGGCCTTCTGCTTCTTGGCCGGGTGTGAGTCGGGCGAGGGAGATCGAGAGATGGACATATCGGAGGGGAGTCTTGCGGTCGACAGATCGATCCCGCTTTCCGATCCGTCCTCGCTCCCCGACTGCTCTCCTTCCTCGTCTTCATCTTCAGAGTCCGGCGCAAGTCGGGAATCAAATTGAGCGAAGTCGTCGCTGCCCGCATCGCTCATATCCTGATCATCGTCGTCATCACCGCCCTTCCTCGATGTCGGTACCTTCGCGTCCAGCGCGGCACCATCCTCCTCCTCCCCGCTCTCCTCACCCGAAATATCATCATCCTGCTCTGCCTTCGACGTTGACTTCTGCGTCTTCGCGTCACCCTTCTTCTCCTTGCCCTTTCCGTCCTTCCTCCCGGCCGGCGCATCCTTTAGGCCCAGCAAATCGCGAATCCCCGTCATGATATCCGGATACACATTTTTTACGGGGTTGGATTTGTACAGTCGCGCCATGACGTTCGCCTCTGCGGGCGACTTGGGCCCCTCCGTCGAGATCTTTTTGCTTTTGTATGCGTGGAATTCCGTGAATGCGGTGGTTTCGGCGATGCGCTTCGTCTTGAACATCTGCTTGAGGAGGTATTTTGCGGCGACGATGGGAGGGTCTAGGCTCTGTAGATGGATATAACCAGTTAGCGAGGAATGTATCGAAACAAAGATACTAACTAGGTAGGTAGGTAAATAGGTAAGGCGCATGCACCACCTCCCCCATATAGCAAAATCAAAAGAAAGAAGGGAAAAAAAGACAGGCGGACGAACCTTCAACACCTGCACCTCCTCCGCAAGTCTCTTCAACGTCTCATCGCCTCCCTGGCTCTTGGCCGTCTTCTCTCGTCGCCCGAGTTTCTGTCTTTCGAATCCGCGCGCCGTCTTGATCGCTTTGGTGAGGAGCTGCACGCCTTGGTCGAATTTCTGGCTAAGTCGGATCGTCTGTAGGCTGTGGGAGGGCGCGGAGTCGCGATCGGAGAGTTTGCGTTTCGGCATGGTGATTGATATTTGCGGTTTGAGAGATCGGAGGGGAGGGATATAGTGGTGATGGTGAAGAATAGGAGGCGGAGTGGATGTGGAAAATTGTAAAAGAAGAGTCAAGTAAATTGTAGATCGAGGTTCTGGTTAGATTGATTTGCTTGAATTGAAAGATGTGGAGTTGCCCGGTCGGGCTTTTCTTTTCTTTTTTTTTTTTTTTTTTTTTTCCCTGCGGTTCGGAGGTGCCAAGAAGTGGACTCTGTCGCAGCTCTGGCAACTGTCTTACTATCGGGCTCTTCTGGTTGGTTGTTGATGGGGTGTACTTTATTTTTGATTTCGGTTGCGCTTCTTGACATGGCACATTTAACCAATTGATTGGGGAAGTTGTAATTCCAGTCGTGATGGGGTTTTTTTTGGGTATAATAATAAGTGCTCGACTCGGCTCGTACAGAGCTCGAGCTACAGCTCTACATATCTCAATTGAAAATCCGAACAAACTGAATTCCACTCGTAGACTGGTATGTACATACAAACAGGAAAGAAAGAAACAAATAAGATTACATCTCTGCTCTATTTCTTTTCCTCCTCCTTCTCCTCGGGCTTGGGGGTAGGGAGCTTGAACTAGATATCAATCACGGGTTAGCATCACATTTCATAAACCAAAAGGCAGAGATCAACATGGCCGACCTACCGATTCAGGAGTCTTGTCCTTGCCCGAGCCAACGGGCTCCCACGCAGCGCTACCACCCTCGAAGTTCCGGAAGGCTTGCGTCAACTCGAGGGGCTCGATGACAATGCGTTTCTTCTCCTCGTCGTACCGCAGTTCCGTGTATCCGGTCAAGGGGAAGTCCTTGCGCAGCGGGTGTCCGTCGAATCCGTAATCCGTCATGATACGGCGCAGATCGGGGTGGCCGGCGAAGAAAACACCGAACATGTCGTACACCTCACGCTCGTACCAGAGAGCGCCCTCGAACAGACCGGTGATACTGGGCACGGGGCTGGCCTCGTCGGCGTAGGTCTTCACCCGGATGCGGGAGTTGTAGCGGACGCTGAGCAGGTTGTAGACGACCTCGAAACGCTGGTCCTTGGTCGGGTAGTCGACTGCCGTGATGTCGGAGACCTGGGTGAATTCGGCGGCGGTGTGGTTCTTCAGGAAGCTCATCACGGGCAACACGCTGCCGGGGGCAATGTGAAGGGCCAGCTCATCCTTCCACACCGAGAACTGCTGGACATGCTTGGGCAAGCACGACATGACATACTGGCCGTATTGGTGCAGGCTCTCGGCCTTGTCCTGGTACTTGTCGGCTTGGTTGATGACGGGAGCGCGGAGAGGGCCCTGGGCTATGTATCACGGGATTTGGTTAGTCAATGGCAATGGGCCGGCATCCAAAACACGCAATTGGCAGGGTCGGAGGGCCATACGAGGACGCTGGGCCTGGCGCATGTTGGGAACATCCGTCGCGGTGGCCTCCTTCACAGCAGCTTGCAGAGGGGTCGACGAGAAAGCACGGCAGGCTCCGGAAGACCGCGCGGCCGAGGCCAGGGAACGGCCGGTCCCCAGCCGCATCAGAGAGCGAGCAGAGGCCATGGTGATGAGGCAATGGCAGAGAAGGTCGAGGTAGAGAGAATGGACGGTGGAGAGTGGAGAGGGAGGGGGTCAAAGAGGCGCTTCTACAGATCGCTTTGGCAGGGAGCTTTTCCGGGCCAAGGTTTGGACCCCGTGACCGTCACGTGCGCGGCTGACATAAGGCCACGGTGCAAACACGGCAAACCACGCGCAAACCCAACCAAAGCTTCACTTCTTCTCTTCGCCTTCCATCTCGTCTCTTCTCTCTGCTCTGCTGCATCTGCCTCCTCACCCCCCTCGTCCCTCCTCTCCCTACCCCACGTCGATTGATCTACAATTACTGGGATCTCGTTCTCTAATCCTCCTCTCACTCCTCCCTTTGACTCGAGAATCTCCTTTTTTTTTTTTACGCCTTCTTAATCCTACGTATTTTAGTCCTTTTCTCTTTCTCTCTTCCCCCCCTTCCACCCCGGTTGGTTGATGGGTGTTTGGTCTTGAATCGCACAACCTTGTTTCTTTTGAGTGGTTCATAATCTCATATACTTTCGTCAAATATGTCAAATCGTCAACAGATAGACTCCGTCATTGATGATGACGATGAGTTTTGGTACGTTGTGCTGCCTTTGGGGCTAACCCGTGCTGGACCCGTTGGGCTGACAACTTCACTTTCATCTAGCCCTCTTTGCATTGAAGAATTCGATCTGTCGGACAAGAACTTCAAGCCATGTCCCTGCGGGTATCAGGTACGATGCTTTGCCCTCTGCGTTTCCTCCCCATCCTCGGCGCTAGATCGCACCACTGTCCTGGCCTTTGCGACATGAGAATCTGACCTCGGCTTGCAGATCTGTCAATTCTGCTACAACAATATCAAGACCCATAGCGAAGAAGGTCGATGTCCGAACTGCAGACGGCCTTACGATGACAGTACCATACAATACAAGGTCCCCGACGCAGACGAGTAAGTGCCTCTGAGTTCCAACACTGTTGGCTTTTTATCCTGTTCTTGGCACTAACTTCGCCTCCCGCGATACTAGATTCAAAGCCGACTTGGCGTTGAAGCATCGAAAGGCCGCCGCCGCGAAGAAAAAAGAAGCAGAAAGGCGCGAGATCGAAGCATCCAGTCGCAAGAATTTGGCCGGTGTTCGGGTTGTGCAAAAGAACCTGGTCTACGTGATCGGCCTTAATCCCACGATACGCGACGAGAACCAGCTTTTGCAAACCCTCCGTGGCAGAGAGTACTTTGGCCAGTACGGCGACATCGAAAAGATCGTGGTCAGCAAGGCAAAGCCCGGCGGCAATCCCAACCAGGGTATCGGCGTCTATGTGACCTACGCGAGGAAGTCCGATGCTGCAACCTGTATTACTTCGGTTGATGGGTCAGCGAACGGTGATCGGGTCCTGAGGTAGGCCCATCTCCACTTATATTTGTGTCCCTCAATACGGAATGGACTAACTGTGATCCAGGGCGCAATACGGGACAACGAAATACTGTTCTTCCTTCTTGCGTAATGAGCAATGCCACAACCGGAACTGCACCTTCCTACACGAAACGGGCGAGGACAGCGACAGCTATAGTCGGCAGGATCTTTCTTCGATGAATACTCTTTCGAGCCAACGTCCGAATGGTTCCCCTAGCGGTCCGACTCATTCCGTCCCTCCGCACGTCACCCGGTCATCAGCTCAGCCGATCTCACAACCGATGCGCCGCCAACCCAGCAAGGATGATGCTACCGGCAGCCGTCCGCCTGACGGGTCAGCTTTGCCGTTGTCGGCCAGCTGGGCTAACAAGGACGCTCCTATCAACCGCACGAGGCGCGCTAGCTTGACCGGCAGCCAACCTTCGCAAAGTCCCCGACCTCCGATGGCTACGGTTGTGACAGGATCCGAGGAGCCAAAGCGAGTCGACAAGCAACCGGTGGACGCCCCAGGTCGCCAAACGCCGTCGTTACCCAACCCACCCTCAGTTCCTCAATCCCCCGAAGCACCTCTACCACCGTCAGAACCCGAAACGCCTCTGTTGGACAACCTGATCAAGGCCGTTAACTCCCCGGAGTTCAAGTTCGTCTTTTCGGCTGCTGGTCTGCCGGCGGAGGAGATTGCTCTCATCGAAAACCACCCCTCGTTTATCGATCCCTATGGCGGTGTCAAGCGCCGGGCCATGCGAGAGAGGGCAGAAAAGGAACGTGTTAAACGAGAGCAAGAGCTGCTGCAAACGGCCACTGTAGAAGAGGAATCTCGCGAGAGCGGGAGCCTGCAACTCGGTGGGGAGCCAGATGATCCTCATCCCGTTAGAGGTCGCGCTAGTCGTGAGTCCCACGGTGCCATTCAGCCCCCGTCCCAACAAGGCACGACCTCGAACTCCACCGTCGGCTCGCCAGTGTCTGCGGCAAGCCATCAGTTCCAAGGGCTTAACGTGGGTGGTCGCAGCCTGACTCCCCTGCAACAGCAACAGCTCATGCTTCTCAAATCTGCCAACAACCAGCAGGCCGGCATCGTGGATCCGTTGCAAAGTGGACTTGGCTCCGCTGCTTTTGATCAAGCTCAAGTCCGACAAGGTCTCTTGCAAAGTCAGATGGCCCAGTTCAATGCCTTGCAAGCGCAGAACCGTCAGAATTCTCGATTCTCTTTTGCCAACGAAGCCGGTTCTAAGAACCTTCCCAATGTCCGCATGTTGAACCAACAGGCGTCTTTGATGCAGTCTGGAACCCCCAACCCCTTGGCGGCCCCCAGTCCTCAACATGGGCTCGGCGGCAATTTCTACACCAGTGGCGTTCAGGGCCCTCCCCCGGGGTTGAAGACGGCTGGCACGCCTCCCATCAGCGGAGGAGGAATGTTTGCTCAAGGGCACGGATTCACTAGTTCCAATCTCGGACTCGGTGGTAATGTCGGAAAACAGGAGGCTAATCCGGAGTTGATGCGCGAACTGCTGCGAGGCCGCAGCGGAACGAACCCCAGTGGACTACAGGGGCAAGATGCCGCAAAGCGTGAGTTCATGTTTCCTTTCCTCCAACAGCACCAAACCCCCCCTCCCCTGACTCCTGCCAATGGCCTTCTCAGCTCTTTCTATGGCTCTCAGGCGGGGAATCTCTCCGAGGCTGGGTCACAGAAGCAAAAGAAGAAGGGGAAGAAGCACAGACACGCTAACACTTCCTCCGGCGGAGGCGGTGTAGTAGATCTTGCGGACCCGAGTATCCTGCAGGCGAGGATGCACCAGGTGGGTGCTAATGCCGCTGCTGGACAAGCATTGTATGGGAGTCAGGGTCAAGGTGGGTACAATCACTCCATGATGTACGGAGGCGGGTTCAACCGCTGGTGATTGTTGCTTCCCTCTCATCCCTATCCTTTGCTCTCTTTCCCTCTTCCCTTTTTCCTATCCTTCTCCACTTCCAGTTTTTTTTTTTTTTTTCTTTTTTTTCCCTGTTTCTTTTTAATGACCATCTCTTTTTGCATTCCCGTTCGCGACATGTTTTCCCGTTCTACCCTTCATGACATGATATCATATTTTTCTAGATGGGTGCAGGATATGAGTTTGCTTCTTCCGTTATCGGATGTGATTTTGCCGAATCTTTTGCGACATGTTTCCTTCGTCTTTTGTTTCTCTGTTTTCCACTCTGCAACGAAGCATTCAAGCAATCGGCTCTGAAAAGAACAAGATTATTCGGGCTTTGGCGTACCTTTGGCGTTGTTGAAAATTATGGAACCCATGTTGTGTTTTACCCTGACACTTTTGTGTCCATTTGTTCTCGATTCCTTTTTTGATGTGTTCTCCATGCCCCTGACCTTGTCCTTATTTCATGGACTGGAGGGCGACGTCCCTATTGCATGAACCCGTGGACACCCGGTGTCTCCCGGTGGCGGTCGTATGTATGTTCTTCATTTTTTGCATCCAAGCTGGCTTGAACTATCAGCGCCTTGGTGGCCCCCTTCGGCACGGTCATGGTTTTATGTATGTTAACCTCCCTGCCCTTGGCTTTGATAATCTCAAGGCCGGGTGCTTGTCTACTTGAAACCAATTTCTCACAACCACTGTTCATATAGACATCGTCCCTGGTGTGCCCGTCTGGCAACATGGCCGGGGCACTTTGATGTAATTAATCTGCCAGCCCTTTTTTCGTATCTTGTGTTCTTTTCTTTTCTTCTGGACGATGAATCCCATCGGCCGATCCTCTTTTTTCTTATGTTCTGTCTAGCACGTGCATTGCGTTGGTCATTCTTTCGTCATTCACGGCTTTCTATTCCTTTCGCTTCGTGTTCTTTTAATGTCTCACTTCCTCCATGGCACCCATGATTCATTGATATGACACTCCGGCTAACCAATTTCCGTTAGTGGACGAGGAATTTCCCCCGCTTGGAGCTGCTTCCAAGGACAAACGCGCCGTTGATAGTTTTGGCTTCCTAGTGCGATCGCATATTCAAAGTGATTCCCAGAGCTCAGCCCGTGCTGGCACTCCAACCCTTCCGCCTGGGCTTCCTCTGCCTCACTCTCACCCGGCATCCGCTCTCTTCCAGAGCCCCTTGAATCCCTCGAGTCCGACCTCGTCGGTGTCTGTCCTCCCGCCAGGTCTTAACATTCCTCTTTCACGGCTTGGGACACCGTCTCAGGGTCTCCAGGACTCGGCATTCCGTGCCGCCTCTCCTGACCTGAAGGACACCCCGGAGGTTGCACCCCCTTCTCATCGCACTAAGAACGTCTCAGAGATCTCTTTAGGCTCCCCGGTACCTAAATCTGCCAGCAAGGCTCGTTCCCAAGCCAAGGATGATATGGCCGTTTCTAATGACAGGAAGGGTGGGAAAAAGGCCGAGGGATCAATCCAAGACAAAGGTCCCTCGAAAGCCAAACCGATGAAGCTGGACCTGCCGCTGCACACGTCCCATTCTCAAGAGGCCTCTCCGTCAAAGGTCGAATTCTCCAATCAGACATCGTCCAGCCAGGTCCCAGTGCCGATGTCTGCCATCGGTTCTCGTCCTAACACTCCCTTGACTGCGGCATCTCGCCTGTCCGAGTCTTCGGCTCCACGTCAACCTCGCGTTCTGCGGGTTGTAGACACACCGAAAGCCGAGACGCCCCCTCCTGTTTCTGCAACGCTCCCCCACTCATCCCAACCTATTGTGACCAAAACGCGTTCCAGACGGCCCAGCGTTTCCTCCATCAGCCGTCCCGACACCCCCGGTGACCTGGAATCCGAAGCGGATCTCTACACTTCTGCGTCTGTGTCCCGTGCCAACTCGCCTCCCGCCTCGTCTCGGATCGGTTCCGCCCCGGTCCGATCCATGACTAAGAGTCAAGTCAAGAAAGAGCGCCGTCAGAAAGCCAAGGAGGCAGAGGCCAAGAAACACGAGGAAGCTTCGGCGCAGGCAGCGGAACCTGTGCAGGCGCCCATCATCGGAAGAAAGCGCAAGACTAAAAAGGCCCCGACCACCCAGACCGAGACGCCATCGCCGGCTCCGGAGAACACCACCGAGGCCGCCAAGCCCGTTGTTCCTAGTGGAAATGATAGCCTCGAGAAGGTTAATCAAAAGATCGAGCCTAAGAAGAGCAAGTCTAAAGAAAAGCCGAGGGATCAGAAGCCTGCCCCTGTGGAAGTGAAGGAACCTCCCGCCCCAAAGATTGAAGCGTGGCGCTCGAACAATACGGTGGAACAGTTAATCAAGGACTCTGAGGCTTCTGGCGTTCCGATCAAAGATCTTTTTGCAGAACGGACATTGCCTCTGCCCGTGTTGCTCGCCGAACTCCACAAGTCGGGCAAACTCGATCTCAATACGCATCCCCTTTTCAACCCGCCTAATCTCAGCCAGCGCGTTGATATGAAGTGCCATGGCAATGACTACGACATTTTGAAGCATCCGTTCGAGTTGACGGAGGAGCATCGCAAGGCCTTGCTGCGCGGCGAGCCCGTTCGTCTGAACGGCGATTTCAGCGAGCTGAAATATCGGTGCCTCATCACTCCTCGCGGCTGTGTTTTGCGCCACTTGTCTCGTGAGGAAGAGGACCGCTACTTGGAACTTGAGAGGAACTCTGCCCCCGATAGCGATCCCTTCCAGGAATACCCAGCCGAGTTGATTACTGAGCCCGATATTACCAACCGCAGCGGTGGCCTTGATGCGCTCTTCGCCACGCCCGAAAACTTCAACATCTGCTGGGTGGACGAAACCTCGGCCGGGCTTACGTCGGCGTCTCCCACGGCTGGCTTGTCAGTGCCCGAGTCCTCCCTCATTTCCAGCGCCCCTGCCCCGCCCAACGTGCTCTCAGCTATGGAAGCGGACAGCACTCGCAGCCATAACTGGGCCATCGCTAATACGGCGGAGTTGGTGAATGCCACGGCAACTTCTGTGCGATCCTTCGCAGCGGCTACGGCTAAGCACATGCTCGGAGCGGCGGGCGTTGTGGTGGGCAGTCTCCCGGACCTGGACGACGTGGTGGGTATGACCGACGAAGAACTGCGGGCGTTCGCCGTCAAGTCCCAGAAAGAATTGGAGACGTCGCGCAAAGAATTTGATTCCATCGACAAGAAGCTCAATGCGTTGGTCAAGCGCAACAAGAAGCTTGCACAGCAGGCTCTGGCATCCAATTGATCATAATAGCACGGAAACCCATGGATGTTATTCCCTTATTCTCTGTTATTTTACATCACGAACTCTGTACACTATGTTTTCTGTTTCATATTCATTGCACGCTGTTATGGTTTCACTCCTTTCCGGGTTGTATGTGTACAGTTACGAAGCCGATGCTCACTTTGCAAGGTGTTTATGGGGGATTAATTGAACAGATCTTGAGGCAACTTTTCCATGGTTTCATTGTACTTAGCCCCGTCATCCCTTGACCTTGTAGTCGTGTCGTTCAACGTAATGTCCAATGCTTTCCTGGTTGTACAGGCTGCCTCGTATGCTTTGTCAAGTTATTTTAGGTCTCTTATCACATGCATTGATTCTTTTGTGCAACAGACTCAACTTCTAAGCATACCCTCTCAGTCCAATTGTCCTCAGGTCACAATGGAAGGCTACAGAAGTAGTACCATTTTGACGACAGAAGTACAAATGACTAAATCAAAATCACCAAAATACCACGCCCAAATAACATAAAAACGTCGTATATTCTACACATCGTATCACCCCAATCCAACCCCAACGCCTACCGCGAAAGCAAATCAAATTCAAAGCCAAGACATGAAACTCCCATACATCCTTCCTGCATTGTTAACCACCGCTTCCTCTTTCCCAAGTCTCTCCGGCTGGTCCCTCACATTTGGCAACCAGATCTTCCACGACAACGACAGCTCTGTCTGCTTCTACGCTTTCATCGCCAATTCCACCGTCGTCCATCTGAACGGCATCACGAACATCTTCGTCGTCGAGTTCTCGCGGGACGGTCTGTGTCGGGATATTGCGTACTCGTGGAATGCGGATGGCGTGGTACCGGCGGTTCAGGATACGCATAGCTTTCGGGTTTTGAAGTTGTGGATGATCCAGGGGAGGGTTGATCAAGGGCCTAGTTAGTGGGAGGTTATACCGAAGGATGTGGGTTGTGGCTTTGGAAGGCCATGCTGCTATCACAAAGTCGAATATGATTATGTGGGAATGTACTATTATCCGGACAGCCCATTTCTCGCTATCCGGAGAGCCATTAGTTACCTGATCTAAAAGGCGGTTTATAAAGTCCCGGCAGAAGCATTCAAACAAAGTACTGTTTCCGAAATGCCTTCTTGTATAGTAATCGAGCCATTCTAAGTTAGGGATTTCGGGTTACTAGGGATCTAGGGTCTATTTTTTTCCTTTTATAAAAAATCACGCAATTCCGCTCATTTTATGATGCTCAAGAAGCCCCTAGAATGGCATAAATATCGGCTTCTTTATCGTGTAGTAAGAAAGAAATAAGACTCATTTATTGGCATATGATCATATAAAATTGGCCAAGTAGTTGCTCCATTAGACCCACATAAATCTGCCACAGTTATAAGCCCGGTACTGCTCTAAAGAATTACCTCGTTTGATCAATTTCAAGCTATTCGGGCCTTCCTTTCGCAGGATCTTCAGGTTCTTGCTGATCAAGAGGTGTATCGCTCTAGCCGTTGAGCGTAGCGTACGCGTTCTTGAGCAGAAATGGATGCGCGAAGGTGTGTATTCCTATCTAGGCCTGCAGCGCTCAGCTGTAGGCATTGTGTGATGCATTAAGCCTAATCGGGACATAGAGGCGAGGGTGCCTAGAGGCATTCCCAACACGCGTGTCCTGATACTGGACCATCATCTCATTCTTGCTCGCTGTTGGTGAGATAAGCGCGGAAATCCCTCACGAGCGCGGTGTAAGTGGTCTTCCCAACGCTCGAATACTTAATGCTGGCAAACGGCGGATCCACCCTCTCAATAGACCTTAGGAAATCCCGTTGCACCCAGTGATCCTTGCTCTCAGGTAAATCGTATTCTTTTATCGCAAGGTAAGCGTGGTCAAAATCCTCGATCCAGGCCTTGATCTTGCCTTTCCGTGGAGATCTCTTCATAACCGCTTGATATTGCCGCAGGACCTTGTCCTTCATTTCTGCTTGTGACGGCTCATATTGCAACTTCAACGCCTTCAGTATTTCGAATCGTCGCTTCCCCCTGATGACTAGATGCACGTGTAGGCCGATGGAGGTCATGATTGCTTCCTCCACCTTCGCGATGTTGTCTCGTGAATCTTTATACTCTTCAAAATCGAGTTGGTAGACGCGAAAGATGAGGTCTGTGAGATCATGTGTAGCAGGTCTCCGAGGCTTCATAGGTACGCGCGGGCGCGCTGCAGGAGGTGTAGGGTCCTCCGGGTCGAAATGATCCCATACATCTAGCCGTTCGGCGTATGCTCTGATGTAGAAGATTCAGTTGTGCCAGTCATCTCGGCTGTTCAAGATGACGCTAACCTTCATGGGGCCATCCGAGTCAAATGAGGTCATATTCGGTGTTGAATCGCAGTCCGGTGTCACTCCGTTGTATGACTGATTTTCACTTATTTCGCTTCGTCTCGTGGTCCCACGGGGGTTGCCGTATCGTGTTGTTCAAGGCAGGTTTCGAATGGCTTCAAATCGATCAAACGAGGTAATCTTTTAGAGCAGTACCGGGCTCATACGGTGTAACCGTGGCAGGTTTATGTGGATCTAACGGAACAACTACTTGGCCGATTTTATATGATTGATCATATCTCAATGAATGAATGTCTTATTTCTTTCTAACTACACAATAAAGAAGCCGATATTTATGCCATTCTAGGGGCTTCTTGAACGTCATAAAGTACGCAGAATTACGTGATTTATTACATCATTGATCATACGATTAAGATTGATCAGTTAAGCGATCGGCAGAATATCTAGTTTGCTGTGCTTGAATATCTTCATTTCTGTGTGCTCAAAAGTTGAAGCTAGATCCATTGATGGTCTTCTGTGATTGACATTCTATGTTTCCTCTTTACTCATGTTCCGCTTGCTCATGTCATGATTGTCTCTAATTCAAAGATCTGTTTGCCTATCATGCAAACGCTAGAATGAGCCTCTCCCATGGTACCCTCCGAGTGAACAATGTATGTACTCAAAACCTTCAATCCATCGCCTCGTCTATATTCCGTTGATCCCATCTTTGTACTCTCGTAGATCGTATTCCTCCGGGTACGTTTCCAGAATGCGTTTTAGCTCCTTCATCTGAGCCTGGGCCTCCTCAGTGACTTCTTCATAGACGCCGTGGAAGGCCTCGCGGATCGGCGGCTTTTTCTCCCGCTCTGCCTCCCCAAACTCCTTCAGGACGTTCTTGCGGTACTGCTCGCGCGTCTCCCGCTCCATATCTTCGTTCCATAAGCCCTCGTTCTCCAACCACTTCCGCAACCGGATGATCGGGTTATCTCGGCGTTTCCAGTCCTCGACCTCGACTCGGGCCCGGTAGGCGAAACTGTCGTCGCTCGTGCTGTGGTGGGAAACGCGGTAGCTCATGGCTTCGATGAGCACCGGCTTGCCACCGTCCGAGAGGGCAATGCGGCGGGCTTCGCGCATGGCTTCGTACACGGCGAAGATGTCGTTTCCGTCGACGCGGATCGTGTCGATGCCGTATCCGATTCCGCGACTGGCAATTCCGTCGCCTCGGTATTGCTCGAGAGTCGGCGTAGAGATGGCATATCCGTTGTTTCGGCAGATGAACACCACCGGGCAGGATCGGGTAGCCGCGATGTTCAGACCTGCGTGGAAGTCTCCTTCACTGGCCGCGCCTTCGCCAAAGTAGCATGCCACGATACGGGGTGGCGTGTCGGGGTTCTGAAGAGCCTGCAGTTTGAGAGAATACGCGGCGCCTGATGCTTGGGGGATTTGCGTCGCAAGTGGGGAAGAGATTGTGTGCTGGTGAGGTTGATCAGCTTGGTCAGTTCTTCCTGCTGGGAAACTAGGGTTCCACTTACTGTGCGAGGATAGTGAGATCCATAGTGAACGGGCATGTTACGTCCCCGGCCATTGTCATGACAATTGGCAAATAACTGACTCATGAAGTCCTTGAGCGTGAATCCACGCTGTTGGAAGACGCCCGTTTCACGGTACTGGGCAAAAACTACGTCGTCCGGGGTCAAGGCGGCGGCGGAACCAACGCTGATACCTTCCTCTCCGGCAGATACCTGCATCGATGAGCTAAGGTACCGTTTCTAGAGTTTGAAGTTTCACGGTTGACTTACCATGTAAAAGCTTATCCGGCCTTGCCTTTGCGCCTCGAACATAACCACATCCATCACGCTCACTGAAGGACATTAGTACCAGGTCCCGCGATGACTATAAAGGCAACGATATCACTAACCGGACAACATATTCTTATACCACGTAAGGATCTCCTCGTCTGATAGATTCAGGGGTTTTCGGCTCTTATCAACCAGCACGCCGTCGGAATCCATGACTCGGTAGGTAGGGATGTGGGACGATTCGGAGGGATTGAGGAATTCCATCTCTGTCGTGAACTTGCTGTTCACGGCGCCTGGAAACCGGACACTAGATTTCAAGATCCATCAGTTTCAACTCTCGATTGGATCCTGTTTATTTGTGACTTACCGGTCCGAGCCAGGGCGCTGGGAAACAGAGCTTCCCCATCGTCGTGGCGTGGCGGACAGGACACGGGGCCCCCGCGAAATGCGTCCTAGAAGACTCAGCGACATAGTGCTAGTGTTCTGAGAGAGCAATTGTCGAGAAAGCCGGAGAGGAAGAGGGGAGGGGTGGGCCATAAAGGCCGGACAGGGCAAGTCTGGGGAATGCGGAGGAGGCGGTTGGCCGCGGCCATCAACGTCATGCCAATCCCGCCAATAGCCGCGCTGACTCAGCCGGTTATCTTTCCCCCTTTCGCGTGGATCGGGTCTAGCCACAACCGGTTAGACTCATCTCTGTATGTACGGAGTATGGCTTGTTTGCTTTCTCCTCTTCATCTCTCCCTCTCTCCAAAGGTGCAACCCACAAATGCCTGTACCTCCAGGATCTTATGCCCCGGTATCAATCAGAATGGCTTTCTCCGCATCGCTAAGCTCTTCTGACGAGTCACTGACAACCAGCTCCCGACTTGCAACCACGGGATGCTACCCTACCTACCTTAACAGTGACCGTTCCTTCCATGCCAATGCGGATCAATTTTCCAGTGGCAAGATTCCTTGGAATTGGCAAGCACCAACTACTGTATCTACTCTACTACCATAATAGTACCTAAAAAGGACATTGCACGCGTTTCACCAATCGTGGTGTTCCCTTGCACTGCCCTATTCCGATGGGTATACTGCCCTGTTCTTAGTTCACCATGTCATCTCAAAACCGGTAATCTCCGTTAAGTACATGATCATGTGGTACAGTGAATCAAATGTTGCGTGCTTCAGCTTAGGGATCTGAATATGAGGCCCATACTCTTCTCTTTAAAATCCTTACGTGATATCTGGGTATATGTGATCGGTGCTCTTCAACTCACCTAGTCCTTCGCCATTGACTGCACACCATAATATTTTACCATAATAATTTCGCGACACGCTGGAAAATGGGACCACCGCTGCTGTTGCTGTCTTTTATTCTGTCTGCTATACAAGCACAGATTATTCTCCCTTTGAGTGATGCGAAGTGGACTATCAGTGGCCCGGCTCTGAACCGCACTGTTCCTGGATATCTGCCATCCCAGGTTCACTTGGATCTGCTGAAGGCTGGAGTGATTGGTAAGCCGATCTGTTATCTTCCACACTGATGAGGGACGATGCTAACCCCTTGAGCAGATGAGCCGTACGTGACGCATGTCCTTTTTATGGAACCGGCTTGACTGACTTGCTCGAAAAGCTACTACCGTCTGAATGATTTCGATTTGCGCTGGATTGGTGATTCCAATTGGACTTATACTAGTGACCCGATAGAGGGTTTGTGAGTGACTCTGTTCTCAACAACTTTATATTTGAAATCGACTATCTGACATCGGCTAGGGTGAGAAAATTTGAATCTACATGGCTGGTATTTTATGGGTTGGATACTTTTGCGACCATTTCATTTTGTGGGAAAGAGGTAGCTTCCACAGAAAATCAATTCCGTCAATACTACTTCGATGTTTCCGATATCTTGAGACATTGCGCGGGAAGCCCTGCCGTGAGTCTCAATTTCGGCAGCGCACCGGCAATGGCGGACAAGCTTGCCCAAGGTCAACACACGTACAGTACGTCCCTATTTCTTTTATAGGTGAGCATGGTGCTGATCACTCTATTTTCGACAGAATTCCCCGTGCCCCTTGATTTTGAGCTTTCCAATCGATGGTACATACGCAAACAGCAGTCTGATTTCGGATGGGATTGGGGCCCCGCATTTTCCCCCGTCGGCCCATGGAAACCTGCATACATTGTGCAGTTTGACAGGTTGGGGAGCATTTACCCCTTGAATACGGACCTGGATATTCATCGGAAGGGTCAGATCAATCATTTATCTTCCGACCAAAACCAGCCTTGGGTGGTGAATGCTAGTGTTGATTTTCTAGGATCTATGCCTCGTAATCCGTCTATGTCGGTTGAGATTAGAGACACCGACACGGATTCGGTTCTTATCTCAAAAGCCTTTTCCAATGTCACTGTGTCTAGCGGTTCCATCACCGGTGTCGCAGTACTCAACGACGTGCAGCCAAAGCTATGGTGGCCTCACGGTCTTGGCTCGCAACCTTTGTACCGACTCTCAGTCACCATTAGCAGCGATTTGCAATCGCAGTCGATCATCTGTATCACAAAGCGAGTTGGTTTCCGCACCATCTTTTTCAATCAGCGTAATATCACGGAGCAACAGCTTGCACAAGGGGTTGCCCCAGGTAGCAACTGGCATTTCGAGATAAATGGCCACGAGTTCTACGTCAAAGGGTCCAATTTAATACCGCCTGATGCCTTTTGGCCCCGAGTCACCGAAGACAAGATGGCAAGACTGTTCGATGCGGCCATTGAAGCCAATCAGAATATGCTCCGCGTTTGGTCATCGGGCAGTTACCTCCCTGACTTCATGTACGATCTGGCTGATGAAAAAGGTCTGCTTCTCTGGAGTGAATTTCAGTTCAGCGATGCCATGTACCCTATCCATCAAGAATTTCTCGACAATGTTGCTAGCGAAGTGGTATACAACGTCCGACGCGTGAATCACCATCCGTCTCTGGCGTTATGGTGCGGTGGCAATGAAATTGAAGCGATCGTACTCCTCTTCATTAACATGACAAATCCAGCGGAGCATCCGCGGGCTGTCGGAGAGTACGAGGCCCTGTACATCAAGCATATAATGCCTCTGGTGTACGAAAATACTCGGTCAATTACCTACAGCCCCAGCAGCTCAACAAACGGCTATCTAGACATCGATCTATCTGCATCCATCCCCATGGTGGAACGATACAACAACATCACCTTTGGACACTACTATGGCGCCACGGAATACTACCAATACGACAGCCGCGTTGCATTCAACCTCTCCGCCTACCCTGTAGGTCGGTTTGCAGTTGAATTCGGGTATCACAGCATGCCTAGTCTTCAAACCTGGCAGCAGGCGCTCGATCCCTCTGACCTGCACTTCAATAGTTCCGTTGTAATGCTTCGGAACCACCATTACCCAGCCTCCAGCAGAAATACCAGTAACTTCCACAATTCATCCATCGGAATGGGCGAGCTAACCATGGCCGTGGAACGCTACTACCCCATCCCCCACAAACAGGACCCCGTCGTGAACTTCAGTGCCTGGTGTCACGCCACTCAGCTCTTCCAGGCGGACTGGTACAAGAGTGAGATCCAGTTCTACCGACGCGGCAGCGGCATGCCCGAACGACAGCTCGGAGCCCTGTACTGGCAGCTCGAAGACATCTGGCAGGCGCCGTCGTGGGCGGGAATCGAGTACGACGGACGCTGGAAGGTCCTCCACTACACCGTCCGGGACATCTACAAGCCGATCATCGTCTCCCCATTCTTGAACTCCACCGTCAACTCTCTAGACATCCACGTCATTTCCGATCTGTGGGAACCGGCCACCGGCACCGTTCGTCTCACTTGGCTCGACCTCCGGGGTAGACCGATCCCTGCAAATGCCGGCTCGCCGACCCCGATATCGTTCAATGTGGGTGCTCTCAACACGACTAAGGTCTATAGCACCGGTCTGGACAAGCTCAGTCTAGCCGACCCACGAAACTCGATTCTTCTGATCTCTCTTGAGGCCAAAGGACGTCTGCCTAATACGAAGGAAATTGTATCTTTTACCCATGAGAATCATTTCGTTCCGGTTACTCCAAAGGATTTGAAACTAGTAGATCCAGGCCTGAAACTCGCCTATTATAAAGGCTCTGATAAATTTGCGGTGGAAGCTACATCCGGAGTATCTTTGTACACCTGGTTAGATTATCCGGCCGGTCAGGTGGGTTACTTCACCGAAAACGCATTCGTTCTGGCTCCGGGCCAGAAGAAAGAAATTGAATTCGTCGTCCAGGTGGATAGTGAGTGTGATGATTGGATGGATAAGGTTACAGTGCAGAGCCTTTGGGACCAAGCCCTTCGGGCCTGAATAATCACCGTGGTATCAATTTTCCTTGTGAGGATAGATATGATTAACTCTCTCGTCCGTTCATCTTGGCTTTTGTTTTCTTTTCTAGATTGTCAATGATAATTCAGTGTTGAGAGCGTGTATGTGATTGCACACAAATAGCTCATCTCGTCTACTGCCATTTGTTATCAAATATCTTCCCATCCACGTAATTCACCATCTCTTGCACCGGTGGTAGTTCCTCTCTCCCTGCTCCAAAGAGAGCCCCCTTCCTCATGACCTTCCGATAGTTCTCCCCCGGAGAGACCTTGCCTAGCACATACTCCCGACGAGTCTCCACGTGCGCCGGCACAGGAATCGAACGACCCACAATGGCTTCCATGCCCTGCCACGCAAACGTGATAGCTTCCTTCGCCCCCGCGGGAATCCCAGCATCATCTAGCATGTAGATCTTTGTCTTGGGGTAATTCTTCTGGATATACGCCGTGATGTTCGGGTTATACGCGCCGCCACCGCACATGAACAGCTCCTCGATGTCCATCCCAGCCGGTGCGTAGCGCTGATAATGATCGACGATAGCCTGAGCCGTGATGCGGGTGACAGTCGCGACGACGTCGTCGGGCGATAGGCCCCGTTCCTCGGCGGTTCGGATAAGCTCGAAGGCCAGGGTATCGCGGAAGACCTCGCGGCCGGTGGTTTTAGGCGGATCCAGCTGGAAATACGGATGGTGCAGGAACTCGTCCACGAGCGTCTGGTCCACTGTGCCGCGGGCGCCCATCTCGCCGTCCTTGTCGAATTCCCGCGCCCCCTGTGTATAGTGTCTGACCACGGCGTCGATGTACACGTTCCCTGGCCCGGTGTCGAAGTCGAAGCACTTGCTTACGCCGCCAAATATATCGGGCGGGATGTAGCAGACGTTGGCGATGCCGCCGATGTTCTGGCACGCGCGGAGCTTCGTGGGATGGTGGAGGAGCAGGGCGTCGAAGAAGGCGATCAATGGCGCGCCTTGGCGGCCTGCTGCCTGGTCGCTGACGCGGAAGTCCGTGACGGTGGTGATGCCGGTGCGAGAGGCGATGAAGGAGCCTTCGGCCATGGTGAGGGCGCTTCGGACTTGACCGGTTTCTGGCATGGAATGTAACCAGATGGTTTGGCCGTGGGAGCCGATGACGTCGATCGTGGAGATGTCGATGTTATGGGACTTGCAGAAGTCATGGACGGCGGATGCGAAGGTGTCGCCGAGGATCACGTTGATTTCGGATAGCTCTGAGGGAGAGGTTTTGTTGTGAAGGATTATGTTCATGACTCGGCTCTTGATGGTGGGTTCTAGTGGGATCTCGCCGTACTGTTTCCTTTATTAATAAGAGCTTCAAGGACAGATACAAGACTGTCTACTTGGTTTGAATTACCTTGAGGAGTTTGAAGTGCATCGCGGACTCCGGTGTTTCCTGGTGAAAATGGCACAGGGCGCAATCGATGCCATCCTGTAGTTTATCGAGAAAGACGTCAGTTCATTTTCCTTGTCCTGCGAATCCATCTAAAGCTTCATAGCTCACCATCGAAGTGCCGCTATTTAAACCAAGGACCGTAAGGTCCAGGGCCTGGTGAGTGACATCCATTTTGTTGTCCTGTGATAGAATAGAGTCAAGTAGGACAGTCTGCAAGATGCCTTGATGGAAAAACCCCGCAGGCGTGACTTTGCAGTGAGGGGAACCCTTTCTGCAGCTGCTTCGCCTCTAGCTTGTTGTCCATGATACGCCAGTTTTAGATTCGGAAGGTAGCAGATGGTAAATATCGAACATCCGAATTGGGGCTCAGAGCCTCCAACCATATGTGGACATAGCAAACCATTGCTTTAATAGCTCATTCTAGACTTTGTTCCTAGAGTTCTTATTAAGGTATTCCGCGAAATATGTAAAACCTCTACATGGCTCAACGCGGCCTAAGTCTGCATAAAATTGCAGATATATGCAAGGGATAGGTGGATTCGTGCGTGTAGCAAACATTTCAACCCCGCGATTGTGATTCTCCTAGACACTCAATTCAATTCCCAAAGATCACCAAAATGGGGCTCACCGGCTTCTGGAAGCACCTTTCGTCAAAGCAGCTTAATCTTACAATTCGTGCCTTTTCCCTTATTTGTATTTTCTTCGAGGGATATGACCAAGGTGTGATGGGAGGAGTCAATTCGGCGCCGAAATATGTCACTCAAGTGAGGATTGGAAATGCCGATGGGACTGTCACTGATGCGACACATCAGGGTGGCCTTGTCAGTGTGTATTATCTTGGGTGCATTTTCGGCTGCTTTGCAGGTGGCTGGTTAGCAGACCGGGTTGGTCGCATCAACGGTCTCTTTATCGGCTCGCTGTTCGCTCTTGTAGGGGGCGCTTTACAAGCAGCTATCACCAGCTCAGACTTCATGTTGATTGCGCGCGTAATAACCGGCATCGGCACAGGAGGTATGCTTCTCATAGTCTATCTGGGTCATTCAAAATCATGACTTGACGCTTACTCACTTCTGTCTAGCATTGACTGGTATAACCCCGGTGCTGGTATCGGAGACTTCTTCCGCGGACCATCGAGGCGGCTTTCTGGGCTACGTCTTCATCGCCAATTGTAAGATGCCTTCTTTCACATTTCTGAATCAACATTGATGAAACCATAGATTTGGGTATCTCCATTGCGTATTGGTTGTCGTTTGGCCTTGCGTTTATTCAAGGGGGCTACTCCGATTTCAGGTGGCGCTTTTTGCTGGCTTTTCAGTGCATTCCAGCTCTCTTTATTGCTCTCTTTGTCAAGATACTCCCCGATAGCCCACGATATCTGGCATCGGTTGGACACAATGAGGAAGCTAAAGAATTGTTAGTACTGATTCGAGGCAGCAAGGCTACTCCCGAGGTGATTGAACGAGAGTATTTGGAGATCTTAGCTGCTTCAAGAAACAGCAAGCCCAGTTCGCCAATCCAGTTTGCTAAAATCCTTGGAAGGGATGGCAAACCTGGAACCAATTTAGGTCGGCGGGCCTGGTTATGCGTTTTTCTTCAAATTATGGCATCTTGGACTGGCATCACAGTGAGTATTGACGCTGGTATGGACTCACTTGGGTAGTGCGCTAATCCGTCGCTTAAGGCTATCACGGCCTACTCTCCAATTCTTCTCGGTCAGGCTGGGTATAGTGAAATCACGCAGAATGGACTCGCCGGTGGTGTGAACACTATTGGCATTATCGGGACAATAATCAGCGCGCATATCGTCGACCGCTTTGGCCGTCGACACTGTTTGATGCTTGGCTCCGCGATTCTGTTTTCTGTTGAGCTAGTTGTAAGGGTCCCTGCGCTGTTAATATCTCACGTTCGCATTTTAATCACACAATTAGGCTGGATCAGTGTATGAAGGTTCTCTTCGGAATCCTGACAAAGCCGCTCAGTATGCCCCGGCAGCTGTGTCGATGCTCTTCCTTTTCAACCTGGGGTAAGTGAAATTAGCCCCGCTGCCTTTCCAGCCATTCGTTTCGTGCTGAATGATGTATAGATATGCCGCTACATGGGGAACAGTGGCCTTTCTTTTGCCGACAGAGATATTTCCCTCGGAATTGCGTGCCCAAGGCAATGGATTCGGCATCACAGGCTGGGCTATTGGGGTTGGCATGACCACTCTCGTTAACCCGGTCATGTTCGACAGACTGCAGAGCCGGAGCTATTTTCTTCTTGCCGGTCTCAATCTCCTTTGGATCCCCATAGTCTATCTCTTATATCCCGAGACGCGCAATCGATCATTAGAATCAATCGAGGCCCTGTTTTCAACATCGAGCCCGTTTTACTGGGCCATGGAACGAGCCTACCAACAGCATGGGAATGTGCTTTCGGAGCATGGAATCACCATTACTTCCGATGAGGAGACCAGCAAATCTATCGTGGTCCCAGGGTATTCGCAGAAAGTGACATCAGAGAGTTGATGGATTGTATTTTCTGGGCACGTAATGACCATCCATGTATCATACAACTGGGATAGACAGCTGGAATGCAATATGGGGAAAGCAAGATGGAGCGAGCGGAAATTAATCCTGTGGTTTGGTCATGTGTCCTGCCAAAATGTCGCCTGAGGTGTTAGTGTGCCTTAGGACTTCTATACAATGGCAATGTTTTATATATGTTTTTCAGTCACTTGGCAGTATGTATTGTAGCTATAATTTGAACGGCCGGTGAAACGATTGAAAGCTAGTAGACCGATAACATTATCCAGTTACTCGAGCGAATATACAGTCAGAGTAGATGTCCTCGCCTTGTCTATTTCTATAATCCAGTACTTCGATGGATGCACGTGACAGTGTGCTTTCTTCGCCCGCCCGCGCAGATGCTCGGGTGTCATCTCGTTTAGATCTTCCCCGCTTCATTTGAATCTGGCAATGAAGACTTCCAGATATTCCTCTTCCCGTCAAAAGGCATGCAAACAATGCTCAAGTGCCAAAGCAAGATGTGATCGTCAGCGTGGGCGTTGTGCGAGGTGCACGCAGCGCGGTCTGCCCTGTGTGTACCCTCAGGCAGCAGGCACTGAAGACCCTGTCGACCCCGAGATTGTCGATGGCCGGTTACCCAGTCCATTTTCGACGTCCGATGTCTCCTCACTCTTAAGCTCCAATGTCCCACTCCCGACAATGAACGTGCAGCAGAATCTCAATGCCGGAGTTGAGCAGCTTACAGAGAGCAATCCCGTCAACCACCCGAGAACCAATCGGATCAGCGCGAGCACTCTAGCTACTGGAAAAGAAAGATTGGCTGGATCTACGCGTGTATCTGAAGGGCTGGATGACCTCGACTTTTCAGCTCTTGAGCTGATATGTCCCATCGATGACACTGCCATAAGCAATCGCTGGCTGAACGCCTATATTCCTATGCCTGGACAGGCCATCAAAGAGTATCCTCCCAACGTCACTGCTTTCATCTATCGAATGTTGAAGTCTTATGCCGCAGTGGCAGCCCACGGTCGGGGCATTCTACCGTTTGTCCATGCTACCCAAATGAGACCGCGACCGGCAGGGTCACCCCTTGCTTCTTGCCTGAGCCTGGTTAGAATATGCTCGAGTCCTCTGCCTGGCAGCGAAGCCACTACGGCCAGCGTTCTGCAACGAGAAATGAATAACGTTTACGGTCAATGTGATGAGTTCGATGACGAGGATCAGCTGGCTGCCTTTCAAGCGTATCTAATCTACGCAATGGTGCTATTTTTCCGGCTCAGTGGAGCTTACAATGAAGTCTTCCGCGAAACAATGATAAATCTCCAAAGCCTTGCCCGCTCTTCAGCTCAGCGTGGGCTTGTATGTGCGGCTGATCAACGACGAGTGCGTCCCAGATGGGAAGAGTGGGTTGTTACTGAGACCAAACGACGGGCCATCTATGTGATGTATCTTCTCGATAGCATCCTCTCGACACAAGAAGGCCTTCCCACCTTTCTCGGTACAGAACTTCAGGGACTACCTGCACCGGCTAATAAGCTATTATGGCAAGCACAAAGTCGCTGCGAGTGGGAACGCGAGTATAATGTTTACATGGCGGAATGGGCAGAAGGAGGCCTTACCATCGACGAACTTTGGCCTATGCCTACTGATTTGGACAAGACAACTATTAACAGAAGGCGAGCTAGGGTGGATCAATGGCTCGAAAATGTCGACGAATTCGGAACTATGCTTTACGCGATCATGAGCTGCACGCACGGTGGCTGAAACAAGATAAATTCTATCAAGCATGTTTCTCCGCTTCTATGGTAAGTATTACTATTCCATGGTCATTGAAACCCGACTTAAACGCTTGTTGTTGGTGCATAATTGAATCCAATTCATTCTCTAAAGCACTAGTCTAGGATTTCTCGAGGGCCTGCAGAGCCTCGTCAAGAGTTATTGTTTTCAGGCCCCATTTTGGTAGAAGAGTCTCAAGCATCACTTTCGAAAAGGCTTTATTTTGGTCCACAGGTAACTCGAGCACATTGTCGGTTATCACATAAATGTTGAAATCCAAATCAAACAACCGATAGATGGTGCTCATCACGACGCCAGAAAGGGTTAAGCCGGACTAAGACATTCATATTAGACCAATGTGGGCAATGTGGTGGCCTTCACTACAATTATAACAGTATCAATACTCTGTGCCTTCAAGATCTGCTCCAGGCTATTTCCCATGGTAGCAGACCATCTTGTTTTGTGGAGTACAATATCTTTCTCGTCCAGCTTAAAACGAGGGTCGATCTGCACTTCCGGGGGGCCAATTTCGAAATTGCCAAATGGTGCGATCAGCTTGGCAAACGGCGTGTTGGCCTGCACTTCGGGCTGGCCGCTATTGAAAGCATGCGTGGAAAAGATGGTCAAAGGCCCAGGGTCTTTCCGGTGCACGGCATCATTCCACACGGAGCAGTTAGAAATCAACGCCTGGCCCTCGGTCGTATTTTGAACGGCATTGATGAGCACCGACATCCAATCCAAATTGAGGACTGCACAACGTTCACCAAAGCTAGGCGAAGTATAGTTCAATTGCGCCGGGGAATCCATCTTAGCGAGAGGAATTGAAGGAGGATATGAGAACCGCAACAAGTTTACTAGATACTTGGCGGGGAATGTGAATAATTATATCTTTTGGTGTGTACATCCGTGTGCTTGGGCTGCATTTTCTAGTCATCTTTAAGATGTCCATGCCGGCAGAGTTGAGATTTCTCAACTCCGGAACCCTGGCGCGGGACTCCGAAGTCAGCTCCGGGCCAGGAAAACTAACTTCCCTTGACCCTGATGTCTTGAAGCATATTTATAGAAATGACGGTCATCTAGGGTCTATTCAAACCTCATGGATTCCGACTACTGGATCATCTACCGACTCAATCAATCGTTAATTGTTGCAGCAAAAATATGACTTCCAATATTCAGAACTCGCAATCTCAATCCACGCCACCTCCAACTACGGCTCCGGAAGCGCCTTTCAGTATATTCGATAAGAAGCAGAAAGCCCTGGTCGTGCTTCTTGTTTCGACTGCTGCGACTTGTAAGTCCGTCAACACAGTCACATTTCTACTTTGCTAACTTCTGGTAGTTTCGGGTTTTGCTTCGAACATCTACTTCCCAGCCCTTTCCACCATCGCAAATGATCTCAATGTCTCCGTTGAACTCGTCAACCTTACCGTTACGTCATATCTTATCTTCCAGGGCCTTGCACCAAGCCTCTGGGGCCCAATTTCCGACGTAAGGGGTCGCCGAATAGCATATACCTGCACGTTTATCGTCTTCTTTGGCGCATGTATCGGTCTAGCAGAAACGAAGAACTACGCCACCCTTATTGTTCTCAGATGTCTCCAGAGCACGGGCAGTGCGAGTACGATCGCAATTGGCTCCGGTGTCATTGGCGATATCACGACTCGGGCTGAGCGCGGGGGCTATATGGGGATCTTTCAGGCCGGCCTTCTTGTGCCTGTTGCAGTAGGACCGGTCATCGGAGGTGCATTAGCAGGATCTCTGGGATGGAGGTCGATATTTTGGGTCCTTACTATCTACAGCGGAGTTTTCCTGGTTTTTCTAGTGATCCTACTACCCGAAACGCTTCGATCGATTGTTGCGAATGGCAGCCAAACACCGTTAAACCCGTTCACTAGATATCCGTTGACGGCGTATCAAAAACTAACCAGCGTCCAGTGGAAAAATGAAGAGGAATCATCTCAGCCCGCGCCTCGGAAGCAGATCGACGTGACTGGACCCCTCCGCATTCTCATTAGCAAGCATGCAGCTCCTATCATCATTTATCTCGCAACCTACTATGCTGTCTGGCAAATGAGTATCACGGCCATGTCCACTCTCTTCAAGGATCGTTACGGACTCAGCGAAATCCAGATCGGTCTCACGTTTATCGCCAACGGTGTAGGTTCGATGATTGGAACGCTTGTGACTGGTAAAATTCTCGATGCAGACTACCGCCGCGTCAAGCAGAGTTTTGAAACATCTCCGGGTGACCTTGAGACCGAGACCGAGACTTTGGACACTGGCATCGATCGAGAAGAAGATTTCCCGCTGGAGAAAGCCCGCCTGCGGCTTATTCCAATCTTCTCTTTCTTGCAGTGCATCTCGATCATTCTCTTTGGCTGGACTATCCAATATCCTGATCGCGTTCATATTGCCGTGCCCATCGTGTCGACTTTTATCACCGGATGGACGGCCATTTCCACGCAGTCGCTTATTATGACCTACCTTGTCGATGTTTTTCCTGATAGGAGTGCGGCGGCAAGTGCGAGTCTGAACCTTGCGAGGTGTTTGTTTGCTGCTGGTGGTACAAGCTTCATCATGCCCATGATCAATAACATCGGGGTAGGGGTAGCCTTCACGGTCTGCGTGGTTGTACAACTCGTGTCGCTGGTCGGCCCACTGATTCAGTGGAAATTTGCCGCGGGATGGAGAAGACAGGCAAGACCCTAGAGTGCAGGATCTAGTCGTTCATGATTGCATGGGAGACGGTCCGTCTGGGTCGCTGGACCTGGCTATGGAACCCAGGTATTGTATTATGCTTAACCATGATGTCTCTCCATTTCGCTTCTTTACCTCTAGCTCTGTTGTACTTAGAATTTGGAATATCCTATAATCAAATTGGAGACCCAAAGGTGACTTGCTACCTATGAACAATTGAGACTCCATGAAATCCAGTTACGAGTATGGCATAACATCAATCCATGCCGTATAAATCAAGGGACTGTATACCTGGAAATCTCATAGATCAGGCCATTGGCCCAAACGGGTAATCCGGCGGCCGATCGGCAGAAAACGCGTGCCTGAGGATGGATCGGCCGGCCCAGCTCGCCGCCCGGAGAGAAAAGCGTCTGCCGTTTCCATCTTCCTCCGACCTTCAGTCTCCCCCAAATTGCGCCGTCCACATATTCAGCGGCCCACCATGTTGTCCCGGTCATTATGGAGAAGTCTGCGCTTGAATGCCCGGCGAGGTGTCAGCGTGCCTGAGACTCCCTATCGCTGTTTCTCCTGCACCGTTCGGGCGCAGAACCAATCGAACAAGTCGGATAGCGAACGAATGACCCATTTTGGCTTTACCAATGTCCCGGAAGCAGACAAAGAGTCCATGGGTTGGTTTTCCCATGACCGTTAGACGAGAAAGTACGACAACACTAACACCATCCACCGGACAGTGAGGTCGGTCTTTAGCTCGGTCGCCTCTTCCTACGATGCCATGAACGATTTCATGTCGCTCGGAATCCATCGCCTCTGGAAAGACCACTTCGTTCGCTCCTTAAATCCCGGATCTGCGCTACCCTCTCGTGACACCGACGCTGCCGGCCGGGGGTGGAATATCCTGGATATCGCCGGCGGGACGGGCGATATTGCGTTTCGCATGCTGGACCACGCGACCAACATCAACAACGACCGGGAGACTCGGGTGACGATCGCGGACATCAATCCCGAGATGCTGGCGGAGGGCAAGAAACGGAGCATCCAGACGCCTTACTACAATACGAATCGGTTGTCGTTCATGGAGGGCAACGCGCAACAGATGCCTAGCATTCCCGACAACTCCGTCGACCTGTACACGGTTGTCTTTGGAATTCGGAACTTCACCGACAAGCAGGCCGCTCTGGAGGAGGCCTTCCGGGTGCTGAAGCCCGGCGGCGTGTTTGCGTGCATGGAATTCAGCAAGGTGGACAACGATCTCTTCAACGCCGTGTACAAACAATGGAGTTTCAACGCCATCCCCATGATCGGTCAATTGGTGGCCGGGGACCGCGACAGCTACCAGTACCTGGTAGAGAGTATCGAGAAATTTCCCAGCCAGGAAGAGTTCCGAGGGATGATCCAGAAGGCCGGATTCATGATCCCCGGGCGAGGCTTCGAGAACCTCACTGGCGGGATTGCGGCGATCCACAAGGGCATCAAACCGCTTCCCCAGACTCAAGCTTGAGTCGTGCGGAGGTGGTGAAGATCGAGGTGATTGATTTATAATGTACAGTATGTAGAACTAGACCATGTCCACCTGAAAAAAATATATAATCCACTTCTGCTGCGACTGCGTCGTGTAAAAATGGGGATCTGCAATGCGTCAAGATAAGCGGCGATGGTGTCATTGCCATAAGTTCGATAATTTAGGGAGTATTAATAATGATTGGGGGTAACTACTGTGACAGACGGAATGAATAGTACCAACTCAAGACAGAATAAATAAATGATAGTATAATCTTCCGGTTCTCCCCTCAACTCCCTAGTTGGTGATCGATCGATTGACATTAGTCAACCCCCTCCGCCTGGACTTTCCCCGGCCGAGGCCGATTCTTTCCTGCGTCCCTCCCCCACCTTCGGAATTTTTCCCCTGTCGTCTCCCCTCCTTTTCTTATATCCCTCCAGGGCTCGAGTCCAGGAACGCTTTTCCCAGGCTCCTCCTGGGAGAAGACGATCTGTTCTTCCAATTCCACGCAGACGATGGTTCCTGCACCATGGGGCACCTCAAATCCCCGTTGACTCCGCTGTCCCCCTCCACGCCCAGCATGATAACGAATCTCTCTATTTTACCTATGACCCCTCCAGACCCCACGGATACGGACTTGTTAAAATCCCCCGGGAATCAATGGAGCACCTCAGTGAACTCCGCCGTCCATGTCATTTCCACGGAGCGCGCTGCCCTGGCGAATTTGGAACACCTGTACCAGACGAATCCTTTGGCGCAGGAGCATCTCGCGCGCGCGGTGAGCCAGATCGCCTCTAGTATTCGAAATGGCGGCAAATTGGTGTGTTGCGGGGTAGGCAAGAGTGGAAAGATCGCTCAAAAACTGGAGGCAACGATGAACAGCATGGGTATATACAGCGCATTCCTACACCCTACGGAGGCATTGCATGGTGATCTGGGCATGATTCGACCGGTATGCAGGATCTTGCTCTCCGTTTCACTTAAGAATTTCGTTGCTAATCTTCTGTTTCGCAGCAAGATACGCTGTTGTTGATATCGTTCTCGGGTCGCACCCCCGAGCTTCTACTGCTACTGCCCCATATCCCTTCCACCGTCCCGGTGATTGCCATCACAAACCACCTTCATCCGGCGACATGTCCGCTTTTATCCTTCCAGCCTTCCGACATGGGTATTCTCTTACCGGCTCCGGTGCACGAAGATGAAGAAACCTCGTTTGGCGTCAGCGCTCCGACATCGTCCACTACAGTAGCCCTGTCGTTGGGCGATGCCTTGGCCATCGCCACCGCCAGGCGACTACATACCACCCCGGGACGAGGGCCTGCCGAGATCTTCAAGAGCTTTCATCCTGGCGGGGCCATTGGAGCGGCATCCAACGTTACGACGCCAATGAGTATGTCGACTGTATCATTCCCGTCAACTAGTTCCGACGAACCGCAACAACCCATCTTGTCGTTTCCTCGACAGGAGGAAGCGATTCGCGTCCCACCCCTTGCTGAGATGCTAGTGTCGATCGACCAAATCCCGACGGTGTTTGCAGCGGGCAAGATACGCTTATTGAACATCCTCCTCACTGCTATCCAACACCCCAACGCCAAATCGTGGGTATCTTTGTCTCCCTCGGAGATCATCCCCCCACGACATCTTCGTTCTCTTTCGCAGAGCAGCTATGTGGATATGGAAGTTACCGCGTTCACCAGCCTCGGTCTCCCCTTCGCGGTTCCTCGCACGGACTGGCTGCGCGTTCCCTACTCAACAACTATCGAGCATGCGCGCCAGCTAGTCTCGAAAACCACCACATCCACAGGATCTCCGGTCACGGTGATCGCGGTCATGAAAGACCAGAATCCTGATGATCTATTGGGAGTCATCGAAGTCGAGGATCTATGGAATCAGTACGCTTGATCTACGTCTCCTATATCTAGTCCACTTATACCGATCTCTTTCTGTTCAACAACCATGCGCGAGTCCATCAATATCAACGATTGCTATGACTGTAATGTCCGTTTTCGGCTTTTTCTTTTCTTTTTTGGATATACAATCACATACACAATACTCTACAACTTCACTATACATGTCAATATATTAGATTTACTTTTGGCTTTGGATTCATAGCCTTGACTTGCGGTTAGATTACAATACACTATATCTATGGTTTGGTATCGGTGTCTACAAAGACATGCTGATTACCAGTTTTTAATTTTCATTCATTGGATTAACTGAAATAGCATTGAAGCAAACGCATCTATCTAGACTATGGATACAAAAATTATTGTTAGGGGTATAAAAGCAACTCGTCTTTTGAAAGACAACGCAACGGAACAAGCAACGTGCTCTATGGTATCTTCAACATTACTCGTAACAGGTCAAGAAGCAGCAAAATGGCTGCGCCAAAATATAGAAAATGGAAAACATGGCACAAGCAAGAAACTCATGAGGACAGAAAGCAGCGGTCAAAGACAACCACCCGAGACACAGAAAGGAGACCTCATCTCTATCGGTGCAACACCATGTCGATTTTCTACCACTCAGTGTGTAGATTCATTGTCCCCGCAGGCTTTCGTGTTTTTCCAGAAGCATGGCGCGTGTTGCTTTACCTTATAATTCCTCTGTGTGCTGGGAAAAGAGAATATAGCGAGTGAGAGCGGATTTGCGTTCGCAAAAGTGGTGTATATGAACACTAGGTGGGTAATGTCCGGCCAAAAAGAACGAGCCGCACTCAGATCGGAGACAGTGCCCGCGATGGTGAAATGAACATTCAAGGTCTTTCATCTGCCATGGCTAATCTGTTTCAGGGCAATGGGTCTCAGGACTGCTCCGTCAGAAAACTTTTGAAGTCAAAAAATTGCGGAAAAGTTAACGGTCTCAGCCTGATTCCTGTCGTTCCTTGCCTTTGTCGGTTGTGGAACCTGCCGTTGCGCCGTCATCGACATAGAGACCGTTTCTCTCGATGTAGTGGATAACGGGCACCGGGATCAGATAGCGAACGCTCATCTCACGCTTCAAGAAAAGACGGATCTTGGTGCTGCTGACGTCATTCTGAATGAGTTGCTGGATGACATAGATGTTCTTCTTCCAGGGTTGCAATGCTGCAAGGGCTTCGTCGATGTCCGTTCCGCTGCGCTCGACGATGAAAGACTAGAGAGAGAATGTCAGTCGAGGACTCGACCATAAGATTGGGATACTGTCAGGCCAGGCACACATACACCGTATTTGCCGAGAATGTGATCCAAATCCTCTTGACTCCACACGCCGGGGGTAGACATGGTATGGATCAAATCCGCCCCGGCCAGCAGGGCAATGCGCACCGGCTTGCGAGAGCCATTTCCAACCTCCACTCCTTGCCGCACTGTGTTAATCTCGTGGTCAAAGTGGTCCAGCACCACAGCAGTGGGCTGATATTTCTTCTGCATCGGTTCCCAGGTATCAACCATTAACCAATCGGAGGTCTGGTCCACGGCTAGCTGGCACATTGCTACTCTATAGAGGGGAACGACGTTCGGTCAGCTAACTCCGGGATCTCAACTCTGGCCACGCGAAGCAATTCCGTACCGATGTTCTGAGCTCGCCAATCCGGCCTTGCGGTACGCATCCGACACCGGAGAGAGGTATCCGCCGACGATTTCGAATTCCGAGCTAAACTTGACGTAATCGGCCGCCATCTCGAACATGCGCAGATGAAGATAAGTGATGGGAGAAAAGGAGCCGCAGGCCACCAGCAGCAGAGGGGTCTTCTCCGGGTCGTCCATCTTCTGCTTCAGTCGGAGCTCCGGGAAGGCGTAGTCATCGGCAGGAGCCGGGGGCAGATGAGGAGGGGCCTGAGGGGCGACCTCGGTCTGTTCGGCCATGATGTCGGTCATGGTTGCAAGAGTGAGCGAGTCCCTCGCAAAAGAGGGATGTTGAATCGTGGAAGTAATCTGGGGAAGAATGCCAATGTTTGGGTGGAGGGGAATCCGTCGTGATGGGGGGGAAGGAAAGGGAGAATATAAAGGCTGGTTGCGATCAGTCGGCAAGAGGAGGAAGTCGAGGGAGGACTGGATGCCTGCGGTTAGTCAGGTGTGGGGGAAAGGATGGCGCCTTACCCGATCTGGACGTTCCGGGCGGGGGAAAATTCTGAGATGCTTATGTAACGCCACCCAGACGGGTCGTCGGTGTGTCACGGGACCATCACAGGACCTGCGGGAGATCGATCACATCATCGGATTAATTTGCCTGATTCGGTCTTCTCTGCCATAAACATACCGTAACTACTCCGTATATACTACCCAATAATACTAAGAGAACCCTGGTGGTACTACCCAGAACTACGAAGAATTCCCCTGGAACAAATGGCCCTGCAGCTAGGATCGCACCGGATCCCTAAATAGACCTTATGCGACGGTAACGCAGCGGTATGTGTTAATTTACCCCGGCTGTCCGTTAGTTCGGAGACAACCCCGATAATATGGAGTAATTGCCCCTGGTAGGGTAGGAACGCTTCGGAACGCTCGAGTTAGCCGGCAAATTAATGCCGCTTCAACTTTCCCTGCCGTTTTTCGCCAACCGCTCTGCACAGTAGTTATTCAGGGGCTGGGTGTATTTGGGTCTCTGTTAATCTCAGTATCAATTTCCGGCAACCCGTGTTTGACTGCCGGTCCTCGCCATCATCAGATTGACATCGGATTATCGGTCTTGACGGTCATCATTGAGGTTCTCCGACTCGGGTTACATCTCACACTCTGGCCGGTGATAAGGGAGATCCAACCCCGCGCAGATGGCGAAATTGCCGGCGAAATAGTAGTCAATTCCATCCTCGGGCTTCTGCGACAGGGGAAGCCAGCAGACCTGAAAAGTTCCTCTGACAGACGTACTGGATTCAGACTAGTCCATCAGTCAAGTAGTACCGGTGCATATACACGGTGTGTTATTTATGAGACCACGGAATCGAAGGGGTCTGAGCACTAAGTGGTAGAGTTTTGGCATTTATTTCACATTCTTTAGGTTCCCTTGAACGAGGTGTGGCTGGAGAGATGGTGACGGTTTTCGTTTGTTGCCAAACCGCTGATCTCAAACGATGTACATATATATTCACCGTGTGCGATTGGCAGAGCTGGGAAAGGCATGGGTGATGACGGCCGAACTGGGCCAATCGTCTTCCAATTAATCTTAATGATAATGGAGACCAATAATTTGCAATCTCCTACGTTCCGATACACCGTTACAATTGCTGAAAGCAATGATGGACAACGGGATGGGGACAAGGTCTCATACCGAAGTATGTATGTATGTACCTGTGTCTTTCTCCGTCGGTGCAGTCGACTTCCACCAGTCTATCCTCCGCAGATCTGAACCGATCGCTGTTGTCTCCTACTTTTGGGTCAGGGCTCATGCATGTTCCCGACTGAATTGAAGGATCAAGCCCAAGTCACACAACGAGACAGCGAGGCTCGTTACTAATCGACCGATGACTGGCCCGTTTGTATGTCGAGAGCCATATCGAGGGGGCTCTGAAATCAGAAATCCGATGAAAGTAATCCGTAGGACTGGTGAGCCATACCTAGTGAAAGGTTGAAGGTAAAGGACCGACAAGAAGAGGAAAGTGCCGGGAGGAAGGAGAAGGAGAAGGAGGAGGAGGAGGAGGAGGAGGAGGGAAAGTTGCGCTTCCGCGCCTGACGCTCTCCGGACTGGCGTCCTCAGGCCGGCGTCACGACCGCTTGCTCACCACGTCAACTCGGCTTCCCCCCAACTCCATCCATCATCCTCATCTCTCCCTCTTCCTCTTCCTTTTCCCCTCCCACCCTCTCCTTGTCAAGCCATCATCAACCATTCCATCCAAACTACGACGAACACGACTACTTGCATTTTATCATCAGCTTTGTATTCGATCCCTAAATTACTATCTCTTTGTGTAGTCTGTTACTATTTCCCTCTCGTCTTTCTTTGCCCGGGCTACTTTTTAGTCTTCGGCTTCCATTCCTCGTTCGCTCCCCCGAACGGCTTCCGTTTATCTTTCCCCTCCCCCCCCAACTCATCCACGAATCCTGTTTCGCCTTTTCCCGGTTTCTCATCGAGTAAACGGATGGCGGGCTGAACGGTGTCGACTGATGAGCGAACCCTCTCCATTTAGCTCTCGTTAGCGATCAACATATGGCCAGGCAAAGGCCCAGCTTTCACCGCCAGGACCCTCTAGAGGACTCTTCCGCTGGAATTTCCGCCACCGCCGCCAGGTATATAGCAGACTCCTTTCCCTTTACTCGCTGAGTATCTCTCGCCCTCTTGTCGCCTGGCCTGAAACCCGTTGCTTCACTCCCCTCACCCTGCTGGCCCCGCATTGCTTGTCTCCTGGGGACCCGCCTAGCCCGCTGTGCCATTCGCCCATTCCCCATCACACCCCGAGTTCGTTTGAGTTCTGTGTCGGTGTCGGTTAAATACTACTTTTTTGACCTCACCGATCTTGTCTCCTCCCCCTCACTGTTGCTCCTCGTGCTTTTCTGTGTGGCCCTCACGTTCGCCCCTCGCCTTGCAACATCTCTCCGGAATCGCTCAGACATACTCAACTTCTCATGTCCTCCAGAATCACCCGCTCCGCCGCGAGACTAGCCGCAGACACCCCTCCGCCCACCAACTCCGCCCCCTCGCCTGCGATCCCTGCCGCTGGCCCGGCTCCCTCTCGGAAGCGTAGAGCTCCCGCACGCAGCGATCGGCCTGCGGACGCCTCGGGACAACCGAACAACTCGTCTCCACCCCGAAAGACCAAGAGACAGAGGCGTGCAGCTTCTCCCCAAGCGGCGGCAGGCTCCGCAGCTCCCCGTCGTGGTACCCGAACCCGCCCAACTATGTCCCAACCCGGGTGAGTTCGATTGGAATCCTGGTACCTGGCATTCGAGGCCTACCTACTAACCCTCTTGTGTAGTCCGTCCTCACGCCCTACGGAGGAGTCATCTAGAAATCAAACCTCGCCTCCGACATCTCGACGAAAGTCTAGCCGGAATGGGAAACCGTCACAAGGTAAGAGAGCGAAGACCTTTCTTTCCGGGGAAGGGGTGGATATGATACCGTTACTCTGGAAAATTGGCGGGCTCTAAATCGGTGAAATTAACGGTTGGTTTGCAAAACTAGATCGACTCTCGGCTACCCAGTCTTCTTCGCCCCGTCGACAGAAGAAGCACCAACCAAAGACCAATCCGGATGTTATCATGAAAGATGCGGATGCGGAGGAGGACTTGGATGCACAGGAACGCAGTGATGACCGCGACTCGTCCCCCCCAAGCGACAGCAACGATGGAACCAACCAGTCGGGCATCGACGACGATGACGGGGATCTGTTCCACAACAGCTTGTTCGGATCCCGCAGCCCCCTGGGGCTTCAAAGTACTCTCCGGGCCTTGAGCGGCATGATGTCGGGAATGTCCTCTCGCCTGCGAGAGATTTTGACCAACCTGAGAATGAAGGAGGACCCGTCGATCCAACTGATCGCCCTACAGGAACTATCGGACCTTCTGCTCGTGTCAAATGAAGACAATCTCTCCGGCCAATTCTCCCCAGATCCGTACGTAAAGGAGCTGGTCTCTCTGATGCAGCCTAGTGAGTTTGGCGAGGAGAACCCCGAAATTATGCTGCTTGCCTGCCGCTGTCTGGCCAACTTGATGGAGGCTTTGCGGGGATCGGTGGCCAACGTTGTTTACGGCGGCGCCGTTCCGATCCTGTGCCAGAAGTTACTCGACATTCAATTTATTGACCTGGCCGAACAGGCCCTTAGCGTTCGTTTCCCTCTTCTCATTATCTTTCATCTCAATGAAAGCAACGTACTTACTGTCTCCTAGACTCTAGCGAAAATTTCCGTGGACTTCCCAGCATCCATAGTGCGAGAAGGCGGCCTGACAGCATGCTTAACGTACCTTGACTTTTTCCCGACCAGTACGCAGCGTACCGCCGTGACCACTGCCGCGAATTGCTGCCGCAACCTGCCCCATGACTCTTTTCCAGTTGTTCGAGACGTGATGCCCACACTCTTAAACGTTCTTTCCAGCAACGACCCCAAGGTAGTTGAGCAGGGCTGCTTGTGTGTTTCCAGAATCGTCGAGAGTTTCAAACACAAGCCGGAGAAACTGGAGGAACTGATCGAACCAGAAATGTTGAAGGCTGTGCTTCGTTTGCTTCTGCCGGGAACCACGAATCTTATTGGCCCCCACATTCACACCCAATTCCTTCGGGTTCTGGCAATTACGTCTAAAGCAAGCCCCAGGCTCTCCGTGAAGCTGCTCAAGATGGACGTTGTTGACACGCTTTATCAAATTCTGACCGGCGTCTCGCCGCCGGAAAACCTTGAGGACACAGCGGTCAAAATGGACAGTGTCCTTGTTATGCAAGCCTTGATTCATCGTCCAAAAGAACAGGTCTTTGAAACCCTGAATGTCATTTGCGAGCTGTTACCCGGCGTTCCTGGCCGACAGGTTTCACAAGCAGATGGGTGGACGGGCTCTCCTCTCGATGTAGACCCCACTTTGGCACTGAAATCCCCCAAGGCCAGAGAATCTGCCGAGAAGAGACGTTCCCTGTTGATGGACTGCAAGACCGAACTCAAGCGTTTCGCTATGATCTTGCTGCCCACATTGACCGATGCCTACTCCAGTACTGTCAACCTAGAGGTGCGGCAGAAGGTCCTGATCGCTCAGCTTAAGATGCTGCATAACTTGGATGCCCCTTTGATCGAAGAGGCTCTGCAGACGGTACCTTATGCCTCGTTCCTAGCGTCCATTCTCTCTCAAAAGGATCACCCTTCGCTCGTATCTTCTGCTCTCCGATGTGCAGAGCTTCTCTTCCAGCGCCTAGAACATGTATACCAGCACCAATTCCATCGTGAGGGTGTTATTTCCGAGATATTCAAGCTCGCCGAAGGGCCTCTATCTACGGACAAGGAAGAAAAGTCCCCCCGGAAGTCACCTGCCGCTGGAAATGCAGACATGCCCGGCGACTCACGTGAAGAATCCAAGCGGGTCGATCGGGATGCTAGTTCAGACGATGAACGTGCCTCAGATGATGACGATGAAGGCCATGACGATGACTACGACGAGCAAGATGACGATGATCATGACGATATGTCGGAGTCGGAGAGCTCGTCCTTTTCGGGACGGGTACTTTCTACGAGAATTGACAATGTTATGAAGGATCTTGTTGTTCGTGACGCTCGTGCATTTGTCGAACTGCATGAAGCTAGCCCGGGCAAGGATATGCGCGACAAAGCCCTTGAAACCTTGACTGAGTTGCAGACGCTTGCAGCGGATATTGAAGCCTGCTATCTTGGTGGCGCCGATGCAGATGGCCTCGCACTGTTCAAGAAATTGGCGTCTTATTTTGACGGCGATGCTCTTGAGAGCATCACTAGCTCGGAGTTGCTGAACTCGGGTATTATTAATATTCTTTTGGATGTATTTGCTGATTTTCAGGGTAAGTGAAATCCCCTCTCCCTTGATATTTTTCGTGTCGTTGGCAATTTGATAGGCTAATCGTGGCACATAGCTCCCACAATGCGTGAAGCTCGAGCTGCATTTTTGCAGGCGTTCATGGGTACCACCATTTCCGAGAAGGCGCAAAGCCAGAGTACGGCAACTACACCGTTCAGTGTGCTCATTCACAAACTCCAAGACCTGCTCAGCCGGACTGAGCACTTTGAAGTGATAACCGTCAGTCATAACTCGCTAGAAAACACGCGCAGCAATGCCGCCTACATGCTGGGCAAGCAACTCAGATTGAAATTGGTGGCCGATGAAGATTCCAATATTCCTCGGTCTTACCGAAATATCATGGTCTCCATTCACGCAATTGCAACATTCAAGGCTCTGGACGATTTTCTCCATCCACGAATCAGTTTGTCCGACCGGCCAAAACCACCTCGCAGTCGGGATACCATTCTTTCCCAAATTGCCAACGCAGCGCGACTTCGGGAGCAGCTCGCTGGTGGTCTCGAGGCTGCGGGAGGCGATGCCCCCCCCTTGCCCCGTGCATTTACCGGCACACACCAACCATCGGGCCCTGAGGAGTCGCGCCCCACTGCCAAAGAATCATCCACTGAGGGTCGTGGGTCAAGGTCGAGGCGTTCTGCTCGGCACCAGCAAGGAGCGGAAGGAGATGAACACGATGGCGAGCATTTGGAATGTGCGGATGAGCGACAACTGAGCGACGAAGAGGACGAAGAGGATGATGGCGGGGACGATGAGGAGCTGAATGCCATTGTCGACGACCTTGAGGATGATCTTTCGGATGACAATGCACCGGATCCTACGGCAGTCAACATGGAAGTTGCCTCCTCCGGCAAGGTTACGGCACGAAAGGAAGATGGTACTCGCGTGGCGACTCCCTCTCAGTCCACCCCAGCGTCTAAATCTTCTTCCTCTGCTACTCCCGCTCCGGCTTCGAACCCCATGAGAAACAGCTCTCTTGCTCTGGCCGGTCGCCCGTTCTCTTCCTACGCTGCTGCTATGGCTTCCATCCCTTCTGATTGGCATATTGAGTTCAACGTGGACGACAAGCCTGTTTCAAGCGAGACGACTATCTACCGTGCTGTGCATCACAATCGTCAACTTTCGGATCCTGCAACGAGGAATGTTTGGTCCGCCGTGCATACCGTTAAGTTCAGACGAGTTCCAGGACCGCCGCCTCCTGAGCCGACTTCTCTTGTATCTGGATCATCCAAGCCTAATGCGGAATTGGGTGTCGCTGAGATGCCATCATCTCTGAACCAGGACTCCACCACTGCGTCGATTCTGCGGCTGCTCCGTGTTCTCCACGAAATGAATGCCACCCTTGATGATATACTGGCCGAGACGAAGGAGCTGATGGCCCTCAAACCCGAGTCTCTCGCCCAGTTTATCAACACCAAACTTACTGCCAAGCTCAATCGACAAATGGAAGAGCCGTTGATCGTGGCTAGTAGCTGTCTTCCAAGCTGGAGCGAAGACCTTGCCCGACTGTTCCCCTTCTTGTTCCCATTTGAAACCCGCCATTTGTTCCTTCAGTCGACGGCATTCGGCTATTCACGGGCAATGATGAGGTGGCACAACTCTCAGAGCGGGGATGACAGCCGGAATGATCACCGGCGTGACGATCGGCCTTTCCTAGGCCGCCTTCAGCGCCAGAAGGTTCGCATCTCGAGAAGTCGTATTCTGGAGTCTGCTATGAAGGTCATGGAACTGTATGGCTCCTCGCCTAGCATTCTGGAAGTTGAATATTTCGAGGAAGTGGGCACGGGACTCGGCCCAACTTTGGAATTCTACTCCACTGTCTCGAAGGAATTTTCTAAAAAGAAACTCAAGATTTGGAGAGAGAACGACTGCAACAACAGCGAAGAGTATGCCTTTGGTCAGCGGGGACTGTTCCCGTCTCCGATGAGCGAAGAGCAAGCGGCCTCTGAATCGGGCAAGAAGCAATTGCAGCTGTTCAAGGTTCTCGGAAAGTTCGTTGCCCGGTCGATGCTTGACTCGCGCATCATCGATATCTCCTTCAACCCGGCCTTCTTCCGCATCGCCGATCTCTCGTCCTCGGTTGCCCCGTCACTGGGCACGGTCAAGGCGGTCGACCATGACCTGGCGAACTCGTTGCTCCTTTTGAAACGCTTTGCCAACGCAAAGAAGGCGATCATCGACAACAAAGCCTACTTAGACGCGCAGAGGAAGCAAGCTTTGCAGCAGGTCGAGTTGGACGGCGTCCAGGTCGATGATCTAGGTCTTGACTTTACACTGCCCGGGTACCCGGCCATTGACCTCATTACCAGTGGATCTAACATCCCTGTGACCATTGAGAATGTGGACCTGTATGTCGATCGGGTCGTTGACATGACCCTCGGCAGTGGTGTGCAACGTCAAGTCGACGCATTCCGAACCGGGTTCTCACAGGTCTTCCCGTATGCGGCCCTGCGAACTTTTACGCCAAGCGAGCTAGTTATGCTGTTTGGACGAGCAGAAGAAGACTGGACGATCGAGAGTAAGTTGCTTGAATTCTGCTGATTTACGGATTCAATACTAACCTTCTCGCTTCTAGCTCTTATGGACTCCATTAAAGCAGACCACGGCTTTAACATGGATAGCCGAAGCGTTCGCAATCTGTTGCAAACCATGAGCGAATTGAGCGCGCAACAGCGACGAGATTTCCTCCAGTTCGTGACTGGTAGCCCAAAACTTCCTATTGGAGGTAAGGAACCCCCGACTGTCTCCTCGTCTTGCAGCGAGCGAACCAAGTTGCTAACCCTGCTTTTTTTTTTTTTTTCTTTCCACAGGCTTTAAAAGTCTGACGCCTATCTTCACTGTCGTTTGTCGCCCAAGCGAACCGCCTTATACTCCGGATGATTACCTTCCCAGCGTTATGACCTGTGTAAATTACCTCAAATTGCCCGACTATAGCAGCCTGGACGTTCTCCGAGACCGATTAACCGTTGCCATCAAGGAAGGCCAAGGGGCCTTCCACCTGTCTTGATCAATCAGCTACCCCGACCCGCTTGTTCGACAACAAGATCGGCGGTGCTGTTGTTTATTGGTTGGCTGGCGTGGAAGACGCAGAAGAGAAAGACGAAAACCCACCAGCTCGAAAACATGAGGAAAATATAAAAAACAAAAAGCACATATTTTGGTGCAACCGGTACAAAAGCTTTAGCAACATACCCTTTCTATAGCATGGCAATGGGAGAAATTTTAATGACAGTATGAGTGAATCTGTGACTTCTTGTCGGCCGGCCTTCTGCGTTCGGGTTTCTTTGAAATTTTCTTTTTTTTTGTTCTTATCACTTTGTTCTTGTCCGATTTCTCGGGTTGGGAAGGAGTTCGAGGGGGTTTCTTCAATCTTGTCTACTACTAGATAGAAAATGCAATTGCTCGATATGGACTGGTGTTAGCTCGTAGTGTAGTTGTCTATTTGTCTATTCGTTTAAGGTATTATATGTCTATGTAAGTATGTATATCTATGTCTATATCCAATTTTGTCAATCAATCATGCTGACCAGAGACCTTCAGTATCGATCAACCGCGGTACAACGGCACCATGGACTATATCGGATTGGACCAAGTTAGCACAAGATCAAAAAAAGACGGAAGAACAAAAATGGGACAAAAGAACTCCGCTAACTCACCTCTGCAAACTTCGGCTCCACAAACAACGCCTTCGCCTCGGCCACCAACACCGGCTCCCCATCCTCCCCCTGCCCAGGCATCGAACACAACGTGCCCTTCACCCAGGCCTTCCTGCCCTCAACAGTCCCCGTCTCCGCGCGCAACACATACACACGATCTGGCACCGCGGGCTTGCGGAAATCGACATTCAAATTCGCCGTCATGCCCAGCCCGCTCGGAAAGCACGCCGACACGCACCGCGCAAACGCCTCGTCGAACATCACGCTCAGGAGCCCGCCGTGCACGAATCCCGGGTGACCGCAAAGCTGTGCGCCGACATGGAAGACCGACACGACGCGGCTGGTGAGGGTCTTGTTGGAGGCGTGCTTCTCTGTCGCCATCCACATGAACGGCGGCACGGTAACCATTTCCGGGCCGGAGAGGGAGCCGGCGACGAAGTGCGTCGGCTGGAGCGAGGGGTTCATGGTTCGGTGGGGGCGCGATTCCTTGTATGATGGGTTGGAGCGCAGGGATTGGACGAGGGGGAGGCGGGCGATGAGGTCGTCGGTTTGCGATTCGAGAGTCGGGTTTGTGGGGTGAGAGGGAGTAGCGGTGGAGTGAGGGTGTTGGGGGTGTGGTGAGGGAGGCGCATGGTGCGTGTCTGGAATGGCAGCGAGGCGGATTGAAGAGGTAGAGAAGGAGGAGGATGAGGACGAGGATGGTGATGATGGGATGGCGAAACGCGCGGAGTTGCGCAGACAGCGCGCGAGAGTTCTCACGAAATAGGACATTTTGCTTTTTCTTCTGCAGCGTTTCTTTTTAAGGCTCTGGGATCTGGACCTATAGTAGGTCTGAGTATTAGCACCGTTGGAAGGGTATAGATATGCAGAACGCATAACATGGAGAAATAGAGCAATTAACGCACCAATGCCGGACGTTAAACTATATATACAAGCAGCATGCAAGTCACCTGCAGGCGAAGAAAAGAACCAGAATCGAAAGCGCAAAGAAAAAAAAAAAGAAAGCGAAAACGGGGCCCGCCCGACTAAAAGTTCCCAACCGGGAAATCACCAAGTGGAGCACGCTATCCACGTGGGAATGCCGTCATTTCCTTAAGCATTCTCGCCTGTCTAGGCAGTACCTGTGGTGTTTGGGTTGTCTGATGACATAAGAAGGGTCGCTATGAGCTAAATCAGAGGTCTTGAGTTATTCTTAGTACTTGATATCGGATTCATGTGCCCGAGGTACATTGAACCGGGATTTGACTTCGAGTTATGGAGATGAAACCTGTTTCATAAAAGTATCGCATACTGACTAGGCACAGCAATCTACGTCCCAGTGCCGAATGAGATATGAGGATGATTACAGTAGACAGCAATATAGACCATGACAGGAAACCACCGCGTCGACTGAGCCCTGACTGAACCCTGAAAGATCAGGCCTAAAGATCTCTCGGGATCGGCTTGCCGAGAGATAAATGGGTCCAACGGGAAGAGTGGGTCCAGGCTTCGGAGTCGGACGTCTTTCTCCGGCGAGAGTGAAGTATGCGCCATTCTGAGCATCATGGTATAACGTCCCCCTGGGGTTAGAACTCAAAGTTCAGATGGTTTATTTTTGACAATGTGAAACGTGTGTGTATTCCCTAGAGTAGGATCGTGGGATCCCGATATCGGTGCAGATCCCTGCGAGTCTTACCTACCGGAGGCCTCCACTAAGATAATGGAAGGTCCCGTGGAGGTGGTTGAGCAACCTCTCAACATCTATGCCGTTGCACCCTACTGCATACATAAAGATCTCTTCGATTATCAAGACCTACACAAGAGCCATACTCGCTTATAAATAGCCGAAAGAGGGGAAGCCCCGGCAACAGTCGTTTGCATGTCTCACTCCTAGGAGAGTTGTCCTCCCCAGAGCTGTCAGCCTGAATTCACGGTGCCGCGGTAGGAGCATCAGAAAGAGAGCATCGGATTCAGTCTCCGCATTACCCCTCTTTCTATGTCTCCTGCAGATATTCATCCTAGTCCTAAGAATAAGGTAAGATACTACCACACCAGCGAGCAGTGCTCAAGATGGACAACGTCGGCATGAGTACCACCCCCGCTTTCACGTCCGAGGCGAGTGAGAAAACCTTCGATGAGTCGCACAACAAGCTCAAATTCGACCGGAACCCCCAACAGAACGCGCACGAGAACATCGACCGATCATACTCTGATCCCGAGGACGAAAGCAATACCAAGCGTCTAACTACCGTTAACCTACAGAAAAAGGACTTCGCCGTCCAACGTCCAGGTCCCGAGTTGGGGGCCGAGTGCATCGCCTGTACGGAGACAGTCCCAGACGCGGATATCGTAACGGTGCCTTGTTCCCACCGATACTGTCGGACATGCATCACCCAGATCTTCGAGGACGGGCTAAAGGCCGGGGCGTCCTGGCCGCCGCACTGCTGCGAGATCTTGATCCCTGTGCCCCATGTGCATTCGTACATCGGATCCATTCTGAGCCAGCAGGCCGTGCAGAAGAACGCCGAGGACGCGGATCGCAAACGCACCTGCTGCGCCGGGGAAGACTGCGGGTTGTACGTGCCGCCCCAGTTCCGAAAGGATAAGACGCGACAGTGCACCAAATGCAAGACCAAGACATGTACCACGTGCAAGAGGCTAGCGCACCGGGGAAAATGCCATCCGGATGGGCTGCTTCGCAAATTGGCTCGCAAGAAGGGGTGGCGGCGGTGTCAGAGTTGTGGACACATGATTGAGAGATCTGGCGGTTGCTCTGATATGACGTACGTTAGAGACCATTCATTTGCGTGTGAATTAAAAGTCGACTGTCACTGATTGTTGCGGGAGAGGACTAGGTGTCGATGTGGATATGGCTTTTGTTTTAAATGCGGCAAGTCTTTCGGTCGGAAGTCTTTAAGTCCGTGTTCCTGTAATCTGCTTTCTAGAATATTTGATCGGCTCACATGGTATCATCGGGAATGGTGAGCATATACATCAATACTATATGCCACTTCAGTACGTGACGGAATGGAGGTGGAGATCTTATAGTATTCACCACGGTGATGGTGCTTTTCAGCTCTAGTTGGAGAAGATCAAGAAGGAATATCTGTGCTGCAGCGCTGGATCCTGTCGATCAGGAACAGGCGTTCAACTGCTGATGAATGCTTGAAGGAATGATGATGTTTTCTTCGTCCCATAATAATCTGAATTGATTGACCACCAGTATGGCAGCGGAACTCGGGGGGTAGAAAAATGTGCAGATCGATTTTCATGAAATCGGGATATGGTATCTTAATTTGGCACCTCGTTCTATACACGTACATCACAATTAGAAATCCAATGGATCAACCTGGCCCAGGAACGAGTTGTTCCCTTCGCCGCGCAGCAACGCCTCGATATCAACTCGTCCGGCCGTCAGGTATCGCTCGCTCACGCCCACGTTGACTCTCTGGGAAAGGAGCTGTTTCAACTCGGCGCGCATTCCCGCGAGTTCGGCTTTGCTTGTAGAGCCAACCTTCCGCTCTCGCTCCTGGCGGCCCCGACCACGACCCCGACCACGTCCTTCGGCGTTCTCGAATTCTTCACTGTCGTACTCGACACCAAGGTCCTCGGCGGCTTTTTTCAGCCAGTTATCCTCGGCCGAAACCTTCTCCTTGGCAATGTTTGCATCAATAATACGGCTAGCGAGCGTCACTCGCGGCTTCACGCGAGAGACGACGCGGCGGTCAAGCTCGAGGGACTCCAGAGGAAGTCGCTTGCCGTTGGCCATGCTGGCGTGCACCTTAGCAGCAAGACGCACAACACCGACCATTTCCTCCGGAGCACAGATAATCACACTCTTTCCTGATGCTCCGGCACGGGCAGTACGACCTGATCGATGGACATACGTATCGGCGGCGCGAGGAACATGATAATGAACAACGAAATCGATGCCCTTGATGTCGAGACCACGTGCTGCAACGTCGGTGGCGACAAGGATGGTACTCGGGTCAGCAGTCGGCGAGGAGAACCGTTCAACCGACCGGAGACGGGCCTTCTGTGCCATGGACGAGTGTAGAGCGAGGGCGGGAAGCTGCAGTGCTTGGAGCAGCTGGGTTAGGCGACGAACTGCTGAGATGGAGTTTGTGAAGACTAAAGTGCGGTGCTTAGGATGGTAGAGAAGGAGTGTGTAGAGGAAGAGGTCCTATTTAAGTTATAAGCAGGGGGTCGGGCCGTAGATGAGAAACATAGGATTGTAACATACCTTTTCCATGGCAGCGCATTCGACAATGCCTTCTTTCAGTCCTTCTGCCATTTGCGAGATCGGGTTCACATCAAGGAATTTTGGCTTCTCCTCTCTGAAGTTCAGCTTTTGCAAAAGGTATTCCATGGACTCTTGTTTGTTCATAAGGTCTCCTCCAGTCCACCGTCCCTTGCCTGCCAGCTTCTGCTGGAGATCACGATGGAAGGTAGCAGAGAAGACGAGAGTCTGTCTTTGCGACTTGGGGTCAATCTCTTGAGATACATTGTTCTCTTCGTCAGATGCGTTGCCATCCTCGACACGATCCAAAGCGCCTAGAATTTCGTGTGCCTCTTTGAAGTGACCTTCGCTCAGAAGTCGATCGGCCTCGTCGATAACCAGGAACTTAATTCCCTTCATTTTACGGATCAGACCCTGTCCTGAGCTCAGTACCTCCCACACTCGTCCCGGAGTACCAATAACAATGTCCGCTCCGGCCAAGTGTCTCTGTTGCTTTTGCACCGACAGACCGCCGGTCAACAGTGCAATCCTAGCATTCACACCAGGGGCCTGAGATATCAGCTCCCCAATGTGCTTAACCAACTGATGCGCCAATTCTCGGGTGGGAGACAACACGAGCGCTATTGGGGCCGATTCTTTTTTCTCTGATCCCGTCTCGGTATCCTTCTTCTTCTGTTCCAGATAATACTCGATGATGGGAATGCCAAAAGCCAGGGTCTTTCCGGAACCCGTCGACGCTTTTCCGACAACGTCGTGGCCTTCCAAGATTTGGGGTATACAGGTCGTTTGGACCGACGTCGGTGTGGTGAATTTCATCTTCGAGATACCAGCCAGAGTTTCGGGAGACAAGCCCAGCGACTCCCACGCAGAGACATCAACGCCGTCATCCTCTTCTTCATCCTGCAGGGCTGTGAAAGACAATCCAGATTTGATTTGCTTGTCCTGCTCATTCGTAGCCTTCGATTTTTGCTCTTTCTTCGCGGCATTCTTCTCCTTCTTTTTGGCGTCTTTCTTTTCCTTCGTCTTTACTTTCTTGTCGGTTTCCTCGGGCTCCTCCGTCTTCTTTTCTTCGGGCTCCTCCGCGGAAGGTTCTTGCTGCGCCGGGGTTTCGCCGTCACTGCAGCCAGACCACTCATCGTCATATTCCTTGGTCTCTTCTAGCGTCTTGTTCTTCAAAATCGATTTCTTCGGCTTCCCTGCGACGGCCTGCTCAAGTCAGCATGTAGTTCTTTATCGAGGCGCATTGGATGTATACCCTGAATTGGACGTGTCCTTTCCCCTCCGGCTTGATGATATCCACACCGTCGATTTCCTCCAAGCCAAAGAATCCGGTCGCATCCTCGAGCCGGTCAGGGAGGGCAACTTCTGTCCAGTTGAGGTCGTCTATTCCAACCACGCCATCCCAGCCGTCATCTTCCTCGACGGCTTTGACCGCGCCGGCATTCCCTTTTCGCTTTTTAGACTGAAATCCCGAGTTCTTCGGGTCACGATTCCGCTTCTGGCCCATCCTGACGGTGTAATCCTGTTGAATTGGCACAGACGGACTTGACGAAGGACGAGGGAGCGATATTTTCGGGGAAAAGAGAAAAAGAAAAAAAAAAAAAAACGGCAGAAAAGCGCCCACCGCCTTTCCCCAATCTTATCGCTGCCCCACGGAGGAGAAATTCATTTCTCCCTCTCAAACTCGGCCCCCCTCCTCCCCTCCCATTGACTCCGATCTCGACGTCGCACTGCCCCCGCAACCATGGGCCGGTCTTCCAAGGATAAGCGCGATGCTTACTACCGCCTGGCGAAGGAGCAGAATTGGCGAGCGCGTTCTGCCTTCAAGTTGATCCAGATCGACGAACAATTCGATCTATTCGAGCACGAAAACCCCGAGAAAGTGACCCGGGTTGTCGATCTCTGTGCCGCCCCGGGCAGTTGGAGTCAAGTCCTTAGTCGGGTGCTCATTAAGGGAGAAAGTTTTGGTCGACGGTCGTGGGTGGAGAAGAAGCGCAAGGAAAGGGAGGCGCTGGTGAAGGCGCACAACACGGAGGGTGCGGGACAGGACGAGGAGGTCGATGATAATGGCGACGCGGAGTTGAAGCCCAGGGCGAATGTGAAGATTGTTTCGATCGACTTGCAGCCCATGGCTCCGCTGGAAGGCATCACCACCCTCAAGGCAGACATCACCCATCCTTCTACCATCCCTCTTCTTCTCCGAGCCCTCGATCCCGACGCCTACGATTCCACCGCCGCTTCGCCCTCTGCTCTGCGACCCCCGCATCCCGTCGACTTGGTCATTTCTGACGGTGCTCCGGATGTCACTGGTCTGCACGATTTGGATATCTATATTCAGTCTCAATTGCTCTACTCGGCGCTGAACCTGGCCCTGGGTGTCCTCCGGCCGGGAGGCAAGTTTGTCGCAAAGATCTTCCGTGGTCGCGACGTCGATTTGATTTACGCACAATTGCGCACGGTCTTCGAGAAGGTCAGCGTTGCGAAACCGAGAAGCAGTCGAGCAAGCAGTCTGGAGGCATTCGTGGTCTGTGAAGGATTCATCCCCCCAGCCATTCACGATGGCTTGGTCGGAATGGAAGCATTGAAAAACCCGGTGTTTGGCGGCGCTGCAGCTCCTCGTCCCACGTCTGCCGATGGCAACCTAGGCCAGGAGATGATGGACGAGGACACTCCGTCGGCACCGAACGGCATCAATCTCACGCCGAAAGAGACAGTATCGATCGATTCGAACCAATCAATCCAAACCCGCCTGCTTCACTCCGACTCCCATGCCTCGGGTACGCCAGAGCCCCTGGCACACAAGCCCGTCGCCGAGAAATTCGCCGTCGAAAACCGATGGATCCCGTCGTTCATTGCCTGTGGTGATCTGTCTTCCTGGGACTCCGACGCTTCCTACACTCTACCTCCAGACCACGTTAGTCTGGAGCCTGTCCAACCACCTACTGCACCACCCTATCGGCGCGCTCTGGAATTGAGAAAGGAGAAGGGCGGCGCATATGGCAAAACGAGATTGGGGGCGATGGGACGAGCATGAGGAGGGTCAGCGTCCAACTACTAACCAAAAGTATTTAAACGTACAGTTGTCACGATCATGAATTTGCTTGAGTTGATTTGTTTGCAATTTTGGGTGGTCGAAGATGAAAGCTTTCTACACTTGCGAAGAAGGGATTGAGGAAAGAACACAAAGATTTTAAAATAAGTATATATCACAGATACCCATAGAATTCTTAAAATAGAGAATCTTTTTTACTGGAATAGCCAAAAAAAATCGAATGAAACCTGTACATGGAATTCAAGATGAGGTAACAACATAAGTCTATATGCAAAAGAAACAAGGCGCTAAACTTGGGAAGTCGTCCACATCATGCACATAAACGAATGTGGAGAAACGTTGACCTGTCGACCGACGAAATTACCAACGACTTCTGCTTCTAGTTTTTCCTTTCAAAATGTCATGTCCGTCGTGATTCTAGTACACCTCCAGAACGTATCTCTCCTCGTCCTTCAGCTTCTCGATCTCCTTGCGCGCCTCGACCTTCTTGCCGTTGCTCTTGGCCTCGGTGGCGATGGCCTCTTCCAAGACCGCAGTGACGTCGGGGACGGGCCAGGTGGGACCGCAAAGGTAGAAAGCACCTTCTTCACGGATGTACGCCTGGATGATCTCGGGCAGAGACTGGCGCATGCGGTCCTGGATGTAAATCTTCTCGGGCTGGTCACGGGAGAAGGCGCGACCCAGGAGAGTGATGACACCGGCCTCCTGGTAGGCTTCCCACTCCTCACCATAGCAGTACTCCTCGCGCTGGTGACGGGAGCCCATGTACAAGAGCACCGCACCGATCTCCTTGCCCTGGGCCTTCTCGAGCGCACGGTGCTGCACGAAGGCACGGAAGGGCGCCAGACCAGTTCCCAGACCGGCCATGATCAGAGGCTGGGTGGACTTGGGCGGCAGCTTCATCACGCTGGACTTGACGCTGACGGTGATGGGGGCGCCCGGCTGAAGTGCGCTCAGGTACCGGGTGGCAAGACCGAAGCGGTCCCGGCCAGTCGGGTCGGTCCAGTTGACGGCCACGATCATGAGAGCCACCGAGGTGGGAGTCACCTTCTGGCAGGAGGCGATGGAGTACTCACGACGCTTGAGAGGCCCGATGATGCGAGCCAGGTCGTGGAACTCGGGGTGAGCCGATGGGTACTCGCGCAGAATATCGACGAAAGTGACCGTGTCTTCCTCAGCACGACGCTTGAACTCGGCAGCGCCCTCGGGTGCGGCCAAGTTGAGAAGGGCCTTCTTCTCACTCTCGTCGGTGGCATATTCGGCGAGAGCTTCGTAGAAGCGCTTGGGCGGACGACCATAGACATCAAGGTTCTGGACGAGAGCCTGGTAGACGGTACGGTTCTCCAGCACATCGACGTCTTCGCGACTAGGAACCTCAACAACGTCTTCGGTGTTCAGGCCGTAAAACTGGATGAAGTCCAGGACGTCTGCGGGGTCGTTCTCAGCGTGCACACCCAGCGCCTCACCGATGTCGTACTTGAGACCAGAGTCACCCAGATCGAACTCGATGTGGAAGATGTTCCGGTCATAGGTGACAGGGGTCAAGCGCCTGTTCTCCTTGACGTGAACAGTGAAAGTCTTCGTGGCCGTCTCGGGGCGAAGGGCATTCTTGGTTCCATACGCCTCCTTGAAGGCCAGGCCCTTAGCGGCGGTCTTCCAGTTCTTGAGGTAGCCAGGAGCCTCGGTGTCGTCCTTATCGAAGGAAGCGAAGCTGTTAAGGGAGATGTCCTTGGGCAGTTGAGCGATCTCAGAGCCCTCCTCGGGAGTCTTCCAGGCCTCGGGAATCTCAATTTGACGGAGAATCTTGCTGAGGTCGTTGCTCACAGTCTGCAAGGATTCAGCATTGCCGGTAACGGAAGCCAGCTTCTGGATACCGACACCTTCCTGCGAAGGCAAAGCAACCCGCAAGAAAGCAGTCTGGAGGACGGTAGGCTCCAGAGAAGAGTCGTTGGCAACCGATGGATCGACGACGTAAACGTTGATTCCACGCTGCGCAACCGCGAGCCTGAATGCAACGGGCAGCTTCTTCTCGAGTTCATCATCCTTGACGCCAGGGGCATTGACAATAAGGTTGCCTCCCTGCTTGACAGATGCGGGGATATCAATCTCTCCAAGCAGCTTGATGTCTCCAACGTAAGCAGTATCGGCAGCAGTGACGGAGTAAGGAGCGTCCACAATCTTAGAGCTCTTACGGATGTCAATGCGGATGGCTCCTCCCTGGACAAGGTTGTCGTGAGCCTTGCTCGTGGTAACGTTGCTAGAGGAATCGGCAGCGAGGGCCTGGGAGAGGGCGGCGGTGGCGCTGTCGCAGACAGAAATATCAACATCCCAGAAGGAGTATTCTTGCACGGTAGCAGGGTCGAGCAGCTGAAGAGGGGCAGACTGGCCGTCGTTCTGGACAATGGGCTTCTCAAAGACGAGCTGGAAGGCGGCGGCAATGTTGATCAGGTCCCAGCGCTGCGAGCGGGCATATTTAACATCCACGCAGGCGGGAATGTGCTCACGACCACTGGCGAAAGTCAAGGCCGCAAGGACATCTTCATAAAGGGCAGAACGCACACCCTGCTCTTGGACGGCTTGCTCATTTACAACCTGGCCCAGAACGCCGACGGTCTTGACCGACTGGGGAAGCACCCGGAGGAATTCTTCCTCGACGAAGGGGCGATACACGCGGACATTGATGACACCCACAGGGACACCATCCTTAGCCAAAGAGCGGGCGACCTGGGCAGTCAGGGAGGCCTCGACGGTGCCAAAAGCAACGAGAACAGACACGGGCTCGGCATGACCATGGTATTCAAAGAGGCCGTAGTCGGTGCCCAGCTCGCCGTTCAGGGACTGAACCAGCTCCAACAGCTTTCCTTCGTTGTCGAGGTGACGGCTGCGGGAGTCCTCCAGTGTCTTGCGGACGGTCTCGTAGGTGCGAGCAAGGCCAGCCTGGTCCAATACGTCGATAACGCGGGTGTTCTCACGGCCAACGCGAACGCCATCGAAGATGTGAACGGAAGGCAAAACAGTTGCGAGAAGAGTGGTCAACAGGGCCATGTGCTGCGATTCGTGGACCGAGGCACTCGAGACGAGTCCCAGTCCCAATTCTTCGGCGATGGAGAGGGCGGAGGCATAGTCCGAAACGAGGCCCTCCTCCCCGGCGTAATCGACGGCAGCGACATGAGCAGCGACGGGGCTGGCGACGGAGTAAAGAAGGGAAAGCTGCTCCAAAGCAGATCGCATGTAATGGAGGGTGGCGGAGGAGGCGACGATACCCTGGGGGACGTGGCGCTTCTTCAGATCGAAGTCTTGGGAGAAGAGATAGCCCAGGGCGATGTTACCGGCACCTTGGCGAGTCTCCATGGTCTTGAGCTCAGGCGATTCGCCATTGGCGTTGGTCTCCTGCTTCGAAGCCCATTCCCGGAGAGCCGTGTCCAAGTCAAAGGACTCTGGAGAATAGGAGAAGATCTTGTCACTCAGGACGTATGCCACTTGCTGAATGAGGGTTTGCGCCGTGACATAGGTCGGGCCACTGAGAGCCGACAAGGCAGGGGATTGAGCACCCATACTGGAGAAATTTCCTGTCAAACGGCACGAGTCGAGTGAAAGGAACCTCGAGTAGGGAGACGAGGAAATATAAGCAGTTGAGGGGGATGCAATGGGGGTGGAGAGTCCGCCGCCATTTCCCAGAGAATGTATAGAAATGCCGTTTGCCACATCCGGGTTAGCGCCGATCACGCAATTTCTTATCGGACGAGTTTTTCATTCTGGTCGGCGGTGAACAGTGGCAGTTCCTCCGCTCTCGGAGATTCCCCGCCTCAGTCAGCATCACATGCAGATGCACACCTGAGGCAGCACTGTGTCCCGTTCAGGGTTAGTGTTCCACCGGATGCATTCACGTCATCCGCGGCCCTTCCGTGGCTCCTGCATCTTCTAGAGACTTCCTCTGCACAGGCTTGTTGTTAACTTGTTATACCATCACCAACTTTGGATCAATCATGGCGAGCGTTGCATTGATTGGAGGCACTGGCATGGTGGTAAGCACCTCCGTCATGATGTTTCCCCTCTGGTGAAGGAGGTCACGCCAGGTTATGTTGTTGTTATTCTCTTCAACCCTTGTCTGCGGGCCTATTAATCAACCATCGGGAATGAAGTGCATTACAGCTGACTTGCCACTTCAACTGAACCTGTCATGAACTGAAGGGGAGCCATATCCTCACTAGTCTTCTTGCAAACCCTGCCGTCGCTCGAGTGGACACCATCTCGCGTCGGACTCCCCAGGCTGCTTCCGCCGCGCAAGCGAAGCTGACGACATTTGTCAACGATGATACATCGCGTTGGGCTAGCCAGCTGTCCTCGCTCACTCCCACACCCTCAATCTTCATTTCTTCCTTCGCAACCACTCGTGGCGCGGCGGGTGGGTTTGAAAACCAGTATAAGATTGAACATGGCTTGAACATTGAGATGGCACGGGCAGCACGCGACGCAGGAACCAAGGTCTACGTCCTGATCTCGTCGAGTGGTGCTAGCAAGGCCTCCTCCATCCCGTACACCCGCATGAAAGGTGAAATCGAAGAAGACATCAAGGAGATGGGCTTTGACAAGACGGTCATCCTGCGCCCGGGCCTGATTGCCGGCACGAGAGAAGAGAGTCGTCCCTTAGAAGCTGCGATCCGTTACGTTGCCTCTTTTGCGGGCAAAGTGCACTCTAGTCTCAAGAACGGTTGGGCTCAGGAAGCGGATGACATTGCCAGAGCTGCGGTGAGTGCCGGTCTGAAGGCGTTGGAAGGTGATGTTCCCACTGGTAGTGAAAAGGTCTGGGAGTTGAGCGGCAGCGACATTCTACGGCTCGCAAAGGAGTCCACGAACTAAAGTTGACCATGAACACAAAAGGCTTAATAATGGGTACCAGTACTTGATGGATAGGACGTCTAACTGTACATGACTTAAATTGCAACTGTTCGGGAAATGTTTCATTACCTAAATTTCCACACCGCACGCCGAGATTAATTATATGTATCAAGACATGTAAATCTAGTTGGCCATCCTACTTTTAACAAGGGAGAGCATAACCAATCTATTGCTTTCCCACCTTCACCTCGCCATGCTTCCGAGCCGACCCTCTCGAGCTCGGCTTCTCTTTCTCAGCATTCCGAACGGCGCCTCCTTCCTTCGGCGGCCGCGCCTTACTCGTTTCCTTATTCGCGGGACTCATATCCAGCGGATTGCTCACTTTTCCTTCGTACTGAGACTCCTCCTCGGTGGCCGCGATCTCGCTTTCAGGCGACGTCCGATGCGGGTCATACGCGGCAGGGTGCGCGGCGACCTCGTTATCTGTACCGGATTTGGTGACTTCCGAGCGCTGCGGATCCAGCACGTGGCGATCGTGCGTTCGATCCTCTTCGCCCTTCTGCTCCTTCGTGGTCCGCAGGGCCGAGAATGCATGGAAGCTTCTGCCGTGCGCGATGGCAGGGAGAGTTCGTGGCGCTGTAGTCCGGGTTTGGATTTGGACTCTGGAGGCGTTTCGGAGGGCGGATTGGCCCAGTCGAGGCAGGGTGGTGAGTTCTTTCCACATGGTGATGATGTCGTTGAGAGGCTTTTTATGCTGTGTTTTGGAAAAGGTTGGTAATTGGATTCAGTGTCGAGTCGTATGGTCGATTGACTTTATATCTGCATGTATATGCTTCGTATCAAGTCTGTAGCGCGGTAAGCATTGGGCCGATTCCGTGAGTTTAAGAGCCTGGTTTACAATACCTTATTCTCGAAAGATTGAAAATTTATAGAAGAATTGAATTATTAAAAGAAAGAGAACGAAGAAAAGGAGACAGAATAAATCTGTCGTTGCTTGAGGGCGAATTCCTGGTTATTGAAAGGTCATGTTGACGTCATTTCTTGACGTATTGTAGGAGCTTGAATGCCTGAGGTTGCAATATGCCAAGCATTTCGCCATCCCGCTGTGTAGTTACATACAACATCAGGACCGAAGAACTCTTCCTCTGTAATTGTCTAGACGATCATCTTATGTACTGGATTTTATTGATTTTGATCATCTAGAACACCTATATTGGAATGTCCACAGGGACCTTGGTCCACGTGATGCTGAATGATCCGCGAGTTAACTATATGTTTTGTTCGGGAAAGAAGAATTTATGATTATGAACGTGAATTGAACTTGGCTATTTATGATTTCACAATTACGAGACCGGTGCTCATTGAAATGTTCAGATAGTCCACTTTTATAATCCAAGATTACGCAAAAAAGGACTGCATTGTACAGCCTTTGTCAAAAATGAAAGGCATAAGCCATGAAAGCAACGGAGGTCTGAGAACTCGGTTTGATTGAATGATATCAGCACAGTTTGTTCACTTTGGTTAATGATAGACGGACTGGAGTTGCGTCGTAGCCTAAGGGCACAAAGGAGAGGCACCCCGACTCATCCAAAATCGAAGGCGGCGAAATGAAGTTGACCATACCTAATGGATTTGACCACAGTCGAGCCTGGATGTGCCACGTCAATCAGACCATTTAATTGCGGCGTAGTTACAGCAGTGTGATAGCGCATTGCTCATGCATCTCGGTACCACTCTTTGACTGCCCGGAGTGTAAAGTCCAAGTCAGCCAGGTTGGAACAGACTCGTGCGAGGCGGTTTGAGGCGGAAGAAGACTCGTATGACGAGGATGGGCTATGCGTAAGCCGAGAGTTGCCTTTTGCTTTTTCATCATTATTGACTTTTGCTTCGTATGCTTTGTGGCTGCATCGGGAGGCAATTGCACCATTGTCATAGTACATGTACATCGTCGAGTACAGTACGTCGCCTGTTTTGTCATAGTTGATGTCAACCGCAGAGGCCATGGCTCATGGAAGGGCTAGGGCTGCACATGTAAAAAACACAGCCATCAAACTTGTATTGTGTAAAAAAGGCACTCGCAGGTGCTTACTTGCAGATGCGAGGACCCGCTTTCTAACTCCTCGGCGCGAGTCAGTGGGCCTTGTACTTGAGTGACCCCGGAACCTAGGGGTGCAACCGACAGGGTTTGTCTTAGCTGCATATGGCTCATGGCTAGCAGAAGGAATCGATTGGACATGAGTCGCTGATGAGTTTTAACAATCTTTCCCCGGAGAGCCAATCCCGATGCGCAGACCGAGCACAACAGCTATGCTCCCTCACCTTAAAATTTGAAAAGTATGATTGCAATCGGCTATTTGTTGCTTGTGAAACATGGGATGCGTAGAAGTGCAGAGGGACACGCTGACAACTGCGGTCACGGGATCAAAGACGCCCAGCATGCTGGTCCAGACATGTGGGTTACATAAATCCAATTTCAACGTCATCGAGAGTTGAAAAACAATACTAGAGACATGATAAGTAGGCAGCAAGTAACGTTGGGCTAGATCAAACTTTGTCGTTTTTGGAAAATGACAAGCGGCTCTGTCGGTTGGGCAGAAGCTGGGTTGTTCATGTTAATCAGTTTGACCCTGGTTGCCGATAGTCATCGCCATAGCCAAAAATAGGCTAGAAACGGTGAGAGTGAGACAGGGTGTGAAAAGAAGGTGGATGAGTGGCAAATCGTCTAATCACATTGGGGCAGGGCTCTTCGAGAATGGGAATACGGCTGGCTGTCACCACTGCCCTGCTCATTGCGGCTGTAATCCGGAAACAGTGACCGCTGAGTTGGCAATCAACTCTTGCCATGGATCCGTGGTTCGAAAGCCCCATGTCTAAGCAACTAGATAGACCGGTCTGGCGATCCTGTCCAGCGAAAGGTTGACGGACGTGCGAGAGAACCTGGCATATCCGGACAAGCGGAGACCCGAAATGTTTTTCTCATTCATTCGTCAATGGCGGAAGGGACGCTTCCAGAGTTTCTCGCTTGACACCTTCTAGGTCATAGATTGACCATTTTTTTCGCCTCGAAATTCTCCCCGACAGCCTGAAAACGCAGAAAATGGAGAACTCGAGCCAGACGAAGGACGCCACGTCAGAGTCTCCGAGCTTTAGTGCAGATGCATGGGTTAAACAGTAGGTGTACCGTATCACGGATTGTGTCTGCCATGCCCGATGCACAGGAGTCCCATCCTATCATCTCGACAAAACAATGCAAGTAAATTCAGATAAACCCTGCACCTGAGCGGGGGCAAATGCGGGATTATTCGTCTGCAGATGTGAGAGATCAGCTGAAAGAAATCGTCTGCGAATGAACAAGAGGGTTCGTCATGCCACAGAGAACAAATGCGGCTGCCAAAGACCAATTCTCAACGAGGCATCGGATACCAATCGATATCTTCTAGTGACGCGTCTTTCGCCACTAAAGGTTAAAAGCCATTATTCACTGTGGTCAAACGGGAACTTGCGGAGGACATGAGACAGCCATTGGCACACAAGTCAGATATCCTTGTACGGCAGGAGGGAGATGGAGGGGAGGTGGATAGCGACGTAGGGTTGCAACTAGGAACTAGTAGCATACCTTATTGGCAGAGCCAGCAATGCCCTGAGAGAAAAGAGGGGATGGCAACGGAAAAAGAAAAGACAAAAGGGGGGAAATTTGAAAGAAAGGACCCAAGTGAAGCTTTGTCTCGGACTCGAGTTTGTCCTCGGTCGTAACTCCATACTAGAGCTTAGGACGCTAGGAGCAACTAGTAATAGAACTAATTGGATGTCAGTGAATAACCAAGCAGTCATGTAGGGTAGGATACCTTACACCGTTCTAGAAATCCGAACCTGTGATCCAACCTGCATGTAAGGGTCAGGCATCATGTCATTTTCCCTTTCCAGATTATTATTTATTTCTTTATTTCGTTTGGGCTGGAACACTAGATTAGTCTGAGATGGGATGGGAAGGCTCCAGCGTAAGACAGTACGACATCTGGCACAGTGAAGGAGCAACTGATCATGCAGGAGCTTTGATTCAGTAACCGGAAACGATTCCTGCTTCTCGAAAGACAACTTGATACGGAGTATGTCAACATAGACGAAGCGGGGAAGATCGATTGAGCAACCAAGCCAAGCTGTGACAAGAGCACATTGACTCGGAATGAGGGATTTTCACGATTGAACTTGGAGCAGAGGAAATGATGCGGCCACGGCAGCAGGATGCATGCATTCGTGAAGCATCCATTGAGCACGATTGTCTCGCAACGGGAATGTTGTGGCCATACCGTGTCTCCACAGCTGGGCGAACCCATTGTAGCCAACCGTAAGGGGCATTTGTGGGATGTGATGCGAATGTGATGATAGAATGCCTTAGTCGATAAGCCATCGCAAACCGGCGAGAGTTGATCGACAGCAGGTGGATATGGTGACAGGAGGATGCTGGATCGTAACATGGGAGCTTCCCACGAAACATAAATAGGGCCGCCATTCCCTCATGTTGATGGACTCTGAATCAATATCAGTTTCAGACACATCCTTCTCAAGCAATTCTATAAGCAACAAAGCCTTTTTTCTTCTCAAGATCCGTTTCACGTTTTCAGTCTGCTTTCATAGCTCACCAGGCATTGTTCAAGCCTGGCCTATCAAATTTGGAACGGCGGCAGAACCAGCGGGCCGGGCCAATAGCATAGAAGACGGAAGGTGAAACGTCCATACTGCACCGGGAACAAGTAAGTTTGGGAATCACCCCAAACAGATCCAGTCTGACAGATTTGATAGGCATGTGCTTTTACAACCAAAAGCGATTTGTGTGCGGGGACTGGAGTTGGACCAGTTTTGACCATCGGTGCAATTATGAGTACCGAACAGGCGAGACATGTGGCATGAGACTGGTTAATGTGACCGAGCATGAGCCGGCACAATGCCGCATTTGCGAAAAGATTGAAACCAAGTATCGTCGGCGAAGCGCCGAGATGGAACGGTTGACCCGGTGGAAACGCGAAGGGGGCACACTTGTAGCCTCAATGGACCGGTCACAGAAGCTCATCATGGAACTGGAAAAGGAGATTTTCCAGCTCCAGCGAGAACGGGAGGACCGAAGAAAGACCTACAAGACTTGAAAGTGCAAGGTCTTGGTGATGAAACTCATGCAAAAAGATGGAGCGATGGGAAAGGGCGAAGCCTTTGGTCCACTCGTTTTTTCGTTTTTCTCTTGTCTTCCTTCCTATCCTCGCCCTATTCCCTTTTCTTTTTCTTTTTCTTTTCATTTCGTTTCGCTTTTTATTTGGCGGAGTCTAAGTTTTATTCCCTCCTGCGATTTAATTTTCTTTTCTCCTTCTTTCTTTTTTGAAAATATTTTTTCGCAGTTTTGAAATCTAATTTGGTGTCTCACAGTCATGGGCCACTCAGCTGATATGGTTCATTGGCTGCATCATCATATCGGGGTGGTCTTCGTCAGGAAGCAGGCAGACTCGTCTGATGGTTGGAGGAAAAGGCCGATAATGATGTAAATCTGCCGTTCACGAAATATGAAATCCAATGAACTGTTTCCATTTTTTCAAATCTTGCATACTTGGGCGGTCTCGTCAGGGGGGGTCAGTTCCACTCAATAAGCGCCTGTATTCTGGATGAGCGGTTCGCCACGACAAGGATGAAACGATTGTCCATCTTGCCATTGCAGGAAATTAAGGAAGTCCTGTGCAGAAAGGGCCGGTCCTCCCGACAGAATGATACAGAAGGACACCATCTCAGGGTGTTGAATGGCCAGATCATTAAGCCATCGGATCGCGGCGATTGTAGAGAGTCTGGAGGAAGTAGGAACGTTGTTTACTGCAGGACCGTCGAAACCCCGCGGGCCCCAAGCGCACGTGATCCCGGCCGGGTCGGGGGGAGGACGGAGATGGAGATCGATGGTCAGTATGAAACATTTGTCGTCGCCTCCCTCGTCCATCTCAGCTCAACTCAGCTCAGCCCCATCTGGAGGGGCCTCTCACCGACATTTGTGAACGCCAGATCTCCTACTATTCCGCTTTAGGATCTAGGATGGCTCGAAGATGTCTTGCAGAACGTGTTTGAGAACGTTACAGTGAAGACCCTCTGCAGCGGCGGGTCCCTGGAATGTTCGACAGTAATTTGTTGTGGTCTCACAAACCAAGAAGAAAATCTTCCCAAGGGGAAAAAGAAGAAAAGAGAAAGAATCACAGAGTACTGGTTCGACTTAATGGCGGATTACCTCTTATATAGAAGACCGACCCGGGAAACTTCTCCCCTACTGAAAAAGAGATTCTTCACACTTTTCAGGGAATGTGAAATTTCCCGACTACGTGGACCATTTATCTTTCGTCTTCAGCTACACACCTGGGCAACCTGGACTGAACGCACGAGAACAAACGTGAGAATTGAACCATTTGTTGCTCAAATCGACGTCGCCGCTTGCCACGTCACCGCTGGACAACGTCAGTTGCGCCTGAGATGCAGCGGCCGATGGCCTCAATAACTGCCCAGGAAGCTTTGTGGATTATGTTTCAGTCACATTCGACCCTCCCGGGATTGGCATTTGGGAGTTGTGTGAACTAAGAAAGGGGACCTCTTTGGGTAGGACAGTCTCCAGCAACAAAAATGGGATTATGTAGATCAGGTAGCAGAGAAAGAAACACGTCGCTCATTTATTTATTTGATATCACCAGCCTCTGGCTCGTCGTCAACCTTGGCCAATCCATGTTCCTTTAGGAGGGCATTGATCTCGTCGGCGTTCCACAGATGGTGGAAGATCTTCCCTTCCGGGGTCTTGCCCACCGTTGCGAATTCGACTAGAGATAGGAGTAATTTCATTAGTGCATGTTCCTAGATGGCTCAAGAAGCTAAAAAGACACTTACTCTTTTCGCTGCTGAGTTTCGTCGAATCCATCGTCTTGCTCAGAACCTTGACGGCCATAGCACAAGCCTCCTTCAGATCGCAGTCCTCCTTGTAATCTTGTTTCAACAGACTCTGGGCACTGGCGTTGTTTGCACCAACGCTGGTTGCCTTCCAACCGCCGTAGTTACCACTGGGGTTGCTCTGGTACAACTGGAACTGCCGAAGGGGGTCGTACCCGGCGTAGATGAACGACACACCGAACGGACGCAGACCACCATGCTGGGTATATCCTTGCTTCAGATCGCACAGACGACGAACCAGCTGTTCGCAGGGGATTTCTTCGTTGTAGGTAAGAAGATATCGCTGGGCGGCTTGTCGGGCGTAGTTGATGAGGATGTTGGCGTCGGCTGTCATACCAGCAACGGCACAGATCATGTTGCTATACCCATTATTAGCCCTCAAACACCGCAAAGAGTTATCGTTACAGGGAGACGGATTGCTTACTCGTTCAGTGTGTAGAGTTTCTCCGCAGACGTGTCCTGCTCTAGCAGCTTGCTAGTCACCTTCTTTTCTGCAGCAAGGACGATTCCATCCTTCGCCAGAATACCGAGGGCGGTACCGGCGTGCGAGATAGCTTCAAGCGCATACTCGACCTGGTACAGTCGCCCTTCCGGGGAGAAGATGGTTGTCTGTTGAAACACGGCGTCACCTCGTTAGCTGGGAGCTCTCGGAATGATGAAATTGGAATTCGGGCCTACCCTGGAATCGTATCTGCGTGACATATTGAATCGAGCGATAGAAAAAAGAAAGATGAAGAGACGAAAGAAGGCTCTATGAGAAGGAACCTCGCGGGGGTGGAGGGCGAGGTCGACGGATGAAGAGTGGGCAGGCGGGCGTAGGCAGAGGAGGATGAATGATGATGGTTGGGTGAGCTCCCAGTAGTGCCCGGAAGGCAACTTCGCCCTGGCGCGTCCTTCCATCTGCCAAGCTCGGACCACTCTGCGAGAAGCTCGTCGGCCGCAAAATTGCACTCCGCACGCCAGTGTCTCCGCATCTCTCAGGACACTGTTGGATATGGACCCTCGGGATTCTTGCGCTTTCTGAATCGGACTATTGCACTTTGGGAAAATTTACCAGCGATAATGCTGAAATCTACTTATACCCCTCCCCCTCCACTACCAGCGGGGTGGACAGAGCATCGGGCTCCTTCAGGTTGGTTGCGACAGTCCTCCCATCGGAAGATGTTGTCTGACAGTAAGCTAGGTCATCTATACTACTACAATGTGCAGACAAAAAAGTCGACGTATACCAGACCGACCGCGCCCCCAGCCCAACCTCAACAGCCCATACTCACTCCCGTGGCCGCTCAGAACGCCCCATTCCTAACCCCGGACACGTTGCCGCCATTCTCTTCGACTCCGTACGCGCCTCATGGAATGGGGATACCATCCCAAGAGATCCCTCACCGTGGTCACAATCGCGGAGGTTTTCGCGGAGGCAGAGGTGGGTTTAATGACCGCAGAAGTCGAGGGCCTGAAGATCGGCCGAAATCAAAGCATACGATACCGGGGTGTGCGCCGTGGGTCCTTGTGAAAACTAAACTTGGGAGGAGATTTGTTCACAACCCGGAGACCAATGAAAGCTTCTGGAAATTCCCTGAGGATGTTCTGAGGGGGGTTGTGGAATACGACCGCCTAGAGAGGGAAGAGAAGGAAAGGAAGGAACGCGGGGAGGATGTTGAGGAACCTGCTGAATCACAGCCCGAACCAGAATCGGGCCCAGTGGGTGGAAGGGAAAGTGAACGGCAAGATGCTCCCGTCACAGGGGGTGCCGAGGAAGACAGTGACGAGTACGAAGAAGTCGAAGTCACAGACAGCGAGGAGGAAGATGGTCAACCTACTAAACGCCCAAAGACCGAAGACGATTTTGGACAACAACAGCCGGTGGAATTTACAGAGGAAGATTTTGAATATCAGCTAGCTGCGATGGGCGAGGACTACGGGCTTGATCCTGGCGAGTACGGTGAGCCGGGAGAAGGCGATTGGGAAGAAGGCGCCGAAGGGCTGCCGCTTACGGACGAGGATGCCACCGCTCTATTCCGAGATCTACTCGATGACTACCACATAAACCCATATTCGACCTGGGAAAACATCATTGAACAGGGCCACATCATAGAGGACTCCCGATACACCGTGCTGCCTAACATGAAAGCTCGGCGTGAAGTGTGGTCCAATTGGAGTCGCGATCGAATCCAAGTACTCAAGGACCGCAAAGAGAAGCAGCAGAAGGAAGATCCACGCATTAAATATCTGGCGTTCCTTCAAGAATACGCCACGCCGAAACTGTACTGGCCCGAATTCAAGCGCAAATACCGAAAAGAGCCTGAGATGAAAGATTCGAAGCTATCTGATAAGGACCGAGAGAAGTTCTATCGCGACCTGGTTTCTCGGCTGAAACAGCCCGAAAGCGCCCGCAAGTCGGATCTGTCTGCCTTGCTCAAATCCATTCCGTTGTATGAGTTGAATCGCTCGTCGAGTCTGGAGGCTCTTCCGCCTTCCATTGTTACTGATCTGAAGTACATTGCGCTGGCACCTAAAGTGCGCGATCCTCTCATTGATACTTACATAACGACTTTGCCTCCAGCTCCGGAGCAGGAAAATATGACTGCTGAACAACGGGAAGAGCTGGAGAAGAAGAGACTGGAGCGTGAAAAACGGGAGAGGGCCCTGGCAGAACGCGAGAAACAGGTGCAGGAAGAGAAACGAAGACAAAGAGGGGACCTCGTGCGTGGCAAACATCTCTTGAGAGAGGGTGAAGCAGAGGTTGAAGAAGCTATGAAGGTGGGCCGAGCAGGGCTCCAAAGCTACGTCGATGCCGACAAAGAGAGACCAAAGGACGATGGTCGAGCGGAGGACAACTAATTGTAGAACTTTAGTTTAAATCGCACCTTATCTGATATAATACATGGTCATCTCATTTTATCCTCTTTCACTAGTTGGATGGGCTGCTTTGTCCAAGTCCAATACATGTCGCAGCATCACAGGGTTGCCAATTTAAAACAATAATCCAGCAGTTGGGGTTCAGATAAGTATTCTGAGACATTAAGGAGGGTGGGGATAATCAACAATTTTGTGACTTCATATAGCTCATGGGGTATCAATGTAAACATGAACAGTCCAAGACTTCCTTTGTAAAAGTTGACGCCTTTCCGTTTTTCCAGTTCTGTATTACCTAAATCTCCAATTATCCCAGTCGTCATCGTCATCATCGTCGTCATCATCATCATCATCTTCTTCTTCATTCTCACTGTTATTGTTCTTGGCTTGGTCCGCCTGAAGCTCACCAGTGGAAGTAGACAAGTCCATTTGGTTGGCATCGGTGCCGTCCATGGCTCGCTTAACCCTCAGCTCTTCCCGCATTTGTTTCAATCGTCTGACACGCTCTTCTAGTTGATCCATTTCATCAAATTCATCCTCTATGAATCGTGCGGCATCTTCGCGTTCACCTTCAGCCTCGGCTTCGCGAGACCGGGCGGCCGTTTGATTGTCTCGCTCTTGCTGCGCAGCAAGTTGTTCGGTTGTGATGGGAGCCGCTGTTATAGTGGCCGATGCGGCAAGCGCAGCGGGTGCCTGTAATACTCGAGTTGGGGCCACTACATCCCGTTCGAAGGCGGCCCATTCATCCTCGTCGACGCCCTGCTTGGGGTCCTCTGTGGGTGGATTCAAAGCTATAGCCGGGGATTCGGATGGCTGCGTGCTCACTTCCTCCTTGTCCGGCACGACGTCCTCCGCGGGTGGTAGTTCCGGGCCAGCAGCCTGATGATCTGAGTGTTCGACGTTTTCCTCTTCCAGCGCCTGGGCACTTGGAGGCTGCACCGTTTCGGCATGCGCCAGCAGTTGGTCACCGTTTGTCTGTCTCAACTTTTTGCGCGTCATGTCTTCGCCAGAGTCCACCTTTCGCTTCTTCGTGACGCGATTTGGTGCTCTCCCTGTCTGGGGTGACGAACCCTTGCGGGAGGCAAGCTCGCTTCTTAGTAACGATCGAACATCTGCCATGATAGGGGTCGAGGGATAGAGAGAGGAAGCGAGGTCCGAGGGATGCTACACGGTAGAGGTAGAGGGAGGGAGGTATTATGAGATAAGAAAAATGGTTCGAAAAAGGTGAGAGTGGATATGGGGATCTGGAGAAAGCCGTCGAAGGCGCCGAAAAATAGAATGAATGAATGAATGCAACGCGACGCAGCGCCGTGCCAAGCCCTCCCCGCCGAGCCGCCGTCACGTGCGTGCTGAGTCAGCCAGCGCGCCATCTCGGTTTCTCCTCATTTCTTCCCAAGCGTTGCCTTGCTCTTTCCTTCCCTCTTCACCTTCATCTCCCTTCCACCTTGCGATTCGCCGCGTTCATCTCCAGCAGCGACCCGGCGCGACTGCTGCGATTGTTCTCTCCGTCCCTTCGTCTGTTCCGACCAGAACACACGTTTCCAATCAGGAAAGCGACCACGCGACCCCGCTCACGCTCACGCCAAGCATTCACGCTGCGCGCGATCCAACAGTGACTTGACAACACCAGGGTCGGGGCTACGTCTGGCTGTGACGCGTTGTGTCTTTTAAATAAACTACTGGGAAGAATTGAGAAGACAAGAAGTAATACCTGAGTGGGCCGGGCAACAGTGCCACTGTCCAGTCTCTTCCCCTGTGTATTACTCTAGCCCTCTGATGCCGTAGCACGAGATCTGGGTGGCGTGCGCAAGACTCGATCCTTTCATCGTCGCGCTGTAGAAATTTTGAATTCCAATCGTTAAATCCATTTGGCCCTCTCATCATGGCTGGTAAGCATTAGTACCTACACCCAAGTCCGTCGCAAGCAGGCTCTTTCTTCTTGAGAGAGTGGTGTGGCGACTGGACCCAGCTCCGTCCTCACATTGGATTCACCAAGCTAACAAGCGCCTCAGATGAACCGCGACGCTCCGGTCGCTCGACCAAAGGCCAACACAAGAACCTCGATCTGGTTCCCGATACTCCGAAGAAATCGAAGACCAAAGCCCAGGCCAAGGACAAACCGCCCAAACCCTCCGCCGAACCAACACCAGCTCCCAGTGAAGAGGAGGAAGAAGAGATCATTCGATGCATATGTGGGGAGTACGAAGAGGAGGAAGATGTGGAACGAGACATGATCTGCTGTGACCAGTGTTCAGCCTGGCAACACAACGATTGCATGGGTCTCACCTTCGCCAAAGGAGAGGAGCCCGACGAATATTTCTGCGAACAATGCAAACCCGAAAACCACAAAGTCCTGTTGGAAAAGATCTCGCGCGGCGAGAAACCGTGGGAAGAGGTGGCGGAAAGGCGGCGCAAGGAAGCCGAAGAGAAGAAGCAGTCACGCCGCAGGAAGAGCAAGAAGGGCGGCAGGCGAGGCAGACCGAGCGAGGCAAAGACTGATAGCAGCACGCCCGCTCGTGCTGCTACTTCCACGACGCCTGCTCCTGCCACTTCTACCCCGACTCCTGCTCCTGCTCCTGCTCCTGCTCCACCACCTCCTGCTGCTCCTGTTGCTGCTCCCGTTCCCGCCCCTGCTACTCCCACGCCGCCAGCTGTCACACCAGGCCCCGAGGAGAATGGTGTCTCACTGAAAGCGCAACCCGCAGGCTCACAAAAACGTAAACATGAAGAGAATGATGAAGGACCGGCACACGGTTCGGTGAGTACAAGAAACCTTCGATCCTAATCCATCTGCCTCGCTGACCCATCTTGTCGCAGGGATCGAAACCGAAGAAGCAACAAAAGATTTCCCCTCCCACAAAGACACCGACACCTCCAACTACGAACTCGGTCCCGATTAAGGACGAGACCAATGAACCATCGTCACGCCGAAGCTCAGAAGTGGTGAAGACGACGGCTGAAGACTTGGGCACTATAGAAGAGATCTCGAACACTGCGCGGAAGGGTGCGGCCACCGCTCTATACAGGCTGTTGATGGATCAGATTTCTGGGGCTCAGAAGCGATCGTCTTTCAAATTGCCCGCTGGGAAGTCGACGGAGGATGTCGCACGGCAACTCGCTCTCTCTATCGAGAATGCAATGTACCAGAATATCTGCGGAGGAGCGGGAGAACCCACGGAGCCGTATAGGTCACAATTGCGGACGATACTGTTTAACGTAAAGAAGAACACTTCTCTACGCGATCGTCTGCTCGTAGGTAATTTACAGGCCGATGCTCTTTCTAAAATGAGCTCCCAGGACATGGCCAGTGAGGAACTGCAGCAACGAGATGCCGAGATCAAGCGGGAGGCCGAACGACAGCACATCATCGTACAGGACCAAGGCCCGCGCATTAGACGGACCCATAAGGGCGAGGAACTCGTGGAGGATGACAACCAGAATGTGGCCAGCGAGCCAGTTTTCTCCTCGGCCCCGGCTCGTCGTAGCCTGGCCGATGTCGATGACAGTCCTGGTCCAGCGAGTCCTGGCAACCAACAACCATCCGACGTGGACGGCGCTCGAAAACCGTCGGTTGATACTAAATCGACTCACGATGAGCATTTCCCCCCACGAGGTCACTCTCCTGGTGGCACCAACCATGAGCAGGTCTTCCCCGAGATGGCAGCTCATATCCGCGAGCCGGTGCCCACTGGCAAGGTCCAGGCCGATGCCGAAATTGATCAGCTGTTGAAGGACGACGAACCCGATTCGCCGCCTTACTCACCCAAGGACTATCATGATGAAGGCGCCATCTGGCGTGGCAAGGTTATCATGAACCCGATTGCGGAGTTCTCGTCGTCTGCAAAGCACGTTGGAGGTGCCGATTTAAGTGGACGGATTCCATGGAGCCAACTTGTTCCGTCTACATTACTCATCGATGGGCGAATCGATGTCCAGCTGGCCAGCAACTATCTGTGCGGTCTTCGTTTCAGTTCCTCCACCGATGTGTCCGTTGTCTCTATAAGCGCCCCTGAACACCCGAAGGAACGAGCCGGATTCGACAAGCTCTTCAACTATTTCCAAGATCGCAAGAGATACGGTGTGATTGGCAAGCACCCTTTGCCAGCCGTTAAAGATACCTATCTCATCCCCATTGAAGCTCAGTCTACCAAGAAGCCCGAGTTCATCGAGCTGCTGGAGAACAACTCGCTCGAGGATCCCACGCCGGAGCGTGTTCTCCTCGTTGTCTTTGCCGTCAAGACTGGCGATTCCAATCCGCCCTCCGTACAACCTCCTTCCCACTACTCTAGCCAGGAGCCTGCGGCTTCGGCCAGTCCATTGACCGTTGGCGCGCCGACACCTCATCAACCCCAGTTCCTCACCCCGGGACCACGGGGTGCATCTCACACGCCCGCGACGCCGTCGCCTTTTGACGGAACTGCGCAGGCACCCATCCCATATGGTCAACCGCATCAGCACCAGCAATTCCCGTCCACGCCGCAATACCCATATCAATCGCCCGCTTCTCAGACTCAAGCTCCCGTTACTGGCATCGCAGCTGCCGTACAAGTCCTGGGCGCCCAGGCCAGCTCACCTGCAATCCAACAACTGTTACAGAAAGCGCCCAGTGTGGACGTGTCGCAGCTGAGTGTGGTTCGAGATATTCTCTTACGGCGACCGGACACCGCTGCGAATTATGACCTGTTGACGCAGGAGCTCTTTGAAGCCACCACTAACGGAAATGGTGTGCAACAATAAATGGACAAATAATCTCTGGTTGTATAGTAATCATTAGCCTTTTCTTCATCCCCAAGTGACGTTTCGGCTTGGTGTTTTCTGCGATTCTACAGTTTGTCTTTGGGCAGGGGTTCAAATCAAAAATGGGTATTGGGGTGATTATGGGAATGTTTTTTCGTCGTCGCTAGGGCTCTGCAATCTTCTGTTCTATTCTTTCTCGGTGTAGTGGGAGTTTCTTTCGATCCCTGGTCCAAGTTTGTTGTTTTCCGCACGCGGTCATTTACATACTTATTTAAGCCGATATTTCGCTACGCATCGATTCCAATTTATACCATACTCTTTGACTTGGTTTCTGAAGAGCAAAGGAAATTCGTAGATATTCAACGGTTGCTCTAGTAGCTCCCCCATAAAATGCAATATATGTAATCTTGTCTTACGTAGTCAGAAGATCAATATCAACCTTACAAGATAGTATTTGTTCTATTATCCCATACTGTAGTTTCATTAAATTCCAGACATGATGAAGAGAACAACGCCTACGCTATGCATATCCAGACACGACACGGAGGAACAACGGCCAAACACCTACACACACCACTTTTTTAGGGGGGGACGGACCGTTGGGAATTGTCGTCATCCGTCATAGTCTAATAGACAAGGATCCAGGGCCACGTATACATGCGGGCTCTACAAAAAAGTCAGTTCGATAGTTTTATGGAAAGAAAGAGTAGTAAAATAAAAAGAATCATCCACTTAAATAAGTAACTAAGCTTTATTAAAAAGTTTGTAATCGCCGCGGTGGACGGTCCGCAGTGCCACATACCTAAGCCAAAAAGACCAGCATGGAATTCTCTGGGGATTCCACCATCCAACCACATATACGGAGTAGTACCATGCACCAGTCAACTATCCTGACCGCACTGCGTGCGTTGACGAGGAGTCGACTCATTGGCATTGGCCAGGGATCTGCAGTAGCGTGGCCCCTAGATAAGTCGTTAGACTAGCTACTTGGACCGAGGATCTAAGATCGTTAGCTTGAGGTGTCGATTGGGTTAGATAGGGGCGCACTGGAGAATAGCATCGAAAGCTGTGACAGTGGCCCCTATTTCTCTGTAACAGCACGTCATATCCCAATACCTCCAACGTCAAGCGCCGGATAAGACCGAAGACCGAGCGTTAACGATCTCCCAGGCCGATCGGGACCTCATCGAGAGAAGCACAGAACTCGATCATGACGAAACGAGTGAGCGAATGCATGGGTCGGCACATGTCAGATCATGGTGGAGTTTCTTTGGACATGAGGAGTCCCATGCAAATTGATCATATCAGAGTGGATCCCCGAAAGGCTTGATTATCACAGACACACCGGTCAAAAGTACCGAATTTTCCCGCAGCTTAGGGGCAATGGCCTGGGAAGAGATAGGAGATAGGAGAGATACTCTCCTCCGAATGCCGACATCCCTGGCGGCAAAGAGTCGAACCCATGCTCGGCCCTAGTGATTCGTGGATGGTGAGTGAAATGGCGCAGAGCACGCCATGGTTATAAACATGTGGCAGTGTCGCTGTCTCGCTTTTGCTGCTTTCTCACCTCGCCTCCGATGCTGACCTTCCCAAAGGATTCCAAAGTGTTCGAGTATAAATACATGTAGGCGTCGACACGGTTCCAAGTCAGCTTCGAAAGGATTCGATCCGAGTGATTCAGACTGTAATGAATGAGATATCACCTATTATTAGCTATGCCTCGCCAAAGACACCGAGGGCATAGATGAAGTAGCCCGAGATCGCCGTCGCATGCAGAGTCGCATGGCTCAGCGCAGGTTCCGTGGTCAGTACGAAGAAAGAAAAATAACAAATCAAATAAGAAGCGCTCGCCCTGGACTAACGGAGGGATTAATCTCGATCCCACGAGCGTAGGACGCCAGCGCCAGCAAAGCAAGACCCTGAGCCAGCTCTGTCTCGACGTTTTGCCGCCAGGGGCAGCAGGGCCCGACCTACTGTCTACCCCTGACTTCAGTTCCCTGTTCGATGACTCCTGCATCGACCTGAATATGCAATATCTGGACCCGAATACAAATACATCGCTGCCCACGAGTTCGCTGCACACCCCGTCCAGTTCATCCGCCAGTCTCGGCCTCCCCAGCATAGGAGACCCAGGTTTCCTGACCCCGGAAGACTTGGAAATCATCATGACGCCTAGCGAGAACTATCTGCCTGGAAGAGCTGGCCTGGATCCCCATGATCCCGAGAACAATCTTCTCGAAAGCGGCAAAGACCGTGACATCGACGCCATGATGGACAACAACAACAACCACAGCAACGGCTGGCTCAGCATCCTCCACCTGGCCGTCCAAAAAGGCCACGACAGCATCGTCCGCGTCCTCCTAGAGCGAAACATGGACTGCAACGACCCAGACAGCGACGGCCTGACACCACTCATGCACGCCACGATCCAGGGCCACGGAGCGGGCCGTGGCCCTATTACTCTCGCACGGGGCCTGTGCGGGCAAGCTGGACCACCACCAGCGCTCGGTCCTTCACTGGGCGGTTTTACACCGTCGGGAAACCCTGCTTACGATCATGCTGGATCGGTGCTCGGGGCACTGGCGCCTCATTGACGGGTCTGATGGAACGGGGAGGACGCCGCTGCATGTGGCGGTGGAGATCGGGTTCGATGCGGGCGTCGAGATGTTGCTTCAGTTTGGGGCGAATTTGCATCATCGGGCACAGAAGTCTTGATTGGAGGTATCCGAGCCTTTGAATGATGGTTAGATTAGCGTCCGTGACTATGGAGTATTGGTGATTTTTTCTTTCTACAATTTGGACCATGAGTGTTCATGTTACGATTCTGTGTCCATGTTTCATGATATGAGAGCATAGTTATTTGCAATCCACTACACTACTTAATCTAGTCTTTCCACAACACATGGATTGGCGATTAACTGAACTATTCCTCTCTCCTTCTCATTAGTAGCATCTATTTTAACACCGGAATTTCACCCGCAGGCCTTGACTACCAGGAGCTGGGAAAGGCACAATAAACTCGCGCTCTGCAACGATGTCCCTGGCCCGAACGGTATCATACAGCTCCATCGTCGGACCCTCCTGTCCGGTAGAGCGGTCGTACTTCAGGAATAAGCTGGCCAGGGCGTGAGCGAACTCTCGTCGCGCAAGAGCTATTCTATTATTCTAGGCGGATTGTCAGTCCTGTTAGCTAACTAAGACCTTCATCTACGTCGGAGAATTCCAGATTGAACCAAACTCACCCAAGACAATTTCTCGACCCTCTTCCAAACCCAATAAAGTACCTCGATAGCTTCGGGTTCTCAATCCACCGTTCGGGTCGGAACGTGTGCGGATGCTGGAAGCACTGCGGGTTCATGTGCACGTCCATCGGAGACATACTGTACACGGTCCCAGGGGGCACAGAGTATTGAGTGCCCGTCTTAGGGTTCGTATAGAGAATGGGAACTTCAGGGAAAATACGCATCTGACGGCTCATGACGCCCGGGTGGCAGCGGATCGTCTCCTGGATGATGACACCCAGATAGGGGAGGCTTCGACTTCGCCCAGCGCGGGAATCGCGCCCGGTACGGTGGATTTGAGCGTGCGCAGTTCGTCCTTGAGGGCCGCGCAGACAGCTGGGTTGGCGAGAGTTTGATAGAGCGCCGCGTGCATGGTCCATGCTGGGAAAGAAAATCGGTATCTATTCCAGGAGAGGAGAAAATAACCAACCTGTGGTGCCTTCCCCTGTGAATACGATGAGCTGAGCCTCGCCAGCCATTCGCGCATCGGTCTTGTCCGAGTCGGGCAGTTTGCTGCTCAAAATGCCCTCGAAAATGGTGCGTTTGATCCGTTGAGGATCAGGCGAGCGTCGGATATCGCGCACAGCATCAGTCCACCACTGCGATGAATCTGTCAGTTTGACACAAAACACCTCCAGTGAATATATTCAGACTGCCACTCACATCACGTCTATCCCGCATATCAATCATATGCGGGAACAAAATCCGAACAATCCACCTCGGAGCGCTCGTAAACAAACCCATCAACCAGGGAAACACCTTGCCCAAGTGAGTGAGCATGAAAAGTTCATCACTGGCGTCAAACCCGACTTTTCCGTAGTCCGGGGCTCAGCAAATCGAGGCATTGATCGAAGGAACAGTACGTGATGAGATCGCTCGCCAGGGCCTTGAAGATGTAATGGACCGGCACTACGTCTTGCGCTCAGCCGTGGTGGTCAAGACGCGCGATCAAGGTGCCCAGGTTCTCTTTCAATATGCTCTCCAGCCGATGCACACTGGCCGGCGAAAAAAATGAGCTGACAGCATTGCGGCGCTGTCGGTGCTGGTCATGGTGGACAGTGGAGAAGATGGAGTCGGGGGCTGTTTTCCCGGTCAGGCTATTAGCAAGTCTTTTGAATTATTGATAGAGACTAACTGCCGGTTCTGGTGTGCAGCCAAGTGGGCTTATTTGTCTTTCTTCCTCCCTGTGGGAATATGGCATCGATGGTCTCGGGATCGTCGAAGTGAACCTCATCGGGTGTGATGCGAACAATCGGCCCTGGATACCGTGTCAGGGGATGTACTACTCGAAAACCCCGGAGTTCCCTTCAAGAGGGTGCCAACCGTATTTCTTGTGTAGTTCCTGAACGTGGAGGAACATCTGCCCCCCTAACCAAGCCTCATAGTAGGCTTCGTACAAAAATGTGATGGCTGCCAGTCGAGGACCCGGGATACGTGCTCTTGCAAGCTCGGAAAGATACACTGTAGAAATAATGAGTAAATTTGAATGAACAGGCGTTACAGACTTTCCGGGCATACATCGATGGATGGCGATAAAGGCATAGTACAGCACTAGCGACGCCAACAATACATAAATCAGATGAGACGCCGACACCTGATCTCTCCATGTTTCCGTTAGAGTATACATTGTGGCTGAAGACGGTCAAATCCTTCAGGAAGCACAGCTTGTTATGGCCAAGGCAGATTTTAAAATGCAATTAAATTCATTAGTCTCTCTAGTGCTGACAACCGGGCAAACTGGGCCCATATAAGCCTTCGGTAAGCGTGCATGAAGGATCTATAAGCGTGCATCCACCGGCCGATCCACCAAAACACGATTATCGCGCAATATTTCAGTATTCAAACTGGACAGGAATTTGTGGAATTCCAATTCCCACAACAAGCCGGCCATTCTCTCATTCCCTGTCTTTCGTCACGAAACGAACAAGAAAATGGCGAATATCACCGAGCCCGCGTTTGCTGGCGAATTCTACTACACCGACCGGATCCAATGTCTCCAACCCCCTCGGGCCTTTCACTATCCTAGCAGTGAGTCTCGTTCCCCTCGTGCATCGATGGCTCCTGCCTAAGCCGATCCCTGGCGTTCCGTACATCGAGGCATCGGCGCACAGCATCTTGGGGGACATCCCGGCCATGGTCACGCACATCAAGGCCACAGATGGGACATTTGCGACCTACCTCCGCTCCGTGATGGAGCGGCTCAACTCGCCGGTGGTGCAGGTGTTCATGTTTCCGTTCGGCAAGCCGCTGGTGCTGTTGGGCGATTTTGCCGAAGCCCAGGATTGAACAGAGCTCCTCCAACCTTGAGGAGCGGCTTCGCAGCCTCGGACCCTCGAGACCATGATGCATATAGGTGACATTTGATGCAGTAAAAATCGACTTGAGCACCTGGGACACAGGGCCCGCGAGTGCCCCGGAACCAATCTCGATGAGGATATCTGGCTTCCCGGAGCCCGACACCATCGCGGAGAGAGCTTTGGTAAAGCGAACAGGGGAGACCATGTTGTCTCTCCAGTAGTGAGCATCAGCCGCCGAAGTCTTCTTCGAGCCGGTGACAGAGGAGAACATGGCGACATTGGGGGACGGCGTTTCAGCGGACGTGAACTTGCTGTCGACGGCCAGGCGACTCTCATATTCATCACTGATGACTCCCATCAGTTTGGAATGATACGCTAGGTCGATAAGGAGTAGCCGGGCAAAGTGGCCCTCCGTTTTGACCTCCGACGCCAAAGCCTCCAGAGCTGGCTTCCGACCCGAAATGGTCAAGCTACTGGGCTGTTGAAGCAGGCAATCCAGACACCACCGGCAAATTTCGCCAGAATGGGAGCAACGGCGTCGGCACCGAGACCAACAGCGAGCATACCTACATCGGATTCAGCTTCTTCCTTTTTGTTGACGGCTGCTCGGTCGCGGTAAAAGGCGGCTTTGATGACATCGGCGCGGTCGAGGAATCCGGCCGCATGCGCAGCAGCAATCTCACCCGAAGAATGGCCCACCACGCTGCTCGGGGTAACATTCCACGTCTCAAGAATAGAGAGAATGGCAAGCTGCAGAGCTGTGACGAGAGGGTGGGAAAACTCAGGCTGGCGCAAGTGCTCCGCGGTGCGAGGCTCGCTGAGCTCCTTGACAAACGACCAGGTAGGAGGACTGGGTAAGCTCTGGAGGACTTGGTCAAACTCCTCGAAGAGAGCACGCGTCTCCGGGAAATATTGCAGCAACGCCTGGCCCCAAATGGGCCACTGGGCACCTTGGCCGGTGAAGACAAAGCCGATCCGGGGTGTCATGGGGGCCTTCTTGCCCATGACGAAGTCGCTCGGCTCAAATTCTGTGTCTTGTGTGACGACATAGGCGCGATGAAAGAAGTTCGAGCGACGCTCTGACAAGGTGTATGCCAGGTCGTCCAGCTTCACACGTAAACGCGGATTGATTAAGTGGGTGCACAGAGCCTCGATATTTCCCTTGAGAGCCGCTGGGTCGTTCGCTGAGACCACCAGTGTACTATACTGTAGTCACTATACTAAGGAAAACTGACCCTAAGGCCAGCAGTCCTATCTACCTAACCTAGTCCTAGTATATACGAATAAAACTTGTTAGCCGTGACCGGCCGCAATTCTTCGAAGCTCATGACACGGGCACCAAGGCAGGAGATCCGCAAGAGGCGAGAGCCATTTTTAATGCCTTCTTTTGACCGGGAGCAGACGAGAACGAACATGCCAGTCTGAGTGTTGGCTCCATCAAGACGATTATCGGATACACGGAGGGAACTACCGGTTTGGCAGGTCTCTTCAAAGCTTCATTGGCACTTCAACATGCTCAGATTCCTCCTAACATGCATTTCCGCACCTTGAACCCCGAGATTGAGCCGTATTGGACGCGTCTGCGTATCCCGACTGAGCTGCAACAGTGGCCAGCCCATTCAGGCTTAATTCGTCGAGCCAGCGTCAACAGTTTTGGGTTCGATGGAACGAACGCACACGCAGTCTTGGAGAGCTATTCAAACATTCAGCAGCGAAGCCCCAGACGCACTGACTCTCTCATTATGCCGTTTGTCTTCTCCGCACAGACTGAATCGGCTCTGGCCGACGTGATGGAAATGTTTGCCAATCATCTTTAACGGCACCCCGATACCGATCTTGTGGATCTTGCGTGGACTCTGTACCTGCGTCGGAGCTTGTGGCCAATCCGAGCTGGCTGTTCTGGGACCAACGCCACAAATCTAGCTAATAACCTCCATGCCAGGGGGGATAAGATTCGGACCGGCAGTCAGTCTCCTGTCGTGAAGCCTGTCAATATCGGCCAAGCGCAGCCACGTGTGCTAGGCGTCTTTACCGGACAAAGAGCCCAGTGGCCCATGATGGGGTGTAAACTTATCAGGAACTCCCCTTGGCTAGAGCGTCGCGTGAACGAGTTAAAAAACGCTTTATCTCGTCTACCCGAGGAGGACCGTCCGACGTAGTCGCTTAAAGAGGAAATGCTATCTCCTGCCGCCAAAGTTGGAGAAGCGCGTCTATTCCAGCCCTTATGCACCGCAGTCCAGATCCTTCTGGTGAACTGCTTGAAAACAGCGGGGATTGGGCTCTCCGCGGTTGTCGGTCACTCGTCTGGTGAGATCAGAGCAGCATATGCCGCCGAGTGTATCTCGGGCGAGGCGGCCATGTGGATCGCGTACTATCGCGGATTGCACACGGCGCAGGCAGGTGGCCGACAGGAAGAGCCGGAAGGTATGCTTGCGGTCGGGACATCTATGGAAGACGCCCAAGAGCTGCGCGAGCTGCCTACCTTTGCCGGCAGACTGACGATCGCTGCTAGCAACTCCGCGGCGAGCGTGACAATGTCGGGCGATAAGGATGCTGTCAACCACGCACACCTTGTCTACCAGGACGAGAAAAAGTTCGCGCGCCCGTTGATTGTCGACAAAGCCTATCACTCTCATCATATGCGCCCTTGTGCGGGTCCGTATGGGAGCTCATTGGAGGCCTTACAGATCCAGGTGAAGGAGCCTCGCTGCTCCTGGTACTCGAGTGTGTATGACGGGAATCTGATCACCTCCGCTCAAGGCCTCGAGGGACAATATTGGGTCCAGAACATGTGCCGTCCGGTGTTATTCTCACAGGCACTCACCAAGGCAGTCCAGCAGTCCGATGATTCTGTCAGCGAATATGGGGCAATTTTACCGCTAGGATTCAACACCTTGCCGCTTCCGTCTAGATCAACTCTGACGGCATTTCATGGCTTCAAGATAAGCCGATTTCAAAGAAGCCACGTAGTCATATTGCATGTTAAATAGCTTCGTTTCGATCCTCTAAATCAAGAGGATCAGACCTTCATTGAGCCTCGATTCGGCATACAAATTACTAGACAATACGAAACTTTCATGATCCAATGGATTCTTATCATTTGGTCCTCGAGGTGGGTCCGCATCCAGCGCTGAAGGGACCTGCAACTGCGACTATTCAGGACGCACTCAAACGGGAGCTTCCCTATACAGGGTTGCTGCAGCGCAATTCCCATGACACAAAAGCGTTTGCGGATGCTATGAGTTTCATATGGGCTCGGTTTGGACGTGGTGCACTGAAGCTTCCCACTCTGCAAGCGGCCTTTTCGGATACCGATGGAAGATACCAGCTCGTACGAAACCTGCCGTCCTACCCGGGGATATTTACCAGATGGGTGTTTTAGAATAGTAGCATAGGAAAAGCTCTTCTCAGCCCTGAAAAGTTTCTCGCCCTCCTCATTCTTACAGACAGGTATCGTTAATACACTTGCGGATCTTCTTGGCGAGCATCCGCAACGGCGCCAACCGAGCCGCACGGCCCCCGGCGGAATCCGTCCAGTCCGTAGTTCCGCGCCCACTGCGGGCCTCCTGCTGCGCCAGAGCCTCCAGAACAGACATATACGTCCCCGGAGCGGACAGGACATGCCCCGCACCTGTCAACAGGATCTCCACGCCGCGGTCGATACGCTCCAGCAGATCGCAGCTCAGCTGCAAGAGCATCATGATCTGCACTACTCCGTCTAGTTTCAACGTCGACCCGTCCAATTGCACGTTGGAGAAGGGCGCGGAGCCCGAGAAATTATCCAGGACGGCAAGTGGGCCCGTCAGATCGCCTGCCGGGGTGTATCGCGCGACCAAGGACCGGACGGAGGCGTACAGATCGGTGAGAACGCTGCGATGCAGGCGAATGAGCAACACGTGGCAGGTCGTGATGGTTAGACAGATTGGGAACTGGGTCTGGCAGGCGGGTGGGAGGGCCGGTTGCGGTCTTCGGAGTCTCTTGTCGGGGTGGCTGTTGCTGCTCCTGTTCTCCTGGCCTCCTCGAGACCAGGCTCGATTGCGCCCCGTGCCGGAGCCGGGAGGCGATGTGGTTGACAGACTGTCTACGGTAGGTGGTGTGAACCAGGTTGAGGTATCCTGGGCTGGGGCTGAAGCTGGGCGATGGCTTCCATGATACTCCTCGTCGTCCGAATCTCGGGACCAGTCGGTGGCAGCCCGATCTGGCGTTGGGGTGTTGCAGACTGACTCGCGATATGAGGAGACGAATGATTGGATGATTTCGAGGAAGGTTTGGGAACAGCGCATCATCTGGTGCATTGGGTGGTCACTCTGGGTGTTTGTAATGTCAGGCAAGCGCGAGCCGAGCCGTTCCGTGTCAGGAGAGGAACCATTTGAGAGGGTGTCGTTTCGGTCTGTCACTTGACTTTCGATCCGATATACGTGTTCCAGAAGTGTGCTATGAAGCTTCCACAAGCGCGCGATACTCTCCTCCTGAGGGTTGACAGCTGTGAAGGCGGTCGGGCCGAGTGCGTCAGACTGCGAGCCCATGCCCAGATCGGCGAAAGTAGACGGGTCGAATACATTCATGTTGGGAAAGTCAAGATCATAGCCCATATCGCCCTGGTCGAAGCCCAGTTCCGGTAGTTCATTCGTCGCATCCATTCCGGCCATGACCAGGTCGGGCAATCGGTGCGTGGCGGTACAAGAGGGTGGAGTCGAAGAGTCAGCCCCAGTGTTGTTGGATCGCATTTCATCGGCCGTCTTGCTGGATTTGCGACGGTAACGGGGTTTGGGATTCAGGGAGCGCGGTCGACCCATAGGCATGGGAGCGCTGGTGACACAGGTCAAATGGTTTCGAGCGCAGCGATCGCACGCGATTGACGTATCTGTCTGGTGGGCCGTCCGATCACAACGGAGCTTCTGACTGCGACAGCGGTCACAGGCGTGACGTCGGAATGGCCTCAAATGTCGATTTCCGGTGTCAGACTCAGCCTGTGGTGTAAGGCGGTTCATTTCTACTGCCGAACAGCTTGATATACTGGATATAAATTGGATGAATTCACAAACTGGACCCGAAGTGAATGGACGGATTCCGGGTATAAGCAATGGAAGGGAGATCGCGCGTGGTAGGTCGCCTGTTGTGGCAACTGCCTATTCCCGTCCCCAATCACCTGACGCACGTTATCACCTGACGCACGCTTTTACTAAACACACCGACTTTTTAGAAAGACAACAACACCATCAAAATGGGTTCGATTGAAGCAGCTCTTACTGAGATACAATCTCTGAAGCCAGGAGAACGTCTCAATTATAACAAAATTGCGAAAAAGCATGGAGTTCACCGGTCAACGCTATCAAGACGTCATCACGGTCTACAGGGCTCCCGTCAAGACCAGTACGAAAACCAACAAATTCTCAACAGCCAGCAGTACAAAGAGCTTATTAAATGGATTAACAACCTTACCGAGCGTGGCCTACCACCATCCCAATCAATGTTACGAAATTTCGCGAAGGAAATCACTGGAAATAAGCCCAGAAAATGCTGGCCCAACCGCTTCTTAAAGGGGCATAACAATGAGCTTGTCGCCCACTATACTACTGGGATTGATTCCTCACGCAAGAGAGCTGACTATGCCTACAAATATGCGCTATATTTCGAGCTTATGGCTAGAAAGATTGAGGAATACAGCATCAGACCCGAAGATATGTACAATATGGATGAGAAAGGTTTTCTCATCGGAGTACTATCTAAGGGTAAACGAATATTTTCCCGACAAAAGTACGAGCAGGGAGGGCTTAATCAATGCCTACAGGATAGTAATAGGGAGTGGATTACGACAATTGGCTGTATTTACGCTGATGGAACAGCTCTCTCTCCTGGTCTTATCTACCAAGCTACCTCTGAGAATATACAGGATACGTGGCTCCAAGATTTCGATCCAGGCGAGCACCCCTGCTTCTTTACATCCTCTCCCAGTGGGTGGACGAATGACGACCTTGGTTACGCTTGGCTTATCTCAATATTCGATCGCGAGACAAAGGAGAAAGCGCGGCGACGTTAGCGGCTCCTAATCCTCGATAGTCACGGCTCTCACGTTACGATGAAGTTTATTAACTTCTGCGATGCAAATAACATTCTCTTAGCAATCTATCCGCCTCATTCGACACATAGTTTACAATCTCTTGACGTTAGCCTCTTTGGTCCACTATCTCGTGCGTATAGCGACCACTTAGAGCAATTTCTCCACGAATGCCAAGGAATAAGTCATCTTACAAAGCGAGATTTCTTCCGACTATTTTGGCCAAGCTGGATGAAGGCCTTTTCCGCTAAAAATATCAATAGCAGGTGGAGAAATGTTGGCTTACACCCGTGGGATCCTGAGATTGTTCTAGCGCGGTTTACTAGAAAGGAGGACGATAGACCCTCCTCTAGTGAGTCCTCCCAGTCTATTTTGAAGGTAGAAGACTGGCGTCGTATTGAGAAGCTTCTTAAGCAAGTTGCTTACGACGTCTGTGACCGAAGGGTCCAGAGATTAAATGATTCAATGATGCGACTTTCAACAGAGAATATCCTTCTTAAACTACGTTGTACGGGCCTTGAGAATGCCCTCTAGAATGAGAAGAAGAAGCGTCAGCGTTCAAAGCCTTTACAGCTTCAGCTTCAGGCTCTAGAAGATGGCAATGCTATCTTCTATAGCCCGTATGACGGTCTACAAAGGAGCCTAGTAAAAGACTAGTTTGTTTATGACTCGTAGTCAAGGAATTTTCCCATAGGGAGGAAAAGGCTATCTAGGAGAGAGAATCCAGGGACTCTATATACTGCCTGGAGCTTGCCTCAGGCAGGAATGCCTGCAGGATCCCTAGGAATGTTCCTGGATGCCTGCCGCAGAGGATCCCTTGATCCTCCGGAACGTTCTCCCGTACAGGAAAGCCCCCTGGCTTCAGGAGGTAACAGCCCGAACAAGATCCAACAAGCCCCCAATCTTCAACCAGAGAAAGAAGAAGCTACACGCCTGATAAAAGCCGCCAAAGAGGAAGAGAGGATACATCGGCAGCAGGAGAAAGAAGAAAAAAGGCGTTTAATAGAAGAGCGAAAGAGGGTCCGAGATTTTAATCGGAGTTTACGGGCGCAGGAGGTAGCCGAAAAAAGGCGCCAGAAAGAGAACGAAAGGACCGCGAAGCAGGCCGCTCTACAACTTCAAAACGATATCAAGCAGATAAATAGAGGTAAGAGGAAGGCTACGGAACCTCTTACAGAGAAGGAAACAGGGGATACTAGTGACAGATGTAAAGATGAAGTGAGTGAGTGAGGCACCTATCGTGGTAAACCGGCGAGGAAGGCAAATACGGCACCCAAAGCGATTCGGCGACACTGAAAATTAGCTACATATGTTCTTTATGTCTAATATTCTAAACTCCCTAAAACTTTCGTTATTATATTAAATAGGTATCGTTGTATAGCTTCTTTTCTTCATGGTTATTGAACCCGAAAAACGTGCGTCAGGTGATTGGGTACGGTACAGCATAGAGCGAAAGGGGGAGGCCTGGGGCATTTCAAGTACGTAAAACTAGACTGGTAACAGTATCAAGTATGCATAAGTGCTTATGACCAAGCTACTAACGCGAGTACATTGTAAACCTCCTGCAACATCACGAGGAAAAGTGGGGTTCATAGAGTGTTACCGTTCTCTACGACTTTAAGTCGAAAGGTGTCAAATGCAGGTGTCTGAAATACCGCCGATTTACCGTGTCCTCCGGTACGGAGTAGCGTGTCCAAAGAGTGGCTTTTCCCCGCTTTTGGCCCAGATTTGCTTCCTTCGCGGCGCGGGAAGGATCCGTTATATACTACTGATAGGACTAGTATTATAACTAACCTTATTTAAAGTATCAATAATCTCCCGTTTATTATGCCTTGATCGAACAAGTTGATCCTGGGACTCGGTCTATTGTAGCTCAGTAGTATCATTCTTCGGATTCGCTTTCACCTGGCCAAGGAGCTGTTTCAAGCTCAGTTAAATCACATGAGCAATGCAGGGAACTCAAATAATTGCTGTACTATCATGAAGACCCAGTGATTGAATAGCTTCCTGAATAGTTACCATCAATGTATTGTTGTTTGATGCATTATCAGTAATAATAGTAAGTACTCGGCCTGTTAGGTTATATCTCTCTAACAGCTGGAGGAGAACAGAGCTGAGATAACTACCAGAATGCGGCCCATGAAGTGGCTCAAATCCAAGAAGCACTTCGCGATAGTTCCAATCATCATCGATAAAGTAACCAGTGACAAAGGAGATGTCCAGCAGTCAAGTGCAATTGGGATTTTACCATCTTTCGGAAGTTTCTGGAGAACTTGTTGATGGCGTTCAGAAACAGTACTTTGTAACCGGCGCCGGGCTGTTTTTGCAGAAGGAATTTCGAGCTGCTTTGACGCACGTTGGGCTATTGAAATCAGGTTGTGAAATCCAGGGTATTCAAGAAGCTGGAAAGGTAACCGTGACTCAGTTATAAATCGCAATAGACTAGTCTCCCAGTCCTGTTGGCTGAATGTTGTTACTAGCTGGGGGTTTGGTGCCTATTAAGATTAGAATATATTACATATATTATCTGATAAGTAGTTGTACTTGCCTTTCGCATAAAGCTTTGGATCTGTTGACTCTTTGATTGCTTGTTGCATGTATTGATATGCTTTTTCATAGTTAAAGTCCCATTTCCAAGCCCTGGGTGATCTAAGATTCCCTTGCAGTATTTACACATGACCTTCGGTGTACCATCTTGAGCCTTAGCCACTTGACTAAAGTGATTCCAAACCTCAGATGAATGCCGTGAATCCCATCGCAGCCGTTTTTTCTTGCCAAAATCAGTTTGTAACCACCACTTGATATAGTCGTTGCTCGTCATATTGGAGTAAATCACGTAGCGATTGATGCGATCAGGGCGGACACTTTCAAGAGAAGTAGGTATAGGATTTGAGGGTAAGATTGGTCGGACAAAATCAGAATCAACAATAGACTCGGTATTATGGGGAGCACTCTGTTGACTGATAGATAGATTAGGTGTTATCTCATCAGGCTTTTCACGGCCTTGGGCCGTATGTAGCCCCCTAGCTAGTGAGCACCGCTCCGAAGGAAATGTACATTAAACAGCGTTACCACACGCGCGGTCTCTGATTTAGATCTTCTTCCCCTTTCCCTTTCAGGGACCAATCGTCCCGTCTCCACTACAAACGCGATGACGGCTCTAACAAACTCAAGGGTTTGTGCTCTTCCATTCGGTTCACTCGCATCCCCTGTAATCTCCGGTTTGACTCCTAACATCAGTGACAGCCGGTCTCCTGCAACTCGTGCATATCGGCTTCGGCGGTGGCGATCAACTCCCAGGGGACCGTTTGCCACGGATCTAGAGGGAAGGGCGAATGACCTCCATGTCAAATAAGCAATCCGGCCCATACTTTGCTAATATTTTGAACGGTGACGGATAACTGCCCTCCGGAATTGTGGCCGCCGCACAACAGGACCAGAAGGGGTGGTCCCTCGCTAAGGTGTGGCAGATGATCCAATGCTTTAAAATATGTGCCTGAAGGCGTTCTATAGTCGGTTTCATCCCTGCCTTTGCGTCGGCGCTGACGAAACACGCCCACAATCGCTTGAGACGCAACTCACTGGATGGCTTCGAACGGCCATCAGATTTCTGTTACCACAATGGAGCCCTGTCGTATAGGGGACCATAATGATGCTGCATAGTTAGTTTTCGATAACTGTTTTCAATTATGTACATATTACATGCATTTATAGGCGCTCTGTCCCAAATTTGGTTCCTGGTATTTTCGGGTGTCTAGACCCTTGGACGCCTCAAGGTTGTTGCGGTATCCAGAGCCGGAGATAGGCAAAAGGACACGCGTGGACGCTTGGCCAGGCCGCCTTGAGAGCTAAAGTCGTCCATGGTGCAGGTCGTACTGTTGGTGCAGAGGTTGGGTGGCTTGGAGAAGTGCAAGCTGAAGTGATGTGCGAAAAAGGTTGTCTTTCGCCAGATGTTGTTTTTCTCATCACTGCTACTAAACTGTAATTTACCTTTGGCGAGGCTACTTGGTGGTCGGATGCGAGAGGCTTCAAGATAGCGAGGCTCAAATAGGGTGTAACCATTCGCGTCAGAGCTGATGGACGCCGTGTCATGATGTGTACCGAACTCATGCTTGATTTCAACGTGTACTGAGGGTAAGAAGACGTCGCAATCTACTTCCTTGATTGAGTGCGTTCTATAGAGTAACCTAGATATGCTAGCGAGCTTGACATCTCTGCAGGGCTCATGTCCGTATCCGAAACATAACATCAGATACAATCGTCAAATCCTCCATTGAATCTAGGTTTGCTGGCACCGGAACTTATTGTTGTCTCTGGAAATGGTTTGATCCTGGAGTTTCACATACCCGACAGCCCAGTTCATTGCACCATATCACCTCTAGGCGTATGTTCGTGGACGACCAATGCAATGCAGCTTTCACCCTTTCATTCTTAGTTCTTGCATAACTTGTATGCAGGTGGATGGGGATACGGAAAGCTGTCAAAGATCCAAGATTCCCGGGAAATGTTCTTGGATACTTGGAGATATATTGTGTGGGGTCCCTTGTGCAATAAAAAATCTCCCCGTGAACACTAAGATGCACATCCCATCAGACACACGGCGAAAGAGCGCTCGTTTAAAGTTCCCTTCCGGTGAATTTAAAAACTAGGATCAGAGTTGTTAAATTAAGTAATGTATCCAAACTATCCAAATTCAAAGAGTGTAGGTGGAAATCATACAGAGAAATAAGGAAACACCAAAAGAGTGAGTTTGGCGACTTGCTTGCCTGCCTGCCTTTCCCGCGCTGCCTCTGTAGTCCAAGAACAATACACCAATGACAGCTGTGAACTTTGCATGCCATACCGCAGGCATAGATACAAGCTGCGATGTTTTCAGTTCCCAAGAGCCCCATTCACAGGAGCGAAGAGAGTCCCCGAGATGTCATTGACCCCTCCCCCAAGCACGTTGTTCAAACCTCCTTGTCCTTCACTTTGCTGTTCGTCATCTCCGGAGGGTTGGATGGCTTCATGATAGACACAGTTCGATACGCAATGTGACAAGGGAGCATTGTCTTGGTTCCGACCTAGCGTGGACATTCTGTTAGTATCATTGGGGTCAAGGTTTCCAGAGCAAAAGAACGCATTCGATCAATTGGGATTGCCATCACACCCGACAGGACAGCACTAAGGAAGAACGCGGACAATACGGAAGGACGCATCTTGGTGGTCTTTGCGTCAAAGGGAAGTGGATGGAGATGGTGGTGTTGATTGGTGGTACACTTCGAGTTTTTCGTTGGATGGGCTTGGATAGCTGAAAAGTGACGATAGTACCGAGTAGATATAGGTAACCCACTTTTAGTCCGTGCCAAATGCTCCCAAGACTGGGCACATCATAACGCAGATCATGGTACATATGACATATCACACCTCTGTGAAAAAGTGACACCTCTTTCCCTCACGATGAAAACCTTGATCCAAGGGTGTACAGGTCATATCATTGCTTCCACACGCGTGGAAACCGGTTGTCGATTGATATAGATGGAACTATCAATGGGCTAAGAGGGATATGCTAGGACGTCTGAAGTATATCCCTCAGGGGCGAGCTCGCCGGATGAATGAATAGAACCACTACGGAGTAGTAGACTAAATATAGGCCTTCTGGTTATGCAGTTCCGAACTACCGACCGCGCCAAAAACTCAACCATGACACCCTTCGAAGGGATATTTCGTCCTATGGTTTATCAACCTTGCATGTCATACTTGGAAACCTCTATTTCGCCTTCTCAGCCAGCTGCCACCGCACAGTATGTATCAGCCCCTCCCTCAGCGAGATGACCGGGGCCCATCCCAAAGTTCTCTTCGCAAGTGTCAAATCCGGCCGTCTCTTGGGTGGATCATCCACCGGACTAGACCGATATTCAATGGATGTTGTCTTACACCCGGTCACCTGTTTGACGACACGACCCACAGTATTCGCCAGTTCAGTGAGAGTAACCTCCACATCGTTCCCAATATTTACGGGTCCCGGCACTGAGTCCGCCTCCATAAGTGTGACGAGACCGCGGACACAATCATCCACGTACTGGAATGAACGGGTAGCAGACCCATCACCGGTAATGATAAGGGGTTTATTGTCGAGCGCCGCGGCCACAAAGTTGGATACCACGCGGCCGTCTTCCGGGGCCAGACGAGGACCATACGTATTGAAGATACGTGCGATACGCACGTCGACATTACGCGGTGCTTGTTGGAATGCCCATGCTAGGCCTTCGGCGGCACGTTTGCCCTCGTCGTAGCAGGCTCGCGGGCCGTATGGATTGACGTGTCCCCAGTAGGATTCGGGTTGTGGGTGTACCTGGGGTGAGCCGTAGATTTCAGAGGTGCTGGAGAGGAGGATTCGGCAGCGCTGCTTTTGGGCTAAGGATAGAAGGTTGCGAGTTCCGAGGTATGCGGTGTCTAGTGTATCGACTGGATCTTTCTGGTATTGAGGGGGGCTAGCAGGACAGGCCAGGTGGTAGATGCTTTGAAGCGGTGGTAGATCAGGTAGATGAGTCTGGATATCGTGTCTGCGTTATATGAAAGCCTTTGTCAGTAAATGTGGGAAAACGCAATTTGGCATGGTTGCACGCACCGAATCATGGTAAACAGTGGACTGTTTAGAATGTGGCATAGGTTCGATGTGCTTCCAGTCGAGTAGTTGTCAACTCCGATTACCATTACACCTTGGCGAAGCAAGTAGTCGACCATGTTGGATCCCAGGAACCCGGCAGCCTACCGTTGATTAAGTCAAAGTTTCGGTATCAAAGCGAGTAGGAAAGCTTACCCCGGTTACAAGGACGGGTTTCCCGAGCGAAGGAGGTTTCTCTTCCATTATGGTGGTAAGGGATACGAGTATGGAGGGTATGGGCACAGGAATTGTGAGTGAGAGGGAGCAACACTCGCGAGGTAGGGGAGATGCTTCAAATCGAATGCGATTGATAATGAGGTCGGCTCACCGACTGTCTGTGGGGCTGCGACACATCATTTCGTCACAGCCTGGATGCATAAGAGCTAATCTAGGCCCTCCGCAAATAGCCCCAATTATACCTGCTTCTATGAATTTTCACAGGGCGCCACACGCGGCTGGCTCACCCCATTCCATACAGTGGAGCTCCCCACTCGCACATATCGACAGCCTAACTTGGTCAGAAATGCGCCGTCAAGGAAGTTCCTCCCGTCAAAAACAAATTTGGGCTGCTCCATGGCATGCGCAATGCGAGGCCAGTCCAACCAGCCTGATCTGTCTGGCTGGGAGCTTGGGGGTCCGTGGTTGAGCATGCTCTCGCCGGGAGGCGTTTGGAACTGATCCCATCCCGTCGCCAGAACAATGGCATCGGCGAGAGAACATGCCTCGTACGGACACTGGCAGACCTGAAGCTGTGTGGTGTCTACTTCGCCCACTGCTAATTGGATATCCTCTAGTCGAACCCTAGGATCATAAACGGAAACCTTCGCCCCCTCTTCTAGGAGTCCCCTGACCACCGTGATTGCGGGTGAGTTCTTGGTATCGGATGTATTCTCTTTGAATGCCATTCCCAGAACCGCAATAGAGCGCCCCGAGACATTCCCATACATGAAGGCGATGATCCGCTGCAGGAATCGATTCTGTTGAGATTCGTTCATTGTAATCACGGATTGCCAGTAGTCGGCCACATCGTGCAGGTGTAGACTGCGAGCAATATACACGAGACACAGAATATCCTTTTGGAAGCAGCCGCCTCCCCAACCGAGACCCGCGCGTAGCATATGTGGCCCGATGCGCGGATCCAGACCACAGGCTGTCGCAACAGAATCAATGCTCACTATGGTGCCGGCCACCTCGCATATGGCGCTCAGCGAGTTGATATTGCTGATTCGTTGCGCAAGCATTGCGTTGGAGGCTAGTTTGGCCAGCTCAGACGCCCAGGTATCAACACGTAAAATCGATGATGATGGGACCCAGGTTTCATAGATACTTGCGAGTAGATCTCCCGCTCGCCTACCGGCCTGGGTCTGCGCACATCCGATCAGCACGCGACTAGGTCTTTGCAGGTTCTCAATGGCGGTTCCCTCTGCCAGGAACTCGGGGTTGGAGAGAACCTCGCAGCGTGCTTCGGGTGATCCACAAGCTCTCAGCTAATATCCAGTGTCAGTTGAGCGGCTACAAGGGGAGCAGGGGCGTGATTCTACTCGTACCAACTTGTGCAGCATCTCGGCGGTGCCACATGGAATTGTAGATTTCTCCACAATGATCTTGTCTCCTGTCGCCACCCGTGCAATCATTCGAGCGACCCGTTGGATACTGGTCAGGTCCGCCGCGCACCCTCGGCCCTCCCCAAAGGATTTGGTTGGAGTGTCGACGCATAGGAAAATGAGCTCTGCCCGTTGGATAGTATCTTCTGTTGCTGTGTTGAATTCCAGGTTGAGCGCCGATGTTTCACGACGTTGCACCGTCGCCAGCATTTCATCTAGACCCGGCTCATAGAACGGGGGAGTGCCGTTGATCCATGCATTGATGCGACTTGCGTTCGCATCAGCTACTATTACCCGGATACCTGGGCAATTATATGCTATCACGACTGCTAACGGACCACCTGGTAGTCGTTAGATGCTGGAAATGGAACACGGGTGTCTTGAATTCACTCACCTACAAATCCTGCCCCAATACAGGCAATGGTTTGAACCATTTTGAAGTCCTGTTCTTGGAACAAATATAGACATTCTAGCATGATGACGCCTTATATAGCCAAACTGCCCGGTCCACTGCGTGAAGCTCCTCCGTATCTCTTCTCCACTTGCTTGAGTCGGAACTAGGCGGGCTCTATGGAAGGCTCCCAGAGTATGTGATGTAATTCTGACTGATACATAGATTAATGATGTGTCATATCTCCTCGGAGTTACGTAGTATTTCCTCAGCTCCAGTGTGTTCGAGACCCATCTTCTGCCTGAGTTTCCCGAAGACATATCTCATGCAGAAGCGCCAAAACAATAGGTATATCTCATGTAGGACAGAATGGTGTGAATTATCGAATCTAATTCCCAAGGCTTATGCACGATGCGTCATCCTGTTCCTTTTCCCTATTTGTCTTTTTCCTTCCTTCATCCCACGCCCAACCCGAGTCCAATGATGCAGGGATATACTATACATGTGAATCTCGCGCATCCCAGCCCCCAGTCACACCAGTAAGATTTTGAAAATTCAATCATATATCTTAAATAGATTTCCTCTGATTTGTACACAGCTTTACAGTTTCTTCAAAGAAACAAATCTCATCACTATGATTATTGACGAATCTGACCCAAATGGCCATGGACCTGCATGGAAACATTCCAATCGCATCTATGCTATACTCCAGTACAATTTTATAGTGTTTCCCTGTACCTTGCTCCTCACCTTCTATGGTAAAGCGCCCGATTCCCTATGTGATTGGCTCTTTTGCTGTTGTTGACTATGCCTGGCAGGGCTGAAGAGGCTGGTCGACTATACGGGCTACTATGCGGATGTTACAGACGAGGTGTGGACCAGGTCGGCAACCGTCCATGCTGCTTCTACTGCATTTTTCTTCTTCATGCAGTTTCCTCCATATGCCAATACCCTCGGTCTGTGTCTACCCATGCAACCATTGAAGCATACCAAGGGGCCAAAGAAAAGGCGCCTCGGAACGCTGAGGATTTGTCTCGTCACCAAAGGTACCAACGTGCAGGTATGGTCTTATCTGATCCAATAAGAAAGGACCCCAGCTCATTGCTTATCCTCGAGTCATTTACAGACAGCAATTAACTCGGCCCGCTGTTGGGACTCACTCAGCCAACGTCACCATCCTGCAATACGATTTCACGTCCTCGTCGACAACAACAATGGTGCCGAGTTCCGTTCGCAGCTACCGTCGTACATTATCGTGGACCAGGTGCCGAAGAATGTTCCATCGCAACGAGCTCTGTACAAAGCCCGCGCGCTCGAACACTTTCGTCAGAAATACAAGCTATCCAAGGAGGATTGGGTCTTGCATCTTGACGAGGAATCTGAGATTGATGAGCGCGTCCTGGATGCTTCACTGGACTTTATTGAGCGAGGCACAGCGGATATTGGAAATGTACGCTGTCTTCCTCGCACTTCGGTACGATCATCATGACCATCCCGTTGCTGACTATCATAGGGCACCATCTATTATACCTCAGTCAATCATTGGACCAATACCTTCCTGTCAGCCACGGAGATTGTTCGTTTAGCAGAGGACTATGGTCGCTTCCAGCTCCCCTTCAAAACGCTCAAACGGCCCTTTCTAGGTTGGATCCATGGCTCCTGGTTGCTGATCAATGGAGAGGTGGAAAACCGCATCGGGTGGGACACGGATAATATGTGCGAGGATTACTGGTTCGGCTATCACGTAGGTTTCTTCTTCCGCTGCACAGAGTTCTATGGCTGATCATGATACAGGCGGCCCAGCATGGATTCAAGTTCGAATGGGTGCACGCACTCTTTCGCGAACAGCCACCCGTCAGCCTGATGGACTTCTGGCGGCAGCGTCGCAGATGGTACACAGGAATTTGGAGTATGGATCGAATAACTGTGCGTTTGGCCTTGATTGCGGCTGGCTTGAGCGGACTAGCCGCCCTCATGGTGTAGGTTACGCTCCCCATCATGCTCCAGTGGTGACTACTAATGCAAAAGGATAGTCCTGTGATCGGTATCCTCGGGATTCGTATTGTCGCTCCCTCCTGGTACTGGTACTGGATGTTGTTTAACGACGCAACAACAATCCATATTCTCGCTGTGGCGAGCGTCCTTCAGGACCTCAGCATGACAGATGTGTCGATCATAAACATTGTTGGTCATGCCATCGTGTCGATTATTTTGTCGCCTTTTGCCCACGTCCTTCAAGCAGTCGCACTCGTTAGCTCATTGCTCGTTCCATCCACGGGATATTGTGTCATTGAAAAAGCCTAGAGAGATGTCTGATCCACGTCGCTTAGTGGAGGTAGAAGGATATCGCTATTGGAGGCGGGCAGCCATGGCAGCATTCAAGATGGGCCCGTTTGACGACAGATGTTCCAAGCAAAGACGGTAGAGGTTCAATGAGCCCTTGACTCGTGTAACCAAAGTCCACATAAGATAGATACATAAACCAGTCCAATTATAGAGGCCAATTCACCGCTGAGTCCTACTCAATGCTGTCATAGTAGCCTACCATACGCCAGTACCAGGAGAGAAAGTATGCATTAGTCTCCCAGTGCATCTGCGCCCACCATTTTTCGTGAAAGGACGCATAGGCACCCGAACGAATATCTTCTGGGCACGGCCATTGGATATTCCAGGTGAGATTTAGTTTTACCCATGGCATTGGACCAAAAGGGGAAAATACATGGTTCAACACGCTTTGGTCTCCGATGCTGCCGTCAAAGCTGTTGGTGACTTTCAGGACGGCTTCGAAGTATCGAAACACGTCCAGTGATGGTTTCAGCACCATAAATCCGGAGTTGATGGTAAACCAATCCCAGAAATCTTCGGGGACGCGCGACGGGTGTGCCGAATGATTGGTTCGCAGCTGAGGTAGGCCAGCTATGAAATAGCTCCCTGGAGGTGGCACATCTATTTCGTGGTGGTGGGACTGGCTAAGAACTGGCGCCCGCGAGTAAATTTCCGGTGCACTGAAGATGTCATCCAGGGGTCTACTCAAGACGGTGTCGACGTCCAGAAAGAGGACCAGATCGTACTGAACCATCTGCCACAGGCGTAGTTTGGTCATGATATGTGTCCACCGTGCGTCTTTCGGCCGCACCCAGTCCACGCTGAAATCTTTCCACTCGATGAGATGGGCGCCGTCGCGCCGCAGGCGGTCCTTCTTCTCTGGGTCAACATTCTCGTGGACGAAGATGACAAATTCAATATCCAGTCTCGTCCTTGTTTCGGGGGCGTGCAGCACCTGGTAGGTAAGAATGCGGGCAGCATCAAAGTATGGGTCGCTGGAGTTGTGGAATTCTGAGAGGTAGTTGAGGGTTTCGGAGGGTTTGCTGAGGTAGGTCGCGTATATGGCCTTCTCGCGATTAACAAGACCAAATCGACGGGTCTGGATGTTGTGTAGCCATGATAGGGTCAGTGCTATAACAGCTAACGCACTCGTCCACTTGAAAGTTCGATTCATTTCGTGCAGTGATGCATTTCCTGGGTGAGGGCACCCAGATGTAGTTGGAATTGAAGAGAGGTATGGTGTTGACAGACTTTCAGTAGGAGGGAAGTACCTATCTCTTAGACATCTCGTGACCCAATAGATCGGCGGCCCACATGTGATACATCTTCCCAATAACTGGGTTGGCCATCTTGAATGTGTGATAGATCTGAAGACTGACTCCTCAACACCTGGTTTCCGACATAGCCCGACAAGCCCCGCAGCATGATATGGGCTCAGCCACTGAGAGCGAATCCAGTAATTTACGGTCTGGTGTAAACGGCGCAAACATTCAAGCATACCAGTACCCGTGTTACTACGTAGAGGTCTCAGTGTAACTGAACAGGATCCGCCCAAGACCGCACATAGGCTATATCAGGATATCGGAAGTTATCGGTATCGCAACTAGGATAATCCCTGTATCCTTGTTACAAAGATCATAACGATCATGTCCGCGAGGATTCATACGGCATAGGAACCAGCAAATAGCGCCACGCCACATTCACCTGTCTGGAATTGATGATCCCGGATATGCTGAACTTGTTCATGGCCAACGTTCTACAAACCCCCAGCGCTGCTTACCTGTGGGCCGCCCTTTATGGGGCAGCAGGTGAGTTGGATCGGTATGGATTTCGATGTAGGTTTGGGTTTCGCTCTATGTGTGTTGATGCTGCTGTTGGTGCAGCACCACGTTTTGGGCCATCTCGGCATTTGTGGACTCTGTATGGTCTTATGCGGCGGAAGTTTGGAAATAGGTTACTTCATTTGGCAAAGGTCCTGCTAGGTCGCTTGATGCATAGGTTTCACCAGGTTAGTAGAATGCTGATTTATTAATGGATCGGCGCTCAGTCCGCCACATACAGATCATCTAAAAGTTACCCACATGTTCTTGGTGGGTAAACCGTCACCAGCGTGTCTCAATTTCTCCTTGTCCCAAGGATCCGTTTCTATATGAATACCAAAGACGCATTATCACAAGAGCTGGTACGTCGCATAGCAATAGAAGTTCTTGTATCACGACGAGTAATTCAAAGATGGTTTGTTAATTGCAGGCTATAAGGATAGTCGGACCCGCACGACATATCACATAGAGAAAAGTGTCAGGATGAGGAATTGATGTACTGGCTAGTACTGAACATGTCCAATAGAATCAGATGATTGATTGAGGTTGTTGAGATCGGTTGAGCGATCTCAGGGGTCTATATAAATCGAACTATGGCGTGTTATGACACCATACTGGGGAGAAATTGGGTGAACGATGAAAAAGCCTATCCCGAAGCGTCCTAGTTAGTGGTATTTGACCACTCCCTCAGTTTGTCAAAAAGTAAAATCCGATATGTGAATCCAGAAGGGGGGAAAATATGAGAACTGACCGCAATTTCGCATGGTCACTCACTCATTCGCTGATTGCGCCCGTCATACCGCCTCTGCAGCAAAAAGCTGGGCCGATCGTGCCTACGTCCCTTGAATCAGCAATACCTTGCCTAAATATTCAGCGTAGTAGGCAAAAGTCTTACGAGGGAAACCAGGTTATAATCTAACGTATTGGACTATACACTTATACGCTTATGCTTTTGTTGAGCTTTCAATCCCTTTGTTCCCCCAACTGACCTCTTCTCTAATTCCGCCCTGGTCCATCTAGCGGTGGTATCCCTATGGTTGTCTTTCTGGTCACCATTCTGCGCAGCAACATAGATCTCCCCGCATACTGCAGACACACGTACTCTAGTTAAGCAGCCCATTATCGATGACGAACCGGAGTGGCTTTCGAGAACTATTGGAACACGCCCGCAACTGCGAACCAGAGCAGATTGACGATTGTTGTGAAACGTGGCTGGTGAAGGCCTAGAATAAGACCGCACCATCGGGAATAATTCCATGGTCACTCATAGATAAAGCAAGTTGATCGGGTGGTCACAATGAGTCACGGTCCTGAAAGCCTTAGCTAGATCAACATTTCATGAAAGCAACCATGTTAATAATGGGGCACATGATCTTATCTGCTGATACTATTTATCTCTGACGACCATGGTTTTAAGATATGGTGTGTGTTGTGGATTTAGTAGCTGGGTCATCCCTTGAGGCGCTTTGTAGTCATATGACACCATCCATGTTAGTATTAGTAGCTTAGTAGCTGTTATAGTTCACGGAAAGTTGAATTATAATGTTCTAAGAGGGTATACACGAAGTTATACATATGTTTTGAGAAGCAAGTAGCATGTAATGGTGCTTCTATGAGTGAACATGGAATCATTTCCGATGTTGTTTTCTTATTCTTGGCCATCACCAGCCTCGTTTCACACAAATGGTAACGAAAGTGTTATGCCGCACTTTCAAAGGGCATAACTGGGTTCGAAAGGGCAGTAAACACGTTAGATCAGAGAAATGGAGGGCGCTGTTTCTCTGGCATGAGTGGCGGGGGACGGTCTTGGTTTAAAATTCGAAGGGAAACCATTAATTATTGAAAAAATATTCTCTGACTTTGTGGAGAAATAGTGTCTGAAGAAATACTTTAAAAGACTACTCACCAACGATCCTCAGGAAGCATCTCCCAAGGGTGATTGGTGTGTAATCTCCTCCAAGTAAACCAGAGGATTTCCACTATGCCTGCCAAAAGATATTGTAATGAGGTTCAAACTCGGTTTCTAATTGCTCAAATCCAACCACCGCAGGAAGGATGGTTGAAACTTCTCTCAAGGGTCCGGTCGATTGACGATGCTGTTGCATCCCATCCGCATTTAAGAATGGCCCCCTTACTTACGCCTATCAACCAAGCAAGCTTCGAATTGAGTGGGGCTTTAAAGATAGGCTTCAGCGGATAGGAATTTAGCTGAATGGGTCTTATATACCCTCTCAGGACGTTCTCTCTCTGAGTCGGACTGACTCCAGGTATAAGTTTCAGACTACAATTCCATAAATTTAATCGGCAAGCAGGGAAATGGCCTGGAGTGTCATTATTATTGATGGCTGTTTCTGAATCACATGTAAATTCCATCCTGTCGTGTCTAGGAGTCAGACGGCTAGACCGCAAAGAGAGACTCTATATCGATCCCATCAGGTATTAAATTACTTAGTGATGCGTACATCCCGTCTAATCAGCTTAATTTAAATAGATACTTTTCCCTCTCCTGATACGTTTCGCGAGATAGTTGGATCGACTATCTATTACCGTGCCATTGTTCTAGGTCATAAAAGAGCGGTTACGGGCTTTGGCGTACCATGGTCATTAGTAAATGCAAGAAGACTAGAAAATGTCACTAATATGCTTCACACGAATCTTGGGTTTCTCCAATTTTGGAGACTGGTTCATTCCAAGACGAACTGTTGTAGTTCAGAGAAAAGTTGAATTCTTGTTCTTAGAGGGTATACATGAGGCTATGTATACATCTTAAGAAGCAAGTTGATTTACAATCAACTACAATCAACTTGCTTCATCTATGAGTGGTCATAGAATTATTTCCGATGTTGCGGCCCTATTTCTGGCGTCACCAGCCTCGTTTCAAAACACGAACCACATTTCCCCAGTGGCGAACTACGTACGTCATAGGGGCGTTTGAGCTCTATAACGGTCATCTGATGCTCTTCCTTTGGTCAGCAGAATATTGAGAAGTCCAAGTTCGAGATGACCCATACATCACGTTAGGTCTGCACCTACAGATTCGCCACCAAGTGTTCCTCAAGATACTGGCAAGATACTGAAGATTTGCAAAATAGGACACAACTCCATCTCACAGCTGTGACAAATCATCCTATTTCCCCGACTATCGACGAAGTATACATATCGGAGATGCAGATGAGTCGTCGACTACCTAACATATGCACGACCTTTCAGATGCAGCATTCGTCCTTGAGTTCTACCGTCCATATCTATCCAACCATCCGTTCTTATAGTGACATAAGGCAATCTCGTGATAACGACGCAAGCGGAGTAGAAAAGGAAGTCAACAGTAAGGCGGCCGAAGGCGCAGGCAGGGGTTAGTTTGTCTATACCGGGACCAGTTAGTCCAGCTGGCTGGTTTCAGTTCATCAGAATATGTTCTACTAACTTTTCTAATGACGAAGTGCCATCAAAACCCAACACATCCACTGAGACAGAAAAGAATGATGGCAAACACCACCAGTACTACAGTCTTAAGAACTATCGAGAGGGACCTAATACTGAGAGCGGAAAGGTTGACGCTGGTTGTAAAGAGAGTGTTCAAGCGCACAATAAAGACATGCAGAACAGACGTGAGAAACATTGATCCGGTGCACGCCTAGTATGTCCTATTGTTGTCGTGTTTATCCCATTTCGCGCGCCTGTACCTTACGTATGCAATAAAGGCTCTGCCATTAGTACGACAGTACAAACGTGTCAACCGTATGGTTTAATACTGTCCACAGTAGTGGCATGGGGTGTGTAAATTTAACTACGCTACTAATTGTCATCTCATCGGTACTTACTCCTACAAGAGATTTGGTCACCCAAAGACGCCGATCACATCTAGATTATAGAGGACATTGCTCCGAAGCATAATATCATAAAGTTCCCAGGATAGCGTACTAAATCTAGACCTTCCTTGCTAGCTGTGGGCGAAGTAGCATCAGGTATCAGCATTCCTCAGCTTGTACATAACAGCAGTCCAACAAGTAGGCGAACGCCATGTGAAGAAATCACTAGCCAGAAGGTCGTACATCCGCATAACGATGGCAAAGCATACATGATCACAATACCCGCAAGGATAGAGATGCTGATAGTCAGATATCGACACCTGCATCAGTCTCTAACCCGTTCCACTGCCGCTGATAAGAGGTGTCCGCTCAGATGCGGGAGGAGAAGCCTAATCACCATCCACAGTGTTGCCGTCGGCCGCCGTAGCTTCAGCCACCGTGAGCAGCTTAGGAGGCGTCGGGGAATGTGGGAAACGTGAGCGACCGCGAGACTGGATGAAAAAAAATTTGCGGGTTTTTGTGTGTTATATACCTCAGTCGTCCTCCTCGGACCTTCTTCATGGACGCCTGCTGGTCGCGGGTTTCCTCCATCGTCATATCCCCCTCGTAGTGGTGGCTTTCGCCAGAGACATCCAGCCCAGGACTGCTTGCGCGGGGCCAAATATATAAAATGATCTTAGGGATGACTTTATCCAGGACCAAACGAATCATCATCCCCATTGGTACTGCGAGAGCGCCAAGCAACACGCTCACTGCCCACTGGGAGGGCTGGTCAAGACGTTGTACGGCAAATGCCTTCCGGCCGAGGAAGATGATCAGAACTTGGCCACCTATAATGATGACTTGGATAGTGATGAACCATCTGTTGCTTAGGACGCCCTCCATAATACTTAGGTGATTGTCAATCCGGCGGCAGCTGCAGGGATCAGTCAGTAAGTGATTCTACCAAGGGGACGCCTGTACTTACCTATACTAGTTGAATATTTGCATGAACACAAACGTATTGAATACCACAGTCTGCATCGACCCATTATCCCAATTCACGAAGTTGGATCCGCCGCCAGAGTGCAGGAAAAGCGTCACGGCTAATTGATAGACGGCCTGACCAATGATCATTTTCCACATTGTCAAGGTGATTAATGGCGCGGATTTGGGGTCAGGTTTGCGCTCGAGCACGTAAGGCGAAGGAAGATCAGTTGCTACAGTAGAATTCGTCAACTTGCTAAGTTAAAAGATCGTGAGAGAATACCAAGTGTAAGTGCGGCGAAAGTGTCTATGATGAGGTTGACTCACAGCAGCTGCACTGCGCTGAGAACAGGATCTTCCTTATTACTGGCAGCAGAGGAAACAAAGGTAAGAACGCTAGCCGTGATGTTGACAGTTATTTGGAACTGAAAAAGACGATCAACCTTTGATCTATAAGCAGTTCATGGTTTGTCTACCTGAAGGAATTTCCTGATGGCGTCATTAACTTTGCGCCCCCATGCTATCGCCTTGACACTTGATGCAAAATTGTTGTCTATTATGATAATATCTGACGCTTCCTTAGCAACTTCCGTGTTAGTAAGGCCCAGTGCGAAGCCAACATCGGCGGGCTTAAGTCCCTGTGCGTCATTTGTCCCATCCCCAGTCACAGCGACAGTCTCGCCAAGTTTCTTGAGCTGGGTGACCAAAATTTTCTTGTCGTCCGGACTTGACTGCGCGATGATCTGCAGCCTTGGAATAAGCTCGACTATCCTACCATGGCTTAACTGGCGGAATGCAGGCCCTTCGATGGCGATACCACTAGGTGTGTAGATGCCGCACTGCTGGGCGATAGCTTTTGCTGTGATGATATTGTCGCCAGTCACGATCCTGACAAAAACTCCGGCGTGCGAAGACGCCTAGCATTGTTATATCCCTGAACATTGGTTTAAACTCTACCATTTCGCCGTCATTTTCGCGCGTCACCGCCTCATGAGGCGACCAGATTTCGAAGTCTCGATGCACAAGCGCAATACATCTCAGAGATCGAGACGCATAGTCGGTGATAATGGTGTCCATCGCGACCCTATTGTCCACGGAGAGTGGTGCTTCAGCCAGACCAATGGTTGCGTCCTGTACGATTTGTGTTAATTGACGGAGTAAGATCTCTGCAGCTCCTTTAACCAGCATTCTATACTTTCTATTATTCCTCTTAATAACCACCGCCATACATTTGCGGCTTGAGTCGAACGGGAAGATCTGCATGATCTTTGTGTTTGCTCTCTCCTCGCCTACTAGTCCAAGCCCGAGTTGCTCTCGTGCGAATGAGAGCAATGCCGTCTCCGTTTTAGATTCGACAAATGTCGCTTTGCCATCGGCAGTGTCACTCTCGAACGCAGCTGGGTTGAGAACAATTGATTGGAGCGAGTGGTTTTTGATCGATGGTGAAAGCGTGTATATCACCTCGGACGCCGAAAGTGTTCCTGAGCCTAGTACGCTGGCCTGATTGCGACCCGTCACAGTAAGACTTAGCTCCGAGTGTTTTCCCGATCGTTCTTGCACGGTCGAGTATGACTACTCACCTCGCATCGCCCATGAATCATAACATCACCGCACGGCCGAGGAACTGTGCAGCACTACCACGAACAGCCCTTTGGAGCGGAAAATTTATCTAGACCATTAATTGTATGGTTTTTTGTTGGTCGAGAATATAGTATCACTATACCGCTGGTTACTTTCTTATGACCACTTGTAGTGGAATCTTGTGCTGCAATTCCAACGTTTAGTTGTGGATCGCCAGATGCCCTGGTTAAAATCTATAATCACTACACCATCTTTTGCCGAGACGGTGAAGATACTTGAAGGAGCTGAATATCAGGAAAACACGAATGACAATACGTAATTTAGTGTAATCGCGTCGATGATGGTTAGATCCCAGACTCATTGACTATACACATTTGTTTTATAATAAAACAACGAGAACCGAATCGGTAATATACGTTCTGGAAAGGATTGATGTTCTCCGCGGCCAAGTTGAACCTCAAGTTGAATCCCTGGGCAACTTCTTATCTAGGACTAGCGTCCCAAACCACTGTATTTCAGCGCTGTCTGTGCAAGTCATGATCGACGGTCGTCACCATCGAGTTGGGCGTGCCTGTTTTTCTCGCCAGACTAGAGTGCCGGTTTGTCTTTCTAGATGGACCCGCGAGGACCAGGTCGATGCATTCGGGGTCATTGTAGTGCACCTCGATCGGGTTAATTCGTACAACAGGCCCTTTAGATTTACTGTTTAGTTTCTTGTTTGACGGTATCGTTGATAGATTTATACATACTGTATTGTTTATGCATCTCCGCGACGCGCTGGAAGTACTTTCCACCAAGCTATACCTCGTAATAGCTCTCATACCAGTGTGTCAAGGCTAGCGATTTTAGATACTATTCTAAGAATCAGCGGTAAAACTGTCAGCCGTCTAGCTTACCAGCTAATTTGGATCCTGGGATGCTGGCCAGTGGCGACAGATACACTGCAATCGTTAGAAAAATGAGCCTGTGTAAGCCATATTGCAGCTATTCTACCTACAGCGATAAAAGCTTACACAGACAGTTTGGGAAAGGAGAAGGATAATAGCTAGACCAGATGTAATTATTAGCACTAATCAATTCTTGGTATTCATATCTTCCATACCAACTTTCCTCCCTCCTCTTGTATCGCCATGGCTCCCACTGTCGCCTTCGTTACCGGTGCCAACCGAGGCCTGGGCTTCGGACTAGTCAAGAACTTCGTGGCCAATCCGAACAATGTAAGTTATTAATTATTATTATTATCATCATCATGACAAGAGGATCATCCTTCCCGACGCTAATTCAATGGCCCCTCTTACTTGCAGGTTGTCGTGGCAGCCGTTCGTGATCCCGCACACACAACTGCCCAGGAACTCACTCGGCTCTCCACGGGCGAGGGCAGCAGCGTTATCGTCGTGAAGTATGACGCCGGGGTCGAGCAGTCCGCCTTTGACGCTGTCAAGGAAGCCACCTACAGGGGCGTCGACCACATCGATTACGTGGTGGCCAACGCCGGCATCGCCAAGGTGTTCCCGCTCGTGAACGAGGTCAAGCGCGCTGACATCGTCGAACACATCGAGGTGAACGTCTTAAGTGTGGTCTCGCTCTACCAGGCGACTCGGTCGTTGCTGGAGAAGTCAACTGCTAAGCCTGTTTTTGCGATTATGGGATCTGGGGGCGGTGCTCTCGGGTGAGAATATCCATGTCTATTCCCTGTGCTCTTTTTCTACTGTCCTAGTTTACTAACGAACTGTGTTCTATCTGCCCTAGTCGCCAACCCCCCATCCCCAGCGCCGCTTATGGGGCTTCCAAGTCTATTCTCCCATGGTATGCCGTGCGAATCAGCGCCGAAGACGAGTGGCTCAACACCTTCGTCATTGACCCCGGCTGGGTGCAGACCGACATGGGCAACAGTGCTGCCAGAGGATGGGGTCTGGAATCCGCGCCAGACACGGTCGACAAGTCGACCTCTGGCATTATTGACTTAATCACGAAGGGAACTAAGGAGCAGTACGGTGGAAAGGTTGTCTTGTACAATGGCGAAGTTCAGGTATACTAGATTAGATTTCGAATTCCATTTATTTTATATTCGGCTCTCTTTCCACTTCTCTTTCTTCTTTGACTCTTCATATCTTCATGCACTTCTATATCTTTCTTTCTCAACCGAAATCTGCGCGGCGTTTTATTCTTTTTATCGACGATGCTGTTTAAATCGGGAAAGGGAAGCCCTCACGCGGTATTTCCGCCATATCCAACGCTCATAAACAAAAAGCAAAAAAGAATAGAACTCAGGAATGTATACAGCCGTATGCGAAGTCACAGAGGATTAGGATGGCATTATTATAGTCAAGGAGTTCAAGGTGTAATCTGAGGCAATAATCATTCCGATTAACTTTTCACAACCCAAGGTCCATTTGCGCCAGAAACCATTATATACCACGTTCATATTACGAAGTCCTACGGAATGGTTTGTATTCTTTACAGGACTTATGCTATCTTCCTTTAAAAATGCTCTAGTCTTCTAGTTCTATACTAGAAAGTAATTATTCAGAGACCAATGACGAATGGGTTACTCGAATAGCTAGATTATTCGGCTGATTAAAGCCCAATTTCTTACCAGGCTGTATAAAATTCGCAAATTCCCAATCTGTTATGTTTTTTTTATATAATCGCGAACCAGGAAATGATAGTATGCCTACATTTTTGTGGTACTAGAATTCAAAATATATTCTCTTCGGTGCAGAATCAAGATAAAAATTCCTGCTGGAGTCGACAAAAAGTATAAGTTAGCAATTGCCAGATACTAGATAAGGCAATTAAACGAGAACCGAAGCAGCTCGAATGAAATAAAAATAAACAAGTATACAGTCTATATGTTCCCCATCTTGATCCCATCTCTATCCCTCCTACCCTCACTCTCACGCCTTGCACAGATGACCATCCCTACGCAGCTCATACGCCTCAGCCGATCCAGGCGATGTCGTCGCCCAGAGAACATGCGCAGGGTCATACTTGTTCTTGATAGCGGCCAGCCTCTCGTAGTCGGTACCGTAGTAGTCTTCCTTCCAATAGGGATAGTTGAAAATGGCCTCGTTCATATAGCTACCTCCTCTCGGCGTGATGTCACGTAGGTCGATCTGCCACTTGTTTTTTTGGGAGACCTGCTCCTTCAGCTCAGTAAACGAGGCCAGAGGATAGCCCGTCACGCCGAAGTTGGCGATGTATAGCGAGTCTCGCCATGCGGGGAGGACTTCATTGTCGCCGGCCTTGTTGCCCGCCACGGCATGCGACACGTTTTGGCTGATCAGATACACGAATGAGTTTTCGGTCTGGACGAGGCTCTTGTACACGTCTGTCAGCTGCGACAGGCGTGTGGCATTGCGCACCAGGGATCGGGGGATCATGCGATCGCCGACGGTGGCGTTGCGGCCGTCGAAGTCGTTCCCCTCGTAGTAGGTGTAGTGCTTCAGGTAGGTGTCGTGGACGACGGTCTCATTCAGGGTGGCTGAGATGCCTAGGGAGGCCAGCTCGTCGTAGAAGGGCGTCAGAGCCGTGATGAGATCCGTCTTACTTCCGTCTGGCAGAGTCGCATAGTTGAGCTGGAAAACACCACCGGCGGCCAGGGCGACGAGCGATTGAAACCCCGGGATGGAATCAAGGATGTGGAGAAGATGTCGCTGCCACGCCTCCACGGCCGCCCAGTACTTGTCCGAGTTGCTCTCCACAAACAACAGTCTCGAGCCTGCCACGGGACCGTCAGGATGCACCTTCAGCGTGACGGACAGCACGATGGCGTAGTTCCCCGGACCGCCGCCGCTCAGGGTCCAGTATAGATCTGCATGCTGGTGGGCGACGCCACGAGGTGTCGACATTCGGTAGTCAGCACCTCGTATTCCAGCGCCTGGTCGGATCCCAGCCCATACGACGACGCCAACGGCCCGTGGCCAGCAGACTGAATCCAGCCTCCTGCCACACCCACCGAGTCACAGGTGCCTCCAGTGGCGCGGTATCCCTTCGCCGCCGCGGCCTTGCACAACTCGCCGACCTGGATCCCGGCACCAACGCGGGCGGCGGGCCCAGAGTATCGAGGGCTGGAATAGTTCGTGAAGCTCACGCTCTTCAGGTGGTACGTCCACAGTGCCAGGGAGCCTTTGCCGGTGGACCGACCCAGCGCGTCATGGCCCGTGTTCTTGATGATGAGGCGAACGTTGTTCTCACGGGCGAAGTTCACGCCAGCCAAGGCACTCGCTGCATCGAACACGTTGATGGCGTAGGAGACAAGGCCACCTAGCGAGCAAGAGGCGTTTGCGACGATCTCGCTTTTCACTGGCGACAGGGGGCCGTAGAAGGGGTTGCAGGTGTTGTTCTCGTAGTACATGGAAATGACATTCACCGGGTCATTTAAATTGGGGTTTTCTTCGAGTTAGTCTCCGCGTGGACCTTCATTCTTCTCAGCGGATATCGGGATTCTTTTTAAAATGGCTCAAGCGTTTCCCAAGTGGACACAATATCATGGCAAGCCGCCTCATCGGCCTGTCCGCTGTAGCATGACTGGCCCAGTGGGACGCCTTTCAGAAGTCGGTCATGAACTGTGCTGTTCAACTTGGCCCATTCCTGATGACTAGGCCATCCAGCATCTGTCGGGAGGTAGCGACAACAACTGGGAGAAGCTGCGTTGGTGACTGGGATGGCGGCCAACAAAGCGACATCCAGGCATCTGTCGCACCTATCATCGTCCTCATACGACGGCAGTGCTCGCTAGAATATTTCTTTGTCTCAATCCTGCCTTGTTTCGCGATAGCAGACGCGACAGGCGGTTTACGGTGGAAGCTTTCCAGCTAAGAGACTAATATGGGAGCCTAGAAAGGGTACTTGAAGTGGTCAACAGGAGAAATGTTTTATTTCTCTTCTGTAATATCTATGTCTAAGCCATTGGTCACTTGCGTTCTCTGCTGTGCTAAGCCCATCCAACGAAAGAAAAGAGAGGCAAGGTCCTCATTGATCATGTCCTGTTTTGACGAACACAGGAAAAGGCAAAAAAAACTACATGTAATCGCCTATATCTCATCTCGCCAACATAAATACACATACATATCCATGCACTGAATGCACCTAAATCTTTACCCATCTTGGCTAGCAGGCACCGCATCAAGACCGCGTGGCACAGATCATCCACGTGGAACGTGGACTTTTTCTCGATCCGACGTCAGGTCCTTGCCCTGGCGTGGATCGCTCTCACCGGATTTCCAGTTTCAGTTACACCCTTGTGTATCAAATTACGGAGGCAGACAAGGCTCTGGCTCTGGCTCCGGCCCTGGTCACCGGCAAGATCCCGCCTCGCGAGAAGGATTTAGGATTCTATGCGTGCTGACCGTCGTGGTGGTCATCGTGCAGTAGCGGCCGGCGGTATTAATAATGGTGCATGAGACTAAACCACAGCTGTTGCTAGTCGCGAGAACTAGTAGGGATTACGGCTGCACTAATGTGAACCCCTCGTATTAAGCAATCATCCACTATAGCCGGTTAGCTCTGGATAGAGATAGACAGGTGTAGGAGTAGGTGTCAGATCATTGTACGCCATAAACGGTTACCTTCCACAATGAGAAACTTCGAGCCACGACGAGATAGGCCCATCATGATCAGCCGAAGTCTCATGTAAGATTGAAGGGGAGATTGTCCCGACTAAATATACTACGCCGCATTACAGATTGACCTAGAATTGGACCCACCGCAAAGCCCGAAGTAATGGTGGCGATAATAGACCACGACGACGACCAACTACTCTTGCGCAATCGATCAATTAGCATTAGCAATCAGCTCAGTGTATGGACCTTGTCCGTTACGCAATTTTGGGCATTTGGTTGCGGCCATTCCTGCTATCGTGTTTCTAGAAGTAACAAAGTATATAACTATACCAATTTGCAAGCTGTTAAGGTACTGTATTCTAGACAATATTATCTTGCATCTACTAAAAGGAAAAAAGAGGCAAAAGAAGAAACGAAAAGACAAACATAGAATAGAAATACTGAGAAACATGCCCTAAATCACGAAACCAACGTCCCGAGTTTCACATAAACCCAGCATTCGCCGGATCATGATGAATCTTCGCCCGGCGTAGAAAAACAGCCAACAGGACCGCCAAAGCACCAGATGTAAGTTCCAGGACCAAAGCATCTGTAATCGAACGCACAATAGCATCCAAGACACGGCGTTTGAGCGTCCCACTCAAAGACTCGAGCAAGCCGACATTAGTCCCCGAGACCATAGATTGACCAGATTAAAGACCACCAGAGGGATAATGAACGGGAGGAGGCGGACACCGGCTTTGACTTTACAAGAGATGGTCGTTGCGTTATTTCTGCCAGAACCTGCCCTTTATAAACCCCCCTACTTACCCCGCTATCTAATTCCCGAATTGCTTGGCTGAAAGGCGCATGAGCACGATTATTCCTCCTGCGGCAATGTGCAATATGAGATTTGTGTAGGCAGAGGAAAAAGATGTCCCGATGGGACTGAAAGAATCGGGCTCTTGTGTACTCGGTCTAAGCCCGAGCCTGCGATAAAAGCGGGATCGGCTGCCGGGTAGTAGTGGCCTTGCAGACTGCGATAGCCGCTATTCTCTAGCTTGGGCTATCTGGGTATGATCTCTGCGCAAGGCTGAGGATGGAGTGGGGAGAGAAAACTCCCCTCCCCTTCAAGCGGGATCCCAGCTTTCGGCGGAAGACTGAACTATCTGAAGAGCGGTTTACGAAGAGGCGCTCCTTGGTTCTGCAAAGATACGATAACGCGCATCAAGAAAACGGTTTGGTTCGTGGGATATGAAATTCCACCAAGAAATTCGAACTGATTCCCAGTGTTCCACAGTAGGGCTGTTCACTATCAGCCGATTCTGCCGGTCTTGACGATACTATATTGTCGACTTTCAGAAAAGTCAGCCTTTAGCTTATCCGATACTTTCTGACGATAATTATCGCCGGCCCTTGGCTTATACGATACTATTGGTAGAAAGTTAACTATTATCGTCAGATCGGCTAATTTCCGAATTAGAACTAGTTCTTCGGTGCTGGAATAATAATTATACTTTGGATTTTGGGATTAAGAAGCATAATATATATAGCTAAGTAAACTGAAGGCTCTAATCCTTCTGATCCTAACAGATATCATTCATTAACATTAACATTCTCATAGTATCTATCCCCTTTCATTGCATATCTTCAGACTCCCAGAATATCCCTCGCTGCATTAAATAGCCTCTCAACAGCTACCTCTGAGACTGGAATAGCTAGATAATTACGAGCAGCTGCAGCCATTTGAGGCATTTCATCTTTGTGGCTACGCCACCAGGTGCAAAGCCAGTTAGAATCTGTAGTATCAATCACACTAATACGAGGACTGTTGAAGTACTGATCAATATCAGAGAGAAAAGGCTGATTAGGAGATTGAAGCCGTTGTAGCATTCGTAATTCCACATTGCTGTATAGTTTGCCCGGTGAGAATCGTGTAGATATACTTGACTTGGGTAATTCATCCTCCATAGGATATCTTTGATAAATATTAGTCTTAATAGCCTTAATAATCCAGCTACCAGTCTCTTTATCATCCAGTTCACCCAAAATCAGGTCTCCTTTCACCCGCGGATCAAGAACTAATGCAGTATAATATGTATCACATTTATCCACAAAAGTATAGTACTTTTGATACTTTCTCAAGCCTGTTTTCATCGCAGCAGCAATATCAGGGTCTATACTAGCAAAAGCCCCTTCGAAATTAGATGCTTCGTTAAGCAAATCATGAAGCTCGTAGTAAAGTGGAATAGCCAGGCTGATATGAGGCTGTTTTTCGGAAATGAAAAGTGTAAGTTTATTAAACTTCGTGAGGACTTGATAGATTTGAGAAAGTCGTTGCCAATCATTATCGGTAAAAGGCAGAATTTCAGTTTGCAAGGATATGAATTGATTAATCTGATACTTCGATTTTAAACCAGTATCAAGCATACGGTAGGTTAAATTCTATCGTGTTTCCACATCATATTCAATGTACCGGTCTGGAAGATCCATATATTGGCAAATCTCTTTCCACTTTTGTCTCCTTTGAGGGCTGCGATTAATCCAAAGAGCTAGAATCCGGAGTTTAGCTAATGCTGTCTGAGATGTAATAAGGTTGCTATCCTTGAGATTATTACATATAGCTTGTGTTTCCGCAGTACTACCAGAGTTTAGCACGCGGAGAATATCTTTGACAATAAGGTTTAAGATATGTGCAAGGCAGCGGATATAACTGTCGATTCCTTGGAATTGGATTATTGATTCAGACAGAAGTGATCCTTTTAATGCATAATATAACTCTGAAGCTATAGCTTCATTATTACTAGCATTATCTCCGGTAATTGTTGTCAATTTAGCTTCAAGATTCAACTCACGGAGAGTAGAATGAATAGCGATTGCCAAATTTTCTCCACTATAAATCCCGTGTAGTTCAGTGAACTCTAATACCCTCTCCTGGTATCTAAAATCCTCTGTGAGCCAGTGGCCAATGATACCGAGGATTGGTAGATGATTTTTGCTGGTCCAAATATCCAAGGATAAAGCAATTGATTTGCAAGTAACTGCAAGTTTCTCCTTTAATTGCAGTCGCTGTATTTAAAATTCATCCATAAGTCTCCGACGTAATGTAGATCGTAATAGAGGTAGTAATGAGATTCCTAGAATATCATTGAATATCTGATGGAAAGCAGGTGATTCGATTGTTGTAAAAGCAAGTTTTTTCTGAATAATCTACCGAAGGATATTCTTTTCCAGTAATTGTTGGTGTAAAAGATTCTCAGTTTTAGCTATATAATCTTTTATAGTGGGCTGTTCTTTCCTATCGGAGACTGTACACCAGGATTCAGGTAAAAAGATCCCGTGTTTTTCTAGATGTCGTTTCATGTTGGTAGTTGAAATCTGTTTCAATAAATCTGAAGTACTCCAGCTATACTGTACTCCAGTTTTACTCTCAATAGAGGCGCATTGTATATGTCGGTCTTTCAGCTCCTGTTTCTTTGTCTTTTTGTTAATCTACTCTTGATTAACTTCAGTAATCTGGAAATAATCCTATATCCATTTTGTGACTGGAGCTGGACGTTGTCGTTTCTGAGGGTATAAAGTTGAGCAGCTTGATTCTGCTAGGGTTTGCGAAATTGATTCAGATGGTAGAATCTCGGAGGAAGGAGGTTCAATTAGAGATCTAGTATCTGGAACTGGAACTGGATTTGAATTTGGATCTGGAAAATCTGGCATGCGATCTATAGATAAGGATTCTTCATCATATCCATCATTGAGAAGGAAATAATTGAGTTGCTTTTGGCGAGTAGCCATTCGCTGACTGTCATTTGAAGCCATAATATTGATATAGTTCAGTTAGGTGATCATAATCTTTGTGGGTGTAAGAAGTTCGGTTAACAATCATCCCTTGTTAGAAAAATCACATGATATAGCGAGATTATCGTCGACTTTTATAGTATCGTTGACTATTCTGACGATAATAGTATCGTTAACCCTTAGCTTATCCGATACTTTCTACGATAATTATCGCTGGCTTTGGGCTTATACGATACTATCAACGATCAAGCAAAACCTTGACTTTAAAGTATCGTGAACAGCCCTATTCCACAGTACGGCAACAAAAGCAGCCAAGTTGTAAGCGACATCCATGCGTGACGCCAGAAATGGTAGCCCTATCCTCAGAACAGCGCATCAAAATGCTGGATACCACTTATCAATAACCCGGTTGGCCGACCTACTAGGCCTTCAGGAAATCCGAATACTCCTCAGCACAATACACCTGAAGTGATAGTAGCTTGACATCAACTCCATGTTTGTTCTCATGTGTGAATATGTATAACAGATGACATCATAGTTGTGGCTGATTTGTCCTTCAGTATCATTTAGCGTTGACTACTACCATACTCTTTGACTTGTAGTTAGAATATCTTTATCAGCCTTACAAGATAGTATTTGTTTAATTGTCACATAATGTAGTTTCATTAAATTCCAGGCATGAAGAGAACAACGCCTACGCTATGCATATCCAGACACGACACGGAGGAACAACGGCCAAAGAGCTACACACGCACCAGATTACCACCGTCCACCACGCTTTTTGTATCCTCCGCCGCCACCATATCGGGGACCTCTTCCACCACCCGAGCGTCCACCCCAACCGCCGTCGTCATCATCGTGATGGCGGACCGGAGGCGGTCGTCCCTTGAGCTCCTCACTGAGCTTCTTGAACCCCTTGCGCATATCTGAGTATCCCATGTGCATCTTGCCGAAGAAGTGATCCGCTAACCGGCGGTCGTTATCGAGTCGACTGAGGTACGCACCGCAGACATCGCAGACCTGCAGTTTTTGATGACCCGACGGGCCGGAGGTATCCTGGAGGTTTTTGAGTTCTCGCTCACAGGTCTCCTTCTGGTGCTTGGTGGTGCGGATCTTGTGCAGTTCGTTGAGGGCCTGCGCGACGGAGCCCGTTTCGCCCAGGACAGATATTTCCAGCAACCCAGTGTTTATCGTCTTCGCCAGGTCGGATATTTGTTTGAGCTACCGCAAAAAAAAAAAAAAAAAAAAAAAAAAAGTCAACACTTGTCATCTCTCTCTCCCTCGTCAAACTGATCCTCTACGCTAGCAATCCACTCACCAGGTTATTAGTCTGTCGGATTTCATCCGGCGTCTTCTCCAATCGGCGCTGCGCCGAGTCGATCCTGCGATCACAGTCGTCGATGTACTTCTGCATGTCGCGCATGTAGTCATAGTCGAACCCCCATTTCGCCTTCTCCGCTGCCGAAGCCGTCTCGTACTCGGTCTTCAAGCCTTCGCTGTGCACTTTCGGGCAGGGGCCCAGGTCTTGCTTGGTGTTGGTGAAGAGATCATGCGGACAGGTTCCCACGAGGTACGAGCGGCAGACTTTCGAGTCGGTGATGGAGAGCTGAGCATTGCGCGAGGCCGCGCCGGTTCCCATTAGCTGATCCGCTGGATAGACAGAAGGTTTTCAAGTTAGCTTGAGATTCGGATTAGATGCGCGCGGAGAGCGTTCAGGACCCAACGTACCTCCCATGAGCTGCTCGAGCAGCTTTCTCTGTTCGGCCGCCATGATGCGATGACAATAGGGAAATAAGAAAAAAGAAAGAGAGGGACGATGAGAGCAAGGAAGCCCGGGGAAAAGAGAAGGGGAGATTGACTTGGAGGTGGATTGATCGTATTGATCTTGATGCGGTCCCGATTTCTTTCTTTCTGCGGAGTGGCGCTAATCGCGGCTGCGCTTAGGTGAGCTGTCCCCTTTGGGCAAGTCGGGGATGTGTTCACTGTTCGGATTCCGGATGCCTTACAAGTTACTCGATCTCCTCTGGCGACAGTCAGTGTCAACTGTGCGGTTGATCTCGCTGAGAACGCGATATCTGACGCTGTCCTGTGCCGTGTTGAATACCACTACCTATAGCTCGCCAAGGCCGTGCCCTCAACCTAGAACGCTTCCTGTCTGTCCTTCCACCGGCTCGGAGCTCCGCCCGGCGCCATCATCCTAGGCGATCGAACGAGACGCGCGACAGATACTTGGGTTGCTTTGGACAAGACTGTTTGTACCGGCAAGCATGACGTGATGATTTCTCTTTGGCCTTTTTCTTTGCTCCTCCTCGGCGCGTTGTCGACGCTTGCCTCCGCCGCATCGGACTACCACGAAAGCCTCGTCCTTCAACCGCTACCGCAGTCGTCGTTACTGGCGTCATTTAATTTCCGCAGCAATGCTACAAAAGAGTCTTTTGACGAGCGCAACTTTCAATACTTCCCTCGCGCGCTAGGTCAGATCTTGCAACATGCCCACACCGAAGAGCTCCACCTCCGCTTTACGACGGGGCGATGGGATGCGGAGAGTTGGGGTTCGCGCCCCTGGAATGGGACCAAGGAGGGTGGCACTGGGGTGGAATTGTGGGCGTGGATTGACGCAGTGGACGAGCAGGAGTATGTGATTGGATTGAATGCTGGAAGTATCGATTGCCCCTGCTGACGGTTGAACACAGGGCATTTGCCAGATGGATCACTCTGACGCAGTCCTTGTCCGGTTTGTTCTGCGCATCGCTGAACTTCATCGATTCCACGCGAACCACGCGGCCCGTCACATCCTTCCAGCCGACCGGCGACCATTCGACAACGAAGAATCTCCATCTGTTGCACGGAACACTTCCCGGCGAAGTTGTCTGCACGGAGAACCTGACACCCTTCCTGAAACTGCTGCCATGTAAGGGCAAGGCCGGCATTTCTAGTCTGTTTGATGGTCACAAACTCTTCGATGCCTCGTGGCAGAGCATGGCGGTTGATGTGCGCCCTGTCTGTCCGCAGTCGGGTGAATGTCTTGTGCAGATCGAACAAACGGTGGACATTGCGCTGGATCTCGAGCGATCAAAACGAACTCGAGGTGAGGTTCTTTTTGCCTGCTCTCTCTCTAATGCTCTACTAACTGTTCCTAGATAACCCAATCCCTAGACCGGTGCCTGCTGAACAGCTTGTTTGCGACACTTCCAAGTCCTATCACTCGGATGACACCTGCTATCCGTTGGAGAACCCGTCCGGAAAGGGATGGGGCCTGACCGAAGTCTTCGGTCGCAGCATGAACGGAGTATGTCCTCTTGCAGAGGGCCAAGCTGCCGAGGATGGGCCGGTCTGCTTAAGAGTGCCACATGAGCGAGATGTTTCCGTGTCTCCAGGGGCCATTGAATCTAAAAAACCGGACGGATTCACTCGCTGCTATACCTTACAGTCCTCTACGCCATTTGACATCACCATGCCCGAGCAGGAAACCACGACGCAGGTTCCTCTGGACGAGCCGATCTTGCGTGCGGAACGTACGATCGTGGGGCATGGCCAGGAACGGGGAGGCATGCGGAACATCTTTGACAACCCGTCCGATACAGACGCGGTGGATTTCATCTACTTCGAGACTTTACCGTGGTTCCTGCGGCCCTACATCCATACGCTGGAAGCTACGATCACCGGGCGGGATGGCGTCATTCGGCCAGTTCCCGCCTCGCAGATCATCAGGGAGACCGTTTACCGACCCGCCATCGATCGCGAACGGGGGACGCAACTGGAACTCGCGCTGACCGTCCCTGCCGCATCCACGGTGACCCTCACCTACGACTTTGAGAAGGCGATTCTACGGTACACCGAGTATCCGCCCGACGCCAACCGCGGATTCAACGTGGCTCCGGCGGTGATCAAGCTGGGCGCCCCCGACCGGCAGGGCGGTCCCATCTACATGCGCACGACCAGTCTGCTTCTGCCTCTACCCACGCCAGACTTTAGTATGCCGTACAACGTGATCATCCTCACCAGCACTGTGATCGCCCTTGCATTTGGCAGTATCTTCAACCTCCTGGTCCGTCGTTTTGTCACCGTGGAGGAGGCAGCCGCCCTCACGGCGCAAACGCTCAAGGGGCGAATTGCCGGCAAAGTGGTCGCATTGCGCGACAAGATCAAGGGGAAAGGGGCCAAGGTGGAGTAGCGACGGCTGGCTGCATTCTTTATTATTTCTAGGTTATGATTTGCGATATGCGAGATAGTTGAGCATATGTACAGAACTCCTTTTTTGTTTCTTTCATCATCGACACCTCGGCATTAGAAAATAAACAAATAATGTACAGTTTTGTATATCATATATCATGTAAATCCATATCCATCCTTATATCAGATATCAAATCAGACGCCGAAACCCAAAAACGAGGCCGTTAAGATTTAAGGAAGACTAATGCACGCAAGTCAGCCAAGCCAGCCCAATTTCCCTGAACAAAGAAAAAGAAGGGAAAAGGAAGCCAGGAGGAAAGAAAATTAAACAAAATAAGATAACAGGACTTACAGATGGCCCGCCACGTCCTTCGCCTTCTCCCAACCGGGCAACGTATCCTGTTCGCCGGGTTTCTTGTACATGAAGCTTCGATCTTCGGCGGCGTTGGGTTCCTCTAGCCCGGCGCGCTGGCTGTAGTGGTGGCCCGCTATGCCTTTTTGCTGATCGAGGCTGAGGAATTCGCCTTCGGTTTGCTTGGGGGCTCCAATCTGTTGGGGATTTTCTTTTGTTAGTATTTTTTCATTGTCTTTCTTGTATTCCAAATTAATTAAAATCCGGTCTAGATCGTACCCCGACGTGGCCGGCTCCCTGGTTGCGCACGCCAGAATTGCCGCCTCCCGCCAGGCGCTGGAAAAAGCTGCCTTCCGCGCTGTTGGCAGGGGTCGGGATGTCGCTGGCACCGCCACGTACGCCGGTCGAGGGCTGATTCTCTTTGGACATCTTGTTGATTTGGTTGTGAGGCTCTAGGTGTTGTCTTGGTATGAGGATCTGGCTGTTGGGGCTGTCTTAGGGGTGCGTGAGATTGAGATGGTGGAAATGAAGTACTATGATTACGGAGGAGGGTCTAGATCTAGACCTCTGCATATCTATATATATAGGTCTTGTTATAGAGAGCCTCCAGCATGACGTGCAGCAGCATGACGTGCAGCAGCGGTCATTCTGGGTTTCTTGTAGAGGGTGATATCATGATGACCGCAGTGCTGGTGGCACACGACTCCAAGCAGAAGAAGGATACTAGTACAGAGTAATGGTAAGACTCAGCAGGATTACCCCGTATATTCCAAATCCTTTGCTGCTAGTACCTGATCACGTTAGAAATTAGTGATTCTGTTAGCGTCGGTCCAAATGTCTCTTCTATGTAAATTGTAACTAACAAAGAAAGGTGCCTTGGGGCCTAATAACGGGTCCCCGTGTAACGTGGGCATGACTAAGCCGCCTCTGCCTCGGGTTTCAGGCGACCCAAACATTCTGGAAGATCCGCCTTTCATTCCATGTTTTCCCACTGAGAGTGACCCAAACTCTCAATTCTCAACGGTCTCTTCCAAACGGACATCTTCCGCCTGCTGCATCCTCCACGAAACTCTATCTTCAAATCCCGTGATTCTCTCAGTGTATGACATGAACCTTTCCCCGAAATTGAGCGAGGTTTAGCCGTTTCAGCTTTCAGGGACTGAGGGGACTCGGCCTAGCAATGCAGGACGGCGGTGGGCGTGCCTCGTGGCCCAGCCAGCCAGCCTCAAGGCCCTTTCCCCCATTTCATCAAGGTTCGCCCGCCGATTCTGTGCGCCATGGCGTTAGTCTATCGACTATGTGGATCCCGATACATCGTCGACTCGTCGTCCCCATCGACCCATAACTCCGTACTGTCGATCGGATCTGTTGGCCGATGCGTATCACCGTACCAGCCTATCACTGGGGGAGGAGTCCGTTCCTTAGTCCGGATGTTGGCTGGAAATTGAAGCAGACTCGAAAGTCCACTGGGATACCTGATCCACCCGCTTTTTGAGTTCGACCCGGTTTCACCAAATTTTTTTCAGCAGACCGTGGTCCTCACTACGAGCCAACTCGGCCTAGTCATGTCGGTAAGGTTAAGCGATGCCTCTCTAGCATCTCACGATCGTACTCCGTACTCGTCCCAGCAGTTCAGCTGGCTCCACTCCGTTGCGCTTGTCAATCTATGGTTGGTGTACCACGACGGGTTCTTGCGTGTCGTCCAGATTCCTGGCAATGGACAATCAGTCTCCTGTGCAATTAAAAATCCTCCCTGGTGCTCCAAGTCCAACCGCGTTCTAGGAAAGGCGCTGGATTCAATCCCTGGAAGGGCCAGACGCCCGGAACTAATACCTTGAATATCCCGCCCCCCCTTTAAACCTCCCCTCCATCCCACCGGCTTCTCTTCCCCCCTGACATGGTAATAAATTCTCCCACACACTGCAGACGTCGATCGCAAAGAATTCTTCTATAGCCATAACGTCTGACAGGGGGCTCACAGACAACCAGCAGGCGACTAACGGGCCTACTTGCGACATGCCTTCTTCCCCGGAGGATGCCGTCTTTGCGATCTCCGCTCAGGCTACCCAGCTGGGCAACCGTATTTCCGTGCGCATGCTAGACTATCTCAGCACCGTTCACGATATCCCCATTGGCTTTCAAGACCTTGCGCGAGTCTTCCTCGATACCTGTCGCGCCTTGTGGACCATCGAAGCCGGCCTCAGCGAGTCGACCGGGGCGAAGCGACCACTGCCCCAGATTATCTTGCAGGAGGTGGAAAAGAAATTCTCGGAGGCGTACAAGGACTTTCAGCAGCTCGATCGCCTCGTCACGAAACTGGCTCAATATGAACACAGAGGGGCTTTCGGAAGGCTCCAGAAGGGATGGCACCGGCCCAGCAACGAGCTAAATAGGATCCGCGAGTCTCTGAGTAAGGTGATGGACGCCTTGCAGATCAGCGTGCTGGCCTTCCACTGGTCGCTGGGAGAATCGAGGCCGGAGGACTCGGTTGGCGTCGGATACGCGGGGCTGGCGGCGGCGCTGGACCGCATGGCCAAAGGACGATCGGTGACGGGCATCAACCAAGTCAAGTCGCTCGAGCGCAGCAACAAGAGCGTGAAGCAACCGTCCTCGGCCGTCAAGACGGTGCCTGGTGGTCCGCCACCGTCCATTCCCGTGCCGCCGGTGCCCCCGAAGGCACCACTCAGCGACGTTGATTTGACCAGGCATGCCGACTCAGATTACCAAGTCAAGCCGACGCCCGAGTCGGTGCCGGATACCTTGTCATCCGTTCTTTATCTCGACAACCTCTCCCTCTCCGATTCCCACATTCACGAACCGACCAATTTCTCCACTCGCAACCCATACTCCCGGAATGAGAACCATCCGGGGGTCTCGAGCTCAGCGGCATCCGCGGCGGAAACCTTAGCGCAACAAGATATCGACGCAGACCTAACTGCTTCCATAGGAAGTATTCGCTCACATCCGAAACGCGACGTGTCGATGCCGCGCCGCACCCCCAGTCATACCAGCGCAGCCACGGTTGGCCACCTCAAGAGCGCCCTGGCGTCTGCCGTGCGGGCGAGGAACCATCAGTTAATGGAACAGCTCCTGGATAGCGGAGTGTCCCCAGACATGGGGGAGAATTCGCATCCTCTGAACGAGACCATCATGCGCCGTGACATCGAAGGCATGCGGCTTCTGCTGCAGTTCGGGGCCAACCCCAACCAAGCCGACAAGGATGGGAAGACCCCGCTTTGGCTCGCGGTAGACGGATCATTCGTCGATGGCGCGGCTCTCTTAATGAAGTACCAAGCTGAACCGACCTCTATGGCCAGTTTAGTGCTGGAGACCCCCCTCGCCTTCGCGGTACTAGCCTTAAAGACTGACCTAGTTCACACGCTGCTCGCTCACGGGGGAGATCCCAACCACGAGACGCGGAGTAGGAGCACGATCTTGATCGAAGCCATCCGAAAGAAGGCCCCCCAGCGACTGGTGGACTTGCTTTTGAATGCTGGTGCAGACGCCAACCTGAAGAACGGCGAGGGTAAAACCGCGCTGTTCGAAGCCGTCCAGGCCGATCAAGTGATCAGCGTGACGATGCTTCTCGACCACGGAGCCAACCCCAACCTTCCCGGACCGGAGCATGTGCTCTGGTCAGCCATCTACCGTCCGGCCTGCTTGCGGATTCTGCTAGCACGGGGCGCCGACATCCGAAAGACGCCCGGTATCATGGAGCAAGCCACCAGCATCAACAATATCGATGCCATAAGGATTCTGCTCCAGGCCGGCATTGACCCGAATCTAAAGAAGGACGGTATCTATACACCGCTCTGTTCCTCGATCCGCGACAATAGACGCGACATTTTCAACCTCCTCTTGTCCAACGGCGCCAACCCCAACGTGATGGCCTCGGAGTACCCCGCCTGGAAATGCGTGACGCATTTCCGGCCGCACTTCCTGCCCGATCTCGTGGACGCGGGAGCCGATCTCCACCAACCCCCAGGCATTGTCGAGATGGCGGTGCAGATGAACAACGCCGAGGCCGCGCAGTGGCTGTTGGAGCACGGCGGGGCGAACCCGAACGACCGCAACGCGCAAGGACAAACTGCTCTGACGACGGCGATTCGCGAACACCGGATCGACTTGATGAAGCTGCTGCTGGCGCACGGGGCCGATCCTAATCAACGCGGCCAGGACTGGCCCGTGTGTATGGCCGTGCGGTCGCCCGACATTCTGCAACAGTTGCTTCCCGCCGTGACGGACCTGTCGGCGCACAAGGGAGTGATGGAGATGGCGGTGCTGGCGAATCAGCTCGAGAGCATCAAGCTCCTCTTGGCCGCCGGCGCCAGCGTGGAGTACAAGAACGGCGGCGTTTTCTCTCCGCTCACGACGGCACTGCGAGAGGGCCATCACGAGATCGTGCGGTTCTTGCTGGATGAAGGCGGCGCCGACCCCAACGCGCCGGGCGAACATCTCCCCATCGTCAAAGCGGTACGTCGCTGTGTCGACGGGGATTTCTCGATGATCGAACTGCTGCTCGAGAAGGGCGCCGACCCCAACAAGACCTACAGAGACTGGAACGCGATCATGCAGGCGATCGAAAACCGCGACCTCAGACTTCTGCGTGTTCTGGTCGAGAAGGGAGGCGGCGTGGACCTCGGTCAGAAAGATGAGACCGGTCAGACGGTGCTTGAGATGGTGGATTCGTCTGGCTGGAAGGACGCGATGGATTTGCTTCTCAAGAGTGCTCGAAGCTAGAAACCAGTCGGTCCAAGAGAACGAGGCCTGGCTCTCGCTTTAATATACCCACTACACTCACGGAACGGTTCACTTCCCCGTGAGCCTCCATGAACTTTCAGGGGGCAAGGACCCCTTGTCGCTTTGCCCACGAGTTTTTTCTTGTCTCTCAACTCTCCATCCATCCATTCATGGTGTGAGCTTCCCCACGCCAAGCTCCTAGAGCGTGATGGCAATCGCCAGGGAGGGCAAATCTAATTTCCACCGGACCAGGACTTAACATAGTCCGGGATGTTCTGGTATTGAATGTACGACTTGTTTATTTGAAGCCAGTATCATTTACTGTATACACTTAAGCTAACTAGACATAGTTGGTCCAATAATCTATATAATTCAATTTGATATTAATTACATATTTCCAGCTCGGAACTTCTGTATTATTCTCTCCCTCCCTCTTCTCCATCACACCTTATCAAATGGCTGCCTTCTCCAAGTTGCCCTGGAACGTCGAATCCTTGAAAGGCACCGTCGCCTTGCCAAACTCCGCATCCTCCAACCCCTTCCTCGCCGCCTCAGGAAGCGACTCCCACGCAATCAGCGACAGATCGCGACCCAGCGTGTTGGTGAACTGCAACTCGTGGTTCGTGGGGAACGAGGTGAAATACTCGACCTTGGGCCGCTCCCCTTCGCGCTGCGGACTCGTCGTCTTCTTGTAGCTGCCGTGCCCCGAGGCTGCGGCGCCCAGGAGGGTCGGATTCGCCACGGCTGGGTTGTTCACCCACACCACGACGTTCTCCCAGTCGTGGCGGTGCGCGCCCGTCGATATCCCGCTCGTCGGCATGTCCTTGGGCATGTACCAGGCGTACATGATGCCGTAGCGGCCGTTGAGCCAACCGCCGCGCACGTACGTCTGTCCTTTGCCCTGGTCGCGACAGCCGCCGGTGGCGCTGCCGGTGTCCTTGAGGCCGCCGCTGCAGATTGGGATTTGAAGTGTCAGCTCATCTCATATCATTCCATCCCTAACCTAACTTGATCATCTGATGATGATGGAGGGAGAGACAAAACGAACCTGGTATCCCCGTTGGCCGCAACGGCTGGGTACGACTGGCAGCCATGCGCGATGTGCAAGAACGGCTCGAACTTCTTGTAGGTGTTGCCCGTGGCGTCGTTGGGAACGGTCTCGGCGAAAGGCGCGATGGAGTCGTGAGCCACGACAGCACGTTTCTGGATGGGGGAGCCTTGCACGGTGGCGGTGGCGAGGGCCAAAATGGTCAAGATGGTGGATTTGGCGAACATTGTGAGAATGTGTGAGAGAGAATCGGCACAGAGGAGGGATATGTCAAATAGAATGGACTGAGTAGAATTGGAATTGGGATTTCTGATTGCTGATATCAAATGAAGCTGTTGAAGGAGGATTAGTCTCCAACTTATACTTCTCCGTTTGTCTATCCCATGAGGGAATACCCTATGCTTTCTTCCTTTACACCTCCAATCCGTGTATACTTCGGAACACGGAGCTTAAGGGAAACATCTCATCCGGGATCCGGATCCTTCAAGCCTTGAATCCTCGCATAGTTCCAGTGCCAAGTAGTTCGTCTGAAGCATTGTCGCTCCTAGTTCGTTCCTCATGTCTCAAACCAGTCTACTACTACCAAGTAATCCAAGATCAAATGGCACCATCCGCCCATTCATCCAACCATTCAATCTCAGCCGAAACCCCTCCAATGAAGTAACACTGGTACCTATTCCAGCCTCCCTCCAAAAAAAGCATCTCCCCTAGAACCTACATAATCCGCAGCAAACCAAGTTCCCAACCATCTCGAGTATTATCTAGTTATGCATGCCGAGCCTCTTCCTAAGCCCTTTCCCTCCATCCTTCAGGTATCTCGTCATGTCGATCACTGCTCGGGCCCGGAGGGTGCTGGAATCCGGTCGATCCGGTTCAATCCTTCAGAAACTACGGAGTCGGAGTACTACTCAGAACGTAAACAGTAGTAGACTGTAGACTCCACCGTCTGTTCTCCGACTGTTCAATAATGCTAAGCAATTCCGCGATTCCGCACTTCTGCAATTAGCCATGACTCCATATGTTTAATTTACGGATTCTGCAAATGTATGGGTCCGACCGTTGAAGAAGAAAAGTCAAAAGGATTGGGGACCGATGGATGGTCTGAAACATCGCGAACCGTACTTTCTCTGTCTGGGTAGTTCCTTATGTGGGGATCGTTGAGGTTGCCGGATGGAGGTTAGATTATTGATTGATTCATTCGTTTTCTATGAGTGTTGTTTACCTTATTGGGGTGGGGAGACTATAGTTGATGAGAATGAAGTGGTATCCTGGTTGGGATGAATGGGGAGATCATTGAGAATGATCATTAGTAGATATACCTATCTCTCTCTGTCTGCTTACCAAGAAAGGTTTATTTGTCGTAGAAAATAACAAATGTACCCATCTAGCCCTGTTTCTCTCATCTTCAATCAAATCGTGGCTCGTCCTCGGAGAAATATCGGTGCAATGTATATACGGAGTACGGTGTAGGACCAGTTTATTAATCAACTAAACTATAATATTATTAAATATTCCAGAGACTTTGGAACAAATAGATAGTCTAGAGACTAAACAGACTGTCAAAATGTCGATCCACCCCGATCTTCCTTCGTGTTGTTCAAGTGGATCTTAGTATCATGACGTCGAGGTTTCTTTGCTCTCATTGCACAATGGATCTTGGCCTTGGCTTTTATTTTATTTTGTTTTGTTTTGTTTTTCTTAACTTCAGACCGGTGGGTCTGAGTCCTGAAGGATTGTGGAGTTTCGAGGTTTTAATTTCCATTGCGGTTGTCTAGCGTGAACGTGGATAACTAAATACTCTGCATGAAGTACAAATCAATCATCTTGGCGAAGAGGCTGGGAGGCTGGGGTTACATCGTGGTTCATGTCGGTGGTCTGTTTTGTCTTGCTTGAGAGAGAAACGGTGAATCTTGGTAAAGACGGTGTGGATAGTTGGATAGCTGATTGTTCGTAGACAGAGCCCTGTTTAGGTGAAGGACTGATATTTTGTGGGCTTATGTTGAGCCATTTGAATCTGGTCTCAACTATGCCTTCGTCTCGAGGAAGAAGAAATCAAAATAAGTGAACGTCACGCATTACTATCTAATGATCAAGTCGGATATAACGTATAGTCTTAGATGTCCTGTACAAAAACCACAAACACAACCCATTCTTCCAATTGTCCGGGCATAATCTTGATAGAATTTCGTCGTGAATAAAATATAATACTGATCATATCATAAGCAAGGAAAGGTGTGGCTCGTCATTTCGGGGAATAAATCGTGCAGGTGTAATAGGTCTAGCCAGCGGTTGAAAACAGGTCCATCGTCTCTAGAGACCCGGCGGTGGTGAGTCTGTATGTCGTTCATTCTCTAGTCAGCGGATTCGACTTGCTCGGCCCAAGAGGCTCCGGTCGCTGATATGGGCGATATGGACGTCTCGATCTTGGCCGCCTCGACGGCAGGGTTTGTCGCGACGGCGGGGGTTGTGACGTCGGCGCTCTCCTTCTTGTCACTGCCCGGTAGGGCAGGGAAGTCGTTGTCATTGTTGATCACCGGCGGCGATGAAGTCGGTTTGTGTTCCGGTGCCGATCCGTCTACGGGGCCGTTCGCTCGCCCTCCACGGCCGTTTCCACGTCCGCGGCCGCCTCGACCACCCCGACCTCGGCCGCGATAGTTGGGGTTATTGTCGTGGTGCGGCGGTTCGTCCGCTTGCGCTCCCTCGAAGTCTCGACGTGCGTAGCCCGAAACGCCGCCGTGCATGCCTCGGAATCGGCCTCGCCCGCCGCGCCCGCTGTCCGGTTCGTCTTGCTTTTCGGAATCCCATTCCCGCCCATTCAGGGCCTGCAGCTTCCGTAGGCGATTGCGCTCTCGTTCGTTATCCATCACGCGGCGGTTCTGGCGTTCTTGCTTTCGCTTCACTTCGGCGACCTTCTCGCGTTCAAGGAACGAAGCCTGGTCGGCTTCGGCACGGGCATGAGCGGCGGCTTTTTTGGCAGCGTTCTCCTTGGCAGCTGCAATGCGCCTCGAGAGCTCTTCCTCGGTGAGTTTAGGCTGGTAAGGAGAAAATCCCCAGTTAGCAACGAATACGTTCCTGACTCAACGTCGTGAACCCTGAATCTGACGTACCTTTTTGATCCCGCCGGTGGCGCTGCGATCTCCACGCACGGCCGGCACTTTAGGAGCATCGGCCCCCGCCGCGGACGCATTGTTATCCTCGTTATTACTCCGTTGTTCCGCATTTTCTCCGGACGCATCCGGCGTGGAGTCTTCCACGTTGTTATTTTCCGGTTGTGAGGTCGCGTCGACCGACTTTGGCCGCGATACCGGCCCCTCGGCGCGTCGTTGGCTGGAGTTCCGCGACCCCCGTCGTCCGCGTCCTTTGCCTCGGCCTCGGCCTCGTCTCTCGCCTCCGGCTGCGCCGCCACGCGACCGCGACGGAGTATCAACCCGAGCGGGTTGTGCTTGGGGCTCGATCGGGGCAACCTCGACGGTCTCCTCGGCGACTGGCACTGCGGGCGGGGCTTGCTCCTCCGCGACGACGGGGATGATCTCGTCGTCGAATAAATCGTCGCCGCCGCGTGTCTGGGCGAACTCGTCGGCCATTTTTATGTTGATTTCTCCTTCGCAGAGATCAGATGGGAGTAGATTTGGGTCGGAGAGCCCGATGCGGTCGAGAAGCAAGACGTAGTCGATAGAGAGAGCTGGTGGCAGGCGATCCGAGCGATGCTGCGAATTCGGAGGAGAGGCAGGAAGAGTAGAGGGGAAGAAGGCCGATCCGCGCTAAGTACGGAGTATCTACTCTAATGCACGCGGAGAAAGTCAGTCGGCGTATCGTTCGTCAACAATTTAGAACAAGAGCGCCATGCAGAGAGGATCCGCAAGATGAGACATCTGATCTCATCTTTCTATAAATATGACAGTCCCCCGGTTTCCCCAGCCTCCCGGGTTTCCAAGGCGGTGTGTTGTCGCCGAAGTGCGGGATGGTGCAGGATTCACCATCACGCACCTCGAGATCGAGGGGAGGGTAGTCTCACGTACCGGATGGGTTGATTGACAGAGCTCAGATGCACCACTTCGCCAGAGTCTCGACGGGGAGCGATCGCGACGACGGAGGGAGCGGCGGCGGATTCACTCGAGATGAAAGAGCGCCTTTCTGCCGCCTGCCACCGCCCCTTTCTGCCGGCGCCAAGCTATCTTGTTGCCTCAGGATGTTAATTCTTTCGTGCCTGAGGCGCCAACGTCATGGCTCTATACAATGATATGACTACGAGTATGAGTTGGCTCTGCTTGTCTGGCACGATCCCCATATCGATTCTCCAAGATTCATATCAGAATAAGAGTACTTCTGGAGTACTGAATCTGAGTATACAGGCTAAGATCAGCTATACAATAGTAACAGCTTGAGTATGGAATCAGTCAAGTGTAAACCATACCGATGCCATCTGATGAGTGTATGGTTTGTTCCTGCAGGCAACGACGGAACTTTCCTTCATCCATATCGCCACTTTTTGAAATAATTCATCCGCCTTTAATCATTAATTACGATCATCGAAATGCAACCGTCTGATATATCACATATTACTGAGATACAGTGTACCATCACCCGAACAACTGAATATGAACAAAGGAAGAAAAGAGAGAATAAAAGAACGAATAGGTATCTCACTGGAACTTCTTTTAGAAAGCCAAAAATTATACGGCGTCCACGCTACGTTGCTGGGAGACAGGCACCAGCTCGTACGAATTGCTCGGATGGGCATCCAAACGAGCCGTCCTACCAGCCGGCTGGAAGGAGGTGCCGGGCTGATAAATCAACTTATCATAGTCGTAGGTGCTGCTCAAGTGCTTGCTACCAGTGATCTCGGATCCTCCGGTGAGTATGGATCCTCCGCCGCTCGAAGGCGTGGATCTACGCTCAGACGAGCGACCAAGTTTCCGGCGCACCTTGGCGAAGAGAGGGGGGTATGTGGGCAGACTCGCGCAGATCAGCGCCATTGCGAGCTCGATCGTGGCCCAGTTCAGGCTCATTGTTGTTGAGTCTGGTTGTTTCATGTAAGCCGAACCAATCTATAGAATGGGAAGGATCATTCATACTCACCAGTGAATCCGTGGTCCGTCTTCCAGCAATGATAGGAACGGATGGCACTAGCAACACACACGCTACGCGAGGTGAGTCAGTTAAGAAACGCAGGGATCGATTCGAGAAGGAAGGTGAACGGACAAGCCTCCGAGAAGAAAGATGCCGGTGATACTAGCTTTCTTCGCGGTCCTCAACCCTGACTTCCGGACCATATACACGGGGAGCGCCAAGATAATAAGATCAATCACGATGTTGGCGATGCCAGTTCCGACCAAGATGTTTCCGGCTTTCATGCATTTGGCCGTGGTCAACTTCAAGGCCATGGTCCACGCGGCGCGGATCGGGTGGCATTGAAAGATGAGAATAAAGGCGGCGACGATATACCAAATAATGCTCATCACGGTGGGGATCCAGGTCAGGCGCGCGAAGCTGTATATCGGGAATATGCGGCGGTATAGGACGAGAATTGAGAGCTTGACAAAGGTGATACAGACTGCGAAGAGGTGTTCTTGAATGAAGAGATGCTGATGCACGAGTTTGGTGAGCAGGTAATGGTCCCTCGCGGTTTATAATAGCGTACTTACTTTGAAGTAGTAGTCTATCTGCGCCGGTGTCATCTCGGTAAGATCAGATCCCCCTGAGCTACCATTTCCAAGAATGCCTGTTTAGTTGCATGAGCTGTGTTGGCATTGCGCCCCTCCTACCGAGCCTTACTTACCCAGGAGGAATACTGTCTGCTCGGCATAGAATGCTGCGGCGGCGACGAGAATGAGCGCATCGTCCAGACACCAGGCACGCCCCTTAATCTGGAGTCGTGCGAAGAGACGAAGAGGCAGGGAGATGAAGACCATAATCATCATGGCTATGGAAAGGCCTAGTGCCAAATCGCCGGTTGGATGCCGATCGAGTGCCATTCCGGTGGATGAACCAGTTCAAAAGAAAAGAAGGAAGTGAACATGGAACTGGATGACAATGGAATGAAAGGAAGAAAAACCGGGAAATTTGAGGCAGTCGACGGGGGCGCAAAGTCTTCTACTGGGTATTATGTACTAGAGTTGGCTACGGATAGGTGCTGTAGTAATTACGCCATGGTGTATAGGATGGTTCCTATAGAGTCTTATCACAGAAGTACCAACTCCCGGTTTCTTTATCCTTCTCATCGCGCACGGTCGTCTCTCGTATCCATGGCTCCACTCTGGCAAGGGGCATCTCATAGTCAGATCAATAGTTCGCGGAGAACAGTCCCTAAAAGAGACTGTGGCTGCTTTCGACGCTTCGTTTCTTTCTTCTGCCTGAATTTCTAGATTACTTCTCAGCTTTTCTCAATGAACCAGCCTATCGGAGGTTGCCAACAAGGACCCTTAGCATCCAGGATTGCTGGGAGCCACATTGAATACCAGTCAATCGAATCGGCTCAGTGGGTTCTACGACTTAGAAGTAGCAGACATCATCATTGAAGCAACCAGTTCCAACGGATTGATCCCAGTTTATTCCAAGGAATCCTGTAATGTATTAGATGCCTACCTCTTTTTCACAGGTCGGCGTTCAGGCCTCTTAATCGGAGGGAGAATCGGTCCTCTTTGTCGTTTTTCTTTTTTGCTTCTTTTAGCGCGCCTGATCACGAGCTTCGATATCAAGCTAGAGCCGGACAAGACCGAGAAGAAGTTCCTCATGGGCGTGAATGATCTTATTGTGCTTCATTCAAGAGAATTGAATTTTATTATTCTGTGCTAGAGACATAAGGATTGATTGGTTAAATGAACGAACAAATTGTGTCGGTTGGTCGATATATACACATCAAACTAACATCTATAGATCTACACGCAGTGCCACGCGCTCTCCTCCGTATAGTTTCCTGGTCCCTTGTACACGTTTCTCCGAGGGTATCTGCAATGTTTCCGGGTATACTCGACCGCGCTTCCGGGCCCGTTGGCAAACTTGGCGCCACGGACATGCTCCGGCGCAATGCCCTTCTCAACCCACTGCACCATGGCCATCAGGACGTTATTCTCGGGCTTCTTGCCGTTATCTGTGCGATAACCGTTACCGATGCCAAAGGCGCCGTCGCCCTGCGCGCAATGCGCCATGCCGCTGATTGGGAAGAAGCGGTAGAACTCGTCTAGGTCTTCGGGCGCCAGGTCCATGGTCTCTGCCACGCGAGCATAGTATAGCTTTGAGTTTTCCGAGCTGATCAGCTGGTCCTGCAGACCGTGGTAGGTCAGCACCTTGCCACCGGCGGCACGGAATGGCGAGAGGTCGGCATCCCAGGTCTGGATGTTGAAGGGGTTCTGGGCCAGCGCGTTGGCGGTGTCTGAAACGGAGAAGGTTGTGGCGTCCCATTTCGTGTCGTTGTAGACCACGTACCGGTACCAGTCCTTGCTGTAGGCGAAGGGCTCGCCGTTGTACATCATCTGAGCAGCGAGGATTTCTGAACCCGGCTGCATGCGCGGGTACAGGAGGGTACCGTTGACGCCGTAAAGCGGGGAGAGAATCTCGCGCACCGTTTTGGCTTGGGCCCCAGTGATGCATTTTTTCGAGGACGAGCCAGACTTGCAGATGATCGTTTCCATGATGGGATGGCAGAGATCTGGGTCCTCGATGACGCCATCGCGGGCTCCGTCTATGCCGTCGCACTGTCGGAGGATCTCGTTGTGCACGATCTTCCACGCGGCGGGAGACAGGTAGCTGTCGGATGAAGGGGAGCCGGTGATCGGGTAGAAGTGAGCGCTCCACGACAACAAGTTGACAAAGTTGAAGGCCGGAGCGCCGGCGACCACGCCGTCAAAGTCGTTGGGGTATTTCTGGATGGATTTGAAGCCCTGCCGGCCGCCGGTGGAACAGCCTAGGTAGTATGATTTCTTGAATCCCTGGTCGTAGAACTGCTTGGTGAGTTGCTTGCCGATCACGACGCCGGTATGAAGGGAGCGATAGGCAAAATCCTCGACGACCTCGGGGTGCTGGTAAAAGGGCTCGCCGGATGTTCCGTTGTGACCGTTATTGGCGCCAACCGTTGCAAATCCTAAGCCGGATGCGTATGCGACGTCATAGTACTGGATGCCTGCGTAAATCTGTTAGAGCCCAGTTCCAACTTAATGGTGCAGCAAACCAAGTCACACATACAGCCACCAATTCCTCCATTTCCGGTGCTCAAGAAACGGCCTGCGTAGTCGCGTGGAAACCAGGCTTCCATGGTGATCTCGCTGCTGTTTGAAGTGGCCACGGCCAGCGCAATCCGGCAAATGTCTGCAGGCACAGACTGCGAACCTTCACCACACGTGGCTGGATTGCCTGCGAGAGAGAGGTTCGTGTTCCCCGGGACATAGTTGACGAAGTTGACCCGTACATTGGGTAGATCAATCTTATCCGCAAAGCTGGTGCATTGAGATTTGAAAGCGTCTTCCCGAGCGAGAGACGCTGTCCCCAACGAAAGTAAGGATAGAAGGAGATGCAAGGGAGCCATCTTGTCTCAATTGAAACCGATGACTTTGGGGTGTCTGGCTAGTGTTCTTGCGAGCAGAGAACAAGATTCATTTATATATAATTTTCCTGCCAGTGATAGCTACCAGAGGCTTGTGGGGACCACGGGAGAGCTCCCTCCGAAGTTATGCCGGAAAATGAGTTCGAGATGCCCCATCTGAGGCAGCTAGGAGAATGCCTATTCGCCAAGATATAGTGCTGCGAAATGAAGGAGAGAAATTTGTCAGGGGTGCGTGGATAATATTTGCAACTTGGCGTCAATTGGAGTCTGGGGATCGTCAAGTGGATTCCCCACAAATGCGGAGAAATTTCCTGGGCACGTCATCTTGATTGCTTCGGCAGTTGGAGAAGGTCCTTTAAGTCCATTTCTTCGTCAAGATGCATTTCTCGGCTAGTGCCGCTGCCGAGATCAGCACCTCGAAGATGTTCACTGAGCTTTTCACCGTTTTCACCTGGCAAACCCCTAAGGGAGAATACGTTACCTTGCGTCGTCAAAACATACGGCGTTCGCTCGACTCGACTTGCACTGAAGTAGCACCATCGACAATCATTGAGAAGCAGCCTCTTTGAGCACGAGCACTGTCCTTCAAGTAGACTTAAAATTGCCGAGGCACTTAGGGAAGATATATGCCTGGATCTCTTGCCGATAGTCGCCCGAGGAAAATTAGGGTTGTGTCTCTACCGAACCCGATGCCGTAGCGCAAAACATTGCTTTTTCTAATATAACACAACCAGTTATATCTTGTACCCACCCCTGACATCAAGAGAGTCAAAGCGTTTTCTCCGTGTTTGGTTCATCTGGCTGCCTAAAATTCCCCGGGTTAGTGGGCCCAGCTGCGCTGGAGTGGGTGTTGAATGAAAAAAAATATAAAATATAAAAAAAAATAAATTCATTAGCCATTAGTATTCGTAGAAGTCTGCGAGAAAAAACGGAAGCTGAGATATAAAGGGCAAAAACAAAACAGAAAACAGGTAATAGGCAACCGAAGACAGAAAACATTCAAATAACAGATGGTTAGTTGCTTCCCTTTCATATCTGCTTAAAAAAAAGACCGCAAATGAATTGTTCGCAATCAAATGTAAGAATAAATAGCTCCGGGCGAACCGATTATAGAAGACCAGTTTCATAACATGGCCAGGGCCTATACTCATGGAGCTCGCATCGTGTGGTACCTTCCGGCGTGCCGCACATGAAATTAAATATACCACAAGAGCTTGGCCGAGACGTGCACTATGCGGAAAATAAGTTAGCTTCTTGTTTAGACCTCGCACGAAAGGCTTCTTTACCGGCAGCGATTAGTAGCATTGCAATGAATACTTTTAGATTCTGTGTACCCAGTACGCTAAAAAGAAGGCCATACGCCATCCATGCCGAGTATGACCCGAAAATTCCGCTCAGCGTAGGTGAGTCTTTATACCTCGTCGTAGCTTCATCAATCATGGCTTGCAGATTAGCCGCGGTTGCAGCGGCCTTATCTATGAGAGCCTGTGAGATATGCATGCTGGTCTGCATATTCTGCTGAATTTGAGATTGCGCTTTCAAGCACTCAAGCTGCTCAGCCTGCGAGTTGTGGAGATTGTCGGCATTCATTTGAGATTTCTCCAGGGCATTTTCAAGCCCTTGCAGGCGCTTCAAAGCATTAGGATGGTGGGAAAAGCGTAGAAGATGCTACGTACCTCGGACATGCTCGTCTCCTGCTGCAATAAAAGCCCAAATCTTCCCGACAGCCATTCCTATTTAGGTCTGAGCATGAACGAAGCGCCGAGTCATGACCGAGTCACTTACTATAGAGGAATCAAATGCCTGCATTTGAACGAAGATAGTAGCAATGTCACTTCGCAAAAGGATTTCCAGCTTTTGCTGAATAGACGATGCAAGCTCGTTCTGTGTCGAAGAATCCTGCCGATGAGCAAGCCTCATTTCCTCATTCCTGAGCAAAACCTCGTCATGGACAGTTCTCAATGTCTGTTGCAGGTGGCTGATTCCGGTAGAGGCATTGAGGATGTTCTATCAAATATTAGATGCACCGTCTTTGTAGATGGTTATTGCCTTACCTTTTCTAAACTAGTCGCTTCATTTTGAGTCCTGCTGAGAATTGAGTTGACGGAGTCGACCATCGAACTGGCACCTAGTCCAATGTCATGGAAGATGTCCTCAAATATTCTGATGAAGCTAGATTGTGTTTCTTCAAGCTCTGCAACTAGTCTGACCCTCATGATTTCTGTGGCTTCCATGAAGGCTTTATGCTGCGCTGACTCCGCAGCAGCTATGCGCAAAGCTTCTTGGAGTCCGCTGTTGAGCTTAACAGAGGCTTCGATGATAGATTTGTAAAGCTCAAGAAGCTCTTCTTTCTCACTTTCAACCCTTGCGGCTTGGCATATGACTATGGCATTCTGCCTGCTATTGCTGTACGAGGTCCACCATTGAGGTCTCGATTCCAGTGTTTTGAGGCATGTCGCAAGCAGCTCCTTGGACACATTGCCTGGTCCCTGAAGCGGTGATTTGGACTTGGAAGAGAACCCAAAGAGTCTTTTTTTGTTCTGCGACGGAGTTGTCACCGGGAGACAGGGCGAGGGTGTGGAGGCGCCCGCTTCATTGAGTTCGCAGATAGCTAAGCTGGCGGCATAGAGCGACCGCACATGCTCCAGAGCCACGTAGGTGTCTGGGTCTATGCTCTCATTTATCCTTCCAATCGACTGGCACGATGTAACCAGTCTCGACGCCGCCAGTCGGTTGCAAGACGGCGATGATTTCATTGTTTCCAGCAGCTGAACCGCTTCCACGAATATAGCGTCATGCTGTTGTGTCTTCGAGTTTAGGAAGGTAACAAGATTCATATCTTCGGACATGGTGTCTCTCTGTAGGTCATGTCCTGCAAGTTCATATTAGCGTGTCCTATTCATATTTGACTGGAACGTACCACTGGTAGTTTCAGCGCAGCCAAAGCCCAGAACGAGCAACCAGTATACCATCGTATGGGTTAAAACCGCCTTTGGGGAGAAGAATCGAGTCATTTTGCCGCTGGTATTGAAGTCAAGGGCTTGAATTGATTGAGCGAGTGGATATCTGGAAAGACTTGACGAGGCCAGGATACTAGGCACTCCTTGGTCCTGCTAATGAGAAGGGATGTCGGAAAGGATGCGGTAGCAGAGTATGAACAGAACACCGTTGGGCTCTTCAATATGCTTTAAAGGATACTGCTAGGTCGACTATCACTAGAGATGGGCAGCCAGGTCAAAACGAAGGTAAGTAGTATTTAAATATAGTAAAGTAAGCAATGTGGACAGACGGAAAGAAGAGTGGACTACCGTGAGGTAGAGATGGAACGCATTGCATAGACGAGATAATCTATCAACTCAGACAATGGCGGACAAGCACCATCGATGACGGGGCTCAATCCTCCATAATTGTTGTTGCAGCGTGAGATGAGGTCGACGTCTCCTCCGATCTATACAGCGAGCATGGCACGTGACCTGGTGACACTAACCGCATTGGGTGACGCAGGGCCCGGGCAAAATCAGACGGGAATCGGAGGTTCACTCCGCCATCGTCCAGCATCGAACCCCCAAATTATCACCGCCATGTCACGATCTCTCGCCCAGAGCTGCTTCCGACAGCTGTCACGGAGTCCCTTGAAGCAGGGATCTCTGCCGGTCTTCCTCGCCCCCGCCTTTTCCTCCCAACGAACACAATGTTTCTCTACCACCTCTCCGACGCAATCTCGAGTTGGCGGCGCCGCGCTCTCCATCCCCCCCGAAGTCAGCCTGAAATTCGTCGACCTTCCTCAGACCCAATTGAGAGGAATGGCCAAGGAAAAGCCCAAGGTCGCAATTGAGGTGAAGGGGCCATTGGGTGAGCCATTGCACTGGAATCGACGTCTCAGGGATGCAGGTTCTCTAACCGTGAATGTGAACGATAGGTGAAATGACACTGGACATTCCTCCTTTCCTGGAGGTCGCACACGATGAGGCTGCCCGGAAAGCTAGTCTTACTGTCCAAGATCCGGAGATCGCGCACCAACGCGCTATGTGGGGTATGTATCCCTACGATTGAGAGTCTGTTGTTCAATTGGCATCGTACTCGAATTAACTCTTGGTTCTCTCTCACTTAGGCACCACTCGGGCGCACCTACAGAACTACATCCTCGGCGTGTCGGAAGGCCACATCTGTATCCTCAGTCTGGTCGGTGTCGGTTACAGAGCCAGCATTGAAACGTCGGCCACCACCGTCGAGTCCGAGTACCCCGGTCAGGAGTTCGTCTCTCTCAAGGTCGGATACTCTCACCCCATCGAATTGGGTGTCCCCAAGGGTGTCAAGGCCAGCACTCCCCAGCCGACGCGTATCCTGCTGGAGGGAGTCAACAAGAACGTGGTCACCAAGTTTGCGGCGGAAATCAAGGAATGGAGAAGACCGGAGCCATACAAGGGCAAGGGTATCTTCATAAACGGGGAGACGATCAAGTTGAAGGCCAAGAAGATCCGGTAAACGGTGTTATCTTATAATCAGGTGTTGGAAAAGAGGAGCAGTCTACACTTTCTGTACATGTATATCCCAAGCACGTTTCCTTTTTGTCCGCCACTGGTATCTATCAAATTTTATGTACTTTTAGACGCATCTAGCGCGCAATGAGTCTGGAAAAAAAAAAAAATTCGTGACAAGAAATGGTGTTCATCAAATGACAAATTCGTAAAAGTTTTCCCCGTTTCTTTTTACAACTTCAGCACAAGCTTAACGGCGTCGATGACCTCGTCCTGGAAGGCAGCGGGAGCGGCAACAACGCCCTTGTTGGCAGCCAAAGTGCGGCCCTTGCTGAAGTCCAGTCGCTGGCCGTAGATGTCGGTCACTTGACCACCAGCCTCACGCACGATCAGGTCACCGGCGGCGTGATCCCAGATCTTTTCCTGGTAGTCCTTCTTCACAGGCAGTCGCAGATAGATGTCACCAGCTCCACGGGCAATGGAGCAGTACTTGGCCTGGGAGTCCAGTCGCACGCTGGGAGCGGTGATTCCCAACCGCTCCGCAACGGCCGCGTTGTCGCCCTGAGCGGAATGTCCGGCTTCGACACCCTCGCAGAAGACAGCCTCCGCAATCTTGGAAACGGGGCGCATGGAGATCGACTTGCTCTCGGCGAGAGTGGCGTTCGTCAGCGGACGGCTGGTGGAACCGGCGCCCTTGATGGCAGAGAACAGGACTCCGTTGCCGGCGCCGCTGGTCTGGTCGACACCGATGGAAGCGGTCATGGCGGCCGAGTCGTCCACGGGCAGGTTGGGGCAGCCAATAGCACCCGCCTTGACATCGCCGTCCTCAATCAAGCCGAGACAAACGGCGTATTGTCCACCACGCAGGAAACCCTTGGTGCCGTCGATGGGATCCAGAGCCCACACGCGACCCTTGGGGCCTCCCGCACTCTTGCCTTGATCGATAATGTCCAGCATTGCTTTCTCGCTAGGCAAGGGCCCGCCGAGGAGCTTGTCGCTCTCGGGGTCCTCCAACTTGATGTCGCTGACCAGTCTCCAGATCTCGGCGCTCAGCGCCTTGTCTTCCCGGAGGGAGCTGGCCTCTTCTTCGGCGACGATCTCGTCATTGGGGAAGTTCTTGCGAATAGCCTGGATGATCAAGGCCTGGGCTCCGAAGTCGCCAATGGTAACGGGCGATTTGTCATCCTTGGATACGGTACCCTTGGCCTTCTCGTTGAAAACCTTCTGGGTGAGGAGGGTTGCGCGCTGGACGGCGAGTTCGGCGATAAAGCGTTCCTGTTGGTAAGACATGGTTGCGACTTGGGTATAGGAATGAGAAAAGGAGAATAGTTGTGGGAGGGGAAGTAAGTGGCGGGTTTTTAAGATGATACTGACTCCCAGAAGCAGAGTGGAGCAGACGACAAATGTTGAGAGGCGCGGCCGGCGAATCGAGAAGCGATCGGCCGGTATCGCAGGACCCATTTACTGAGAGAAGGAGGCGAATGGGGAGGGGGGGAGGTGGGTATCAAAGGAGAGTGGGCAGTCGAGGAAAAGGAGAAGATGGAACAGACCGACGGTTGCGTCGAGCTTCAGCCAGAAGGAAGCCGTCCAATTGCAAGTCCAGTGACCGAATCGGCACGCATCCTCAGGCAGTGAGGCACCGAGGCCCTCCTTAATCCTCCCCCCGCCCTAAACCCGTTTGAGCAGAGAGCGAGGGGCAGTCACGAGATTCGCGATTGCGGCATGACGTTGACTTTCCTTCCCCTCTCGCCCTCTTCTCCCTGTCCTCTCCTCGTTCTCTTCGTGCCCGGAGGCCTTACCGTCGATCTGCACGAGCTTGTTTACGAGCTGGGATTTCGCTTTTGGAGGGGTACGGCGCGTTAGGCTGCTCATCGCCACGGGAGACAATTTGAAACCCACTCCGACTGGGTCTAACACGTCACTGTTTGGCCATTGTCATTGCGCTAGTCCCTTTGTTGTTCTGCACCACTATTAAAGGGAATCTCTGAGAGGCTTCGCGCGAGATCCAACGGGAGTCAGGTCCCTCGAGATATATTCACCTGGTGGTCAGATCATTTTCTTCGTTGTTTTCTTCCGTCAAATTTGGTGGGATTGTGGACTGTGGACTTGGATGCGGGGATACTGGTTATCAACATCCAGGGCGAGGGCGATTGTCATACTGAATCCGGAAATCGTATATCAATTCATCGGAGCAACTGCGTTCTATTCATCATGTTCCACTCGTCGGTAAGTTGATTCCCATGGGAGCAGACTTGTCGAGATTGCACAATCTGCGTGTAGATTGCCCCCTGAGGATTTGCAGTGTGATGGGGTGATTGTTGAGTGGGCTGGCACTAACGCAACTGGTGTGCAGAAACCGTACTCGGCCGTGACCGTACAGATTGAAGTCCTTACTAGCGAACAATATGAGGTCGAAGACTCTAGTGGAATCGTTGATCTTATAGAGGCTGTAACTATCCAGGGTAGCGGCCCAACCGAAGCTAGTCGGGCTCTGCGTAAGAAGCTGTCAGTCTTCGCTTTGACCCCCCGATATTAGTACAGTTGCTCAACTAACACTTCTCTAGAAAATATGGAAACCTCCATCGGCAACTAAGAGCGCTTACGATCCTCGACTTTCTGATCCAAAATGCCGGAGACCGTTTTCTGCGGGAGTTTGCCGACGAGCCATTGCTGGAACGACTGCGAATTGCCGCCACCGACTCGGTCTCTGATCCTCTGGTGAAGCAAAAATGCAAACAACTCTTCGGGCAATGGGCAGCAACTTACAAGAATACCCCGGGTATGGGAGGAATTACGGCCCTTTATCGACAGCTGCCGAAGCGCAAGCAGCCGGCAAACCAGGCCAAGGCTAAGGTTCTACGGGAAGCCAACCCTTCCGATGAACCCGCCATGGGCCACACCGTGTCCATTTCGGCTGGGGATGGTCCGTCTACGGTCCTGAGTGGTCCCAAACATAAGCACTCGTCGAGCAAATCTCTCAAAAAGGAGAAGAAAGACAAGAAGGAGAAGAGGGTCCGTGCGCCCTTCAATCTGGAGAGAGAAAAGCCAGAACTCTTACAAACACTCGCCTCTTCATCAGTTGCCAGCACAAACCTTCTGAACTCCTTAAAGCTCGTCAACCGTGAAACACACCGCGTGAGTGAGGATGCCGAGGTCCTCAACCGCTTTGAAACATGCAAGCAACTCCGGCGCCAAATTCTTCGGTATATCCAGAATGTAGAGAGTGAGGAGTTCCTGGGGAGTTTGATCCATGCCAACGAGGAGCTGGTCACCGCCCTGATGGCATTCGAAGTCTTGGATAAGAGCGTGGACTACGATAGTGATAGTGACCAGGATGTTCTCGAGACCGGCTGGACTCCTGACCGCGACGATGTGAACGAGTCATTTGCGGGTCTTGTTATCAACCCGCCCAAGCCTCCCCGGCCTGTGCGGCCGCTCAGCATCAGCGTCCCGTCGTCTTCACAGCAAGCGCGACAGGCCAACAACAGCGATACCGAATCAGAAACCGACGAGGACGACGACGACGAGGACAATCCGTTCGGAGACCGCAATGAGATCCGTACTCCCGGCATTGAGAAATCTCATCCTACCTGGTATGTATCATCATCGCCTTGCCATCTGTGGCCGTTCTTCATATTGGTACACTAGTGTGGACACCTGAACTAATTTCGTGCAGGAAAGAGGTTTAATTATACAGCATTCGGCATGAGAGTGCAAACATCCAACCCTTATTCCAGCTATTTCCTCAGATCGATGATCATCACTCGCTACCTTTGACTCTTCCCCCCTTTTTTTCTTCTCACGATACATGATAAGCAATGATGCTTGGACTCGGTGGAGTGGATTGATTGTTTTGAATGGATTGACTGGTTTTCGATCCACCATGACATGTACCATTACCTTCTCTGTTGATTTCTTTTTATTTTCTGGTATTTCTTTTGCCTTTTCTTTTAAGACCAATAATTGCGTCACACGATACCAATCTTATTTACATTAAAAGGCGTAGCAAAGACTTTTTTCAAAATGAAAAACAACATATAGGCATCATCATTAACATTGATTCAGAGACCTCATCATGCCATAAACTCATTTCACAGAAAACAAATAAAAGAAAGAACCCTGCTACCATGCAAAAAGAATAATAATACTTCCTAATTTACAGCCATGCTATGAGACGTTTAAGTCAGTAATAAAAATATAAATGCAAATGGGTATTATGAACGTGGCTTTTCCAGGGAACCCAGGCGATCGACACTAAGAAAAGTTGTACCAAAGCCTTGGAGAATGAAAGAAGCTGAAATAGAAATAAAAGTAATGAAAGGGAGGTCGAAGAACCCGCAGGCACTTCTCGCACACATCCTCAAGACAGTGTGAATGTGTATACCCCACAATAGTCAATGTGCAGACAGCAGTCTCATGATAACACTTTCGTTTTCATCCATTCACTGGTCCCGACGCCCAGGTTGAGACCGTTACGGGTCCACCAGCGTCGGACACGTCCTTCTGCGCCGGAGACTGGGTCGGCATCTTCAAGTGCTTCTTCGATATCGCAGGTTTTGAACTCCACCCGCAGCCCGCTCTGTCGCCACCATTCGAGCACGTTGTCGTGGCCATTCTTGGTAGGCCCGACGAGCACTTGGCAGTCGAAGATCATTTTAGCGCCCTTAAGACGGTACCAGAAATCGAGGACGTGGACGTGGCCGTGGGTGCTGGCGATACGCGCAACCGATTCGGCGTGACTGTAGGGGATGCCCGAGGCATCCCACCAAGCAATAGATTCGGTACGGCCGGATTGGGCAGCAAGCAGGACGGATTTTCCGACTTTCAGAGGGATTGGATTCGATGCGGGAGCCTTGTCCGAAGCGTCTTTCCACCACTGTAGCACGTTGACGCGACCCTCGGCGCTAGCCGATTCCAGTGCACGCTCCGTATACCGGAGTTCTAGGCCAGATGTCCTCCACCATTCGAGGACGTTGACAAAGCCGGCGCGAGAGGCTCCGTCCATAGCATCCGCGATATATTCTTTGTTTGGCAGGGCCGGCGCGTCACGCCACCATGTCAAAATATTGGGATTCCCGTAAATCGCGGACGCCCGGTATGGCAGGTTGGTGAGGCGAGAAGTCGTCCAGAGTAGATCGAGGTGATTCTCTGTGAGGTAGGAGAGGACGTCCGTTCGCGAGAACTTAGAGATCAAGTGGCAGGATAGGTCGGATATGGGTTTCCATCGTGGCAAACTGTCAATACGTTTTTTGATTGCAGCGAAAGATCCCCTCAAAATCGTGTACTCCAATGATGCAGGAGTTGACATCTTCAAAAGATGGTTTTGCCATTCTTTAGGTACGGGCAGGTTTGTCGGGATGCCGACAGCTTTGGCAATCTCCCAATCATGTAGCTGGTCCTCAAAGATGTTGAGCCACAATTCCATGGGCAATGAAGTTGGCCCATCGTCGAGCTTATCAGAGCGACCTGTAAGATGCCGCAATGCCGCCGCAGAAGTGGTTCCGGATGATTTCGTATCCGAGGCAATGGTCTGTTCGTAAGAGTTCCCCGAAGGCGTATGCGAAGAGGTGGCGACTTGTGAAAAGGATAACCCAAGGGCCTTCTCAATGGTTTCATGGGTTTCTTGCAAACCATCCCAATGTAACTGAACTAGCTCCTCCGGGTCGGTAGATTTCATCAAGACCGGCGTGACAACATGTATCCAGGGCCAAAACTGGTTGACCTCCTCTAGCTGTCTGCCACTCAATGGATGGTGCCATTCCGTGATGGTCATGCCAGGTACTAAGACGACTGGCTTGGTAGATATCCAACCGCGGAGAAGTGCCAGCGTCAGTGTATTTGTGAGGCCTGACAGCATTGATCCTAATGTTCCAGCATCAATCGGAGCGATGATAAGCATGTCCGCCCATTCACAGAGTTCGGCAGCCTTGGCTTTCAACCATTTCCGAGCACCCGTCTTTTTCTCAAATGTCTGGCTATCGACTGTATCCATGTAGTGCGGCACTTTGCTCGCGCCGGAGAGAAGGGCAGACGGTTCGTCCGTGATCAATCGCAGCTCGATTTCGGGATGCTGGACCAGCGACGGGAGGACATTTCCAACAAACGCGCTCTCCGTTGAGAGTAACAGACGTTTCCGGCGAGAGACAGTTGCCGAAGACGAGCCATTGGCTACATCATCCTGGGGAGGTATTTGCAATCCATTATGTTCGGCCACTTTCACATCGCCATCTCCATCAACCTCCATTTCAGATGTCCAGCCACACTTCGAGACGGTCGTTGCGTAACTTGGC